CCATTTAGCATAACTTTTAATTAAAAATTACAACAGAAAGAAATAATTAAAGAAAAAACTTTTGCAGCACGCATGTTTTGAAATTAGGAGCCACAGTCTGCCCCCTAGCAACAACAACAATGACACCAACATCAGCAACTACAACGCATGTTGCATGCAAATGAAGAGAGTACTAAAATTATCTTTGGATATAGTAAGCGTGTCTCAACCGAACTTTAAATACACTTAACCCTGCAGAGCGTATCATATAATTTATTCGTAAAATTTGTGATGCATTCAAGGTTACGTCTTCCACACCATAAATTATATATATATTCTCGATCAACATTACTAGCAAATTCCTCCCCGAGTATCACTATAAATATTTCATAGGAACAATCGATCAGTTTCTTAAACATATATATAAATTTACATGTCGACAAGTTGACTCCAGTCTGCAAGGGTATTTAATGTTCGTTCTTTCATAAATATATATTTATATATGAGCCGAAGTTTAAGTACACTTTTATTATAATATTAGAGCAGACGGCTGTGCAGTTATATAATTTACATTCATGGCTAAAAATTGCCTGTGTATAATTAACTTACTATTGAACAATGCATATTTAAATAAATAACCGTGTAAAGAGTTGTTTATGAAATACTTTTAGCCCCAACAAGAGCAACAGTGTATATTTACAAGGGCAAAAAAGCAGACAGCTTTATGCATTTGATAATATACAAATCATTCAGAACACACCTTAATTTTATAGTTCTTTTCCAACTACTGGCAATTGCTTAAGTCATTTTATTCATTAAAATTGTATACATATGTCTAACTTTTATTGGCGACTGTACGCAAATACTTATCTAAAATTCTAATATATGACATTTTTTAAGTAAGTAATTCCATGGAATTTTGCAATAGAACACGTAAGTCGATAAAAACACTCAGTCTGAGAAAAGTAGAAAAAAAGTTGCGTATTAAATAAACTATTCATTCTTGCATTGCATTTCTACATAATAATACTTGTATTTTTAACTCTTTCATTTTTTCTGATTACTTTCCAGTGTGAAGTGTTTTATTGAGTGTGCTGTATTTATAGCTGGTCAATTTCCTGCAAACACAGTTGCTACAAAAGTGCTTGGACACTCTTTTTTGAGTGTCAATTTCACCCACTTACTGAGTACATATGTTTTTTCTCCTCCCTCTTTCTTTGATGTATGTAGTTAGTGCACACCCAAGAGAAAATAAGAGCGTTGCTCAGCATCCCATCCCTTTGTGCTAGTAACTATCGCTCATTCACAATCGCAGTGCTTCCCCCTTCACCTCCACCTCCACCGACACTGTCATAGTCGTGATGAGCCGCTTAAAAGGGGCGTATAAAATTAATAGACTCTCCAAGTCGCTTAATTATCTCACTCAGCAGACATTTGAAAATGGGCAAATGTTTTGCTTTTTCCTTTTTCTTTTCTCGTTTTTCGTTTTCTTTCTATGCAGGCATTTCCATAGCAGACACACAGCCGGAGCTGCTGGCTGGCTTTATTAGTTGATGATAACTTGGCTAATGAGTTGTTGGACTGGCAGCGGCACTACTAGGCGAAAAGCCAACGACATTGTGAATTGTGTTGGTTGACCAAAAAAGCAACAGCAACAAAACGCAACAACCACGACAACAACTTTATTTGAGCTGCCCGCGCATTTTCAACGTTTTCATCTTGAGAATTTTTTTGTTGTATATTTAATGCTTAAGCGAAGGTGAACAACGCCAAATATTTTGCACAAGAACCTTTCAAGACGATCTCGGCTGCTGCTGCTGCTGCTGCTAAGTGGAGGTTAAGCGGGCAGCCAAAAAAAAAAAAAAAACAGAAAAATAGAAGAAAAAACAAAAATAAAAAAAAAAAACAAAAGCAGAAAACAACAGTTAGTAAAGATAACTGAACAACACTTGCGCTTATTTGCGTAAATGGGTTCAACGCTGGGCATGACCACAAGGCAAAACAAACCCAATTAACCCACAACTTGGCTATCTTTCTGGTGTTGTAGTTGCCGTGTTTGTAGCTAAATTATGTGTAGATGTTTTTGTATCTATGAATCTCAATGCCGATATGTGTCGCTGGCTCCGTGTCAATTTATCTTTGGGTACTTTGCGTGTTTGCTTTGCATTTAGTGCGGGTAATCTCTGATTTCATTTGTGTATAGCAGTTAGTTAGCGCTGGGGAGAGTCAGGTCGTAACAAATGATTTAACTATCTATGTATGCATGCACATATAAAAGATATATTAAATGAACTGATTGCGGTTACGGTTAAAATTACACACTTGCGGCTGGAAAATCGGTGAAAAGTTGTTGATTGGCATTTTAACAGGCTCGTAACTGGGATTTATGTCTTTAGCTAGGTTTTAAAAATGCACTTCGCCGATTGACGATGTAATTGAAATATTTTATTATTATATGGGCGAAAGTTAAATTTTCCTTCGTTAAATTTCAAATAGTTTTATATATACAAACTCATTTACCAGGATTTAAATTTTTATCTGAGTTTTACAAGATTTACTCCGCCCATTAAAGATTTATTTAAATATTATTATATGGTCGAGGGTTAAATATTATTCCGATCGAAATATAGCGTAATAGAAGTAATACAAACTACACACTATGTTTCTAGCTGAGCTTTAAAAAACATTACTTCCTCTATCAAAGAATTATTGAAATATCATTATAAGTTAAATTTAGCTCCGTTGGATTTCGAAATGTTTAATATAGCACCATTGCTGAGAAATCTATAAGTTCTATTTCTAATTTTAGATTTCGTGGAATTCATGCTAAGATTTATTCATATTTTTCATTCGCAAATAGCTCATTAATATTTCTAATTTTAGAAACACCCATCATACTCGCATTATGATTTACTTAAGTAACGAAAAGACTTAATATTTATTTCGTATATCGTATATATGACTTGGGTATTTTATCGGTGTTTTTTTGTTTTTTTTGGGTCATGGTGACGCCCTTGGCACAAACCGTGCGCTTCTCTAGTCGCAAGTACAAGCGCAAGAAGAAGAAGCAGCAGCAGCGGCAGCATTAGCAGTTATAGTTGCCCCAAACTTGCCATTGAATTTCCGTTGTTAAATTCCTTGTTTTGAAGATTATTTTTATTTTTATTTTTTTATTTTTTTGTTGGGGACCCTTATCGGCTATAGTTTTGTGTGTGTGCCTGCTTATCAGCATTGGCAAGCCGAGTGTGTGATAAGGGAAAAACCAAAAGGAACAAAGGTGTAGCATAGAGCAAAGCAAACAAATGCGACTGCGACTGCGATCGATAAGCGTAAAAGGTGAGCTAAAAAAACTAACAAATGTGAGTCAGAGTTGCAAAAAAAGAATGGGTGTTGTGCCCCACTAAGCTTAACTTGGAGATACCCTGTAGACAGCATTGATATACATTTGTAGTAACATAAAGCAAGCAGTGCATAATTAATGGAAACAATCTTGATCTGTGTTAGCTGATAAGACACATCAACTTTGATAACTACCAAGGCTTGTAAATCGATTCTTATAAATGTTAAGAAAAGTGTTGAAGTTATCTATCAAATTAATTATTATCTTATCTTATATCTTCACAACTTCAAAATGAAATACATTATTCAGCGAGGTGATCGCAAGCTTGTGCATTATTTTGGCCATGACTGTGACGCACACACACACACATGGACACAGGTAGAGCCGAGTCGAGAAATGCACATTAAATGAATGGGGTTGCAAAAACGAGAAGCCGAGCGCCTTAATGCCCTGCAGCCAATTTGACAGCTGGGCCGAGAGGACAACGCATGACGCAGCACGTTGACTCATTGCGCCCCCCTCCCCACTTCCCCCCAATCCTGCCACCACTCAAAAAGCAAAGAAAACAAGTTATGAACTCACCCTTCATCCAAATCGAATGGCAAACGCTTCAGCTCTGACATGTCCAGCTCCAGACGCAAATTGGAGACTTCGCAGAGCAGGCGATCACGTTCGAGGCTCAACTCCTTGATCCTGGCATGCAGCAAACTGTTCTCGTGCAGCAAATCCTCAACATTGAATTTGATTTGTGGTGCGGCTGGTGGTGCAAGTGGCACGGGCGCCGACACGGGACAAAGCATCGAGCTGGCCATGAGCAGCGATTGTGTCGTTTGATGCAGCAACAATTGTTGCTGCTGTTGCTGCTGGTGTTGTTGTTGCTGTTGATGCTGTTGCTGCTGCAGTTGTTGGTGCTGGTGCTGCTGCTGTTGTTGCATCTCAGTCAGGGCGTCAGGCTCGCTGCGCTTGGGGGACGAGGACAAGGTTTTGTATTCAGCCTCCGACATTGTTGAAATAAATGTGTGAAAAGCAACTCTCGAATGAACTTATATTATTATTATGGAGTTGAACAGAACATCGCGCCACGCAAACGCACTCGCGACCAACAGCGAGAAGACAGAGAACAGCGCGAGAGAGAAAGATATGAAATACAACAGCAACTTTGAATATCAAAAAAAATAAAAGGCGAACGAAAGAACACAAAACACGACCGAAAGCGACGCCGCCGCAGTTTGAAGCGACAAAAGTGTGCTTTGATTTGAACTTCACTCGCTGCTGCACTTGACGCACTCTCACTAAATTTATATGTATGTGTATTGCTTTTGTAATATAAATATTTATTATTTATTGTTGCACTTGTCTCGTCTGCTCTTTGACAACTAATTCAATTTTTATTTTTATTTTTTTTTGGATATTTATACCATGCGCGAACGACGTGCTACTTGATCCACGGACAACAAAAACGAATACACGAATACGGCGAGCGATGTGACCGTAGCTACTAAGTTCAAATATACACAATGCTTTCGACAAAAAATACCGATCAAATATACTGTAAAATGCAATGATTATCGTGACAGTGCCAGCGCTAGCTATAAATTGTCAGCTGTTAAAGTACAAGTGTTGAAATCGCGCCTGCTGTTAAATTATTTAAAATTGTTGAAAAGACTAACCAAAACGTAAATCAATTATATTTTTCTGTTTTATTATATTTAAAGTGTGAGAGCTGCTACGTCTCTGAGGGCAGATGAGGGGCAGGCGGCGGCATAGCCATTGTCGATTGTTGTGATTGTTGCGATTCACTTTTGCGCATGGAACGCTTGCGAACCCGTTTCGTCTCCTTGGCCCAGTCCATTTCATTGTAGGACTGCTCCGTGGCGCGCCAGTGCAACTCTTGTCGCTGCACCAGCTCCACATGCCGCTGCTCGAACTCCTTGTCGGGCGGCAGGAGGAGCTCCCAACGTTTTGTTGTATTCACCCGCGCCACGGTGCTGAGCACATCCAACGTCTCCGCCGGCGGCAATTGGGTGGCGGTCATCACCTGATTCCGATGCAAGCACTGCGTTCGCGAGAATCTATAAAGCTATAAGACCGAGAGGAATACTCATGAATAAGTGGACCACTTCACATTAACTCATGGCTTACGATATAATCCCGGGCGCGTATCATTTGTTCCGCCGTAACGCCGTTGGCATGTGACAGCATCTTCTCGGGATAGACCAGCTCCGACTTGGGCACCCAGTTGCCGTGCAGCAGAATTCCCACTTGTGGCAGCAACGCGAGCACTTTATCCGCATTCACATGCGGATCAACGTGCTCGCAGAGGATGTTCAATAGATCCGAAAACGAGAGCATCCGGGCATCCTTGAGCAGCACACGCAACTGATCCAGCAGCGCCAGCGTCTTCAGCATTGCCTTGTTGTAAACGGGCAGCACATTCGCCTCGTCCACCTGTTGCACATGCTCGTCGTGAGGCAGCAGCTTGTTTAGATATTCGCCGGCTGGCAGCGAAAGCGACTGATTCGCTTGATGATTCGTGGTGAAGAGTTTCTGGCGTTCCAGTTGCGCTATGGGTTTATCCCTGGAATGCCAATATGTCTCGCACCACGGCTCCTCTGAGATGCGTTGCATAAATGAATCGTAGGTGCCGCGTTGCTCCTTTGTCTTCTTGCCAGCGGCGGCTCCGGCACCAGTACCACGTGCAAATTTCACGGTGACCTGCTGAGCCACTTCCTCATCGTCCACATCCTCGGTTTGGGCCTTTTGCTCCGCCTTGCGTCGTTTGTCCTCCTTGTCGAAATAGTTGAGCGAGGGACGCAGTTGCACAATGCTCGCCAACGGCGACAAATGCATCTCTTTGTCCATATAGATGCCCACCACATACTTGGATATGTCCGTCAGGGATCGGGTGCTGGTAAACGCCTGTTTATCCATTACGCCACGCTTATACGTCGGCCGTTCACCGCCCTTGGGCGTGGCAGCGCCATACGTGTTCTTGCCATCTGCCGCCACAGCGAATTGTTCGCCCTTGAAACGATCGTAGCTTTTGGACTCAATGTTCAACCCAAAATCCACTTTGACTTCTTGTGTGAAGGGTTTCACACAACAATTGACGACGATGGCATCGTCCAGATTTGGCAGTTCGGTTTTTGTGGGGTACTGGAAGAGGTAGAGATTGTCCTGCAGGTTCTTCGATAGAAACACTGGGATCTCCTCCACAATGGGATCCTCCTCGTCGTCCATTTCAGTTAGGAATTAATACTTTAATTTGTTATTATCTGCTAGAAATCATGCGGCGATGTTTCCAATCTGACCAGATTCTATTTAACTAAATACACTAACTAGCTGTGGCGGTATATCGGTTTTCACGTCAGCGCTGCCAGATGTGCGAATCGACCGATTACTCGATTATTCACATTTCAAATAGAGCCGTTGGGCGCGCGCAAACTGCTTCAACTTTTGATCTCTGAAGTCACACTGCAGTCAGCATTTAATTGAGTTTAATTTGCTGCAGCTTCAGATTTGCATCGGCTGCCTGACCTTGCGCCAGACCGAACTGTGAGAAGTTGCCCCCAACAGTTGACAGCGGACCATGCACAACTCATCAATCAACAAGATACTTGCGCTTAATGGTATTTGTAAATCCACTTAAATGGCAACTGCTGTGCAAATACTTTGCCTTTTGGCGTGACGACTCCGCTTATCAATTCAATTGAATTTATTAATAACAATAGCTGGCTTTATAAAACGCTGTTGCAACATCAACATCAATTTGCGACTGAAGCACGCCCCTCAATGAGTAATCGCAAGTTTCCAGCTGCTATCTCAAATTTCAATTCAATTTGCTTGACGACAGAAAGTAAAACATTCCTTTCTTATTTATTATTCTTTTTTTTAATTCTGTTTTACAATCATTAAAAACATAAAAATAATTTATTGACTTATTAATTTGTTTAATAAATATACAATATATATATATCAAATTTCTGGTTAGTTTTGCAAAGCATTCTTTTTGAAAGGCCACTCGATTCCGGTTTAATCATAATATAAAAAAAATGTTTGTGGTACAAAAATGCTGATTAGCTGTTCGACAAGTTATTATTTTGCTACCCAATTTCAAATATCGACTATTAAACACACTGATAACGACGAAGGCACATTGACACGATTAACACACAAACTTTTGTTACATTATTAGTTTTGACTGTAAAATGACAACTGTTTCGTTTGAAGGCACAATTTGGGTTTTCGTTATGTATTACAGGGTATTACAGGCATTACATATATTAGTCTAGATATTAACGATCGGCAATAGAATATCCCAAGGTGGCTATCCAATGCTCATAACATTTACATACGCATACACACACACACACCCACACAGGCACACACACAGAAAAATTAATTATTTCATATACGTTTTATAAAACATGCGACATTTTGTGCTTGGCACTTGTTAAGATTGAAAGAGGTGGACGACGATAAGGACACATCCTCATCATCAACTGCATCTGCATCTGGATTTATGACCAGCCGCCCGTCAATTTGTGGAACATTTCCTCGTTGAGCGTCTGGTTGTTTTCTTTGGAGCGCATCGACATGAAGATGTAGCCACCGATAAACTCATGGACCACCTTACAGTCGGCGGATAGGCAAGAGAAGACGACGTTCTCATCGTGGAACTGAATCATCATGCACTTGATGCCCCAATTAACGTTCCAGGCCTTCATATTGTTGTAGCGCCAGGTCTTCAGGTGATCACCGGTATTCAGATCCATGCGCATGATGCGATTGTGTGCCACACCCAACAACTCCTCCTTCTTGTGGCCATCGAACTTAATGACGAAGAGCGTGACACCAAAGTCCGGCAGCGATTGCCAGGCCTGGATATACTTCAACTTGGCGTCCATTAGCTGCAGCTGACGGACATTGGCATGCGCCTCCAGTATCCGCTGCACCGCTTTGCTGGACAACTTGCGCAGCATTTTGGGTGACAGATAATCGTTGGCGTCCACGCTGCGCGGATTGATATTCAGGGGTGCTGCTCGAGCCTGGGGCTTCTGCATTTGGAGCAGGGAGCGTATGCTGCTCACCTCGCTCTCGTAACTGCTGTCGGCCAGGGAGCGTCCCTTGGCGGCCAGTCGGCAGGCGGCCATCCATTTGGCATATTGCTCGTCGTTCTCGCAACGCACCCAGAACTCGCTGTTCGGTCCGTTGCGTCCCTCGGGCGGCACCTCCAGTCGTATGGCAAACTTGCCCTGGGCCAATTGCACATCGGGTGTGACCTCGCAGCCGCGCAGATTGATGCTGATGGTGGGCGCACCGCGTCGCGAGTCCTCCTGCGATTTGTACAGATGCAGATGCAAATCACGATATGTGAAGAAGTAACGCTTGTAACCCTTCAGTGTGAACAGCTGTGGCTTCAGGAAGCGCAAGTAATCGGATAGCTCCGGTATGCGTGTAATGTTGCCGGCATCCCCTCCAGAATTTGGGCCCTCCAGCGTGATCTGGAGCTCATTGAGTGCCGAATCGATGTCATCGTCTCCACCGCCGCCATTACTTTGACCGGACGTATTATTGGGCGAATCGATGCCAAGTGGATTTATGTCCGTCTGATGATTGACTTGAAACTGGAGGGCGGCAAACATCAGGGTCTCCTCCTCGGTGCAGTCCAGCTCCTCGTTGAGTATGGACCACTTGGCCTGCTCGTACAGCTGATTGATGCGCACCTGATCGTACTTGGGATTCAGATCGAAGAACGTGTAGTATTTGAAGCGCAAACAGAGCGTATCAAATTCGCGCACACCCTGCTCCATGATGGACAGCGACGAGTCCAGCCAGCCGACATTGAGGCGCGCCTTCTGCACCAGCGTCTTGGGCCGCACGAGCCGAGCACGTACATCGGGACTGGGCGAGCGCGCCGAAACGGCCAGATTCTCCTGCAGATCACCAAAACTGGAACCCGAATCGTAGGCGGCGCCATATCCATTTTGGCTTGTATTTTGACGCCATGTGCCCGTTGGTGAACTGATGGGTGTGCCAGGCGCTGTCGCTGGACGCCGCGGTGTCGTTGCGTATGGTGATGCTGGGGCGCACAACAGATTGCCATTGCCATGGGATCTGTCCAGGCTGCCGTTGCTGCCATTGTAGGCATTTGTCATGGGCACAAACGAATTTGTGTCCGGCGCCGGCTGAAGATATGCGGTGCCATTCGCCTCGGCAACGGGTATCATCTTCTGCGGCAGCTTGGAGAAGTTCTTCTTGAGATGCTCCTGTTCGACCGGTTTGCACAGCGACAGCTCCTCCGGATAGCGTATGTCCGCATCTTTACACAGATTGACCACAGCGCCAAACGTTTTAATCGAGAAATTGACACGGTAGTCCAGTAGACGCAAATCGGGCATCTGCACCCGCAACGTTTTGTGCATGGGCGTGAAGTACAGAAACGAATCCGATTGGACGCCTGCCTGGTCGAGGGTGGAGCGCGTGCGCGTTAACCACACATTTTTCGCTGGCCACCACAGTGCATGATCGGACCAATCCTTGGGCATCTCCGGATCGACCAGCTGCAACATGACGCCACCAATATGCTGATCGCCACGAACACGAAGTGTCTTCTCCACTTGCAGATCTGTGATCAGTATCCGCAGATTCCAGGTGTTCTCACCCACATGAATCATCTTGATGCGACGACGATTTTCCTATTTTAGGCGTATTGCCAATCTGTGCACAGCACACACACACACACACTGAGCCAATAACTACAAATAGTGAATAGTGAACAAGAAAATCATTTGATTTTTGAACGACATACAATAACAAGAAAGCAACAAATAAGCTCAAACGATGACGTAATCGGAGTACGTTCATCGTTCTAGCCCAATATACATATACATAGATATACATATGTATATATATATATATATATATATATATAGATATTTTGCGCCGTTTTTGCAATACATACATAAATAGAGTAAATGGTGTTGCTGTTGGCGCCCTTATCTCGCCAGATGTTTGCTTCGGCTCGCACAGCTCCAGCTCTCTAGCTTCACTTCTAATGGACACGCTCAATTGTTGTTGCTCCCTTTGCACCCCGTCACAATATTCATATGTCCAAGGTTATTGCTAGCGTTTCGTTCGGCTGTGTTGCTTTTCTTTGAGGAAGAAGTGGAGACGTCGTTGTCGTCCCACGGCGCAACAAATACTAACGAATGCTGCAAAATTCCATACACATACGAGCGAAAACGACAACGATGACTGCGACTGCGACTGCGACGACGAGAGTGAGCAAATCGTGAACAAAGCCAGCTACGCGAGATAGAGAGAGAAATTAATTCATAAATAAATCAACACGAAACGGCGAACGACGCGACGTGTTTTCAGTTGACTTTGCTTACAACTTGTCTGCTGATGTATGTATGTACGTTTGTTTGTATTTGGCGTGTTTATTTGGTTAAATACAACGTATATTTGGCAATTTGTATTTGCCCAGCATCTATAATGCGTCGTTTAATATTGTTAATTTATTTTTAGAAGATTTTTCACGTTCGTCATCAGTCTGTCGACTGTCGCTAGAATCGAATAAATAGTATTTCGCGTTGTTATCGATTCCCCAAAAGTCGCGGATCATGGCGATAGTATCGTGAGATTAAATTTTATTGAAACTAATGATAAATTCTCTATCACACATAAACAAATAACCATTAAATACATACTACGAATTTACTACAATTCTTGCCATTCAAAAGTAACTAAATAGCTCATACAAAATCCTCATCATATTTAATATAAAGAGAGCCAAATAACTAAAAGAGAGCGGTAGAAGATTTATATATTTGCTTTTAAGATTATATTCACACTTTGAATGTACAGACCATTCGATACATTGCAAACATCGTCAGGTTGGTTCTTTATCGATGTATCGATACCACTTAATTATCCCAATTGAATGCAGTGCTTCCAATTTACTTACGGTAGCAAATAATTAAAATATGAATGTAGGAAAAATAACCCCAACACAAAACAAAAAGGCAAAATTTTGACTTTTTACTTGGTTCTTACAGAGTGAAATTGCTGTAACGCAGTTCACGGCAATTGCTGCCATTGACACTGCCACGCACGCACACAAGGCAATGTCCGTTGCCTTTCGCACGACATTCGTAAACAAACACAATGAAAGCTCCCGTTTAGCCCCAAAGCGCCAGTCGTTGCGGCGCTGTCTCTTCGAGCGCACGTATCACAGAAACTGTCTCTCGGCTACCCGAACATCCAGTTCAATACGCGCCCGTATGCTATCTCGCTCAGACCCACACACAATACGAATACCTGTAAGCGAGCGCGCCAGTGTGTGGTGTATGTGTGTGCATGTGTACAAGTCAGCTAGGAAAATTGTGCATGAAAAATCAGAAAATCATTGTAAAAATAAGCCATGAGACTACAAATATGTCTAAACTTGTGTCAAATAACAAAACTGAGGTCCAATACAAACAACTGACACAACAGTAAATGTATACAATATAATAAACTTATATTTCAACTTCATTCAACACAGGAAAAATCGATGCACACGAGAAAATCCAAATTTTTAATATTGTCTGGCCAGCTAAAACCACGACCAAAAACAACAACTACCATTAACGTTAGTAAAAGGTATGAGATATAGTGAGAGTGAGACAGATGATGAGTGAGCAACTTCAAATGTGAATTACGTTAATAGCTAACAACAAACAACAACAGCAAAAACAAAAAAACAAAAACGCGCAATAGTTTAAAAAAGCAACAGCCGCTGCAACACAATAACAACAACATCAACAACAGCAACAAGAGGCGCTTAGTCATCCGTGTGAGTTACGCCAGCGCAGTTCCAGCTTTCTGTTCACGGTTTTATTTTGGTTTTTATATACACATATATATATATATATATATATATATATATATATATACCTGTGCTATCTGTAAGATACAAAGAACGCAACGCTGGAACTGGTGACGGTTAATTGTGCACTTCGCCTACGCCGCGCTACTGATTTCAATAACAACAATTATCGCTGTAACCTGTTGTATGTTCTATGGACTTTTGTTGTTCACCTTTCGCTGTCTAAAAACGTTCAGATCTAAACACAAGCCCTCATACACACATGCATACACACACACACACACACACCTAGCTACCTAGAGAGAGTTTTCATAACAAAAACTGAAGTTGGAACACACCTGTTTGCAGGCATTGTACTTACAACGTTTTGTTATTTGGCCAACAGCATTAAATTGTTAGAATGTCGCGCCTAACGGAGGAAATGGTGATTGCCCGTGCAAAGCAATCGGATCTGAGTCTAATTAAAAAACTAAATTGCTGGTAAGTTAAGAGAACATATATACATATATATATATATATATATATGTATTGTGCTAATCAATTGCAGTGAAAGGCTAGCCATAGTCATATATCATATAGTTGTATATTGCCCATGATCTGGGGGATCTGCCCACTTGTGCGCTTTCACTTCACTTGCAGCCTGGCTGACCCAAATCCCTCAATCGAAGCAGCCAGCAGCTAGCAACCAGCTCCTAACCAGTTCTCGTTCACCATTCTGTGCCGAGTCACGACTCCTAAGAAGGGGTTAAGTGGGAAAATGGCTTAGAACTCTGGAGCTTTTTTCTAGTGTTGCTAATGATGCTAGTGATGCACTTGAAAGCTTCAAGTGCCGCAAAAGACATGCATCTCAGCCATATTTTAAAAAAGGCATCTTTAAGCTTTAAACAAATCATATTTGTCAAAGACGAAATAAACTATTAATTTTTATTCATGTTTACAGAGCAAAAACACAAAAAATAGCTGATTATATTATATATAATAATATTTATACTACGAAGTGAAAAATATTCCAAATTTAAGGAAACAGAACTCCAAAAATCATAAATCAAGAATATTATTACAATATATTGCGTCAGTTTGTTCAAGAATGAATTACCTTGAATCAATGTATTTATTTGATATTGAAGATTTTAATTTTAGACTCAAGTTCACAAGAACGAGTTTTGGAATCTGGCTTCGCAAATTGATTACAAATAGAAATAACTTTCCATTATGTTATACATAGATCGATTTCGTCATTATATCCAATTTTGAACTGTAAACTAAACGATACTAATTATATTACCATTAAGAAAACATTAATGGAAAGCAATAATCGAAAATATATTTTCTGATATTCCTTTGTATATATTTCTCGCTTGTCTTTATAGGGGCAGTGATCTCACCGATGTCAATATAATCAAACGCATGCGTGGTGTTGAAGTTCTGGCGCTTAGGTAAGTTTCCACAATTTGTACAATTTACCAATTTGGATTTGGATTTGGCAATAGATTAGAGCAAATTTTACGCTCATTTCCTGAGCTCTGTTTTTGATTGATTTCAAAAATTCAATTAACCCGCCGGCTACGTTTAATAAATCTTCGCCGAGTGTGTAGGAGAGTGAGAGATGTAGAAAGCTTTTTGTGCCATAAGTGGCTATCCATAAGATACTTGTGCTCAAATGACATCATTCGCACAGCGAGTGGCAGCGGCATCTCATCATCCGCAGGCAAGCAAGCGAAAAAACTTTGGCACGCTCAAGCGCGTAATTAATGCAAAAAGCAGCAGCAACAACTACAACTATAACTACAACAACAACAACTATAGTAACAACAAAAACATAACAAAAGTCGTGGGAGCACCAAAATTGGCAACAACAACTTTGTGTTCGTTTTTTTCCTTTGTAGGTTTTCTGTACTGGCGTCCAGTGGCCGGAGAGCCCAGCAATAGCGTGGGGGCATCGTGCGTAGGGGCAGAGCGCACTTGCTGCTGCAAGATACCAGATACAAGAGACTAGATACAATATACAATATGCTCTTATTGAGATACTATAGCACATAATACAGATACTTGCTGCTTGCATGTAGGTGCTGATTGTGCCAAGTATCTTTAAGTTTTCTTGCCTCGTTTTTGCTGCTTTGCTGCTTTGTGCATATTGTGGCCTTTTAAGGCAGGCATCATTGTTTTGACTGTCAAGGTCGTTTCGATCGATTTGCAAGTCAACTGTCTGTCTGTCTGCCTGTCATCTGGACAACATATTGCACAACACAACAACAAATACATTTATCAAGTTGCTATAATGTTTTTATTATGTTCACTGCCTTATAAGCGCTGTAAAGCAAGGCTTAGCAAATAAACTTGTGGCCAACAGATGTGCTTATATATTTTTTAAGGCTCATGCAGAGATTTCAACTGACTGGCCAAAAGATTTGCTCACTTATTGATTTTAAATCTGCACAGTCTTTAAAAAATATATTGTAACCCATAACTGAAATCACATTTGCTAAATGCGTATCTTTTGTAAAATTTTAAATCCACATAAACTTGAGCTATTTATTGTATATGTATTTAAAACACGCATTCATTTGTTTAAAAAACTTGTGTTGTAACCTACTTGGGAGGCTATTCAATTATTAACACACTTACTGGTAAATTGTATAAAATTATCAGTGAATATTGTTAAGAATAAGTACAGCATACCAAGGGGCAATTATAGGCCAATTGTAGATTGCAGTTAACAAGGAAACCCTTTTGTTTCATTGCGCTGAGCTGTCTTAACAAAGTTACTGTTATGCCTGCTTTGTTTACCATTTATGGTCTCCCCATGGAGTCGAAAGTTGTTTGAATTGTTGTGCTAGGCAATGGCAGGCGTAGGTCGGTTGTCAGTCAGCTTGTGCAGCTATAGTCGACTATAGCTATCCATAAATCAGTTCTTATGCCCACGTCTCGAGTCTTACTCATTGCATGCTCGGGGAATTTTCTATGAGCACAACTTCGGTATTGATTTGCATTGCGTGCTGTTGGCACTTAGCTGGCTTCCATAAACATTATTCCCCCTCACCACTTGAGAGCCGAGTGCTGCTAACCTTGAGGGGAATTGATAACTCTAATGTGAGTCTAACTATGCATATTAGTAGTGTATACTTTAGCTTGATGGTACTTTGGTTTCATTTGCGTATTCTGTGCCACTTTCAAACCCTATAAATAGTCTCCAAAAACTTGCCATGGCAATGCACCCGTGTGCCATTTACGATCGGGTATGGGAATTGGATCTGCTATGTATAGAAGCGTCTGCTGCGGTTTTATTTTTATACTCATACACACATTTTTCTTGCGGTCGCTTCAATTGCCCGAGGTACCCTTAAAAAAGACACGTTGCACAGAGCTCTATCAATGTCTATCTTATCTCCGCCACAAGAACATGGGCAACAGCTAAAAAAACAATCAAAGCACGCGCACCATCATCAAATTGCCAATGTTTCACTGTAATTACCGTGCGATGGCTAACAATAAACATTTCGCGAACTGACCTAGACGATCATGACCAGCTAGACTAATGATAAACAATGTGGTTTTGGCTTGCTACTTGTTTACTTACTTACTACTTACCCATCTGGCTTCGCCCAGAGCTTAATATGCCATTATCTCCGCTTGTTCCCTAACGGTACGCATGCTATGAATGCCACAAAGAAAGTTTGCTTTCCTGGTGTTAATGAACTCTCTTTCTTTCTGGCTGTCTGCCTGTCTGTCTGCCTGTCTGTCTTTCTGTCTGTCTTTCTGTCTGTCGTGCAGCAGCCAAATCTGTTGTGGCTTTTGTTTGGCCGCCGCAGCATAACTTTAAAATGATTCATGGCACTTAACCGGGGCGTCGCTTTGTCACTTTGTCACTTAATATGGTACACTGAGAAAAGCCACTACCCAATCTCTGAAGTTGGGTCTCAAAAGAAATTGATAAATACGCTTGGAATTTACATCAAATGCTAATCAATGTGTTATTTGTTTAAATAGAACAAATCAATAAAACATGTTTATATTTACATAAAATTAATCAAAAGCTTTTGAAACTGAAAATAAAAGTACAAATATAAATGAAAATAATGTAAATTTATAAGACATTTAAAACTGCCCCTGCTCTTTTTGCAGCGTCAACAAAATCTCCACTTTGGCACCCTTTGAAGACTGCACAAAACTACAGGAGTTGTATTTAAGAAAGAACAATATACAAAATATCAATGAAATTGCTTATCTACAAAATCTGCCAGCGCTTAAATATCTGTGGCTGGAAGAGAACCCATGCTGCGAGCGGGTGGGACCAAAGTAAGTAGATGTTTAGAACTAAGAGCTAAATAAAAGCGGACATTTAACATCCAACTCTTTGATAAACACAGCTATCGTGCAATGGTTTTACGCGCATTGCCCAACCTCAAGAAACTTGATAATGTGGAAGTCACTCAGGAGGAGATCGATGATGCTTTGCGCAGCGGCGGCGCACAAGTGACCGAGGATGATGTCTATGAGGATGCCTATGAGGCAAGACAGCAACAGCAGCGTACATCACCCCAGCAGATACATCAGCAGCCACAGCAGCAGCAGCAAAGCTATCCACAGCACTCACCTCCGGAGCAGCACCAACCACATCGGCCAGCACAACAACAGCAGCAACAACAACAACAACAGCAGCAGCAGCAGCAGCATAGGAGCAGCTCCAGTCCCATGAAAGAGGTAACTGAATTCCTTTATTGTTTGCCAAAGCCAAATCGTCGATTACACACTCGCCCCTTAATTTAGACATTAATTACGCCTTAACGCATTTAACCAAGTCTCTTTTACCCAATAATTATTAACAAGCCGCCACAATTAGCAAGTCCACTTGCTAATAACATCGATGGAACTCCGACTTTAACCAATAATGTCAGCGATTTATATATCAATCAATTGCAAAACTCAATGCCCCCAACACCCACAAAGGTAAACGAACAGCGAGCGAACAGGGCGCAGCAGTTTATGACTGGCCCTAATTGGGTTTCACGACTGGTGGGAAAAGGGAGTGGGTGGGTTGGTTATTAATGGGAATAACCTATTATAGAATTGGCATTGGGACTGTATACTAAAGTATGTTATTACATTAGCTGGAAACCTCCTAATTAGCTAAAAAGCTGGCTACAAATTGAGTTACGAAACTAGTTTAGAAAGGATTATTCATAATTAATTGAAGCAAAGACATATTATAGACCGAAAATTACTTAAAAAGGTGATGTTATTTCTTTATTGAATTGTATATAGTTATTAACTATCAACCTAAAGTTAGCCCAGGAATTCTAATCAGTATATGCTCAGTTAGTTAAGGATCTATCACAGTTAAATATACGTAGTCAGAGAAAAGGTTATTTATTAAAATATGTATTCACCAAATTGAGAACTAACACTAACCCTTTTCCTTTTTGGCTTTTCAAATTCTAAACTATTTCCCAGGAACCCGCACATCCGCCATCGCCCAAATATAACACCATTACTAAAGAGCAACGCACTTCCATTCATCAATATGATGTAAGATTCACAAACTACTACTATCAAGCAACCATTTTAGCATTTATTTTATGCGGAATGATGAGCTTATTGCCGTGCCTAGTCAATGTAGAGCTAGTTGGCTTATATTCTTTGTATAATAATACCCTACACCCATTACAAGTTGGGAAAAGGTAGCATAGATTTGTGCAGATACACATAAAAGACGGAAGAAGATATATTTCACAACAAGATGTCAAGTGTAGAGAGCTGATAATTGGTAGGTAGATGTTTGTGTAGCATCTGAGAAATGTCAGTTCAGTATATATATATATTATTTTGGATAGCTTGGAGTTATTTGAATACCATACTTTGTAAAAAGATAAGGGAAAGTATATAAATATCTGTATTTGTTAGACCTTATTATAGAGTTTTTGCTGGTCGTGTGTTCTGAACATAAGTGCTCCCTCAAGTTCTTATTTTTGGGCGTGGACACGTCACACTTGAGTCGCACTCACCCCTTTTCCACAGGCCCCTTGTGCCCTTCGCCCTTTTGGGGCGCCGTGTTACGCGTGAACGAGTCACGCGATGTGGCACTGGCATGGTTAAGGTTCTTCATTTCCAACTCGGCCCCGCTTGGCCCATTGTCAGTTTAATGGATGGGGCTTTCGTTTCTGGGTTAAGTCGTGCAGCAACAGCGTTTGACTTTGAGCAAACACAGAACAATAGAGAGAGAAAGAGAGAGAAAGAGAGAAAGGGGAAGAGAGAAACTCAAACCGAGACGAAACATAATTGCCACAGAAGTAGCTCAGAAACCAAAAGCAAACTAATCAAATGGGTCATAATGTATTCAAGAAGCCTCAGACTAAACTTATTGAGCAGCATTTTTTTAGTTTGAACCCATGGCAATAAGCTCAGCATTCATAATTCATAAGAAGAGATGCCTGATAACACCACTAACGATCTCTTTGTGCTCCTTGCCCATAAACTTGCATCCACAACTAAAACCAATAAACGCACCGATCGCTAACCGACACTTAAATAACGATTAGCAATCGCCGGGCTCCGATCAGGAGAGCCCGAATGTTGGCTACAGAGAGACGCGTCCAACGCCTCTGCCACCCAGCATGTCCACACACTCGATGAAGGTAAGCATCGGTAGATAAATCGGTACACCCAATTAAGGCCAGAATGTATACGCATTTTAATTATGGTATTCCTTTGTCTCCCATTCAGGAATACTATCAGACGGATCGGCAACCATATCCGGCGCATTATCGTCACAGTCAAACCGATCTGACCGAATGGGAGGAGCATCAACAGCATCAGGCACCCCAGGTTCATCACAATCCCTATGGCAGCACAATGCAGTTGCATTATCCACAGCGTCGCAGTGCCGGACCCGAGACTGGACCCGATCGTTATGCCTATAGAAATGGAAGTGCGCGAGAGAATGGTGGCGAATGGGAAGGGGAAGAGCGACCCCGATCTAGGTAAGTGCACTTGATAAGCTCATGACGGGGTTTGTAATCTTCCTTCTTTTTCTCTTATCTATATTGAAGACGTCCCGAGGGTCGCTACAGTGATTCGGTTAGCAACGTTTCGGCTACAGTCATGAATCATTTTGCAGGCTGTCATCGACGGCCCGTGAATCGAGTGAGTAACACTTAATGAATCGGCTTGATTATTAAGTTATATACAGTGAATCACTTTTCGCAGAACTCCAATTTGCTGTCTGCCACATTGTGCTTGGTCAAGGAACTGGATTATGGCAGCCTGGAGGTATTGGAGCACGCAGTCCGCTGTCGCATCGATGAGCTGGCGGGCGAATGATGAAGACGAATATCTAATCGCATGTCGATTAGCTAACTCACTCGAAATTCTAAATGATAATTGCAAGACGGATGTTAGGTAAAGATAAAAAGACACTCAAACACTGACGACTCGAATTATTGTACTAACAATTCTAACGAATTACAAACAAAACAAAAATATTTCAACTATACTTGCCAATTGTAACTGTAATAATGTTAACTTTTATAAGCATTGATAAAATGCATATTTTGCTAAGTGAATAATGTGTTTAGGTAAATTACATATACAATACATACACACATCCATACATATATACATACATACATATAAAAATACAAACGTACAATATGCATATGAGAATTATTAGAAATTGTATCAACTAAATAAGAACTTATACGCTATCGACGTTTATTCAAATTTCAATTTGTTTGTTATCCAAGCGTATTTCGTTTTTATATTGTTTTCTACACTAGACACCAGTTCAAAGAGATCGAAATAATATTAATAACGCCACACTAGCCTTATTTTGTACTTAACAAGAAAACAAAAGAAAAAACAAAAAACACTAACGTCTAAGGCGTAAAGCACAATACTTGCATCTTCCTTGTTTTTATAAATTAGTTTAAATGTTTAACTCAAGAATTTTTGGCAACTAAATTGATCTTGCCGAACCTTTTTGTTAAATAATTGTACACGACTTAATTAAACACTAATGAGTTTACGTAACTTGATTTTTATATAATGTGAAACACGTCCACTCTAAGTATATATTTTCTTTTACAAAATGCGTATGAAAATATTGAAATAAACATATTAACAATGGAATTATTAAAAGCGTTCGTTTTCATTCAAATAATTGTAAGCTGTGTCAGCAAGCAGTGCATACGGTCATGATGATTACTGCTCGCGGCAAGCAGTTGAATATCGTATATGGTGTGCGTCAAAATAAGATGAAAGCAGTACACATTTAGTACAAAAACGATAAAACGTTGGCAGTGACTGGCAAATAATCCGTTGCACAAACCTTTGACAATAATACACCGACTTGGAGACAAAAATATAATTCGAAACAAGTCGATTGGATTATATTGATTTTCAAATTGTTTGTTCAGTTCAATTCGCACAGGAGAATGGGACACCGCATTTAGATCACTGATAAAAGCAAAAGCATATATGCCAAGCCTCTCTCGCCCACTTAACTACATACATTCCCAACCAGTAAAAGATTGAATAAAGCTCAGATTTTTAGAGGGGCTTTACAACATTTAACACATAATATATTTATTTGACTTTTATGTAGGGTTGTTCTGTATTACGGTTATTAATATGGAATTGTCTTTAAATTTCTCTTTATGGTTGTTTTTGCAGTAAATGGATTTTGACTACCCTATTTAAGCTTGCGATTACAATTATATTATTAACTGTTTGTTCCTTTTGCTAATAGTATTTTTGTTAAATCGCTTGTTGCTGATGTTACACTCTGGCATCAGTGCAATGCCAATTACGAGAAACAAAAATCTTGTTTGTAATTGATGATGATGTTGTTCGTTACATTTTTTTGTATTAATACTGATTAGTTTTTTTTTTGTTATTTATTATATTATTTGAGCTATTTAAAACTCTATTTGTGATTTTTGGCCGCTGTATTCATGGCAGAAACGCAACGCCTAACACATATACATATACATAAATGTAAAGTGCATTATTATGTACTAGATAAATATAATGTATATTGATAATGTTGAAACTTTGCTACACATTGATATATTGAAGCCGCAGTAAATTTAAAACAAATGTGCTCTGAATATTTTAAACTCTGCTTCTTACTTTTTTTGTTGTTTGTTTTTGATTTGTTGTTACTAATTGTGCAATTACAAACATTTAAGGAGTGCCAGATTACAAATATGTTCTAACATTTATATATGTATGTTTTTTTTTTCGGTGTAGCCAATGTTGGTTTTTGTTATTTAAAACTTTACACACTTAAAACATTGCTGGTATTATTATTGTATATTTAATTATTGTCTGTCACAGCGTCGCGTTTGACACAACAACGTGTGCTAGCCTTTAAATATAAATAAATTATAGTTTTTCTGTTTTTTTTTGTTTAGTTTTTGGTATTCTATGCTTAAGCTCTTAAGAAACTAATTGCAAGAGATGTTGGTTTTGCAATTGACGCATGTCTTCCAAAATGCTTGTTGTTGTTTGCTGAAATTGTCTTCCATTTCAATACAATGCGAAAAAATGTCTTCCAAACACTTTTTAGCATATAAAGTATACATTAATATATTTATATGTATATATGTATATATATATAATTAATATATTTATATGTATATATGTATATATATATATATATATATATATATATGTTTATATATAGTTATGCACATTGAGATATTTGCAAGTAAATACACTTATTTAATTAATGTCTTCCTCGAAAAACGTTGGGGCGCTTTTCTTTTGAACTGAGCCTCTGATTTGCAATCGCAACTCATTTTGTATAGACCAATTTAGCTATATATGTATATTCATATGTATGCATATATATAGTATATTGATTCATTCAATAACCAACACTAAACTCTTGGTTAACATTTATTATAATTGTGACACATAATTGATGCTGATTTCTTTTTTTTTCTTTTTTTTTTTGGTTTTTTGATATTACTAGAAATTTGAAAATAAATAATGTATATCAACTGTTCCTTCTGCCTTTGTTAAATTGATATGCTGATTCCATTAATTAAACAAAAGTGATATTATAATAGTTTTAATGATATTATTTGATATTTGTAGCATGTGTTTTTTGTAAATAATTGTTTTTACGACGATATGTTGTGTATTTTTGATATTAATTGGTTGTGATTTCTACGATTTAGCTCGCCTCAGCTCTTTTTTTCTATCCAATGCTACAACTAATCCTTAGGTTTGTATTTGTGCCAACAACTGGATCTGGATATGGCTATTTGATATATCACCATGTCCTTCAGATACCAATGCCGCACTGGAAGCCCTTTTGTGATTTTGCTGCTTGTCTCTTTCGAGCTGAGAACTTTAATTTTGTAGTGTTGATTTTAGATGTGTTTTCTTTTGTGTGTGTTTTTTTTATTATTATTATTTTTTTTTTTGATTTTCTTATTTAGTTCACTATATTCAATAGTATTTTTTTTTTTGAATTGAAATTAATTACAAATTAATTGATTCGCATAGGGAATTTTGTTTGTTAGCTCGCGACGGCTTTTTCGACCGCACAATGTAATTATATTTATATAGATTTTCGATTTGCCTTTACTTTTATACAATTCAACTAAAGTTTTTTGTTAACAACAGTGAACAAATACATAAAGACAACACTAGCATTAACACAAACGTAAATTATTCGCAGAATGCGACACCAAATCAAAAATATATATGTGTATATATTTAGTATACAAATAAGGGAAAACAACAACAAAATATAGTTGCATATATAATTTGTTGTGATTTATGTACCTTCAGCCGAGCATTGAGCTCAGATGAGAAACGGCGATAAATCACAGTTGCACAAGGACCCGCCATCGCCAGTTTTGCAGAGTGTCTTGCACATTTCGTCCCAGTCCGGCGTATCCGTATCGGCTTCACTGGCCTGCTCCATGCCCTTGGCTACTTGCACAGCCTGCCTGGCATCACCTTCACCGGAACCATGTGTAGTCACACCCTGCTCTTTACTGACCTCATCCAAAACACCCAACAACTGGCAAGGACTGCAACCGGATATCGTGCGTTGACGTTGATGGCAATAACTCGAACAGAGTCGAGAGCCGTACTTCTTAACTGATTCAACCGTATTACACTTGGGGTCTGAAATATAGAAGAAGAACATTTTGGAATTGATAATCAAAAAACGTGAACTAGTCTTGTTTTAAAATTAGGAATTTTCTTTAATTTACTTATAATAAAATATATTAAGATCTCAAAAATAATTAAAATATAATAATCTTCGTATATTTAAATAATAATCTTTTGTATATTTCCAATTAATAATTAATAATAAAAAGTTAATTATTTTCTTGTTAACTTGGAAATAAAATAAATTCTAAAATGTATTATTCGAAAATTCTAATATTATCTTTTCAACCAACTCTGATCCTTATGCCCTCAAACCACATATCTAAGCATACTTACTCTATATCTATATCTTAAATATTTTCAAATAATTATACCATGTTAAATAATTTCTTGTTTACTTAAGATACATACTAAATGTATAATTTATTTGTAAAAAATTATAATAATATTTCCCACTCAAAATGCAGTAGTAAAGCAAATGATCTTATTGGTTCTTCAATTGGTTTCCTTAGATCAATTAAAACTATAATAACACATATCTCAGCACATTTTTCTTACCCGTTTGCGATCCTTGCAGTTGCTCGCATTTAGCCAAATCAAAATATGTGCCCAGGATCGTGGACATCTCGACGCCAGACGTGGCGCAGTAATTCGCACATGGCGCTACGCCGAGGCCAGCCCTACAAATTGTGAATTGAAAAAGAAAAAAAAACAAAGAAATAGTTGAGTTGAAAGCGTTGGAGTAGATATAGATATAGGCCAAGTCATATTTTCTTTGAAGGTCGATTAGTAATCTGAAATTGCGTAGCACTCGAAATGCCAACGCATATCGCACATAAATTTTTCAGAATTATAAATCACTCGTCATGAAAACATCAAGACTTCACTAATTTGTCAATCATTGTGACAGCTCCTCCCGAATCCTTATCGACTTTCAAAATAATGTGAATGCAATGGCAATGGGCAATGGGCACAATGAGGAGCGATGTTGCCTATTGTAGATAAGATTTGGCCTCGCCAGGCCTGGTCTAAAGCAAAAGTTTAATGGGATCTCTTGACTTACCCGCAGAGCTCTTTACACACCAAACTCCAATCCTGAACTACGCTAACGGACGTCAGAGCTGGCGACGGCGACGTACGCGCTGCTTCCTCAAGGCTCTGCTGTGGCTCTGCTTGCAGCGCTTTTGCAACATCCCCCAAAGCCTGCAATAATCGTGGATGCTGTGACGTCACAACGCTGTGAGTCTGCGCACAGCAGACGGCAGCAACAACCAATAGCAGTCGAAACATGCTGAGGACTCTGGCTAGAAAGAAAGAGACAGAGAGAGGGTCAGAGAAAGAGAGAAGGTTAGCGAAAAGGATATATGTATGTGGCATGGAAAACAGTCATGGCCGTTTTACATGTGGTATACGTAATAGAATTTGATGCTATATGCTTGCTCGCATGTATGATATGGATGGGTGTGCAGGTGAAGGTGTTGCCTTCCTCCATAAGCCGTGCTTGCCTGCACAATGGAAGCAATTGCGCTCAAAATGCAATTATCGCGCGCCTGAAAGTAGGCAACAAAAGCCCCGTTGCATAGGTTCCATTGTTGGAGGTCCTCATTGCAATCTGAAATTTCACGCGCTTGATTTGCCATATTTAAAAGGCCTGTTACTGTTTGCTTTCGCCTCGTTAGTATGCCTTATATCTTTTGCTGGTAAATTATCTCGCCACCCAGATCATTGATTTTTACTTTTTTTTACAACTAATTCACTCCCGTTTGATGTTGTTGTTGTGAGCAACTCCGACTGGCGCTCAGTTGGAAGTTGCCAGCGAGAGTGGAAGCGTCTGCCAAAATATCTAACACATACACTTATATATAAGTATAGTGTAGAGTCCTGTGGTTTATTTATGTAATTACGTATAAATATATATTGGGCTTTTACCCCCCAGCTGTATCCGGCTTTTAATTAACTTTTTGCAATTTGTGCTTGCTTGTCTCGTTTTTGTGGCTGTAAAGTACAACAAATTTGAAAAGAATTCAAATATTTTCGCGTATCTGGGTTATAGAGCCTATCTGCGCTACGTGCAAACACAGCCAGGTAAATATTTATGAATATTGCATAAGCCTTAAGTCAAATAAAGGCTGACCTAAACAATAAGCAAACCTTATTTAAAGTTATTCAAGCAAAGTCCGCTTGGAATTGAATGATTAATTAACAGCTTAAATGTGTGGGGAAAAATAGCAAAAGCTTCATCAAGCCAGCAATGAGGTAAATCTGCCATTATTTAGGCTTCCACAGCACTCAGAATTCTTAATTTATTATCCAAAAGGGAGTTCGTTTTAAAATACGCTGATTTATACAGCTATTATTTATTCGAATGCGGGCAAGTAAAATAAGGGAACACTTTTTAAGCTAAGTTTTTTCTTATAAGATAATACAACACTTACTTTTCACTTTAGACACAAACAGATGCAAAGAATCTTTTTAATATGTTCAATTTGATTTAACAAATCAACTCAATTTTTGTTACTTTTACTACGTTTTATTTAATTCACTCGTTGTGTGCTTCGTGGCTCAATGCTCAGACCATTATTGAATATCATTCGAGGAGCGCTCATGTTTTAAACGAACTGAAATGTGAGCCAGAACACAAACTGAATTTGGTGTGTTTAGGTCCGTGGATCCAAAGCAAAAGCTTTTTTATTAATATTTATATATAGTTGTATTTGTATATAAAAATATTATCAGCTCATAGTAAACTCAGGTGAATTTGTTGGGCTTTTGGCCCAGAGATTTCCCCTTGTGTCACATTTTGACACGTGCTCATAAAACTGACACCTTTCTGCTTCGTTATTGTTGTTGTTGCTGTTGTTGCCTTTGATCAGAGATAAGAGCAGCCAGGAGTACTTAATTATTATTAGTAGCATTTGGCTTTCAAGTGCGCTTTCGCCCGATAAGCCCCAAGCTGTCAGTTATTACAGCAGATAACAATTATTGGCCGAGGAATATGTATAATAAGCGATACAGTACATCAAAACAAGTGCGCAGTGTTTACGCTTCGTCAGTGGCCCTAGAGACTAAAGATAACGATGAAACAAAACATATGCGAAATTCTATGAGATTGAATAGAAGCCAATGCCAATCGATTTATAATTAAGGCTGCAAAACAAATCATTCTGATCGTAAGATTCCTTAGAACTTGCACCGCGGCTTGCACCGCGGCCTGTAAGATCTATTGTGCCTCCTTCTATAGCTCTTCCATCAGCCCCAGATCCCGTACGAATGCTAGGATCGTTGTTGGGTTGAGGTCTTCTATGTCTCTAAAATTCAAGACATGCATCCCTAGGATGCTACATCTTTTTCTAGCTAGTGCGACACATTCTGCTAGGATGTGTATCGAGGATTCCTCCTCTCTTTCACAGAACCTGCAGAGATCGCTACTATATATACCTAGTCTAGTTAGGTGACTTCTTAGTCTACAGTGTCCCGTCATTAGACCGGTAAGTATTCTAAGATTATTCTTTCCCATGGTTATAGCCTGCTTAAATCGTTTAAGATTGTAACCACTTAGGAGACATCTGGCTTGCCGGAGACCTACTGCCTCCGTCCAGCTTTGCTGCCGCATCTGTTTCTCTTCATTTCTGAGTGGCAGTCGTATAGTTTGTCTGCCTATGCCACAATACGGTTCTGGTCCTATCAGGGGCCTTTCTGCCCCCATTCTCGCCATTAATGTTATAGATTTGTATTCAAATATATATATTAAATTACTAGAATGGCTGGGGACTCTATAGCCTGGCTTATACATAGGCTCTGTGTGGTACTTTATCCTGCACATATTTTAAATAAAAGCAGCTGATTACTTATTAAAAATCACTTTGAAAGTTAAACAAATCTCTATCGCAAAATGATATTGCAATACTTGAGGCACTTAAGGGCTTAACAAGAGTTTGGAACTTTGGCAAAAATGGTGGCTGCATGTTGTCAGATAAGAACCAAGTTAGGAAAAGGATGTTTGTGTTGGCAACTTGCAGCTTTAGTTACTTTGCTACCTTGTACATTTTCCATTATACCAAGTTGGAAGAAATGTTGCATAACTTCTTCCATATATATATATATATATATATATATGTGTGTGTCCATCCACTCAAAAGTATGCTATGGAAATCACTGGATTGCATGTAATGCAATTGAACTGAGTGGGTTGGGCCCCTGGCCAACTGTCCTCCATATTGCAAATTGTATCTGTGTATGTCAGAAACTGTATCCGTATAGGTGCTATTTTTTTGGGCGCCCTACTTTGACCTAAATTTCTGCGTGCCCGGAAAAAATCCATAAATTGCCATATAGACCAACACATATGTACATAATTGTCTAGGTATGTTTTGTACATGCTGGTTTATTGTTTCCTTTTTGGTTGAGAAAAAGGGCTCCAAGGTTTTTGCCTGCACAAATTGCGTTTTCCTTTTTGCCGGACTGGCAATAAAAAACTTCAGCATTGTAAATGTCAAAAACAGTTGCAAAATTAGTTCGTTAATTAGCTTTTCATTCTGCCACATCACATGGCAAAAACAGACAAAGTGCCTGATAAAAAAAAACTGTTGTATGTACAACAACAGCAACGCCTGCCACTTAAATTTATAAAAATAAAAAAAATTACAGCTTTGCTGAGAGTGGGGCATAAAATTGTCAGTCCAAGAAATTCCGGAGCATGCGCAGATGTTTGCTGTTTGGGTATGTATCTGTTGGATACGTGGATATGCCGCCGCCCCTTAATGTAGCTCCGCCCATCTTGGAGGACCAAGATGGTTGCCCAAAAAGCCAGTGACGTCATTGTAGTCGCTTGCCTGCGCACTTTGGCGCCCAAATGTGGGCAACAAATACAAATACACGCTTACACATCTGCATATATACGACGTGCTCACACATAACAAGCTTGGAATGTCTTTGCTGTTGTGAAGGTTATGCAACACACAGCTCAAAATGGCATATATATATGGGTCTGACTGTGTCTGTGTGTGTGTGTCTGTGTGTGTCTGTGTGTGTAGGTGGGTAGCCATTTTGTGCGTAACATCGCAGAAGCTTCGTAGGCGCCACAAGCGGATGTTGGTGCTCATAGCTCCGCAGATCGTCAGCGAGTGTAGCTGCTTTTAGCAAAGCCCAACCAGCTTCAGAACCGACTCAAAACCAAATCGTAACAGTTAGCCAATTTGTTCCGTCCCGTTCGGTTCAGTTTCAGAGTGCTTTACAGTTGAACGCTTGCCGTGAAAACTCGCGTTTGTTCGTTAATCGAGTTTTGTAAGTTGTAGCTATCACATACCAGTAGCACCAGTCAGTCACCAATATCTATCGCATTCCAGATCATCTCCAAAGATTACTGAATCAAACTAACTAACTCTAGCTAGTTAGGCAGCCTAAACCTTAACGCTCATTTCGCTCGCTCGTTCGCAAACGCCATTTTGTTTGTTGTTTTTAGTATTGTTAATAGTACTACAACTATCGCACATTTTCGCTTCCCACACGTAATTGCCAACAAGCAGCCAAAGTGAATTATCTAAAGCAATACATCGACGATATCCGCAGGATAATCGGTAAGACATCGTATTATCAGTGCTCAACTTTTTCTAGGCCACTTTTTAACTCAATAATCGGAGTGGGTGTCTCTTATATAAGAGTTTGGTAAGGTTGAAGGTTTTTACCCATTAACTACAGCTGTCGCGCTGTCTGTATCCAAATGCTGTATATACACAGAGACTCACACACACACATACACATACAAGGAAATTAAGTTGAAACTCACTGCGCAATTGCAGATGGGGCCCAGCTCCGTATATACTATGTATTTGGAATCCACGCAGACCTCAGTTTTAGTATATAAAATCTGTGTACATGCATTGTTTACTCTATATATAGAAAATTGTGTGCCACCCACACTCACACACCAATTTTGTCCTTCAGTTGTCCTTGCTGCCTAGCTGGAAGTTATATATTACTACACATATACATATACCAGATATCTCTCCTTCCATTCGATTTTCTGTTTATTTACCCAACCGTTGCATTTTCGCGCCCAATTCCCAAGCTTTTGGTGTTGGTTATGTAATTGTAGGTATCTGTTTTTGGTCTTGAGAATTGTGTAACTATTTACTTCTAATTGAGATATATCTATACAAATATATGTGCAGTGTGAAGTAAGATTTGTTCAGGGCTATATAATTGCATAACATTTGGTCATTGTATCATTGCCTAGTTTAAGACGACATTGATCTAGACCTTATTTTCCACGCTCTGTGCTCATCTTTTGTTCTTGTGTTTTATTGCAGAGGAGAAAATGTCGCTCAATCCGAACGGGTACAAGCTCTCCGAAAGGACGGGTAAACTGACGGCATATGGTGAGTACATTTCGTAAACTTGGCTATCTATTATCATATGAATGCTTAAATTCTTCATATACACTATATATTATAATATTCCATAAATATACTGTATGAAACGGAATGCCTTTTTAGTTAAGCTTAAATCTAGGTATATTTTCTGACTAAAAATAAAATACAAACATTATTAAATTACATCATAAGAATCATATAAATTTATGTGCTGATTATAGATTGATTCCTTTTCCCGTCTGTAAGAGAGTTTATAGTTTTTGAAATGCTAATAAAAATTAGAACAACAAGTATATTGTAGTTTTATTGGTAAATTTATTTTTAACATATTTTGCACCCAAATGTGAGCAGCTCTGCAAAAGCACGCGTTTCGTTTCTTTTAGCAAGCACAGGCTCTGATGCTGATAGAAACGAGAATGTATTTTCGACTATAATTTGGGTGTTTCTTATCCCATCTTGATGAAATTTGGGTAATTTATCCATAATATGCATATGTATATTATGTATAAATTAGAAAATTCTGCCTTTAAAAGTGTAGCAGTTGCTATCGGAAATCTAAATGTATCGATATTCGAGTAACGAAGGCAGTTATCGATAAATTTAGCAAACTTGTTCTGAGCCGGGTATACGACAGCCTGTATTCCAAATTTGAAGTCTGAAGTCCTTATAGTCTCTGAGATCCGCGTGCTCATACAGACAAACGGACGGACACACGAACATGGCTTCTGATCAAGAATATATATACTTTATGGGGTCGGAGATGTTTCTGCCTATTACATACATTTGCACAAAAGTATTTTACCATTTTTACCCATTTTTAAATAGGTTTCAGGGTATAAAAATATATTTAATAAATATTAAATAATATTTTATTATTTAACAAACTTTTTTTTATTAAAAATTAGAATTATTTCCTATATAATAGTTCCACTGCTAAGATTAAATCGTCTACAAATCTCATAATTATAAGTCATAAGTAACTGCAGCATTTGTCTGTGCAATTCCTCAACATAACTAAACAAAAATCTATTTGCTGAGTAAATAATAAATGAGAGTGTTAAACTGACACTGGTAAACAAAACGCTGCGAAGGACAACCACAAGGACGCACTCACTCACACACACACACATACACATGCACACACACACACACACACACACTTACTAAACTCGACAAGCATATTGGCGCACTGTCCAGGACACTCGCTGCCAGTGGCAGCAGCTCCTGCAACAGACCTTGATAAATTGTTGGGCCGTTTGGCTTCGCTGAAGCGTGAAACTGCCGAATGCCTTGTAACAGATTTTTGGCCAGCAAACAAACAGACAAACAGTCGCACAGGCAGACGAACAGACAGACGACCAAAAGTCAAAGGCAGCCAGCCACCAACCACCAACTGTAGCCAGGACCAGAAGCAGGACACATGCCAAAAGGTGCTGCCAGACGCGTGCACGAAATTGAAAGCACAACAAACATAAACCGTTTAGTCACAGGATATTACGCACGCTTACATGTAAGAGCGGGATGGAGAGTACACACACACACACACATATATACATACATATGTGTGAGTGGAGGCAGAATCGGGATCTGTAGTCAGGGTGGGCAGGCTGAGAGCTCTGGCCACGGCTGTCTTTGACATTAAGTTCGCTCATCTCATAACAGCTCAGCACATTAAATTTTATTTAACTTTGCTGTAAACTTGTGGAATTTTGAAATTGCTACAATTTGTCTGGAACTGCTGGTGGCCTGGTGTGGTTGCTATTTATTTGAATTGAAATTCGCCAGGCTTCGCCTGATGCGCTTTTAATGGCAATCATGCGCAACGTTAACTTTTCTTCCATTGATTTCGCGCCAGAAAATAGCTGTGCTGGGCGTTTCCAGATGGGCGCTTGGTGGCCAACATTAATTTCATTATAAAGCCAGGCAATTAATAGCAGCAACCACAGCCAAGGCCTGCCAGCAAAGCCATCCGCTGTAATTCAACCTCGTCCTCGAATTTTCCAAATCCCAAAAGCCACAGACTGGCACTGCATGTGGCCATGAGCCATAAAATCTTAAAATGTGCGCAAACTCAGCAAAAGTGATTACATTCAGCAATAAACTGAAGCAGGCCACATAAGAAAATAGAATCTTATATATATATATACGAAATACATAAGAAATACTGTGCTCGATTTGTGGTTATTATAATGTAAAGTATAAGAAACTAAGTTAGTCTATTATAATAACACTCTAAGTAATAATGATCAAAAAGCCCTCGAAAATCGGATAACTGTTAACAGAATTATGGCTGTGGAAGGTTTAAACCTGAATCTCAATCCGATTTTAGAGTACAATTTTAACACGCAAGTCGAGTCAGATAAGTTTTTCAAACTTTGAATGTGATATTATTATACATGTCAAACCATTAACAGAAAACCCAGGGTTTTTGAAATCGAATCACAGCTTAGGCATGTCCCTAAATCTGACCTATGGGATATAATGTTAATAAGAAATGCTTTTGAAACTTTGAATATAATATTAAACTTGAGGACACAATTTACTCGCATTCTAAAGTCCGATTTCAGTTTAATGTAACAAAACTACAACTGAATAGAACAACATATATTTTTGAGATTCAGCATTAATTTTTTTTTTTAATTGAATAAAGTGGAAAAGAAAGGAGACATTTTTATTATACAACTTATATAAAAGGTAGCACTGCCCACTGTATGGGTAGCAAAATTAAATCTGTTTTTTATGGCTCAGCCATTTCAATTTCAAACAAAGCCCGCCCACAAATGCCCATCACAATCACAATAGTAATCATATATCATAACAAGGTACTGCGGCCAGATAAGGCAAAAAGTCATTTACACTGTCAGCAGCAGCGTACGCTCCACCAAATTTCCTCTTTTTAATGCTCAGCGATAAGAGCGCAGCCGAAGTCCACTGACAATATGCATTATGCCATTTTTTGTGGCTCTTTTTATCGTAGATCTGATGCCCACAACAGTCACTGCTGGAGCCGAGACACGTGAGTTTCTGTTGAAAGTTATCGATGTGCTGTTGGACTTTGTGAAGGCAACGAACGATCGCAATGAAAAGGTGCTGGACTTTCATCATCCGGAGGATATGAAGCGTCTGCTCGACTTGGAAGTGCCGGATAGGGCTCTGCCGCTGCAGCAGTTGATCGAGGACTGTGCCACAACGCTGAAGTATCAAGTGAAGACGGGTAAGTGATTTGAATGGATGGGTTGAACTGGGAATTGTTTTGCTCTTGTTCCCAGGGGTAGCTTATCACATGTTTGCACAGTCAGCAAGTTGTTGGCGTTAATCAAATTTGTCTCTGCATAAATTTGCATACAAACACAAAGCATATGCTTGTTAGGAATAATTTACGGGGCGCGTGCCTGAGGAATTTGTGGTCGCATTATGGCACAAAGTGTGCAGCCTTGTAGATAAGCACATTAGCTGCGAGAGGACATCGGAACAGACAATGTCATTTTATGGCCCATTGAGCTGTGCTCGTCTCGTCCATCGTTGTTTACACCTTTCACAAACACTCGACAGCCTCATCCCATCTCCCCCAAAGGCTCAGCCGAAGTGACCTTAAAACCTCTAAATCGCATTTGCCATCAATCATAAATCAGCCAAAGGGTTCTTTCTGATTGCGGCTTTAGCTGCCAAAAGTCATTCGCACGTTTTGCTTTTTGTTGGGTTTTTCTTCTTTTTTTTTTTTCATTACTGCATGTGAATATGCGCCTGATTTCATTGAAAATTAATGCAAGGGGCGTCCAGGACGCAGCCAGGAGTAGGACGTGCACGTGACCGCAATTGTGTTTGGAGTATCGATAATAAGCATCACCCGCCCAACCCCGGAAACTGTGGTCTTGTCTAGGAAACAGCGTGAGCTTCCGTCACTGCTAAGCATTCCCCCACTTCCCTTTGGGAACGCAGGAAATTGTGGCAGTAGCAGGAGTCCTGCACAGATTTCATTGCCTAAAATTGAATTAAAACTGCTCGCAATCAGAGAGTCTCTCAATAAACAAGAATTTGATTATTTTCGAATGCTTTATGAATGTAATTAAGCATGGATTGTGGTGTAATGTAAAGGAACCACATAAGAAGAAACATTCTGAATAATAATTGCTTACTAAGAAGCTGTCTATTAAAACAATAAACTATCCACAAATCTCAACAAGTAAAATTTTACTTACTCAATGGCAAAATCAATTCTTAAATTCGCATAATTCACAAGTTGAAATATTCGCATAGTTTGCCAGTGGAATTTTGGTTTTTAGTACAACAAGCACATATTCTTCGTAAACTGGCCTGATATAAATCCCATTTATGATCCATAATCTCACATAATGTGCACCCTGCCACGAGGGAAACATGATATGCCAAGGCGAGAGCCAGGAGGCTTTCTGTCTGCATCGAGGACGACTCTATAAAAAGGGAAGCTTTAATCAAAATCCGTTGTTATTTTCTGACTCGCTGCATTCCTGATCCTTTGATGCGAATGAATGACTGACTGCCTGCCCGCCAGAGTAAGCTCGTGTCTAGGTCGAGGGTGATTCAGGACCTTGTTGCGACTCGAGTTCGAGTCCCGAGACTCCTGGCACCACATGCGCAAATTGAAATGTTTGTGTTTGTGTGTAAGTTTGTGTGTGTGGGTGGGTGAATTTAGCCTTGTGGCGAATGGGATTTTAATCACACGACTTATGGCACTCAAGATGTAAACTGACAGACGCCCCAAACAAAAAATACAGCTACGGCGAAGGGTTCGCCAGGACATTTAGTGAGGGGATTCCGACAGCCTCCTGATGCTGTTTTGTACTGAAAGCATTTTGTGATTTTTCGTGGGATTTTGTGTGCTGCAAGTCGCAATTAGCTGCAATAAATGAGCAATTTAAGGAGACACTAGAGAGAGAGTGGGGCATCTTTTATACGAACCTGGCGCTTTAAGCACAGCTCGGCCTTATTGATTTTGCTGACCCCAAACAGGGCTTCAGTAATGTGTTCGTCGGCCCGTCTGCCCTTGAACATATGCACATCCGGCCTTGTATTGAACGCCAGTCAGCCGTGCTTTGCGAATGAAGGGAGGAGGCCGTGTTGTTGCTTTGTTTCAGCTGAAATATTTTTAATAAAACAAAAAACAAAAAAAAAAAAGAAAAGTGTAGCGTAGATGGCAACACAGCTGCCAGGCACATCTGCTGTCAGCTTAGCGGGCTCCAGTTGACAGACAGCCATGTCGAAAGGCGGCTGGCATTTTTCAGCTACATTAAACGAGGACCTCAAATCTTTTACTCCACCACCAAACAGGACATCCGCACTTCTTCAATCAGCTGTCGAACGGCTTGGATCTGATCTCCATGGCTGGCGAATGGTTAACAGCCACTGCCAATACGAACATGTTCACATATGAGATAGCTCCAGTCTTCATTCTCATGGAGACCGTCGTTCTGACCAAGATGCGCGAGATTATTGGGTGGTCGGGTGGCGATTCGATTTTGGCACCCGGTGGCTCCATTTCGAATCTGTACGCCTTCCTGGCCGCTCGCCACAAGATGTTTCCCAACTACAAGGAGCACGGTTCGGTCGGTCTACCAGGCACTCTGGTTATGTTCACATCTGATCAGTGCCATTACTCGATTCTTGCGCTGCGGTCTGTGGTCTCGGCACCGATCACTGCGTCATGGTGCCATCCGATGAGCATGGCAAGATGATTACCTCGGAGCTGGAGCGTTTGATACTGGAGCGCAAGGCCAAGGGCGATATTCCGTTCTTTGTGAACGCCACCGCCGGCACCACTGTGCTGGGCGCCTTCGATGATATTAATGCCATTGCCGATATCTGTCAGAAATACAATTGCTGGATGCACGTCGATGTGAGTATCATTTGTGAAGTCAAACCTTAACTTTTCTAATGCAATTTTTGGTTTCAATTTCTTTACAGGCTGCTTGGGGCGGTGGTTTGTTGATGTCGCGAAAGCATCGCCATCCCAGATTCACCGGAATCGAACGGCAAGTACAACCAATTAACTCCATAAGTTTAAATCGATAAAAATATATAAAATCCGAAATTTAAATTCAAATTCTCATTTTGTCTGTCACTTAATACAAGGCACTTTATTAAAGTCCAACCTGTCGTCACATCTTCATGTCCCATGCAATAACTCGTCTCATTCATCTTCTGGCTTGGCCTTTTGTTCAGCCTGCTTTTGCCCCCATATTCAGAAAGTTAAAAACAAAAATTGAAATCTCTTGTTGTGTAAATTTAAATCTAAACGCTCCCAAATGGCCCGCATCGCTCAAAACTCAATACACTCATTCCGCACTCTCCCCCACTCAGAGCCCTCAGCGACATGTGGCAAAAATCTCAATTTGTCATTTAGTGCCTCCATCAGGTGTTCAGAGCTTAAAGGGATTACAAGGCCCAAAGCCGAGTGCATTTTCGTTTACGCAAAAGACAAACAAATGAACAAAGTGGATTTCCAACCCGCGCACTCCCTTGCTCCACACAGCCAACACCCTTCCGTCTGTCCTTGTGGGGTGGGATGGGTGGTTGGTGGGCATTACTTACACAACAATTACGCCGAACAATAGCCGGAAGGCAATGCGGACGGCTGCTTCTCTCTAGATTGCTCTGCAAGGAATTTTTAATTTTAAACTTAAAACGTACAACGTAAAGTTGGAGAATCGGAGTGCCTAAGTGCACTTTACGACAAACCCCTAACCCTCCGGAAATCCCTGGGCAGCTTAGGCAAATGTCGCCACTGCAGCTGTCGTATTGACAGTTTGCGGTCAAGGGAGTGCTCCCATAAACACTTTCAGATTGATGGACCCCCATCCATCAAGTGGCTATTCATTGCCCAATCAAAAAAATCTTGGCATGCAAATTGTTTGGCCCTAATTGAACAGCAATAGCAATCGCTTTATAAATTAATCATCAAAATGCGCGTGCAGCTGACAACTTGCGGCTTAGACTGACTTGATTAATGGTATCGGGCCCTAGCTGCTTAGGAGATGCTCTTAATTCTGGTGAGTTTGTGCAAATGCTTAAAACAATGGCCAAAGTTCTCCTCGGGCATTCAACACATTTTGTGGCATGAGCCGCATGCCGCATGCCGCCACTCAACCTGAAGCATGCTTTGCCAGACACTGGCACTCCATAAGCATCATGTTTATAGACACCCACATGTAACTGTAAATAGCTCTTGGCCCCCCCAGGGGGATGTTTAGTGGCGTCTGTCAACCCTCAGGCTCGGTCTCTGGGGTTGCGCTCGCTTTGAATTCAATTAAAGTGCTGCGGCTTGAAATTGCCACAATTTATGGCACTTGCTTCTGCCCTTGTCCTGCTGTGCGTGAGGGCTGATACTCTCAGAGGGTACGGAAGACCGACCGCAGAGCGAGGCAGCTTAGTGTTAATTGTTTGTAATTTGTAATTGAATGTCATTTAATATAAGTTAAACATTTATGATTTGACTTTTGCAGTGTTGATTCGGTTACCTGGAATCCACACAAGCTAATGGGAGCACTGTTCCAGTGCTCGACTATCCATTTCAAGGAGGATGTAAGTACATATTAAATATACTATTCACTTTTTATTTTTCACAACAACTTCCTTTCAACTGCTTCAAATAATCGGATCACAATTATATATTTAAGCCAGTGAAACTTCTCATTTTAAACCTGCTCCTTCCTCGAGTTTTGGGGACTACTTCCACAACATTCTTTTGCATATGCACAATGTTTGTTTGTTCGTTGTTTGTGCAAAGAATTCCAATTGTGTTTCAAACAATTCCTTGTTATTTTTCATGCCAAACAACGGACAGACAGGCAGACAGGCAGGCAGGCAGTCAAAATACAGGAGTTGTCGCCGCTCCAAACTACAATGAATGAGCAAACGTTTGACAACCCTGTTGCTGCTACTTCAGGTCTTGCAAATGCGCCCAGTCAGAGCCACCCTCCGATTGGCCTTGCCTTCTTTTTAGACATTCTGTGCAATATGTTGCCATCGGTCACAGTTGCGCCTTTTGGCAGGCGGAATTTTAATTAAAATTTCAACTTGACTTATGAGCAAAAAAAAAAATAAATAAAGAAACGGAGGAAATACTTTCATTTATATCGATCCCGAAAATCTTTTATTTACAGGGCCTGCTCATCAGCTGCAACCAGATGTCGGCCGAGTATCTGTTCATGACCGACAAACACTACGACATAAGCTATGACACTGGCGACAAGGTAATCCAATGTGGACGCCACAATGACATCTTCAAGCTGTGGCTGCAGTGGCGCGCCAAGGGCACCGAAGGATTCGAGCAGCAGCAGGATCGCTTGATGGAACTGGTTCAGTATCAACTGAAGCGCATTCGAGAGCAACCTGATCGTTTCCATTTGATTATGGAGCCGGAATGCGTGAATGTTTCATTCTGGTATATACCCAAGCGTTTGAGGGGCGTGCCACATGACGCCAAAAAGGAAGTGGAGCTGGGCAAGGTGAGAAATCAATGAATAGAAACCTTAAAAATATGTAGTTGCATCGGTATCTGCTCATATTGCAGACCTGTCCGATAATCAAGGGCCGTATGATGCAGAAGGGCACACTTATGGTCGGCTATCAGCCAGATGATCGACGACCCAACTTCTTCCGCTCGATCATCTCGTCGGCTGCTGTGACCGAAGTGGATGTGGACTTTATGCTCGATGAGATACACCGATTGGGCGATGATTTGTAAGCGATTTCAATTCCAGTTGACAAGCATTGTTTCCTCCAGAGAGATAATAGTAGCTGTTGTTTTGCATAGTTCATACAACCAAGAAGTATCTTTAAGGTAAAAAGCATATCATAAGAACGCATTGGGAACTTCCAACTAATCAAAGTTCAATGTTGCTGTACATTTGTTTCTGGAAAAAAAAAAAACAAAAACAAAAAACAAAACAAAATGTTACTAAATGTTACGTTTGGTTCCTTTTTTCTGTTATACTGTTCTAAAAGCCTATCAAATATTGGAAGACTTTTAAACATATGTACTCACATACTTATAATCAAAATGTTATCGAAACTTATAAGAGCCAAGTTGATTTTATGTTTCACATTTAATGAATAATTCAAATAGTTTATTACGACTGTTGCACATTACATGTTTAAAATTAAATAGTTCAACTCTATAAATATCTAGATGTATATTTATAAATGAATACAACTACAACAACCACCCGCCACATTCACCACCAAAAAAAAAACACCCAACTGAATCTCAAAACCAAAGTTTGAGTCCCAAAAAAAAAAACTTAAAAAAAAAGAGAATTTCGAATGTGTGACTAAAAACTGATTTTGCTATCTTAACATATGAAATGATGGAAATGAAGTAATTTTGATTTAATTGGTTAAAGTATGTGAATTCTGTTGCTGCTATATAAAAAAGTATATCTAAAGTTGATCTATTGCAAAGTTTATGCTTCAGGCAATTGTATGTACCTTTAAACTATACATGTATCAAAAGAGACCTGTGCTTATTAAAATTGTAATCGTATAATCCAAGAAATTGGTTGAAAATCGCAGTTTTCTAACTCAGTTTTGCTGTTGAGTTTATGAAGGCTCCAAGACCCTATATGAACTATATTCAACTGAATGAAGCTTGATGGGAACTTAGGCCAAAACTAGTCCAAGTATCGAACTGTGCTATATACATACAAGAATACGTATAATCGAATAATTTAGTTGAACAATGGTTACTAGACTTTATTTATCATGATAAATATCTGATATATATATGAGATATATTCGGTGTCAATTAAATGCAATTAATACACAAAATATGAAAAAAGAAAATTAACAAAAAAATGTTCGAACTTCAAGAATTTTAGTTGACTTTTGTTGTATTTTAACCTGGTTTGAAGCAGCAGCCGCGTGTTGAAAATGGCATGGATTAATAGTGAAAGAAAAAACCCAAATTAGTAAACTTAAAATCCAAGTACCCCATGGGTAATGGGTATAAACAATTCATAACTACACGCGCTGTACACAAATATTCTTAACAATATAAATAATTCCAAAAATATATATGAACTGTATTTTAGTATGGTGTTAACTAAGTTCTATCAAAATAAAACTACATATGTGTATATCAGATATATTAACAATTAAATGGAATACTTGAAAAGTCAGATCACATAATTTGCAATACGATGTATAAATTTATGTATATGTATTTGAGAATTCGAATAAATGCAATTATTCCAGCATCTTAATAAAGATATATACATACACACAAAAATATAAATATATGAGTAAATAATAAATACAAGTAACCAAAGAGCATACAAAAAACACAGTTTTCAATGGGTTCTCTTACAAAACGAGGGGCTTGTTTTCCGAAGAGCACAACAAGAAACCGGCCGAACCGGCTAAAGAGCAACTGGCCAAATTAAATGTACATTTATAAAGACGATCATTCTCAAGCAGTCGCTCAGTTGTCATCATCGCTCTGGCGCTACGCACACTTCCATTTGTTGCTGTCATTTTAATCTGTTTAATCAGCATACAACTGCCTAAAAGTTGTAAAATCTTCAACAAAATACTTAACAAAAGTGTAAACTTGAATAAAATGACAGCAAGCTTTGTGCCAGTGCCAGCGGGCAGCGATTTTCCCTTGGAAAATTTGCCATATGCTGTCTTCTCAACCAAATCAAAAGTAAGTAACCCATTTCAAAATATATAATAAATTATAGTAATATCTACAATGAAACAAGTAATGAAACATTATTAGTAAAGTAAAATTTCGATTTTTCAGTGAGTTTCTCGATTTTTTCTAAAGTCATATTTGTAAGCGATTTTTTTTTAGTTATTTTCCCTTATACTCCATGTGACTTCCAGTTTCACATGTTTTTTTATTTTTGGAATATTACTTTAGAACAAAGACCGCTTCAGTGCATATCATTTGCATAAATCAAAAGGCAAACTAGTTTGTTTACAAAAACATTCATTCTATTTGATATGTATAAAAACAACAACAACTAACTATAAATGTACAACACCTGTATCTGCTGCAGCTGCTGCTTATCTAGACTGTGAATATCGTAGATTAATGTCGTATAATTTCCTTATATCGTATTGTAGACGGTTCATCGCCTGTGCGTCGCCATTGGTGAGCACGTGTTGGATCTAAAAGTTGTATCGCATTTGTTTGCAGTCCCGCTGCAGGTAAGTTCTGTTCACTGCTTGCCGCACTGCTTGATGTATATTCATACTGCATTATGGCATTTTATAGGCTGCCCTACAGGCTGAAACGCTTAACTTGCTGATGAGCTTGGGCCACGAAGCTTGGGATGCAGTAAGGACACGAACCCAGCAACTGCTACTCAAAGGCTCTGAAGTGGAACAGAATGTGGACTTAAGAAGCGTGTAAGTTGCACTGCAAATATTGCAGATACAAATTACAAGTGATTCATTTGCAGTGCAATTGTGCATCAGTCGGAGATTTCACTGCATCTGCCGGCACAGATCGGTGACTATACGGACTTTTACTCCTCGATTCATCATGCCACTAATGTGGGCATTATGTTCCGAGGCGCCGCCAATGCTCTCATGCCCAATTGGCGCCATCTACCAGTGGGTTATCATGGACGCGCCAGCTCTGTTGTCGTCTCAGGCACTCCAATACGCCGTCCCCTGGGTCAGACATTGCCCGAGGGTGCCGAGAAGCCGATCTTCGGTGCTTGCAAGCTTATGGACTTTGAACTGGAAATGGCCTTCTTCATTGGCGGACCCGGCAATAAGTTGGGCGATCCCATCAAGGTGGATGATGCCTGGCAGAATGTGTTTGGCTTCACACTCATGAACGACTGGAGCGCTCGTGACATCCAGAAATGGGAATATGTGCCGCTAGGTCCATTTACAGCCAAGAATATGGGCACAACCATATCACCGTGGGTCGTGACGACGGCAGCGCTGAAGCCATTTTTGCTGGACAATTTCCCACAGGAACCGGAAGTGCTGCCATATTTGCGTCAGACTTTGCCCTTCAACTTTGACATCAATTTGGAAGTGTCCCTGAAGCGTGAGTTTCTAAGAAATATAAATGCATCAATTTTATTTCCATTTTATTTATGATCTTCAGCTGCCAATGATAATGAGACGCTCATTAGCAAGTCCAACTTTAAGCATTTATATTGGACACCGCTGCAGCAGATCGCACATCATTCGATAACTGGCTGCAATTTGCGTCCTGGTGATTTGATGGCATCGGGCACGATTAGTGGCGAGACGCCCGATTCATATGGTTCCCTCTTGGAGCTGTGTTGGCGCGGCACTAAAACGGTGGATTTGCAAGGCGGCAAAACGCGCAAATTTCTCCAGGACTACGATGAGGTCATCATACGCGGCCACTGCGAGAAGAATGGTTTGCGCATAGGATTTGGCACTTGTGCCGGTCAAGTGCTGCCGGCTCACCCAATCGAACAATAATAAATATATGTTCGTTACTCAATAAAGAAACCATCCTGAACTGTACTCATTCTCACTTTGTTTTGGGCATTCAACAAGTGATTTCAGCTCTTTGCTGCTCTCTCGCTCTCTTGCGCACTTTCTCTCTCTGTGTGTATGTCTGTTGCGCTCTCGCGCTCTCTGGGAGCGCCAATTGTCGTGTGTGTCATTCCACGCTGCTTCGTAAATATGCGCATGCTGACGACGCCGCCGTCGACGACGCTGCTGGCGCCTAAGTCTCCCTCAGTCAGTTCTCAGCGAGCGACGGCGAAGGCGGCGTCCAACGGCAAAAAGGCAAACGGCAACAAAGCATTTTGCAAAACGTCGCGCTGCAAACTTAATTTTCAATAGTACAACTTTTGAAGAGGAGTTCAATTTCCTCCAAACATAATAAAAAAAACAAACAAGCGACTGGCGCCGGCCACAGTTATAAATGTCTACTGTGCTATTTACGCTTAAATAAAAGCAAACAAATTTAATGAAAGCAAAACTAGAAGAAAAAAATAATTTTAATTCGGGGCAGTGCGGGCATGCCCTGAAGAAGAGTGCCTAAGAGTGTAAGCGAAATTTTCAAGTTTTTTAACAACAATTTGCAAAAAAGAAGTAGATAAAAAAAAGTAAAAACAACTGCAAACTTGACAAGTTTTGCCAGTTTTTTGCAAACTCAACGAAATATGTTTTCCATATTCAATTTGCGGCAAACAGCTCGCAATGACTTGGAAAAATCAATTTTTGTAGCAGGTCTGCGCACGCACTGACACACACACACACACACACGAATAAGCAAACACACTCACACACACACACATGCAAGAGTCCAAGTCAGTGGCGCCCACCCACCCTGGTGCATATACAAAACCAGAAACCAGGACTCTTAAAAAAAAAAGTCGCATCTTCGTCTTTTGCTTGCACTTTTATGTTTCTGTTTCTGTTTCTGTGTATTTTGTGTGCATTGATTTTCTGCATATACACATCGTCAGCGACGCTGTCGCATTTGCAAAGATGCGCACCAAAATACACAAATAAACACACACACACACACACACACATATATATATATATATGTATATATAACTAAACGCACACTCAGCAAGCAGAAAGTTAATCAGCTCACTGCACAGTCCCCCAACAACAACGACACGAAAAATACGCGCAACAGCAAATGGCTATAAAAAAAAAAGTTTGCAATTAACTGGCGCCGTCGGCTGTCATGCTGGAGCAGACAGTATCCCCTTGCGCACCCCTCCCCCCTTACAGGCACTCTATCACTTCACCTTAGGGAACCTGTTTTGGCGCGCCACTTGCGTTTCGCTCTCTCTCTCTCCTTCTCTCTCTCTCTCTCTCTGTATATGTGTAAATGCCTGTGCCATGCACCGTGCGCATGAATCTTGAGAGTGCCATGTCTGGAGTGGTACTCTCTCTCGCTCTCTCTCTCCCTATCTCACACACACACTCACACTCTCTCTCTCTCTCTCTCTGCCTCTCTCTTTGGGTGCACGCATTGACTCCCATTGAAGATATCGTGCGAAAACAAAGCATAAAACCAAAGGCTGCACAATTAGTTGCCATGTTTATTTATATATGAATTTACTACATGCGTTAACCACGATGATCATGATGATGATGATGATGATGGCAACGTAGAAGGATCGCCAATTATGAGCCAACTAATTCCTATCAAATTATCTTCTTCTTTGAGCCACAACACATTTCCAATTTTACAACCTATGCAATAGTATCATATATATATAGTTTACATATATACATGCTATATAGTTTAAATAGCAAATTCAGTTGAATATGTATTTGGTTCACATTGTGACACAACGCAATTTTTATGTGACCATCTTCATTGCGTCGCGGTTTCTTATCATCAATATTCAGAGACTTTTCGTTTCACTCTTTAATCTCCAACGGCGCCCCAATGGGAGTCTACAACACAAATATCAAAGAGTTTAACACATATTTCTACCCAAATGTACTTAAAATTGTGTCATGTTTACAAATTTAATAATATATTTAAGGCTTGCCGTAAAATGATTACCAGAGTCACTTAATTATCCTGCTTATGGCGAGAATATCTGGAAGTCAATTAACCCAAATTCCATAACTTAGTTCATAACCATAACTAAACATAGATATGTGTGTGTGTGTGTATGTGTGAGATTAGATAAGGTGAGCCCAATGTAAGCCTTGTGTAGTTATTCACGTTAAAAGCAACAACATTTTTCAAAGTTCAGCCAAGCGCGTAATGAAGACCAACAACAAAATTTTATAATCAGCGTTACGGGCGCCACTTGAATGGAGAAGGCATTTGGCACACATACTGCGTATGCATACATGCACTGAAAGAAATAACATAAATATGTTTGAAAATTCTGTTATTGTTTTAGTCTTATTGCTGGTGAATATAATAAATATATTTTTGCTGTTCACAACTGCTTCACTTTAGTCAGTTTTTGCTTATTATTTTATTTGTGGTAATTAATTTGTACGTTCGCCATTTTTTGCTCAGTGTATTAATAATAATATTTCGCTGAAGCACAGAATGCGCTCCCAAATGATTCCAAAGTGCAATCTTGTCTGCGAAACGCCCCTCAATTCAGCGCTAGCTTCATTTTCAAGAAAATGGGTTGGTGAACAGTCCGACATACAGACTGACAAACTGACATACAGACAGGCAGACTGAGCGACAGATTGACGGACTGACGGACTGAGGGACTGAGGGACAGAGAAGCGCAACTCGTAGCGCCAACGACAACAACTACTGACAAATGACAAATGACAACAACGAAAACGAAAACAAAAACGACAACGACAAAAACAATTCCGTTGCTGATGATCAGCAACTGTGACTGGGTTCTTTGCAGTTTGCACGCTCGGCCAAGTTGATTGAGTATTTGAGTATTTAGGTCTCAGCGTTATCGTTATATTACTGCTGGCGTCGCTTAATAAAGTTGCAGCGCTGGCGAAATTAACTACACCGCGCCTATGGAATACAGAAACAGTACCCGCAGACCAAAGTAACTGAAAAAAAAATAAAAATATAAAAAAATAAATACCTTAAAAGTGTGGAAAAGCCATTGACGAACTGAACGAACTGGCAGACTTCTCGTTGCGATTATATTTATAATTATGAATATTGCTATTTATAACAGAGAAATGTAATAAACAAAACATTTTCTTGTTATTTAATTTATGCGTATTTCAGCAATATTTGTTGTTCTAAAATTGCCCCATCAGCCAAAATGACATAATCAAATCGCGTCGAGGAGTTGAGGTGATAAAAACAACAACAACAACAGCAACAACAATAAATCCATTAACACAGTGCACGCCAAACAAAAGATAATCGAAAATATGTCTAGACGAATGTGGAGCTGGCAGCAAGCCGTGCTGCTGCTATTGGCCATGATTACGCTGACCTTTGCCTGTGAGTATCAAAAATTACAAAATTTGGTTCTAAACAAAAACTAAGCATTTTCTTATTGTTGTCTAGCGCCGGCGCCGAGTCGTCAGTATAGCTGCATGAGCTATATGGAGAATGATAATACCCAGCACGATGACGACTACGAGCAGGAGAACAGTGAGGGCATCAGTGCGGAGCAGCAGCAACAGCAGCTCCTGGAGTCAAATATGTCACCCAGTGAGCCGCACAAGCGTAGCTGCACCGAAGGATACACTTTCTGCTTCAGCCTGTGGAATCAGACGGCAAATGGCACTCGATTGGTTAAGCAGGGTAAGTAGTGGGCACACACATCCTAAAAAATATATATTACTTTATTTTCGAGTGTGTAGAATAGTTGGCTTTCTCTCGTTTAAACCATAATAATAACTGACTCTTTGCTTAGGCTGCTGGAAGGACAATACGGATCGCAATTCGATTTGCAGTCAAACAGAGTGCACCAGTTCGGCGCCAACATCACGCAACAATACCCTGTACTATTGCTGCTGTTCGGGCGAGTTGTGCAATGCTCAAGTGGCGGTTGTGGAGCCAGCACCACTGGAACTGGCCAACAATGTGCGCGCGGCGGTTTCCAATCGAGCGGCATCACAGCAGCAAAACTCACTTACAGCCAGCACGATGCTGAGCCTTATAGCACTGCTCACGGTCATCATCATTAGTAGCCTGATTGCGGCTCAGTATTATTGTTCTGTGAAGGAGAAGAGCGAACCGGAAGAATCACCGTTGGCACCCTCGGGACCCGGTTACAGTTCGAATTTGCGCAACGTCGATAATATGAATTTGATTGGTATGCTCGGCAGTGGCAAGTATGGCACGGTGATGAAGGGCCTGCTCCACGAACAGGAGGTGGCTGTCAAGATCTATCCGGAGGCACATCATCAGTATTATGTAAACGAGAGAAACATCTATGCGTTGCCATTGATGGATTGTCCGGCGCTGCTCAGCTATTTCGGTAAGCCAATAATTCGCTTTTGAAGCTGTAATAAATTACTAACGTTATGTCTCTCTTCCATTTCTTTTTCCACCCAGGCTACGATGAACGTCGCACCATGGATGGTCGCATGGAGTATCAGTTGGTTTTATCTTTGGCACCGCTTGGCTGCCTACAGGATTGGCTCATTGCCAATAGCACAGACTTTACTCAGTGCTGTGGCATGTTGCGGTCCATCACACGTGGCCTCTCCCATCTGCACACAGAGCTGCGACTGGGTGATCTGCACAAGCCCTGTGTGGCCCATCGGGATCTCAACTCTCGCAATGTTCTTGTCCAAGCGGATCTAAGCTGTTGCGTGGCAGACTTTGGGTTCGCACTGAAGGTATTTGGCTCCAAGTATGAGTACAAGGGCGAGGTGGCCATGGCCGAGACGAAGAGCATCAATGAGGTGGGCACACTTCGCTACATGGCACCGGAACTGCTTGAGGGAGCCGTCAATTTGCGTGATTGCGAGACATCCCTCAAGCAAATGGATGTCTATGCACTGGGCCTGGTGCTCTGGGAGGTGGCGACACGCTGCTCGGAATTCTATGCGCCCGGCCAGTTGACGCCACCGTATAAGGCACCCTACGAGCAGGAAGTGGGTCCGCATCCCAGTTTCGATCAGATGCAGGCATTGGTGGTGCGTCACAAGGCCCGGCCCCTGTTCCCAGCGGGCTGGGGTGGAGGATCCGCTGCCAAGCTGGTGCGTGACACTTGCGAGGATTGCTGGGATCACGATGCAGATGCTCGGCTGACCTCGTTGTGTGCCGAGGAACGGATGCAGGAGATGTCTAGCCTGCGGCCCCGCCTTCAGGCACAGCCCGCAAGTCCGCTGCTCAATACCAACAATCTGACCTCACCGGAAGCACAGCTCCACTTGACCAGCAACTCCACAATCACAACCACTTCGGCTGCAGTGCATCAGGCACAAGGGCAGCTCACATCAGCGGATGGTGGTCTCCTGCAACCGCCACCCAATCAGCAGCTGCCCACAGAGAAGAATCATTTGAACTATGCACAGCCGCAACTGCAGCCGCATCTGCAGGGTCGCAATCCCTGCCAGGAGCGTAATCTGGCGCCGCAAGCGCAGCGCACACCGCCAGTGCTGGTGGAGCGCAGCAAGAAGCACAGCTTCCAGTCACAGCCGCAGCAGGAGCAGAGTCTATCCTGCCTAGAGCATGATGTCAGCGTAGAGGAGCTCATTGCCAGCCATCAGCAGAAGCATAACTCCAGCCTGGGCCAGGGCTTCCCGAAACAACAGAATACGGATCACAAGCTGCGCGGCTGGCATGGTGTCCGAGCCCTCATCCAGAAGAAACTCTTTCGCAAGGAGCACGCCGAGGAGTTGTGCCGGCAGCTTCAATTGGGCGAGGAGAAATCAAATCTGGTGGCGGCTCTCAAGGGTATAGAGGGGCAACGTTTGGCTGGTGGTCTGCGACGACCCAACAATCTGGATCTGAGTCCCTTGCAGCCACTGGACAGAGCCAATCTCTTGCAGTTGCGCAGCGCAGAGCAGCGTAGTGGCACTCCCGCTCACATCGTGCCCCGCTCACTATCGAGCAGCCTCATCAAGCACATTAACAACACCACCACCAACAATAATAATATCAATGAGAATGAGCTGCATATGCTAACTAACGGCAATCGGGCGCCCAAGCGTCGTCCTGGTCATCTGCGCACAAATTCATTGCTCGTGACAAGCAACAGTGGCAGCAACATAATCCAGCCAACGGAGCAACAAATGCGACGCCAGCACAGTTTGGAAGTCTTCCGTGAGGTGTTCAGTGGACGGGGAAGCAGTGAACGTTTGCGGGATCCCAGCGAGCGGGTGAAAACTCCCGGAGATGTGCCGCCATCGGTGAGGAAGGCGCGTGCCTCGAAGACCCTCAGTTTGTATGATGATCGCATGATGGACTCATCTCTGCTAAATATACTCTAGCATGAGGAAGTTCTGCTGCTAGAGCTATAAGGCAGCAGAACCGTGTAGCTACTTAACTCATATCTCAAACTTCATCAACAAAACGAAAAAAGAAAAACACACACACAACATATTCAACGATATAGCCATATATATACGAGTAGTTGATAGGGCCCGTCGACCTGATAACTGAAAACCGATCTGCAAAAAAAAAAAAAAAAAACACATGTTAGATAAGTAAATAAATGTATTTTTGTGAAAAGCCAGATCCAGATGTGTTCCCGCAAACGGTTCAGCTCCAAGAGAAATCTAGATGTACATGTATTTTTTCACCAATCACCCTAGCGTTTAGTGCGGCAAACAACCAAAGTCCTTATAGGTTAGAACAGACAACAAGAACACAGCAGTACGGAGAATAGTGCCGAAGAGACAGACACAAAGTAGACGAAAAAATTATACAGGACCAGTATAAGCGACATATTATTGACTTCAACTGGACATGGATCAATCAGTCTGATTATAGTGAAACGATAGCTTGTTTAGTGGTAAGAGAGATAGAGTTGAGCTTACAGGGCGTAACTGTACCTCGGTTAGGTTAGCAGTCAGTATAAGAGCAGAAAGCAGAATGGGGCTTTTAGTGGGCCAACCAGATTAGGAACATTTTTTTAAAGCCATATACACACACACACACACACACATCCAATTAATTGCATATATAACTACAATATTAATATTTAGACATTCTACAATTAAATATAAGCTTGCGGCCAGTGTTGCTTCTAAAACTAAAACATCTTCCACATACAAACAATTGAATGAGGTAACGACAACACTGTAGCCAGGGCACACACTCACCTACTTTCGAGTATTATATACGAAAATGATTCTAAAGCAACTTTTGGCACCATATAAAGAATTTCTTGCGTATGCCTTTCTATTTGTATTGTAAACTTAGAGATCAAATCAATTTGTGTTTTCCACTCTTTTGTAGTACTTGTAGACCAAAACACCCGCAGCCTTTCAATTAAAAATAATAAAAAATAAATATATATGAAGAAAAAAACACTAGTCATATGATTTACAATAATTATAAATATACGATATATTAAAAATGTATTAAGAAGTTCATATTTTAATGACAAAAACCCATGGGCGAAGAGTTTAGTGCGCGACTGTGCCTCAGTTTTGACTTGCTAATCGCGATCTCAGCTCGATCATCACCGGCGCATTGGGTTTGTTGATCAGCAGCGTCACAATGTCCAGCTCCACATCCGTTCGACCCCGCCAGATGAGCTCATAGTTGCGCAGCAGCTGCTCAAATTGAATTGCAAATTGATGAAACCAATTGGTGAAAACAGCAGCGAAGACGATCGAAACTCACCCTCAGCAGCAAGACGTGCATATTCTGTTCGGCTAGGCGACGTGCGATACAGGCACGCATGCCATGTCCGAAGGGCAGCACCAGATAGGGATTAAGGGCATTACGCTGCTTCAGCCAACGATCGGGCTGAAAACGCAGAGGATCGGGAAAATGCTGAGGCTGGCGACAAGCTACCATATTTTGTGTTACCACAGTCGTCTAAGATATGAAAAGTATATATATAGATTGGATAGATAGGTAGTAGAGAATAAACTCTTATCTACTTACGCCCTTGGGCACAAAGTAACCACTCAGCACAGTGTCCTGGTTGAGCACACGACCAACACCAATCGAAATGGGATTCAGACGCAGTGACTCCTTGAGCACGGCTCGCGTATAAGTAATCTCAGTGCGCAGGCAATCAGCACTGAGTGACTGTTCGGGATGGGGCAGCACCTTGAGTGCCTCCTGGTACAGTCGCTCTTGCACTTCCGGATTACGTGCGACATGATAGAGGAGAAATGCCGACGCATACGAGGTGGTATCAATGCCCGCCAACAGTAAATCAGCTGCTGTGCCCACCACATCAAAGCCATCGAGTTGAGGATTCTGCAGATAGGTGCCAATTAGCGAGGATCGGACAGTGCCTGCTTCCATGTTCTGGTCCAACAGCTGCAGGGCGACACTCTCCATATAGGACTGAGCGTGGCGCAGCTTTCGATAGCTGGGTGTCTCCATAAATCTCCACAGCTGCAGACCCTGATCCGTAGGCAGTACACAACTGTTTGTAGTTTCAGCGGCATGCATCAGACGCGTGGAACGGGAATGGGAATGCTGTTCCTCTGGCTGAAATGATTTTAGGCGTGCTCCAAACGTCAACAGGCAGGTAACTAGCAATTGAAAATTGTTGTTTAGTAATTGAGAGTTGAGAGATTCTCGCCGACTTTTCTTACGTTCCAAATTGAGGCGGGTTAGCTTGGGCAGCATATCAACGGGAGTATCATCTCCCGCCGATTGTTCCAGAAATTTTAGAAACTCCTTGGTGACTCCGTCCACTTCGTTCACAAAGCTGCGCACACTTTGCGGCGCACTCAGCTCCTTCTGCAGCTGTGATCGAAGACGCCACCAATCCGGTCCATTTGTGGGCAGCAGTCCCGTTGTCTTGTAGAGATGCGGTCGCTCTTTGCGGTATTTTGCGAGTGCCAGATGACTGCGTCGCTGTGGACAGTGACGTTCGTTGAGCAGAGTTGCAATATCCTTGGGATCGTAGATCCACACAATATCCTGTCCCGGCACCATAGTCTCTCGCACAATGCCACCATATTTCTCATATTTATCCTGTCCGGCCTTGTGCAGCTGCAGCCACGAATAGGCACCAATGCCAGGCATATAATTGTAAAGATTACCGAGGCCAAACGGACCGCGTGGCCCTGGCATCGAATCGAATGGTTTCGCAAATGTGCATTGCCTCGAATTGCAACAGATTTTCAGCAGTTTTGTTAACATTCTGATCCGTTCGCCGCCAATTCTCGAAAGGTACTGAGAGGCGGACTTTTATTATGGACGAGCATTGTGGGTTTTTTTTCTCAATTTGCTTGCGACTTCTTTTGTTTCACTTGTCGCCAGAAAGGCAAACGAATTTCGATCGATCTGCATTGTGAGTCGTTCTTACCTGTGTTGTGGATCTTAAACAAAATGTGTCTACCTGATCAGTGGCTCTTAGATGCTCTTCAAATGTACTAAAGAGAGTTTTTAGCTCAGCTTTAAAATAAATGTTGCATACCTTTAGGCGGCAAATATTAAAAAGGGTTTGTGATGTGTTGTAATGAAGTCAAATAACTATTCATATTATCGATATGTAGTTATTTCATGCAGATCCAATAATTATTTTCGAATTAGTTATTTTTCAATTTGTTGTTGCTTAATTATTTTATTTAATCTTTACTAATCCTATCTCTAATCTTTTTTCAGTTCATTTTCAGTCCCATCTGAGCGCATTTTCCTCTTTAATTTTTTTGCGATTTGATGTTGCTTTGTCTTCTTTTTGCCAGACTTACAGTTCCAAATCAGAAGGATAAAATTGATTATGAAGATGATGATGAACAGAAGTGGATAAACCAAGACCTCCAGCGATTGAGTAATAAAGTAGCCATACTCAAGAGATTTGGGCACCGACAAATGCTCAAACAACTTCGGCTGGCCAATCAATTGCTCTGCATACCAAACCGCCTGATCGACGGGTTTCACTTGGCGTGTGCGGAAATTAAACTGTGCCTGATGCAATGCCTTCGAATAGACCTTATCACGTACTATTTGCTTGAGAGCTTCAGAGAGGCTGTCTACACTGAAGTCACCAACTGATATCTGAATTCCCAGATCACGTTCCTTGACGCGTTGTGCATTCTGTGATAAAATAGACAATGGTTTAGTAAGGCAATCTTAGTTTTTAAGCTGCATTCTCACATTAAACTGATCCATTAGCAAGGGCAACACAATTACCGGCACTGCATTGTAGATTGCCTCCTGAAGACCAAAGTTATCGCCATGCGTCAGAAATGCCTTAATATTGGACTGAGCTGAAATAGAATGTAATAATAATACTATGTAGCAAATAATAAAGTCCAACACATCAAGTTTTAAACTAACCCAAGATGTTCTGTTGCATATTATCCCGAACGTTTATAGTTCTTAAATTGTGGAAATTCTTGGATAGTGTCGGATCCTTCACATTATTCACATTCCAGAGAAAACCAAACTGACGGTACTCTCTGACCATATTTTCAATGGCCCTCAGGCCGACGCCATACATGAGATCAATATGCGGTAGATTAATGTAGATAATACCCTCGGAGGACCTCTCCAAAAATTCCTGTGTGCTGAATGACAATGGTTCCGACTCGGCTCGAATGTGCAGGCCACCAACTTCAATGACATTTGGTGGTATATTTTGCACATGATCCAGTACTGGATGCGTATTAAGCAGCACCAGCTGAACCTCTGGACTGGCATACTCATGTTTATGAATGCCGTTTAAAACTGGCTTAACCACTGCCCAACGAATGCTGCCAAGAAATATGAAATGGAATGATCAAAATTCTAGGTTATTACAATTTTAGGACTCACAAGGATTCAGTTAGGTACAGGACATGATTCTGTATACGTTGCCAGTGGCTCATTTCCCTCGGCAGATGGCTGATGAAATGAGGAATTGTTGCTGGATTAATTGTGTTCTCAGCCTGAACTAAATGCATCAAATCTGTGGTTAGTTTGCCGCCACTCAAGGCCAGCACTGGTACTTTGCGAAATTTGGGAAACTTGGACAACAGACACTCCATGGAATAGGTGGCATCATAGATAATCAAATCATATTTGTGTTTGACTTTCTCAAGCATTTTTACCAAATCGATCTCAGCTGCTGACTGACAGGTGCCTAGCAATGCCTCATACCAGATTAGCACCTGCTTTATGTCCCAGTAATTATTGTAATAGCCCATTTCGTTCACATAATGCTTCTTGATCACATCGTAATCGTTAGACACCGGAATGTGGGTTATGCCCGGAATAGATGGATCGGCCAATGTGCTTACAACAGTCAAAAGGTGGCCTCGTTCTGCGAGTGCCTCGAAGAATGGCTGCGTCCAGCTGGGATTGTTGTGTTCCGGTGTGGCAATCAAGCAAAGAATTCTTGCCCCATGCAACTGTTGCCAATTGTTGCAAATGAGCAGCACCAAAAGTGCCGCAAATGCTTTCATACTACCAAACTGTTTCAGATCAAATACACGACTGATTCACCGTCGAGTGCGCGATAAGATTACCTTAAACGAACCGATAAAAATTCACGTTCTCTCTTTTAATATGTATTTGTATTTCGAATTGTGTGCCGGAGAGTTTTGTTCTCTCAATAAACAAAAACCCTAATACTGACCAATTTCTGTAGAGAGTTTGTAGCAAAGCCACCTATGAGAAATAAACCTGAGACTTATCAGAGTGGGACTATTAAGTTAGGTTAGGTTGAAAGCTCTATGTGCACTGCTTGCTTCTGATAAGTGGAATGCTAAAGCTTTTCCGCTTACTGCACTTAAAGTAAATGCAATAATTACGCGTCATCGTCTATTCTAAACAGATGGTAATGATTGCTCTGCCTCATCTAAATTTAAGTTATGTCAGAGTTCAAATAAAAACAAATCGCTACAAGACAACGAAGCGATCTTGGCAACAAATTAATAGCTAACACAATACGGATACCACAAAGAATGGCTGTGTTCCGGTGTGGCAATCAGTCAAGCTGCTGCCAATTGTTGCAAGTTAACAGCACGAAAAGTTCAACGATGAATCTGCGATCAGATTGCCTTAAGCGAACCTATAAAAAGTTATCATTCTCTATTTATTTGTATTTATATTGACAACAAGTTAGTAGCTAACACAATGTGGAAGAATATTTCTCTTGGCATCATCATTGCGCTTGTAATGCAGTTGTGCAATGGATGCAAAAGTATATTGCCACTGAGAGGATTGACCACTCGCAGTCATCGCATATGGCAAGTAATTACAAATATAAACGAATATAAAACGAACAGCTAACGAAAGACTTGCTGTGATTTATGGGAACAGTGTGCTGCTGTACGAGCTGGCCGAACGTGGCCATAATCTGACCATATTGTCTGTTGACCTGCCGCGCCCAACCACTGTTGGCTACATCTATGTATCTGGAACGAGCCTATGATTTTTTAAGAGATCGCAATCAAATTAATATAAACTCGTTTATTGGTATTGCCGATTACACAACGATGCCTTTCAATTATAATTTTGGCTTGGAATCGACTAAATTTATCGCTTTATTGCAGGGACTACAGCAGTTGTTAGTCTATCCGGCTGGTTTTCAATTCGATTTGATAATCAATGACTACACAATGGGTCCATATTTGCTTTGATTTGTGCACAAGTTTCGCTATCCACCCATAATTGGCATGACGGCATTTAGCAATCTGCCCATTACTTTAGATTTTATGAGTAATCATTATTTTTCCGCACTGATATGTTATTTCTCAACTCAATATAATCCAAAAATGAGCTTCTTACAGTGCTCGGATAATACGCTTATGTTTGCCCTCGATGCAGTGTAATTATATAAATATATTTTCATTTGACTAGACTCTAATCTTTATGTTAATTTCAGTTGTCGTCGCTTGTATTATAATCCCAGGCTCGAAGAAATATCGCGCCCCTATTTTGGATCCAATACGCCATTCCTGTTGCAGCTGGCAAGCGTACTAAAATTTCACTGGTCAACTCACATCCTGCCACTCTTTATGTTGAGGCCAAGCCACCCAATATTATACAGATCGGGAAAGACCCTGCTCGACGACTCGGATAAATTTATGAGACAGTGGCAAACGCAGCGCCATATTCATGCCACAATATGTGGAACAATGAAAAAGCTGGCAATAGTGGATACTTTGAGGCAGATGCCTGATAATAATTTCATATGGAAATTTGACAGATTGACTATCTGAATATGACCATTGAGCAGATGATCTTAGCAATATGAAAGGTTGCTGAGAACGATCGTTACTCGTTGGCTATGAAAATGCGCTCGACCGTTTGGTGGATCGAGTATTTGTAACGCCATCCCGATCCTCTGCACTTGCATTCGGCAGCCAAGGAACTGAACTGTTTCCAAGCTCATTCCTTGGAAGTGATTGCTAGAAGGTGACCACAAACCAGAAAGCATCTTAAGTGCGACTAAGTAAGACAAACATATTATTTTTTAAATATATATATATCTTTTTTATTTTTACAGAGCTAAATATTGAACAATAATTTGTTGTATTTTAGCTTGCTATAATTTCTTGGCAACGGGTGCTCATTGTTTTTAAGAATTGCATTAGTGATTTTGCATAATGAACAACTATTAACAAAGAAATTACACACTGATTTAAAGGCTAGGTGTGTTTATGTGTGTGTGTGTGTGTGTGTTCTGCTTCTTTATAAGTGTGTGTTTGTTAAGTATTTATTTACGTGTTGTTAATATGGCAAGATTAATACATGAAACGATTTCACTTAACTACAAAAGTGTGGGCCCCGCTCAACAGTGAGTGGCCCTAATGAAGCTTTAATTTAACTACAACTACAGCTACCGCGCAAGATTGCACAGTTGGATTGATTATACATAAATTAAGTTACACATATAAGTATTAAATTAATTAACACAGATATTCGTTTTGTTTGATTTTGTTTCTGTTCGTGTGTGTATGTGATTGAGAGATAAATGTTTAAAGCGTGATGGTTATATACAGATTAATCAAGTGATGCGTTTTCGTTAAGGGTACTATTAGCACTATTAAATATTTCAAATATTCACAAATGCTTGAATACCCTTTCTTTGAGGCTATTCGGTTAGTTTTGGTGCTTGTTGTGTGTGATTCCGGGGGCAGTTTGTGTGTTTGGATCGATTTGATTAATTCTAACGCCGCTCTCAAAGCTGCGGACAAGGATGCTTCGATCGTTGCTCATCGTTGCCTCGCAGCTTACTCATTCACCAACTGCGCCGGTCCAGGATCATCGTAGGGCGCACCATTTGCACCCACATACTGATTGTTATTGCGATGCACAAATCCGCGTCCGGGCGATGCATTGTAGTAGACAACGCGGCGTATGCCAAATGGATCCACATAGCCAAAGCTGCCTGCTCGCTTGCCGTCCACTTGGGCCTCCTCGTGATACTGCTTGGGCAGCACATAGCGGAATCCATTGCGCGTCACACTAACGCCATCATAGTCCGACGCATCCAAGTTGTTGCTATGCAGCGGACGCAATCGGCGGCGATATGCTCGATCCGGCAACGGAGGCAACAGCGCCGCCGAACCCAATGCATTAACGTCCACCGGTGAGTTGGGCGTATAGAAACCATAGCCACTGCTGGCGGATGAGGGTGCGGGCGCATAAGAATAGCCGACATCCGAAACGAAGGAGGGCAGTGGCTGCGGTGCAAAGGGTGCCGGCGTGGAGTAGCCAAAGCTATCCCCCGCTGCGATGGGCGCCGGTGTACTGGACACAATGCCTATGGCTGTGGGTCGTGGACGCAGACGTCGTCGCTGCGAGGCGCCCAAGGGTGGCAACATGGATAGCTCTGGCGTTGAGAGCGCTGGTGAGGGTGACGGCACAAACAGGGGAGTTCGGGGAGTCGTGGAGCCGATGACGGAAGCGAAACGACCCGGCGCAAAGTTATGATCAGCCTCCTCATCGTACACATTGATGGCGTTGATGTCATCAATCGGTTCTGCATTGGGCTGAATGTGCACATTGCCACGCAACAGCTGGTCCCGTGCTCGAGGTAGCTCGTCCGGATAATGATCGAAGCCCAACTGCGATTGTGGCTGCAGCTTCGCTGCCTGTTCCGGTGGCAAATAGTTGAGCTTACCCACGCCCGAGGCCAGATTTGCAGTGGCCAAGTTCGGTGGCTCATACAGTGGCTGTGGCGGTGCTGGTGTAGTCGTTGTTGTAGTGCTGCTATAACCATAAGCATGCTTTCGATAGCCGCCAGCTACGCTATTGCCACCTGCATTGCCATCAACCAGAATGCCTGACTGTGCCGGCGATGTCTTTGTAGATTTGATGGCATCCTGAAAAACAAATCAGTATGTGAGAGCTACAGTGGTCGGGAATTATTATTGAACTGGTTACCTCAATGGGTCTGCCCTGGCCCACATAGATGGTCTTTGACTTAAGTATACGATAGCCTTCCTTATCGGCAATGTAGTCCTTTTGACGCAAAAAGCCAGCTGCATCGATCCATGCCTCGGTGCCTGTAAATGACATAAATAGGTGAATAGCCTTCCATGAGGGATTCCTTTTTACCCAATTTTACCTCCATATATATGCAAATTATATTTAAATAAATCATTGTATAGAATTTTAATTGGAAGACAAAATCGGCTTAAATTAACTCAATGAATACAACCAAATCTGTGAACAGGTTTCGATGTGAACAAAAAAATCGATCAAAAAATGTATTGGTAGAAATTCAAATTTCATTTGAAATGAATTGTTATCTTCCAACACAAATTGAGTCAGCAATAAGAGACTAATTTGAATCAACTGTACAGGAACTGCATTTAGAGCAGTTAGATTGTTCTAAGACGCTATATCCCTTTCCCTTGTATTCATCAATTGTATTTGACTAATCACCAACCACTAGTCATTATTATGTTTGTGTGATTGTGTACTTACCGATGACAGTGCCGTCCTGGAGTCGTTTCTCCTTGCGAAACTGTCCGTTGTCGGTCTGAAAGCGGAAATATCTCTCGGGTCCCTCATCCGTTTGAATGTGGTACTGACTTTGACTTGCATCGCCCCACGAGCCGGCTGCCAGTGCGACCAATGCCAGCTGCAATTGAAAATTGTCGACAAGGGGTCAGTAACTTGCCACTTGCCACTTGCCACTTGCTACTTGCGACTTGCTGCTGCTTGCCACTTGTTTTTTGACTAATGGCTTATGGTCATAGTCATTGTTATATCCGCTGCTAGAAATGCATCTGGATCTGGCCAAATGAGGACATTTGGCGGCCAGATATCTAAATGCCAACTGGTTGCAATTTGGCTAAAACGGGTAGTCATCGCTGCACTTCAGTTTCAGAGTCAAGGTGACATTAAGAGATGCAACCGTAATCGCAGCTGTTGCGCAACGCACAACAAGTTGTGGACGGAAATGTGGCATGTGAAAGTGTGCTTTGCAGTTGCAGCAACCACAGCGTAAACAACACAACCGATGTCGAACCGGTTCGGTTGCATGTTGCGTATACTTTATGTGCCTAATGCTAATTCAGGGACAAGGTTGTCGTTCTCTAGCCATTTGGCTTGCCTTACCGCATTAAGATTCTTTGCCAATTATTCTAATGGCAAAGCACCACCCGCACATACACGTATCGTCGACATTAACGCTTCAATTATTTTTAACTCTTATATATGGATGTAGTCGCAACTGCCACTCGATGAGGGGGCAGCGACCGGGAGCGTCGCCTCCACAGCTCTGTGGGCGTCTCAAACGGCGTATTGTGGTTTGTGCGGTTCAATTAAGCTAATTTTTTGTGTAGTTGACATTTTATTATTATAATTTTGTGCTCGTTGCTCGATTCGTATTCATTCTGTTTTTATTTATTGTGCTTTAAATAATTAATGTGTAAAATATTTCTGGTTTAAGGTGTCGCTTTATGACAGACAGTCTTTCTGACTGTGGGTTGCAAAAATAAAAAATAATTCTTTAAGAAAAACAAATGGCGTTCAAATTACCTCAAGCACATATTTAAGACTAACTGAATTGAAACTGCGGATGTAGCTGAGTGAATAAGCTTTAGAAATTGTTATTATATTGTTAAGCTAATTTGCTACGTTTATTTTTTGAGGCTAGTATTTTTATCTTTATTGTCAGTCACTCAAGCCAAGCTGTCTGTTTTACATATTAATTGAATTTAATTTCACCCAGACATATATTTTGGTACACCTTTTGATTAACATTTCGTGATTAATTAAATTTCTGACTAACAACTGACCAACTCATCTCGCAAATGCAACAATCAATCATGCAAATGAGCCAGAAATGGATTACATCAGCATGAGCCGGTCAAAAATGCATATATGTATATACATATAAAATAAGTACATTGCCAATTTCTTTATGCCAAAATAAAGTCCCCTTTTCATCCAATTACAATCGTAAATATTTGCACATAAACGTCACATTCAATTTGCTGCAAATAGCTTGGCTAGTAAATTTATTTTATTTGCTAACGCAACGTAATAAATTGTGCAAAAATTATTATGGCCATTTCCGTTATGGGGCCAAAAGATTGCAGACAGATAGACGGGCAGACAGACATGCAAGCGACGGCAACAACGAGAGTAAAAGTGCCAGCAACAACAGCCACTTTAGCTTTGAGAGCAAAGATCTGGAAGAAATGTTTAGTTCGAAATTGGCTTCGTAGTTACTCAACCGGTTGGCGTTGGTGTCGACTCTAGCCGCAGCTCGGCAACATATGTTGATGTTGCCGGCTGCTTGCCGCATGTTGCCAGCGTTGGTTACGTGAGAATCATCAAGTCAGGCGCCCATAAGGAGCGAGCGCGCCTTAAAAAACAAAATCAAAAGTGGAAAATCACGTTTTTCTTGGCGCGCAATTTAAGTGGCGCTTTTTGTTTACGTTATTGTTATTGCTGCTGCTGCTGGTCGAAATGGTAACAACAAAGACCGTTAACGGTTGCACAACATTTTTGGCGTAATTTACGCAGCGCTGGGCATCAGCGCAAACAAACAAAAAGCATTGGCTATCTGACCCCAAAAAAATTCTACAAATGCCCAAGCTGCAATTTATGCCAAGTCAATGAAACCAAAACTATCTAACTCTTTGTGAATGAGCGCCCCCCAGGGGGCACTGCCTAGCCCCAGACTGACCTTCACTGTTGTGGTTTTTAATTAAAAATCGCTTCAGCTATAATTATGCGCGCGCTCTAAATTTATTAGATCACACAACACAAAACAAAACAACAAAATGTAGCAAAAATTATGATAAATGAGCCGAGAATATGTAGCGCAGCTTGTGTTTTTCTTTTTTTTTTTTTGGATTTGCGATTATCTTGCATTCTACCAGCAAATTTTGTTTTTAATATTATTAAAACAAGTCGCTAATGAAGCACACCTACAGCGATGACGGTGAACCTTTCACATTATGATTAGCTGCGTGTTTGCTTTTCCTATTTACCAGCTTGCATGGGCCGATAAAGATATGTATAATCATGATAATTACAATTTGCTTGCCGCTTCCGTCTTTAAATATGCCAAAGCATTCAAATCAAAGCTAAAATGGGCAAAAATATCGCATGCAAATCCAAAGACTTAGGACACAAACTTGTTACATAGCATGCGAAGGTGTTGTTGTGGTTTGTTATTGTTTTCTGTTTTCTGCGGTTTTTGTGGGTTTGTAGGCGGGAATCTGGGGAATCGTTTGCTTATTCGCTTGTTAATCACACAATGATTATAGCCACCATATGTTACTCAAAGAAACTTGTCAGATATGCTGCACAACGTTTCTATTACCTGACAACACGCCCTGAAGCTGACATTTGAGCATTGACAAACATATCAGCGAGGCAATGAAGCAAATAATAATTTCTAATTGCTCAAATTCCACAAAAAATAATGACATCAAACAAAAACACAATGCGAACATGAAATCCTATATTAATATGCGGCGATTTAATGAAACATTTCATTAGACACAATCAATTCCGAGAATGTGCGCCACAGCAACAACAACAACAACTTAGCGAATGACTCTTGTTGCCTATTAAATTACACATTTTTGGTGAGACACCCACACCGGGCACAGCAGAGGGTCTCAATATATGAGCTTAAGAGCTACTGACAGACCGCCGTCAAATTTCGAGCATTGCTCAAATTGCTGTGGGAGCAGCCACAGCAGCATCAGCAACAACAACTGCCGCAACGAAATTGTATTAAGTTTCGTTAGTTGATTGACTTTTCGTAACCTGCACAAACACAACAATTGATTGCCTTTTTTGAACAACAATTTCGGCGCTGACATTTCCTGTTTCTTTAGTTGTTCACAGTTATATAAGTGGCTAGAATTCAATTGCAAATACAACTTGCCACACACTTAAAATAATGTAGAATAATATAGATATCTACAACATGTGTTGGTGTTTGATTAGTGGGCACATGTTTTTCAACAACCAGCAACGCTAACCACGCGTTTTTAAACAACGTCCGCCTGTCCGCCTGTATTGTTTGTCCAATTTCAAAGTGACCCGAACTGCTGCTGATTAGTAACGCCTCTGGTTAACCTAGTTTACAATATTTCCATTTGGCAGCTGTTGCTACTCGGCTACACAATTGCTAATTTCTATAAATAAAATCACATCCGACGCATGCAACTTCAGCTTGCAAATGGCTTACATGCTTCTAAGCATATTTTAATACTCTTCCAAATGAAATAAATATAATGAAAGTGTTTAATGCGAATTGAATTGAATGTACTGTGTACTTAAATTATAATATGAAATATAATAAATATTTAACAATATATATAATATAATATAATTTTTATCTAAAATATTTGCATTCCTTCTAAACAAATTTTTTGAAAAAACTAATCAATTAAACTGATTTCCACCTATTTAAACATTATCTACACTACGGAATATCTCCAACTTGTTAATGTTTATTCTGAAAATTATCTCTGCTAAATATTGTTTTTTCGAAATGTAATACAATTTCAAAGAACATGTAGATTTTCCATTAGCAAATACTAATTTATATTATATCTCATTTTTTACACACTCTTTCAATTATCTTCACTAATATTTCTTCATAGATGCAACACTCTTGTAGGGCATACAAGCTTACATGTGCCAAACATTACAGTTCTTTGCTGTTGTTTGTTTGTTGCTGCTCAACTGGCGTAGATCATTTAACAAATTGCATTGAGGCAGTTTGACTTGCATTTGTCGCTGCCGTCATTGCATCATTTTAGCCATTTTGGTTGGAACTTGCCAAATGCGTAATACATTTGGCATGCATGAGAGGTGTGAAATGACGCTTACTACATTTATTATTATTATGAGTGAAATGTTACTGTTTCACTCTGCTTACCTGACTTCACACCCACCCACAGCTGCAGCTATGATGTGCGTGTGAGTTACGCATATTATCTCAGCAATGGAATAGAATTCATTTGCTGTGTAATTATGCAATTGGCATGCAAATGCGTTTGTCAGCTGTCAAACAAATGTGTACATGCATCATAAATAATAAGTCATAAGCTTTATTATGACTACTACAGCGACAAGGTCAAACGACACGGCCCGAAAGAATCAAGGGGGCAGCTCACGTAGGCATTTCAGTTTTTCACGCGCTTCCGAAAGTTTTCACTGAATTTTTTTATGGCTCTGGCTACATGGCTAATGATTATGAATATTGTCGAGCTGCTATAAAATTGAATTGCATAACGCACTCAGAATTGTTGGTGGCGCGCCCAAAATTTGTCGAGGCGTGAAATGTTGTGTAAGCTTTCCGAATGCTATTTTAACTGCAAATCACATGAAGGCCATTTGTAATTAGGCAGCCAGCTATGAAGCCCGCTCTTAACTAATGCCCAAAAGGCATACGAAATGGCGCTGACTCATCACAAATTCTCACAACCAGCAAGAGTAACAACAAAAACATCGTCTTTTGGAGGCCAAGAAACTTTGACTTTGACTGATTAATCTAATGGACAAAAGAAAGAAAAGTCTTTAATAAATTCCCATAAATCACATACACAACCAAATGTGTAGCAAAAGCTATCAATAGTGACGCTTGCACGCCTCAATGCCTCACCCGCCCGCTTTGGCTTCGGTGAGTTCGTGTCCTAAGTCTATTGTTTTGTGTGCCGATTCTTTAACGCCGCCACGCTTCGTCGCTTTGTCGCTTTGTCGCCTGGGCTTGCAGCTGTAAAATTTGAATATTGTTTTTTTTTTTGCAAAGTTTCTGCATTTTAGGCGCTGCACTTGGCTGCTCCAATTTGTCAACGTTCCAAGTGGGTTACAGTCCAAGTCCACCCGTTTTTTGTGGCCAAAGAAAACCCAAAACTCGCTCGTGACATTCGGCCTCACAAGAGAGTGAAAGTTGCACGAAGAAATAATACAACAAGAAATTGAATTATATTCAACTCAGCTTCGACATGGCCCAATGCAACTTGGCATAGCTACAGTCTGTTGTTGGCCATGTTCAATGTGCGCTCGTGTTTTAATTTCGTGTTGTATAAAGCCTTTTTTCATTGTCAGCGGCGTGCGGGCATGCAACTTGCATTGTTTGCCCAAGTTGGATGCTTCTTTTAGGTGTTTGGTGCCTGGATAAAATGCTAAACTGTGTTTCATAATTGCTGTGGTTTACTTAGTGGCGTCAATGTACATCAAAAATAAAGCTGTTGTTTTTCTTCTTTTTTTTTATTTATTTTTTGTTATTTTTGAAGACAAATTAATCATAGTAATTGTTGTTGCCGCTCAGTGTGTCTGAGCTGCGTGTAAATGAACTTCATATGCATGCACGAAGGTATGTACAAGTATCTCACAGATAACACCATGTGGGAAAAGCATTTTGGCAGCGCTTACAAGCTCCCAGTTACTGCTCGCTGTGGGCTGGGCGCCGTGAACTGTGTCAGCAATGTTGCATTTTATGCAAAATGCCGCTGGAACAAATTCCAAAACGCCAAACTATTCATTCGCTGGCCAAATGCAATGTGTGATAATGGTTTTTTGTTTGGATTTGTTTGTTTCGTATTTTTCTTTTTGATTTTTTGTTTTACTTTCGAAAGGGCCAACGACAGCGTGACTTTGGCATAGTTTTAATGTCTTCACACAGCGATTATTACTATTGTATTCGAGAGAGACTCATTTGTGCCTGCGTAGGCAGCACCTTGGATACAACTTCTTGATAAACAAACAACCGGTAATCTAGTGACACTGTTGACACTACTCACCGTGTGTGGCGTGTGTGTGTGGGCAGGGGGACACAGCATCGCCATGGAGGCACTGTGTTCTATATCGCGTGGTTGTCTTGTTTGCACTCTTACAACTTCCACTTGGGGCTGTCAGTTGTGTTCATGCTGAAATATTTGAGTCAGAAGTGTGACAAGGCGTGTGTCATAGACAGCAAAAATAATGCTAAATTACGCCAGATCGAAATTGTCACAATAATAATACACAAAAAATGTGCATTTCAAGCCACATATTTTCGAAGCTATTATTTTCGTATAAATAAATTAAATAAGAGTAGTAGTAGTCACCTAATGTAAACTGGGGGACTACCCATTGATGACACATTTCGTATGAACACTCATCTAACACTGGCATAAATGAATTACATCACGTGATATATTTCTTTTAACATGAAGCTTATTTATTTTTTTTTGACATCGGTAGCGTGTTCTTCACACATCCATGCACAGCCTTCCTTAAAATATATCAACCATATTAGGTAGTAAACATAAACTGCACGACAAATCAACAAGTCCAAAATGTCGACTCCACCCGCGTCATGTTCCCACATTACTCAGAGAGCATCTATTGCCGCCATTCATTCATTCGAATGGAGCCATAAAAATTTTAAACAGCAGCTGTAGCTAATTTGGTTCGGGCAACATTAAAAACTGTTTGCAAATTGGCCACAAATATTGTTTAGCTAATTGAGTTAAGTGAGAAATTCCATTTCCAAACTTCAGGCGTGTGAACCAAGCACATCATTAGAATTCCAATTCAAATTTGCTGTCGGTCCTCCAAACTCGAAAATTTCTTTTGTAATACATTAACTACACTATGGGCAATTGGGTCAGTTAACATAATGAAATTGCCGAATCATTGTTAAAAAGTTGCTGTTATTTTTAAGCGGTGTTTTTTGGCCAATTCATGAAATGCGATTTTAATCAAAGTTCATTAGGGGCGTGCTCAAATAATTTATGCTATGCAAAATGGCAAACAAAGAATTTATCTGTGATTTCCCTGGAGCTGTATTTATTTTTTTTGTTTTTACTCGCAGCATGTTACATTTAAAATGATATTTAATTATACAAATATAATGAATTGTGAAATGTGAAAACAATAAATGATCAATTTAAATATTGAACTTAAGTCCAGTTTTGGGTTTGCTATAAAGTACAACAAAAATCAGCAGAATATTTCACATTCGTAGCTGTCACTCAATCTGATAACTTGTCTGTCGCTGGCTGCCGCCATCTCTCTCAAGGTCAAACAATAAACACAATAAAAAAAAGTCCAAATGCTACAGTTGTTAATTAATTCAGTTGCGCTAATTTTGTTGTTTTGATTTTATATCATATTTTTGTTGCGTTGCTGTGGTTTTTACAGCTGCCCATTAGCATTTTTACAGCTTGTCTTGAACCTGTCTTGGACTTGTTTTAATAGCGTTACCAATTTGCGCAATTGCTGCTGCAATTTGTTTGATTTGTTGCCTTCCAAGGGAAAGGTTGGCCCTGCCCACGTGCTATTGCTGCTGTTGCGGCTGCTGCTGCTGCGGCTGCGGCTGCCCACGACGCAACCACGCACTCACACTTTAAAATACATCAATCCGTCCATTCATCTATCCATCCATTTAACAGCCACATAATCATCAACGCATACTCATCACCGCTGAATTTTTAAGTCGGGCTTCAGACGATGCCAGTGACCTTTGTTATGCTTTTCAAATTGTTATTTCATTTTTCCCCTCTCTCTATCTATCTATCTATCTATTTATCTTTTCGTACTATTCAAATTTACACGTTTACACAGTTCCGAGACCATTATCGGAGGAATCCTCAGCCTGCTGCCTCATCATAAGCACCACAGCAGAAACAAGTAAATGTAATGCACGATTTTTGTTGAAATCTTTTAATGCTGTTGAGATTAATTAAAACCCTCCAACGGCCGCCCTTGCGGCCTCGCAAACAGTTAAGAAATAACGTTTTGCCTATTCACTGAATTCTATTTATATTCAAATTAATCTGGGCATCTCTAATATAGGTCAAATACTACTGGTTTGCTATGGCGAAAAACGACAAAAAAAAATGTGGCGTTAATCGCTTGTTTCGTTGGCATATTTGTTGTATGACTAGTCGTACGTAAGCCAATGAATTATTCAATAGACTTGTATTAGCACAAACACCGGCAAATAGCCAAACAAAAACAAGTGGCATTTCGCAAATTGTGTTTGTAAAATATTGATTCGTAAATCTAAAATGTTTTATGCTAAAACTATTTTTCAATATTGAATATTGAATTGCCTGCCATTTAATGTTATCCATTAGCTTTATAAGATTTAACTCTTGTTTTTGCATTTAAGAACTCCAACAAGTTTATTGCCCAAGTCCGTACGTCTGTCGACTTATGACAAACTTTTAATTCGAATTTCGTTTTAATTTGCTAATAAAAATAAAAATATAGAAAATAAATACGCTCGTCAAATTCTTAAGGTATTTTAGTAGGTTAACACTTTGAAAATGTTTCCCAACTTGTTTGCCAGCTTGCCATATTCTAGTTGATAATAAATCAACGCAACTTCAGCGATGCTCTTAAATCTTTGAAACAAATTACTGTTTTTTGTTTTAGCTTGCAGTTATAGATGCGCTGATGGATTTCGTGCTGAAGCTTATAGAAAAATAGAAAATGAAATTGTGGGAACCATTTAGCCGTGTCATGCAATTTGCATTTTAAGTTGAAACTCAGACAAAAAATAAAATTGTGTTTTTATTTGAAATGAGAACATAGTTTTTGAGCAACAGCGTAGTCCATGAAAATATAGAAATTCCATCAAAGTAAGCCGTGTAGCTTTTGCACCTAAATTTTCATTCGTGTTTTAACATTTTAGCTGACTACTTCTACAACTGCTTGAAATAACAACTGAAATCAATTATTTATAAAAATAAAAAAAAGTATTGTTTCGGGAATTTTTAGTTTTCTAAATTCTGTAGCTGGTAAAATAAAATATAATATAAACCACGTTTATTACGATAAAAGGCACATTATGTCGGATACCGGAATTACTAACAAGTCCTTATTGAAGGAGCATGAAGGGAACTCTGGCGCAGATGTCCACACATTCTGCCACAAGCCACGTCCGGATCTCAATTCGGCGACAGTGCGTCAGTATCTGGAGCAGACAGTTGCGCCCATTCTATTGCATGGACTGCGGTCTCTGGCACAGGAGAGACCCACGGATCCCGTCACCTATTTAGCCACTTATTTACTAAATAACAAAGATCGCTGCGCTGATATCAATGTCGATTAATTGTAGGACACTATCCAAGCACCACATCAAAAACATAATTTAAATGTTTGCTGCTCTTATCTCTCTCACAGACACACACACAAAAACACACACGTCTGCTTACACTTACCAAATGAATGCTCTTCAGCCACATGATGTATACACGATGTTATTCAATGTTACACAACAATTTTGAACACTTTGTTGCAAATTAATAAATATTAATTTGTCACTGTATTTGCATCTACTTTGAACCAAAATTGCAACCCGTATTAAATTTGTGATTATGGTTATTATTGGCAACTGCTGCAGCTGCCACCGACATCACGCCCGTGCGCGTCGAAGTTGAACAAAAAAATTGGCTAAAAGATGTGCCGTTAATAGTCGAAATGTGTAATTAGTTCCGCCGACTTTGTTGCACTTCCGATAAACGTCTAGCGTTTTGATTGCTAACGATCTCAAATCTGTTTCTTTTTTTCTGTTGTTGTTGTTGTTTTGTGTTTAAGCCGTGTCTCACGTCCGTTTGCTCAGCTGGCTCGTTTGCCACTAAAATCGCAGCGCTTTTAGTTGACGGTTTAAAAACTTCGAATTCAAATCGCCAAACCGTTCGGAGCGCGATCACAGCCACATCGACGGCTTCGTTTCACAGTCGGTTCGTTTCGGATCGTATCGGCGCAAAGTCGAGGTGGCTTTGCCTCTGGGAGGTAGGGGAAGCCCAGTCGAGGGTCTCGACTGGCGACTGTCTGCGGCATGACGCTGTAAAGCTGTTTGTCTCTTGTCATGGCTGTTAGAAGTAATCTACTTTATGAACACTCTTGGCCACTTTCCAGGCCATAAGCCGATTTCAGTTTCGGGACGTATTCTCTGGCCACCCACCCGCAAATAGTCACGCGCCAAATTGAATCTGTCTGGGTTTACATCACACACAGATTGATATTGAGCACGAAAATAATTACACTTAATTCTGGTATAAAGTTCAACATTTACATTGCATGCTGTACGTATTTATACTATATTGATACTATTATGTTCAAGTGCAGCACTCGAGACTTCATATATTGAGCAATTTATTTAGAAAGGGTTTATTTTTGCGTTGCCTTGGAATTCGAACTTTAAAGTCATTCTCCTCTGATTTTGTTTAAAAGTATTGACAGGAGACGCTTACTCGATTGTATTGTGAATAAGTACATAAGCAATAATAGTATTTTCATTGAAATTTCAAATTCAATTTTATAATTAAAGTTTTATCTGCAAATGTGATATAAATACAAAACAAAACAAAATCTATATTTTCACAAATCAGTAAACAATTCACATTTGAGTCAGTCGAAAAAAATAATGTATAATCATAATAATAATATATAAATAAATCGTTTGTGAAAATGGCGCCCACATGTGTCATAAAAGTTCAAGCTAGTCGTTGCCATATGAGATACATATCTAAGATGTATGCCCACAATCAGGTATTGCTTTGTGGCCTGATTTAATTAAAAAATCAAAATCGTTGTAATTATTTGTCTGCAAAAGATCTCGGCTCATATAACAACTTGAGCTCTTAAGCTCCAAAGTGGAGTTTTTTGCAAATTGAGCATAGTTGATTTTGGCGCCAGTGCGTTTCATTATTGTTGCTGTTGCTGGTGTTATTGTTGGAATTGTTTTTTGTCTAATGTGTTTGTTTTTGTTGGCTGTGGAGTGCGTGGGTGACGGACAGAGAGTTGAAGTCGCCGTCTGTCTAATGGAGCGACGCATTTCAAGGCTGTCGTTTGAATCAACTTGTTGCCGCCGGCTGGCGCTTGAGTCGCCACCAATAGGCATACGGCAAACGGCAACAGCAACAGCAACAAATCAAATCTTAGATAACTGCGCCTATATCGCGTGCACTGTTGTGGGTGCTTCAGTGACGTCACATGTCTTTGGCATGATATCATTTGCCACACACTAAATCACAGTGGAAAACTAAACATTTTATAAATCTAATGCTCACAGTCCGAAAATATATTTGCAACACGATGCAATAAACAAAATGTAGCGAAATTAGTATGCAGATCACAAGCACGCGACCCACTGTGCGTATGAGCAACGAAAAATAAAATAAGGCAACGCGGAACAAATTCGAGTAGTTGGATTATTTATGCGTTACAAGCGAAACAGAATTTAAATATTTGAATACATGACGCATACGACATGCTGTCCAAAAGTGTCACTCAGCCAAACACGCCCCCAACTCCCTCTCGCCCCAACAGCATTGCTGCGCGTTTGACAATTGAAATCAAATTGATCGAAACGCGATTAGCAAAATTAAAACAAAACAACAACAATAACAACAACAATAGCAACAACTGACCAACTATGAAGTATTATAAATGTTATCGTATTTGCGCATTGTATAATCAATGTGCGTGCACTTATGGCGCACACTGTACACACACACACACACACTCACATACATATACATGCAGGAAATTAAACGCTTAGGGCCAAATTGTTCATTGTTACATGAGAAGACAAGGTTTCGTTTTGTTTAATGATGAATTGGAGAAGGAGTCGAACGGAACGGAGAAAAGAGAAGAGATTTTGGCATATCGATTCACCAAATTGTTCAGTGTCATATTTAAAGTCTATTTTTAAACCTTTACGATACACTTACTGTTTTTATGGACCCTCTAAAAACAAATGTGTTAATCTTAGAGTCAAATCACTAAAAATCAATGACTGTTTATTGTAATAAATTTGGTATCACTAATTTTTACCGGATTATGCTGTGTTAATATGCTTGCAGACATCTTATGGATATCAGTCCAAATTGTAGCCATATTTATTCTAATACAAATTCAGAATCTATGCAAAACTTTCTTTACGGTGGTCTGATTATGAAAATGATTTGATGGTGAATTTTGAACAACATTGTCTCTTGATAATGAGATCGTAAAAATGACAATCAATTAACAGTAAAAGAGATGCGAACTTGAAGTGTATTTAAGCTTCGGTTATGCGCTGCAGTTTGTTGTCTTTCTATTGGTTTTTTCCAATAGATATTTTTTCTCCATTATTCCTGCAAAGTCACGAATTGTTGACGCGCTCTGACTGCGACAGTTTTGTTTTATTTTTTTATGTAAGCAGCAAACGTTGAAGTGCATGAGATAATCGCTGAGTTATATCAGCTGGAAAAATGTACAGGCGTCACTTGGACAAAGACTAACCCCAAAATTCAAGTAATTCCATTATGATCTCATGCAGCTAATCCAGCAAATTGGGTCGTGAAAGTTGCGCCCCCAAGTTAAGCACCCACACATGCAAAAAAAAAAACGCCAATCTTCTCGAGCTTTAAAAAAACGCCAACGATCCATATTTGGATGCAAAGCTAGGGCAGAGACTAACAGAACAAAAGATGCTAGAGATTTGCAAAAAAAAAAACTAGAGAAAAAAAAACAGCTTGACCTACGCTAATAGAAAAAATTTAGAAAAGACATACAAGCATACAAAATTCAGACTAATTTTAGCAGTTGCGACATCACCGAAACATCGCCGACTTTTTTTTTAATGAAAAACAACAACAAAAGTTCGGTGAACTGCACAAAAGGCAGCCAAAGATATAATATGTAATAACAAAAAAAAAAAAAAAAAAAGAAGCGGCAACAGCAACAACAATAATAACAAATAGACAAAGCTAAACTTCATTAGTTCGTTCTAGCATCATCAGCTATATTGGCCAAAAAGAAAGCAGCTGATGATTCTGGCCACAAAAAATGCACACAAATCAACGTTCGACTTGTTATTGAACCAAAGCAGAAGACCCACAAAAGATGAAGCAGAAGCGTAGCGAAATTCCAAGTAAACGAACAAGAATTCCATCTATCGGACAAAAAATTGACTTTTTATAGACAGTGACAACAATTAATTATATTTTAATTTGCCTGCAATGCCCGCCGAGTGGCAAACAGATTATAAGCCCAAAGAATCCCGACACCCGATTCACAATTCCGACGCCGACTCCGACTCAGATTGAGGGTCGACTCATGGCCGACAGCTTATTAGTTTATAGTGTCAACAACGCAGTTTAAAGACCATCGAAGAACATCGAAGACCATCGCAGACCCGAGGTAAGAAGACTGAAGACAGAAGGCAGCAAAGAAAGGTCGTCGCGTCTGCCGAAAGTCATCGAACTTTCTCTATGTTCCCCTTGTAGTGGCTAATTTCTATATTAAGTTACAGGTGTTGTCAGCCACATTAATTAATTATGCCTGGTTTTTTGTTTTTTTTTTTGTTTTTGGCAGACGCCTCGAACGGTTCAACAAAATATTATGCAGCTAACCAAAGACGGTATTTGACGCTGCTAACACTGCGCAATTTAATCAAGCTAACAACATTTTTGTTGGCTTAGAACAATGAGCGGAAAATAAAAGTACTAACTTTTAAATACATATATTTTTGTAAGTTGACAAAAGACTTTATTTAAATTCGTTAATAATTACATATGGGAAGAAATTTAAACAATCGCGTGTCTCTGTTTCTCTGTGTCTCTACTAAGAAATTCTCAAAAGCGCAGATTTGTTTGCGAATAGATTGGTATTTTTTTGTTTTTTTTTTTTCTGTGCATACTTTCAAAAGCTACGCTGTAATTAATAGACGCTTACGAAGTTAGTCGCAAATTAGCCACATGACACAGCGCCCCAAGAACTCAAATTTGTCTCGCCGTTCTTGGCCTGAAGTTGCTGACAGACTGCGTAGGTGTTTTGAACTCAATATCACGCCAATTGCGTAGGTTTGCCAGAAAAAAAAACTGACCACAAAGAAATCGAGATCCTGTTACAATTGGTGTCAATCGAAACAAATTTAAATATTAATAATGCGCTAGAGAGTGGACACTCATCTAATGCTCTCAATACTTCAAATAATATTTGTAATATGCACAATATGTACAACTAAATGTTGATTTTCTTAGGGGTTTATTAGCTCCCAGAATTTAAAAACGTTATTTTCAATTAAGTTCAAGATTTGAGAATGGCGCTTTTAGTTTTTGAATAATTTTAACTTCTGGATTTATTATATCCAAGCTAACTTTGAGATATTTAACACCTAACTAAATACACAAAATATATAAATATTTCACCATTGCAAACCTGATGACAAAAGTGTATAAGCCACTCGAGCTAAGGTATCTATCGTGTATTGGGCGTATTGCTTGATTGCTTCCGCTCGATTGAAGGCGTATTGGCGCATTGACTTTACTAGATCCAGTGGGCGTGAAGTACTCGCTTATGCCATTGTTTATGTTGTATATTTCCAGAACGTATTTTCTTATTAATGTTAAGAATAGTAGTAATGGCAGCGACCTTGACGGGGACAGCTGCTTTTGCTTTAATTTTAATTTTATAAGAGGCTAATACTAGTCTAATTCAAATGATTCGATGTTTTGGCGCTCTCCTGCCGTATGGCATTGATGAGCTCATAGTTAACCAGAAACGTGAAGCGCAGTCCTGAGATCTCCACAGTGCAATTGTGGGCCAGTCGCGTCTTATTGCCATTCAGCAGCGGTGTGCCATCAATGAAGATGGCCCGCTTGCCCTCGTTGGCAATGAAGAAATCGCCATTGCTACGCATCTTTATAGTGCCCTGGCGACGTGATATCTTTGCAGCAGGTCCCTCCAACGACAGATCGACATCCACGCCGCACTCCTTGGCCTCGCGACCAAATGTTATCTCCTTGGAGCGCATTAAATATCGCACCAGGCGACCGCATAGACAGGCAAGTGTTTGATTGTCGAATTCACTGGCAGCCGTCGGACCCAGCACAGAATCAACCAAGACACCCCAACGTGATAGCTCGTTCTCCAGCAGACGTATGTCGCGCTTGTTGCGCCGGTCGGCCAGCATTGTTTCAATCTCCAGCGCCTCGTCACGCGGCTCATTCAATTCCTGATCTAATATTTGATCCTCTGCATCTGAAAAACTCAACGGCTGATCTGAACCCTGCAACGGCTTTATTGTTTGATCCGGCAGCAAACAGTACTGCTTGAGCAGCAGCCAGTGATTGTGGAGCGACTTAGCGGTACGTGCACAATAGAAAATGCCTGCATTCTTGTCCAGCAGCTCTTGGAATTGCTCCAGTTTCGGTGTTTCCGTCTGTTTGTGATTGAAGAATATTAGTTTAAGTTAGAAAGGTGCACAGGGCTTATTGCTTACGCTCTTGATGGTGCCCAGCAGATCCTCCTCCTGCACACTGTATAGAGCCTTGCGCTGCACGGACTCCACCATTTCGGGATGCAGATTACGCATGGCGGAGACGGCAATACGCGACACGGCTGGTTCGTACAGCAGCGCGTACCAACGCTGCTGCAGCTCCTGCAGCGTAAATTTACAGGAGAACTTGACGCCACGATGAATCATTCGCAAATCGTTTGTTTGCTGTATGCCAATAACGAGTGCCAGGTCATCAATTGGCTTCCAGCGACCCAGATCCTTGGTGGCCATCTGTGCCAATGGGCGGCCATTGCGGCGTGGCTTACGGTTGCTTGTAGTGCGCGAGGGACGCGGACGACGTTCAGTGGCTGGAGCCCGGTCCATAATCGGTCTCGGCTTTGGCTGCGCTAGTGCCACAGATGTGTTAACTGTGGGCAGCGGCAATGCGGGCGTGGCTGGCGTTAAAGGCGTAGCAGGTGCTGCAGCAGCCACAATACTTGGTGTGCCGGGCAGCGATTCCACAGCAGTGCCTGGTGTCTGAGGCGTTTCGGGCGCAACAACAGCGGCCGCCGCTAAAGTCGATGCGGGCGATTGCAACAACAACGCCGTTTGTGTCGTCACAATTCCAGGATAGTTTTGCGAAATGGTGCGCGGTCGATTCGAGCGGTTTGGATCAGCGCCGCCACGGCTCGCTGGTATTGTCAGATTGTATTCGACGATTTCGTCGTCAAAACGTTTGCGTTTAATTGTTCGCGAAGAGCTTTAAATATTATTTGACGTCAGTGACAGTTAACAGTTAGATTGATTGAATTGTCAGAAACTCACCTTCGGCGTTTCGCTGCGTCGTTTTGCAGCAACTCTATCGGCAAATTGTGAATTGGAGTTTTACTCAAAAGCGTTTTGGTTGTAGTCGTTGTTGTAGTTGTTGTTGTAGCTGCTGGGGCTGCGCAAGTGTTGACAGATGTCGATGACACACTGACAGTGGCAGGGACGCCTGCTGTGTGCGTAGCCACAATAGGCGCATTGGCGGTCTTCACATTTGCTGGTGCATCATTATTTGTAATTGTTACAGGTAATTGAGTGCCTTCCATGGTTTTTTGTCCAATAATTTGTTTTTCTTTTACGACGCACAAATTCCTGGTAACTCTGCGACAAATCGATATACAACTACTCGATACGTCGACATCGTAAGGCGGTTGTTCTGCTAGGTGGCAACACTAACGTACATATTAAGTTAACATAATTATTTTAAAATTAATAGATGCTTAAATACAGTTATGCACTGTAAATTCAAAAAAAAAGAAGCAAATTACAGTTATAAAACATTGTCAATTTGTACAGCGGGTAAGGCCATTCCGATTTAGATTGTAAATTCAATTCAACAGACTAAGCACACTGTTAACAGTTCCGTGCAATACTATCGATACATTGCAGCTTAAAAAAAGTGTGACCAATGTAGTTGACGTTTGTGCATCTGCCCTAAGATTGCTAACAAAATGTAGTGATGTGAAACTTGATAATAATATAATGTGATGTATATTCTTAAGAATGCTCTACATTAATGAGTGCGTAACGGCATTCCAATATTGCTAAAACTCGCTGAAGCATTTGCCAAACGCTACAAAACTATGAGGTAAGCGCCCAGCACAATTCCAATGACGACTGTTGTGATGACTAATCGATTGCGTTTGTAGTTGTCACTACGCGGAGTCGGAGTCTTCGCAGTCCGAGAGCAAAATGGACATCTCCGAGACGCCAACGGACTCCACAGGCGTTTCACCGCTGGCCGATGAGCAGGCCAACGATGCCACCATGCCAAATAAAATCGAGGATGAGCGAGAGAATATCGAAAACAAGAACTCATCAACGCTTGATAATCGCATAATACGTCCGGAATTGCTGCCACAACGACAAATAGGTGAACGCATGCTGACGCTGGCCAACAGCCATCCGCTGATGTCGCCCACAAACACGGACTCCGATTCGGAGCCATTTCAGGGCAAGTGCAAGAATTTCCCCGATGTTGTGCCGCGCACAGAGCAGGCAACAACCGAAGCGGTGCGCAATACACTGAATCAACAGAACAATATGCGGGTGAAGCCACAGGATGCCAAGGTGTGTTTGCTTCGCGCCAATAGCCCTGATTTACTGAGCAGCGAGTCGGATGCGGATGTTTCACAGTATTTGGCTGCTGTGGAGTCCAATTTCCAGTCGGTTTCACTGCTGCCCAATGTGAACAATAAAGCGTCGCGCAAAACGAAACGATCGAGTGGTGCAGCGGTTGTCGGGGAGGATATATCCAGTTTGGATTCCATATCAAATCACAGTTTCGACGACGACGAAGACATCGAGCATAATTTGGCCTCGCTGAGTCCATCGAGTTCGCTGATCGATGGCTTGGATGGTGAGGATGATGATGATGACGATGAGTGTGAGGGTCCCGAACTGCTGCCCGACAACGATGACGAGTTGGATGACTTTGGCATGACCACAACGCCAACACCGCATGCAACCGCTGTTGGTTCCGGAGGAGCTGCTTCGTCGGAGCTGCCACAGTATACAGCAGATGAGGAACGACGTGATTCCCGCAATTGGCAAAAGATTACGTTGCCCGATGGACGCACCCGCGAAATCGATATGCGCGTCATTGAGCCCTATAAGCGTGTGCTCTCTCATGGCGGCTATTTGAAAGCCGGCGGACAGAATGCGATTGTCATATTCTGCGCTTGTCACTTGCCGGACAGATCGCGTGCCGATTACAGCTATGTTATGGACAATCTTTTTCTGTATGTAGTCAAGACACTGGAGCAGCTCGTCACTGATGACTATGTGCTTATCTATTTGCATGGCGGCTCCAGTCGACGCAATGTGCCTCCATTTCCATGGCTAAAACGGTAAGAGCTACCATAAGTTATAAGTTAGTAAAACCATTGGTAAATATTGAATTTATAGTTGCTACCAACTGTTGGATCGTCGCTTGCGCAAGAGTCTGAAGCACATGTATTTGGTGCATCCCACATTTTGGATTAAATCCTTGGTCTGGATGGCGCGCCCCTTTGTCAGGTATTTAATTATAATTTAATTAAATTATTTATTCCTTCTATCTAATTCGTATTGTTCTTTCTGAATTAGCACAAAATTCTGGCGCAAGCTCATCTATGTAAAATCTCTGGAGGAACTGGGCCTGCATGTGGTTGTGGAGAAGGCAGCCATACCAGAGAAAGTTAAGCAATACGATGCCAAACGACATTGAGCTGCACAACAGCAGACTCATTGATTGATTTGGCCAACTGCTAGCTCAGGCTTGATTCAATCGCAACGCAAACATTCATACACGCTCGCATTTGTGTTTCTGCATTCCTCGTAAGGTCTATTTGAAACTAGTATAATTAATATGGCTCTCAGTTTTTGTATTTATTTGAACTTTCGCTATGCTTTAATTTAAGATCTCAATCTTTGTGATACTTTATTTTTATTTTGCCTTTCTCAACTCATGTGCTTTTTTTACCCTCTATATGTGCTATGTAATGTAATTGATGGCGTTCAACAACATCGAACAAGTTTTTGATAGCTTTTACTGGCAGCTGTAAAACTCACATAAGTAGTATTACTAACAAATACACCCAACCACACCACACCACACCGCACCACCCATCGTAGTTATAGCAAGCCACTAACGCATTATTATAGGTAATTATATCATGATCATATAGCTTCCGCTGTAGCTCCATTTACATATACATATACATTTACATACATAACTAATCGTACAATCTACAATACATATTCATATACATATACTTTGAGCCTGGTTTTATAACGTTAACAAATATTTAAGCAACAAGAAACCACCAGACTTCCGTACATGTTACCTTCTTTGTCGTAGCAAAATATTATATATATGAAAGAAAAACAAAACAAAAACAAAAACATTACGAAAGAATAACCGCAACTGAATTTAAATTTAAGCAAGTTTATATTTAAAAATGTTTAGCTGAATTTTTGTGTGAAGCTTTTGCATTGATTGCATTGTATACTTAAATCGTTATCAATCAAGAGCACCAAAAAGAAAAAAACAAGAAAAGACCACTGAGATGACCCCATGCCAGTCACAGCTCCTCCTACACAAAACCCATTAGTAGCTGTTTAGCCTGTAAGTGAACTAGTGACCATTGTATTGAAACAACAACAAGAACAAGAACATGAAATAATATTTGATATTTAACTCTACAATCTCACATACACATTAATGAACATATGAACGTAGTTGTGTAACTATAGTTAAGCATGTAACCGATTGATATTAAGGAGCGATCTTTTGTTGGTTTCCTTATTGCTTCAATGATAATAATAAAATGCAAATAACGATTTTTTATTTATTATGCAAAAAAAAAATATATTCTTTTTGAATATTGAAATTATGAATAGCTGCTGTTAACGCAATCCCACAAATTCTCATCCTCATGGAACTGTATTAGCACCAGCTCGTATGTAACTATAGTGCCAGCTACCTGTAAGATCAAAGGTATATATATATTATATGTACTTGATAATATGATTTAAGAACACTCACACTGAGCACCAATTTCCGTGTCAGAGGAAATATCTTCATGCAACTGAGTGCAACCATATCGCTGGTTATCTCCTCGGCAAAGCGCTTTGCCTCCGGACACCACGAATCCTTGGGCACACAGTGCAAATAGCGCAACGATCGTCGGGACTCATCATGTACACCAGCCGCATACAAGGACACGGCCAGTGTGCGTCCAATCAGAAATATAAGCGAGAAGTAAAAGTAGACAGCATCCGCTTTCGAAGGCATCGAGCTGTGGAGCAAAGTGATAAAGTGATCTCCATCTAAAAACAAAACAAAAACAGATATTCAACATACTTGAGACTGCGCAGTAGCTGCACACATATAAAATACAGATTGTTGGAGAAGGAGATCATAGTTATCAACGATATGGCATCGTCCATTTTTTCGCATAATGTGCAAATATTACGATATTGTGTACGCCGCTCCGACCAGTACGAACGAGCCATGTGCTAAGAATATATACATATATAAATAATATATGAAATATAAATAATCCACAACTAAACACACACCATGCCCTTGAACTGGAGCAAATTGTCGTTGAGCTGACGAAATTTGGATGCCAAACCGATGCTTACAATCATCACAAATATATCCATATAGTTCCATATAAAAGTTGAGTAGACATTTTGCAATTTACCCCACAATGCCAGCGGCAAAGAGTAATCCAGCACAAAGAAAATCTCATCGTTGGTTAACAGAAAAAAATTGCGGATGGGATCATCGGTTCGATTGCAAAACGACGCATAACTGATGGCCGAAATAATGCTCAGCAAATGTTCCGCTGTGTGAAGTATATATTTTATAGCATATATTATTAAAGCTTTGAGTTAATTAGCTGCTTACCAAAGGACAACATCATGCCCACAAACATGACCATTTTGATGGAGTGCGCCATGCGTCGCTTTTCCGGCTGCGTCTGATATTGCGGCAGATCCACTTCGGTTCTATGCCAGTCCATCATCAGCTCTGGCCATTTCCGTGCCAAGTTGAGAGCAGTAAGACACACAACTACGATGCTACTCTTGAAGATCAGGGGCCGAATATTATTGATTGTAATCGAACCAACCAACACTTTATAGATGGTCAAGCCCAGATTAACCAGCATGGACGCAACAAACAGGAGGCAGCAGCAGGTGCGCAAATTGCGCCACGCGAAGCTCATGCTACTGGGATGTTTGGCTGTGACACCCCTCACCGGCATCATGGCAAAACATTGGGCTATAAGTAAAACGTTGCCGACTGCCTCATGAAAGCTGCCATTGTACAGGAATTGTTCGCGTCTTTTATAGCAAAGTTCTTCAGATGATCATGAAATTACATGCATTATTATGATCCGTAAATATTTAAAGCGTTTATTGCTTACCCTTTTCCTTCTTCTCGTCACTTTTCAAGCTGTGAACAGACTCTTTAGAGGTTTGTTCAAAACCCTGCTTACGAACACTAAATTATATATGAGCTTATTTTACAGTAGATGTATTCTTATATTAAGATTCCCACCTCTCACAAAACTCATCCAATTTACGCAGTAGTGGCGACTTTTTCAGCTTTCTCCAATGTCGAAATTTACGTTCCAGTTTGGGCAGAAACCTCATTTTAAGACTGCTGGCAAGCCACAACTGTGGCTGTGCCTGTCAGCCCAAAGGCCCAACTTTTTGCTTGCATGTCCTGCTAGCTATTAAAAACACCTGTTGTTTTGCACTAATCTATAATTAAAGTTTCAGTGTGACACACTCTATCTATATGTGTAAAACCACAAATTGTGGTGTATTGCTTACATGGGGCTGGAGAACTCAATGCTCATAGCAATCATTAACTTTATCGGCCTTGTTGGACTGCAGCAAAATCAGTTTAAACTACGAACTTTTGAGCCAAAGTTGGTTATTCATTAATTCATTTTTACTTCCTCGCACGTCATAAATTGACAAGCTTTGCGCTCTGGCGGCGCCTTGTCGTATCACTTGTGGACCCGACCATGTCTGGTGCCCAACTACAATCGTATATTTTCGTTGCGAATTATCAAAGTCAACAAAATGTTTTTTTTTTTTGGGTGGGAGGAGTTTTCTTCTCTTTAATTCCATGTGAATTGCATAGTTTGTTTTTTTTTTGCTTATCTGTTTACAATCTTTGTGCAAATTGCATGGCTACCGTTGACAGCCTCATAAAATATGCAATATGATTATAAGTGGCTGTACTATAAGAAAATGCTCTTAGAGGATCCAAAACAGCGACTACAAATGCTCTTTTGCACCTCAAAGCCACTAATTTGGCTAATTAGCTACAGCTTGTAAGCCATCAGGGTACCAGCCATCTGCAAGGAAGCAATGGCTATAGAATTATATGTGCCATATATTTTGATAAATAATACTCACAGCAAATATCAGACGCCTGGTCAAAAACAAATAACCCTTACCTCCAGGGCAAATGTGTTTCGCTGAATTTCTTCTTTCCAAATTCGCATAGATTGAGTATCAAAATGTTAGTTGAATAAAATAGGCAAGGACTAAACCAACAAAGTTTTATATCCTTGACATCATGAGAACATATATTGTTCACAGGCCTCAAAGCATCAAAGCTTGAGATATGAAAGGTATAAAAATACTGTAAATGTATAAAAATTCTTCAATAAATTTGAGATTCTCAGCTAGACAAAGTCCAACATTTCTGGTTACCTTTCGAGACAGTATAAAAAAAACGGACTGTTTACGCTTGAGCAAAATGCATACGTGCAGGCAATAAATGGACGTGACGGGTTTTGTACAATTGTACGGGTTAGCAGCTAGTTTTTACAATAATCTAAAGATAATTGTAGTCGCCTGTCAAATTGTAATTGTGGCTGCCACCTATCAGGCGCACAAGGGCTGCAAACCCTTGCGGCGATTGGGTTCATCGAATTGCAACAACACGAGCTCGTAGGTAACTATTGTGCCAGCCATCTAAATCGGGGGCGAAAGGAGATTAACTTAAAGAACCATAAGAAGGAAGAGTTATACGCACACCAAAAAGCAGCTTGCGCGTTAGAAAATAGAATTTCTTGCCAGACAAGGCCACTGTTTGTGTGGACATTTGAAAGATGAGCCGTTCCACCTCCACACACCAATTTTTGCTGGACACACGACGCAGCACAGCCAGCGCACTCTTCGATTCATCATTGATGGTAGCAGCTGTGAGAAAGACGCAAGCCGTGCGACACACCAGATACAGCATCGAGTACCAGTAGTATATATAATTGATAGGCCAGCGAAATTTGCTAATGAAAAAGGAATAATGAGAAAACCAGGGGTTTAACTTATTGCCATGAGGACATTGGGTCAGCACTCACTTGAATATGTTCAGCAGCTGAACGCATACAAAGTATAAATTATTTGCACAAGACAACAAAATGATGCTGGACAAGGCATTATCCACGCGCTCCAGCAGCTGACACATGCGTACATAGTGCTCGCGAATCTCTATGAATGTGGACTCCGGTACCCGCTCCTCATTCTGCAGCCTGCGAACACGATCGGAGATTTGCTCGAAGCGATAGGCCAATGCCTTGCTGATCATCATGATAAATAAATCCATATAGTTCCATATAAAAGTACTGGTGCCAGCTACCAGCTATAATAAAAGTTTACCACCAAATTAGTCGAGAATAAAATGACAGTTTTTGTCTTACCAAAATATAGGCACCCACAAACCGATTATAGGACAGCACTTGGAACACATAAGAATAGTTCATTACGATGTAGTTTTCAAAGGACACGCCACCCATTGTACTATTGGGAAACTTTGAGCAGAATTCCGCCTGTCGCGTGTAGCTTATAACCGCAGAGGTTTGATACAAAGCATGCTCAACTGCAAAAGGAACCCAAGTAATTATCAGTCAAGTAGCTATTGTCAAACTGTTACCAATGGAACAGCCTATGATGATTAGAGCGGAAAGTCGCACACGCTGTGAGAGACTTCTTTTGAGTACCTCATAGGGTGGCTTGTTGAAGATCAACTCAACACGTGTCCAGTAGCGTATTAAAGGCGGCCAATGACGCGCCAGATCTATGAATAATATGCAAGCGCATTGCACACAGGTGTAGAACACCAGACCCACTATTGGAGAATAGAAAATGGCATCAATTTTAACACGACTTTGCTTCGAGTGGCTTAAACCAACCAAAGTTCTTCGCTGTGATGCCAATCTTAACCAAAAACTTCATCATGGACAAATTGAGCACCAAACTGGCCGCCATAAAGAGCAATGTTATCAACATTTGCACAGATTTGAAGCGGAACTTCACAAAACGAGGATTTGCTTGCCAGATGGCAGTCAGTGGCATCACAGCAAAACACTGACCCAGCAACATAACTGTTAAACATATAGAAATTGTATAAATAGTCATTGGTTATTTGGTGTTTTACTTACTGGGACTTGCGGCGCGATGGAATATTTCTAGCTGAGCATAGTCCGCTGGTTTATCGTTCCTTATAACATTGAAATCGAAATTCACCTCATCTATTTCCTTGGGTGAGCTATTTTCATGGTCATCCACCTGATTAACCTTTTTGTTCCTGAATATGTGCCGCAATTTCCAACCTGTCTGTCCTTCCATGTCGCTGGTCAGTTGCACACTGAACTGCAGCTGCAGCGACTGCGTCTAAGCTATACTAAATGTTGTCAATGTGTCACAATTACTGGTCACACGCCCAACGAAGGGAAATTACAGGTAGCAGGCGGTGTCGTGGCTAGACAGCTGCCAATGCCGAGTGGCCTGCAAAATTAGCGCTCAGTCAACAAGCGGCAAGCTGCGCGTAATCATTCCTTCAACATTTTGAAGCAACTAAAGTACCAGCGATGAAAGCAACGTGCTGTGATTGATCAGAAATGGCAATGTGCTTTAAATCCTCTGTTGGTCACATTCTGCTGGGTGGTTTTAAAACAATGAGTCAAGCTCCAAAGCTATTCCAGCGCGATATTATCAGTAGTTTAACCGAAGTAGGTTTCAGACTGTATACATAAAAAGAGCAGGATGGGTGTAGCCAAGAAATACCGATCTTTGACGATTTTTAGTAACGATAAATTACTTAGTTTCCCTCAAAAATTGCGATAGATATATGTATGTAGGCTTTTGCGAATTTTATGGAGCGTTATTTGCTTGGAAGTTGCTCCCTTATAACTTACCCAAGCAGGTGGTTATAATATACCAAAAAATATATCACTTTTCTTGTGCAAAAATTATCTTGCACGGACAAATTTCAGCAGAATATATTTACCAAGGTGAAAGACAAAATGCAAGACAACATAAAAATTGCTAATTTCTAACGGGATCGGCCGAAAAGAGAATTGCAAAATCATAAACAGCGGTTGTTGACAGTCCAAAAAATGATAAGCCAAAAAAAAACAACTGTGGGTCAGACGCTGACACATCCATACATAAAGCGTTTACATGTCGCGTGTGTTTGAAGAGAGGCAGACGACACTCATCATATACACATACACACATACTTTTTGAAATAATATACACAATCCCTGAAATAATAGTTTTTTTTTCCAATATTGTATTTTTGCTATAAGTTACATAAATACATAGATTTAAATACAAAAAACATTTGTACATATTTATGCATGCTTGTAAACCAATTTTCATTATCGCTTTGTACTTTTTACCTTAGTTTTTTTTTATCACCCGTGAATTAAAGTTTACGTAATATTATACAAAATCAATCAAATATCAATCTAAACAAACTATTTTTGTCGATTTAATAAAGCTGGTGTGGATAATTCATTAACAGGAATCTGGAACATGTTTTAGAAAATTCTCACAATTTCGATGCTTGACTCTATTTGTGTTTGTTTATTTGTTGCTCTTATCAGATACTCTCCATTTTTCCCATTTAACCGGTAAACATTTGTTATCTTATCGTCAGACTCTCACTTTCGTTGCTAGAAATGTTCTAGCGATTTCGAGAAAATGTACTAAATTATTCAGTTCTAAGCAGAGCTAGAAATTTCGGCAAACATTGCGTCGTGGTCCGCCATCCCGCTCTGTCGCACAGAGGCGCGCAAAAATTCACCACTCAAGCAGCTATAAATAGCTGGAGTATTGCGTCGTGGCAGCAGTTCGATTCGAATATCCGAAGCAGTAACAAATCGTCGCCAATCGTCGACTACAGAGCAAGTGTTCCACAAAACCAGATCTCTTCAAGTAAAAAGCTATTACAAGGAAAATTAAGCAACAATATGGCAAATCTTCCACTGCTGCTGAGCCTCGCCGATGACCTGAACCGGATGATGGTGGTGCCCTTCTACGATGCACCCTACTATTGCCGGCGGCAGCAGCGTAACCCTTACCTGGCATTGACCGGAATGCCCCTGGACCAAATGCACCAGCTGGAGAAACAGGGTGCCGGACTAGTGTCAAACGTGGGCAAGGACGGATTCCAAGTGTGCATGGATGTGGCCCAGTTCAAGCCGAGTGAACTCAATGTCAAAGTGGTGGAAAATTCCATCGTTGTCGAGGGCAAGCACGAGGAACGGGAGGATGATCACGGCTTCATCACACGCCACTTTGTCCGGCGCTATGCTCTGCCCGAGGGCTATGAGGCCGAGAAAGTCGCCTCGACACTATCCTCCGATGGAGTGCTTACCGTCAGTGTGCCAAAGCCGGCGGCCATCGAGGATAAGAGCAGTGAACGCGTCGTTCAAATCCAACAAGTTGGCCCAGCCCATCTCAATGTCAAGGATAATGCCAAGGAGCAACTGGAGCAGGGCGATGACAAGTGAACATAATTTATTCATTTGTAGTGTGCAGAATACATACAAACATTTATTGTTAATCAATTATCAAAGTCAATGTCTGTTTTCATCAAATTTATAAATATATTCTTCAATTAAGCATTCATATAAAAATAAGCATTTAATAGTATTACAGTATTTTAATTTGCATTGCAATTACGTGCCGGAAGAAATAAATAACGAAAACAAAAAAATACTCATTTTTAATTATGGGGTGGGCTGGATAGATAAAATAAATTGCAGATCCATATATACATTTATTTATGTGCGCGTATCATCTTTTTTTGCAGTGTATGCACATGCGCCTTTTTACGCACATACACATACAATTCGTCCGTTTCGAGAATGATATATAAACATTTGCGAAAACACGTACATATTTATGTATACACGAATACATAAGCATAAACAAACATTATCATTTTTATGTTCCTACAAATTTATGCAGAAGCTGAAAAGTTTTCAGTTTATTCAAGTAATTTAACAGCAAATTGAGCATTAAAAATGTTTGCTACTAATACATACATACATTCGAAAGAACCACATACACATGCAATTTTCGGCAAAGGGAGGGATTCATGTACATATGCACACATACACCTTTACATTTTTTTTACATTGAAAAATAAGAGAGTGACAAACAAACCGGTTGCGGCAAACAGAGATAGCGTAAGTTCAATGCACTTCCGAAACGTCAGCCACTGTCCCCCTTTGAATCATTACATGTACTTTAATATTTTAAAACATTGCATTTACAACAGCAGCAATAATGAGATGAAAATTGAGCATTTCAAAATGCATGAGCTTTACTTCTATGCTTCTGTGTGTAATAGAGAGCGAAAGGGAGAGAACGAACATGCAAAACATATTTTGCCGACAGACTCACACATACACATGCATGTACAGGCCACAGAAAGAGCGAGAAACTTCAAGCATGGCCACAGAAAGAGCGAGAATTTTCAAGAGCACAACAGCAACAATTGTTGATTTAACTGCCAATGCTTCTGTGTGTGTGTCAACTTGGCGTTGGTATAAAAAGCCCGCTACGTCAACCTCTCCTCTACATTTGTATTCGAACCGTTGCACGAAATACGACTGCTGCGCAGAAGTAAGCAAAAAGTCGAAGAAAAAAGAGCAAAAGAAAAATTTTAAATTTAAATACAAAGAAAGAATAAAGCAAAAAAAATGTCGATTGTTCCACTGCTGAGTTTGGCACGCGATCTCGAAAGTGCTTACAACGACTGGGATCATTTGTTGGACGATGACTTCGGATATGGAGTACACGCTCACGAACTGTTCCATCGTTCACCGCGTCCTTTGATGCCACACCAGCTGCAACTGCATCGTCGCCGCTCTCATTTCAATCCCTACGACCGCCATCATCATCATCCGCTGGCGTTGCGTCGTCGTGGCTCCTCTGGCGGCGGTCAAAATGCTCTGCTGCCCGTGATTGGCAAGGATGGTTTCCAGGTGTGCATGGATGTGGCCCAATTCAAGCCGAGCGAACTGTCTGTCAAAGTGGTGGACAAAACCGTCATTGTCGAGGGCAAACACGAGGAGCGGGAGGATGGACACGGCTTGATTCAGCGTCATTTTGTGCGTAAATATACCTTACCCAAGGACTACAATGCCAACGATGTCGTCTCGACGGTCTCCTCGGATGGGGTGCTCACGTTGAAGGCGCCTCCGCCACCCAACAAGGAGCAGGCCAAGCAGGAACGCATCGTCCAAATTCAACAAACTGGACCGGCTCACTTAAACGTCAAGGCGCCAGAGGGCGCCACCAACGCCAAAGACAAAGGCGAAAATGGCGCAACTGAGAAAATGGAGACCGGCAAATAGAACAGCGACAACGAATATGCATAGAGGAGAGAACGATTGAAAACGAAGTGTGCCACGCTGTTCGGAGAGTGCAAGACTAAAAAGAAACTCGGACACACGCATGCATACATTAACACATACACATCACACTAACACTAGCATTAAGACATTTATAACTGGCATTTTATTAATGTTCAATTTCCAGTTCCTGTGCACTTTAAAACTACAGTCCATCCATGTAAATTCACTTAATTTCATTCAAGATTAAGAACAGCGGGTGCACTTCATTGTATCATCGTATTTATATTTGTTTCAATTGCTAAGATCGAATAAAGATAAAGATAAACATAAATAAATACCTATTTTCATCCGAATTTTACTGGCCATTTTCATTTGAATGAATTGTGAGAAATAAGTGTACATCAATTCATAGGTATGTGTGCAAGAATTATTATTATGTGTATGTATGTTTGTACAAGTTTAACTTTTTTCTGTAGTTCAGTTTTTTTCCACAAGCGCCAATTAAAAGATAAATAGAAATATGTACTCCAATAAGAGTTACTAAAGTGCGTTTGTATTTGGTTACTGCCACATAGAAACGTCTGCCGCTCTTTTACGTTTTCTTTTTCGCACTGCTTCGCTGTGTCGCACGTAGGCACCCAAATACTCACACACACAACACAAGTAGTCGTCAGTCAGCTATGAAAGACATTTGCCTACAGCAGACAATGTTCAATTTTATTAACAGAATTTGTCGAGTGAGCATCATAACTGTGGAAGCAATTACCAATTCAATTGGAATCATTTTTTCGAAATTATACTGGGTCAACATAGGCTTGACCAAGTGGTAATCATGACAATAATTTCGATTTGTCCATCTGCAAGAGCAGGAATCTTTGCATGGCTCCACTTTGTGCAGAAATATACCTTGCCCAAGAAATACGATGACAACATTGTCATCTCAACTGAGTACTTCGATGGAGTGCTTACTCTGAACGCGCCTCTACCGCCTAACAAGGAGCAGCTCAAGCAGTAACACATCGAGAATTTTCAACAAATTGACACTGTTCGCTTGAGCATCAATGCTACAGATGGCGCCAGCAATGTCTAAGACTAGGCGAGAGTGAGGCCACTATAAAGTCAGACAGGCGAATAATTGCGCTGCTGAGAATACGAACACTGCAAAAACAAAATGGAATAATAATAAATAAGTAAATAAGCTTAAAAACTGCACATTAAACATTAAACACATTACTATATGATTCGAAAGCCATATCCATATTCATATTTGTATTTCCGTTGTATGAAAACAAATTGTATTTTATAATTAGCAAAAGGCCGTTAAATGAAAACGAATCAAAAAACTAAATATTTGTAGAATTTTGTAATTTATCTTATTTATTTTATGGAGCAATATGCCGACATTCATTTGTTTCTATCAGTTTATTGCGCATTAAAGACTTCGACAAGCATTTTACGTAGTATTTAAAATGAATTGAAATTTTCGTTACAACATGGTCAAAATGGCCAAAAATAGTTCACCTTGAAATTTATATTGAATATACCCTGTTTGTGTTGCTGTTGCATGGCCAGGGCTATGCAGAAAAGCAGGGTACGCAGTAGCCAAAGGTTTATACTGGGACTCTATTTCCAGGGCAGGGCCAATTTGCCTGTTTCGTGGACGCGCACCAAACGCTCGCTGGGACTGTAGTATTTGGTGGGTGGCGGTGGCGGTGCCTTAATAGTCAGGATGCCATCCGAGGATATGTCGGAGATGACCTCGTTGGCATTGTAGCCACGGGGCAGCAGATATTTGCGCACAAAATGTCGCTCCACATAGCCATTGGCGCCCTCGTTGCGTTTGTTGTGATTGCCCTCGACAGTGATATAATCATCGGTGGTCTTCACCACAATCTCAGAGGGTCGAAACTGGCGCACATCAATGTCGATGCGGAAACCCTTCTCGTCCGCATGCACACGCTCGCCGGTATAGTAATTGTCCCAGTGCATGGGATGTGTCCACTCTTGCGGTGTAGCTTGGATTAACTGATTGCGCACCCGTCGCGTCACTAGGTCATCTAAGGGACGCAAATAGTCGGTGCTGCCCATTCGGGGCCACCAGGCACGCGGGTCGTCCCACAGATACGGATACAGTGGGGGATAGTCATATGGTTGTGGCTGGTAGAGCGGACGCGGACGATCCAATTCGCGGGAAAGATCACGATATGTGGTTGTCGGCACCAGCGCCATCTCGCGTCTGAAATTCCTATAAAGCTCGTCAACATCGCTCGCAGCGCTTTTATAGACAACGTCAACGACGATGACAAAAACGACGATCAAACTGGCCTCGTATCCGAGTCGGAGGCTGCGCCGGATGCGGATGGGCAATGGGCGGATTGGTGGATGAATCATTAGCGCGATGCGCGAAGGTTAACAAACAAGACACAAGCGTGTCGTCCAACGCCAAATGTGCAATATTATTTGGATGCGAATCAAATTTGAACGTCATCAAGGAAAGTGTAGAGCAAAGCAAGGGGATCAGAGTACAGAGGGGTAGGGAATAAGTGCAAGTGCAAGTGAGCTGCTGCCAAATAATAAAACACTTTGCTTTTGTTTATGTTTATGGTTTATTTATTGAGTGCCATTTTAGCTAAATTAAAAAAATACATACATGAATACAACCATTTAAAAAATAAGTAGAAAAACATGACTGTATTTTTTATGTCTTGAAAAAATAAAAAAAATATATACATATAGTGTATAACTGTTAAGATAGGACTGTTGGTATTTTTGTAGTGTTTTCTTATGTAAAAAAATATTTTAATTGACTTTTATTTTTATTCTTATTTTTCTACTATTAAGTGGAGTTCTTAAAACTAGTTAAAATAAAATTGTAAACTATTTTGGGAAAAAGTAGAAAAACAGGGTTGTTTGTATATTTTGTAGTACTGGATAATTTTAAACATTGCTTACAATAAGCGGATTAATATCATAATACGAATGGTTTGATTTTCTGTATTTTCTTTATATATACATATATATTTACTGTATATCTTTAGTTATATTAAAAAAAAGAATAACATTAACAGAACATGTAGGCTCTAATGACTATTTAAAAAAATAAAAATAGTTCTGTTGATATTATTTGTAGTGCTGGCAAATTTTAACAGATCATTATTGCTAAATTAATTTAATTTATATATAGGCGGAAATCTAAGCCAATCATTTATTAATTCTTAATAAGGAACATCTAATCTTTGTCGGGCTTTATTGCTGTTTCCTTTTGCTCCTCTGCCGCTGCATCCAGTGGCAGATTCGGTTTGACATTTAGTTCCGCTGGGCCAGTTTGCTGTATGGGCACTAGACGTTCCTTCAGCGCTTCGTCAACAGCTGGTGGATTGGGCACATTGATAGTAAGCACCCCATCGCTGCTCAAGCTGGATGTGGTCATGTCCGGCTCGTAGCCCTCGGGCAGAGCAAAGCGGCGCAGAAAGTGACGAGAAGTGTAGGAGCCCTGATCATCTTCCTGCTGCTCCGATTTACCCTCAACAATGACGCTGTTGTTCACCAGTTTGACAGTCAGTTCGTTGGGCTTGAATTCACTGACATCCATGCTGACCTGGTAGCCCTGTTTCCCAATGCTTGCTGCTTGCGCCAAATATTGCTCCTGCTGGCGTTCAAGCTGTTGCCATTGGCGGGGCAACGTTAGAGCCGGCCACATGAACGGTTCGTGGTAGATGGCCTGAAACGGGGATACGCTCGGCATCCTTGTCAGCCTCTCGGCCATCCGCAAAAACAATGGCAACGACCGCATTATGTTATTATTTTGCTCCGAGAAAACTCTTCTCGCTTTGCTTCACTGTGTTGAACTGTTAAGAGTGCGCTGCAGTCTCTGCTATTTATACGGCATGTTAAAGCTGTCGAGAACATTCCGGCTCTCTCTCGACCGCTTCAAACTGTTAACAAAATGTTAGGGCAACTGCACAGCATTTTATTGATTTTTGTTTATTTATGGTGACTTTAAGTTTGTACATTAATAAATTCGGGCAGCTGTTCGTCATTTTAGGTTTATTAATGGTGAATTTAAGTTTGAACTTTGTAGAACTTTCCGGCACTCTCTCGACCGCTAAACATAACGTTAACATAATTCCGACAGTTCCACAACATATTGTGGTGAATTTAAGCTTGTATGTTAATAAATTCACATTTCGTTAAGGCGGGTCAGTAATGTCACCACGGCTGACGAATGTGGTTCAAATGTACCAACTGAGGTACTTTGGTTGGTAAAAAACAAACCTCCAATGAAAGTGTAATAATAAAATAAAATATAATGAGTTTCATCGGCATTAAAACTTATAACATTCAAATACTGCTAATAGGGTATATTTGCGCGGGCTGTTCAATTTGCTTCTTAGTTGCTATTGGTTCGAGATTAAAATCAAATTTGAGTGAATTAAATTTATTCTCTCTTCATGCATTTATTGGCGAGATTAAAAAGCAATAGCAACAGCAACAATGATAACCTTAATCAGACGCATGCACATTATAAACCTAACGCAGTTTGACTCTGATTGCGAATCGAAATTTAATTTGCAGTTGTTTTTCATTGTTGATTCTTTGTGCTAAAAAAAAAACGCTAACGATAATGTCGCCGGCTTATCAGTAATTAACTGTTTAATATTGAGCATCTTCTTTCTCCAGACGTAAGTATGTACTTCTGTAAAATGTGCGAAATTCGAACTGTTAAAAATAAGTTAGCAGTGCGCGCTTAGCAGACAAGTGAATCAGCTGTTTTCCGTCTGTTCTACTAAAGTCTGGCAACGCCATTAACACTGAAAGCAAATGAAAAAGCTCAATTACCTGCAAAAATGTATAAATATTTAATTAAAAATGAAAATTAATAAAATGAACAGCTAATTTTATGGTATACATTTAAATTATTAGCTCTTCTTCTTGCTTCGGCATACCCAAGAAGACTACAGCTGCCTGGCAACGCTGTGGCATTTGGCAGCGCTGTGTCGTCACAACAAATCGTATTTTGTGGTAGTTGCTGCCCGGCAAGTGTCAGATTGGCAGGTTTATTTCTTTTGCTCTTGCTTACGCAAAAAGGCGCCGCGTAGCATGCTGATTAATTGACAACAGAGCAAGTGAAGCAAACTCAAAATCATTAAATAAAACATTAATCGATTGAGTTGAACAATTAATAAATACAATAAGCGACATTTTCGGCTAAAATAGCAACCAAAATACAGCGTCTTTGAGCATCTCATAAACTTTGGAACGAATGTTGCGCAATTCGTTGCTCTGCCCGCGTGCTCAATACTCAATAACAACATTATCACCAGCAGCAGCAGAAGCAGCAGCAGCAGAAGTAGCAGCAGCAGTAGCAGCAGCAGAAGTAGCAGCAGTAGCACAGCAACAATCACGCCATCGAACAAACACTGATTATTGAAATCGCCGCAACACAAACAAACAACATGAAAAAACGTTCCAATTCACGAGGCACGCCAACCGCAGGCGATGCCGAGGAGGAACAGGAGCGCACTGGTGACTCCAACATCGCATCCGCAAAGTACAAATCGGGGGCAGCGAGTGCACCAGCAACGCCAACGAAACACAGCGACAATAGCAACAACCGGCGCAAAGAGGAAATCGCAAAGACTTTCGTAATTGTCAACGAGCGGCCAGTGGATGACATTTCCTTGGATTTCTTCTACAAGCCGCACACAATCACCTTGCTGGCCGTTTCCATACTCTGCGGAATGTATTTCGCCTTCGTCAGGTATTTGGAATATATAGATGTATGTGTGTGGAAGAGATTAGTGCGCCAGTAGCGTACGGACACGTATCGATCTTTCTATTTTGGTTTGTTAATGTGCCATTTGCATTAACTTGGTCAAGACGACCGATGAAATAAGTGAAGCAATTGTTGTTCTCTTTTTTGCGACACTTGTCAATCAACCTTGGCTGGCTGTCATGATTAGAACATAGTATAGAGATGACCGCGTGACAAAACAAAATCAATTCAAATTATATACAATATTTAGTAGGCGCAGAAAATGAATCTATTATCATCTATGTGCTCAGTAATGATTTATGTTGCCTAACGTTATATTTTTAAATGTTTTCCAAATGAAAACTGTCGTGATTAGAATAGAGATCAGAACGAGACAAAACAAATGCAAATTCCAATAAGTCCACTAATCTTTACGTGGTCCTCAAATATATTTCGTCATTAAATGCTGACTAAGCATATCAAATTAATCCATTGTCATAGATATAATCAGATAGTAGATCGATTGGTATACAAGAATTTCAATGAGCTTTTAACAGTAAAAATTGGCAAGTAATTTTCTATGGTGCCTAGCTTAATTCCTTGAGCGATTTTGAATTGAGAACTGTCTTGATTGTAGAACATAGAGACCAAAATAATAATAATTCCAATACGACAGCAAAGAGCTGTACGATTTGCTCGAATTTCTGTGAACTACTCAATGTAGATCGAATTTCTGTGACATTTCTGCCTGTCAAATGTAATTTATTTTAATATATAACATACAATAATCATCCTTAGTTGAATTGTCGTGCCTTTTGTGCATCGTGACCGATCGGAACTGATCGTGTCTACATCTATGATCACATCTCTGCCAAATGTGTCAGAGGGGGCCAAAAAAAAAACGAATCTCGTGTTTTAAGTGTGTACGAAAGGTCATCGACTCTGTGGCGCAATCCGTTCCAAAGTTCGTCGGCACTGATACTGATTAGCTAACCAAATGGAAAACATTACAACGCCAAGAAGAATAATTGATTTGACGACACTTTACTATTTCAATTATAGAAACGAGGCGAATTTGGATGATAATCTGTGGGCGGGACTGTTATGCATAGTCTTCTTCTTTCTGATCGTTTCGGTTATCGCCTTTCCAAATGGACCATTCACCCGACCGCATCCGGCAGTTTGGCGCATCCTGTTTGGCTGTTCCGTATTGTATTTGCTCCTGCTGCAGTTCCTCATGTTCCAAAACTATTCAACCATACGTAGCATGTTCTATTGGCTCGATCCGAAGCTAAGGAACTTTCACATAGACATGGAGAAGGTAAATCTGACAAAATAAGTATGCATTTATAGCTGCCCAATCAATCATTAAATTAAATCTCTGATTTTGACAGGAATACGGTGTGAATTGTTCGGACATTAGCTGGGATCGGGTCAAGGGTCATTTGGATGTGTTCGCCTGGGGCCATTTTCTGGGCTGGGCCTTCAAGGCAATACTTATACGCCACATGGGCATCCTTTGGGCCATCTCAGTGATGTGGGAAATAACGGAGATCACATTTGCCCATCTGTTGCCCAATTTCATTGAGTGCTGGTGGGACGCCCTCATCCTCGATGTGATCATCTGCAATGGCCTCGGTATTTGGGTGGGCCTCAAGATCTGCCAGATACTCGAGATGCGTGAATACAAATGGGCCAGCATTAAGGATATCTCAACAACGACGGGCAAAATCAAGCGTGCCATGCTACAATTTACGCCCGAGAGTTGGTCAGCGATCCGTTGGCTGGATCCCAAATCGACGGCCATGCGTTTCGCAGCCGTCATCCAATTGGTCATATTCTGGCAGGTCACCGAACTGAACACGTTCTTCTTGAAGCACATTTTCGAGATGCCGCCCGATCATTTCATTGTCATTGGTCGTCTAATATTCATTGGTCTGTTTGTGGCGCCCTCAGTTAGGCAAGTATTTTATATATTTTGTTTTTGCTGATTGCTTACTAATTTCATGCGAATCTCTTTTGTTTAGGCAATATTATGTATATGTGACCGATACGCGCTGCAAACGCGTCGGCACCCAATGTTGGGTTTACGGCGCCATTATGGTCTCCGAAGCCATCCTTTGCATTAAGAATGGCAAGGAGTTGTTTGAGCGCACGCAAGCCATCAACATTGTGATCTGGCTGACCATACAGGTGTTAATATCGGTGTCCTTCGTCTACGTGGCCGTCTACTGGCAGGTAAAACCAAATAAAAAACCAAATCTAATTTATATCTGCTAATATTTTCTATACTTTCGATAGCAACTTAAGCGGAAGGACGATGTTTCACCCACACCCACGCAAAATAAACGACAATTGGACAGTGCGCAGAATACACCAACAAAAGGTATATCGATCAGTATTTAACCAATTGACACATGTGTTGCACTCTTCATTTTCTTTTTTTCTTTTTGTTCTCATTATGCTGTGAAAGTTGTTGCAACTTTAACTCACTTTCATTCTCATTTTAATGTGTGTTTTCTTTCCGCTCTCTTTGGAACTGCATTCTTGCGTGCCTAAGCACATGTGCCACAAAGTATTTCCACTGATGGGCCTAGCACAGCGCACTACGATATTAAAATTAAAATTGTTTAACTAATTATTTGTTTGATTAATGTGACTGTTTTCGATTTTCTAGGTAATGTGTCGCCAACAAAAGAGAAGAAATTCGAATGAGGCCATGTTTTAGTAAGCCAAAAAGAAATACCTAAACTATAAACACAAAATCAAATAAAGGGGGCGTTTCTATTAAAAAACAAAAACAAAAATATGTACATACACTTTATGCAAAAACTGTACTGATTAAATTAAATTTATATATTGTATGTATTGTATGTGTATAAATGATATTAAAAACCAACGAAAATTTGTTAATAAGCAATCGTGTGTAGCAAAAAAACAAATGAAAAGAGAAAGACATCTAAGCTCTAAAACTAGATTAGTACATTTTTTAATAATTGCCCATTTAAGAAACTTAAGAGCTACATAAGTAAATCATTAATAATACATACTATTACATTGATAGCATTACAATTTCATCAACTGAATATACATATATATTTATATATATAACTAAAAAGTTCTGTACAAAAACAAAACACACTAGCTAAACCTCAAAGCATGCGGAAACTGTGTTTCTGACCGCATCTCGTGCATAGGGTATGTAAGAGAGCGAATACCAAGTCATGGCCAGGCTTTGTATGATTATGAATATAAGTGTGAGGCCGGCTTTTTTTAACTATAAAAATAAAACAAAACAAAACAGACCAGATCAGTTTTCAAAAAATAAAGATGATACAAAAAACAAAAAAAATAAATAAAAAACGAATTGAAAAGTTCTAAATAAATGGAATATACTTTACCACAATGGCGGAGACAAAAGTCATCACAATGGCAACAATTACAATGCTGGTGGCAATCAGACGCGTTTCGGCAAACATCTTCTTCACCTGCTTCAAAGGGCCCATAAGGAAGCACGTACTGCAAATGATGTCAATTAGCAATTCGCACCTTCTGCTCAAGTTAAATCTTTGGTTTGTCAACTCAACTCACCTGGCCATCGATACAAGATTGCCCAGCGTGTAGAAAACGGCAAAGACGACAATGCCGCGATGCAAAAAGAGCGCAATTGAGCCCAGAAATGAGAGCAATATGCCAAGCACAAAGCAAATACAAAATGCCTTGATTCGGGTGCTCCAGCTTAATGTTGACATATCATTAATCTGCAGTTAATAAAAACAACAACATTAATAACAAAAGTTGATAAGGCGTTGAGTCACAGATCAGACTTACGATCAGCAGGGGGTGAGCGCGTGGGGGATGGGAAGAGAAAGGGAGTGGGCATGCCAGTTTACAGTTTCAGTCCGCAGAAGCGAAACTAACCGCTTAATAATATTATGGGTTAAATTGTGGTTTTACCTGGGTAATAATGCTGCTCTCTTCCTCCGGTGTGGTGTCATTGCCACTTAAAACACGGCGTAGTTTGTCCATTGGTGCAAGTTATTTAATTTCTACGTTCTATGTGTATAAAGGTAATTGCCCAAAACCAATTAATGCTCTTTATTTTATGAAGTTTACCTATCAAAAGAATACAATAAGAAAAACACAAGATCGGAATGTCTACTAGTGCTGTTACATTATGCGATAGTATCGATATTCAAAGAGTGTTTGATGTTTTCCAGCACTACGCATAGCTTAAAAATAAAGGTCATCGTATGTATTTGCCGCCTGCGGCATAGTCTGGCAACTCTAACAGTCAGCTGTTGCCATGCTTTGCTCTTGGATACGTAACATCAATAAAATACAGAAAACCACACATATTGTAACAAATAAACATGTGATTGTTGATCAATTGCGCCATTTACGTGCGCTGCGCAAGGCACCAAGTGAGTTCAGTGTGCTAGACGCAACAGCAGAACCACCACAGGATGTGGGGCTAAAAAGAAACGAGCGTCGAGATGAAATCGCCTTAGATTTTGGCAAGCGTGAAGCTCATGTTCCCACCTTCAATTTGGCTGCGCATGTAAACAACTCCAAGACACTGCAGCAGCTAATGAGTCTGGGCGTCGATCTGCATAGCATTGAGCGGCGCAAGGGTCTGGGTCAGTTTGTGCTTCGCCTGGACTTTGAGCAGAATGTGAAACCCTATTTAACTTTCCTGTCCGATCAGGGCATATCGCCGCATGACTTTGGTGTGTTGATTACCAAGAATCCACTACTATTCAAGGTGGAGCTGGATGACTTGCAGACGCGTGTCGAGTATCTGCGCAGTAAGCGTTTCTCGGATGAGGCACGTCGACGTATTTTCACCCAGAATCCATATTGGTTAATGTTCTCAACGCGACGCGTTGATCGCCGTTTGGGCTACTTTCAAAAGGAGTTCGGCCTGAGTGGGCACGATTTGCGCCTGCTGGCAACCAAGGAGCCACGACTGATTACCTACAACATGGAGCACTTGCGAAAATCTGTATTTACGTTACGCGAGGAAATGGGCTTCAGTTACAAGGAGCTGCAATCGCTAATTGTGCACAAGCCACGTCTGATGATGATACGTAGGTAAAAACATCCTTTTAAACATCTAACATACTAATAAAAGAAACTATTGCCTGTTGCAGCACCCGATGATCTCGTGGAGCGTTTCAGCTATGCTCACAACGAGATGGGCCTGAGCCATGCGCAGATCCTTCAATGTCCTGAGTTGTTGGCCTCTCGCGAGTTTCGTCTGCGTGAACGTCACGAATTTCTCAAACTGTTGGGACGTGCTCAGTATGATCCGCAAAAGGATTTGTATGTTTCACCCAGCGAAATTGTGCAAGGCAACAATTTTTATTTTGTGCGTAATGTGGCGAAAAGTGATTTGCAAACATTTGATTTGTTTTTGAAAACACGTTAATAAAAGTTTAAGTGCGCGCACACAACAGGGCTGCATTTGCTTTTGTCTGTCTGGCATCACTGTGTACGCGTTAAGTTCGGTCTTCTTCTTCCTTGCCGTGTTTCGTTTTTTGTTTTCGTCTGGTGGCAGTTTTGTTGTGCTTGCGAGCAGTCATCTTCGTGTTTTTCAACGAGCCGTTTGTGGTTAGTGCTGCATTCAAGCAGCAGCTTTAAGAGAACTACGCATTAGGTTTTTACCAGCGTGCGTAAAAGAAAATTGTATATTACACTTCTATTAAATGAAATAGCTCATTATTCACTAAGCGTATATAAAGAAACGACAGCTGCTAACTTGAGCTAAAAACATAAAACAAGAAATTAGTGCAGGCGGAACAGGAACTGTAAAAAATAAAACGCATTTTATCACGCATACACTGACACAAAATATACGACACACATACATACAAACGCATATGTCTAATACAAGGGCCGCTGTGGCGAAGAGTTTAGTTCAATCTGCATAAATTAATACTTGCACCGCAATAATAACAAACGGGTTATTATCTTTGGACGACGTGTTTAGTACAAAAATAACTAATAAAAGAATTTCGACTGCTGTACGGGCGTAGCGTACAATAATATATACAAACAAAAAACATACGTATACACAGAGAAAAAAACAAAATGTCTACGACACCAAAATCGACAGAAGATTTGCTGGGCGGTAAGTTTACAATCGCATTCAAGACACACACATACAAATATATATGAGTGTGTGTGTGGTGTGTTGGTATTTATCAATAATAATAACAATACTTTGATTTTCTATGACGTGTTATTATTATTGTTTGTATCTAGTTAAAAATAGATGTTGCTTGTAATTGTATGTTTGTATCTAGTTAAAAATAGATGTTGCTTGTAATTGTATGTTTGTATGTAAGTGCGTATGTATGTGTGTAGGTCGGCTTACTGTGTGCGCATCTCCATTGCATTTGCTCACACATGCATACAACACATATGTATACTGTTCAAGGCTCCACTTTGTTATTGCCATTCTTGTTTTGTTATGCTGTGTGTGTGTGCGTCTCTCTTGCGCAGCAGCCGTCAGACGATGACCACAACAACAAAGGCTGCCAACTTCGCAGCAGACAAAGAAGAATCGGAAATCACAGTCGGGCGAGAGGGAGTAACGCCATTCACACATACAGGCATACATACTACGTGTCTTGCATTCTGTCTTTATTTACAATTGCACTTTATTATATTTAAATATGTTCGTATATTATCGTTATTTTTATCATATTTCGCCTCATTGACGTCACGCGGCTTATTTTGACTTTACCGCAACAACACACTCATGTATTTATGCATGTGAGTGTGTGTGCTAAATTTCGCTTAAAAGCAATTGTTGGAGGGCATTTGCCTTATGGCACTTGTTTTTCATTTTTTTTGTTCTTGCTTTTTCACATAGTCCAGAAATTGCGACTTTAGCCTAGTAGCATTTTGTGTGTGACGCGGCAAGTTCATTATCAAAAACGTGTGTTGTGGTTATATATATGTATACTTCATTTATATATGTATGATAAAAGCAAGCAAATCTGAGACTATGTACATATGTATATGTATATGTGTATGTGTATGCAGTCAACAAAAGGCGGTTCATTGGGCTGAACGCTTGACAGCCTGGGATCAGGGCTTAACAGCTGCACTCTCACATACATGCATGCAAACAAATACAAAGAGAAAGAAACGAACTGCAAAAGAGAGCGAGAGGGAGAGGAGTCAGGCCATTTTGCCATTTGCCTACGTGCTGTGAGTCAGCAAGCCATGTTTGATTTGCTACCCTTAATGAACGTTTCCCGATTTCCCCGATTTACAGTTGTACCTGTTAACCTGTTTATGTGTCAGCTTTGTTATTGTTTTCGCTTCTTGTTTTGTTACCTGTTCAAATATATGATTTATTTTTGCTGTTTGTGTGCAACTTTTCAGTATTCGTTTGGTTTTCAATATATTCAGATGATCGGTCTGCTGCCACGTGAGTGTTTTAAATTTGTTTAAGTTTGTGGCGTAATTGATTGCAAACATAAAATATGTATTTATTTATTGCTGATTATCAGCATCAACTACTATATTCTACTACTGTAATTATCCCATTTGCAATCTTTGATGTTCGTTGTTGGCTTTGTTTGAACATTAAATTGGTTGATGATATTGCCATAGACAAAACAAAACATGCATCAGTAATAAACAAAACAAAACACAAACGAAACGAAACGGAAATTGTGTTGCTTTTCTCTGTTTGCCTTATCAATGGGGCTCACGCGTACACACATACACAAACTGACACACAAATACATACATACATATGTCTACGTAAACAGAACACAGACAAACAATAACAAAAATGGGGGCGGCATTTTGGTTGTTGAGCACTGGCAATGCGCAGCTGCTGAAAATAGCTGCTGCTGTTAAAACTATGAAGTGCTGCCAGCAGCGGCTATAAAAAACAGCCAAAACAAACAATAACAAAGGGTACAGCGTCTGCCCACGCGTAGCTGTTAGTGTGGCTTGAACTGTTAACATACAACTGGAGCTGTTAACACGAAAAGCTGCCAACTCTAATAATTGAAAATAAACAAAAATTTATTACCTCTGTTAAAAATAATGACGCTGTTAATTACAGCTGCACTGCTGGCCATAAAAATGCCATGTCGGATTTTTGTTTTCATCCTTTTTAATTATTGTGTACTTAATCCATTTTACAATTGATCTTATATATTTTTTTAATGATTATTACGTTACAGAATCTTGGATTGAACTGAGCACAACAGCTGCCATGGCTGGTATTAAGAGTCCCGACAGAATTACACCGCTGCCCTTTAGCAACGGTGAGGAATATTTGCGTTTGTTGCGCGAGGCACAACGCGAATCAAATCAGTCCAGTCGCGTCGTATCCCTGGCCAGTTCGAGACGCGATACACCCCACGAGAGCCCCAAAAGTCCGCCAAACAGTCCGCAATCGGAACTTTGCCCGGATGATGAGCTGCGAAATGTGTATATTAATTATTGGACAAAGGTGAGTGTGACTGAGGAGATAATCAAATGGCCTTGCCTTGTTTTGACTTGACTGTCACTTGAACTAATTATATATGCACAATCCCAAAATAGACTGGCGATAAACAAAAAGCCGATAATGGAGATTGGTTGCAGAACTGGAATCGCGGCGCCGACGAGCAGCCACCAAAGTAAGCAAGCAACCTATTTTCATATCTATATATCTATTTGTATTGGATTTAGTTAATGTGTTTACTTTTGGCTTAATTGCAGAGATTGGAAATTTGAGCGCTCCAATTCCGGAGATGAGGATGAGAAGAAGAAGAGTTCGGGTTACTCCATACGCTTAAAGCGTCTGGGTGCTAATTCGTTGTTCTCCCGCGAAATTCTCTACTCATTGCTAGTTACTAATGTCCTCTCGCTGCTGCTGGGCGCCGGTTTCGGGTAAACTTCAATTATAATCACATTTCTATTTGAAATTATGACATATGTTTATATCTACATTTATAGGATATGGCTGAGCAAGCGTGGTATACTACTTACCCGCGTGGTCATTGACTGAAAGTCGCCGTATATGTTTTAACCAACAATATAATATGCAGCACAGCAATCCAATCAATCAACGGAAAACAGAACATGCAACGTTCCATATAAATAAATACATATATATGTGGAAACATCGAGAGTGGATCAGTGTCAATAACCACAGCCAAACGTATTCCAGCTCACACCACCCAAAACAATTTTAACCTACTCATCAGATACATATATATATATATATATATATATCCATACATAAATATACATATATACTTATAGTAGCACACATAAGCATAACTATGTTATTTGTAAGCAACATAAGCTAATGCCTAGGCAGTGGGTTCAACAGATTTTTCTGTATACGTACATCTATTTTATACAGTTTTTATAAATACCAATTACCTTCATGAACAAACCTGAAGCAAAGGTCGCATTTCTCTTCGAATACAGTAAAATGATTTCAAATGATTTGAGTTCTTTAACTGTATTTGTTTTGCTGCGTCCAAAGTTGAGGAAATCATTATTCGTGACATAAAAAAGAAAGAAAAGAAGAAAGAAAAATAAGCAAGCATTCTAAGAACATTGACTTTAGTACCACGTAAACAAACATACATATATATCTGAATATTCATGTAGACATATTGTAGCTGAATAATATAGATACATATGTATATCAATTATCATATTTTCCGCGTCAGACATGTTTTGATTTTCTAGCATATAAAAGTGAAAGCTGAAGAGTTCGGCAGGGAGGCAGCTGCCCCGAGCAAAAAAAAAAATACACACGCACTCACACGTACATAGTAGTCTTAAGCTAAGAATATAACCATTTTTATATTAAAAATATTTTTCAAAATGTATTTAAAAACAATGACGTCTATTGTATTTCTAATTTATGGCCGGAAGAGTGTTGGGGAAAATTATACAAAGAGCGCAAATTAAATAATACTATATCAAAACGATCACAAATTCATCACTTTAATATATGCTTGCTTTTGTTGTGAAATTCAACTTGACTGTCAACAAATGACTAACTTGCGAGTGTGGAAATTTCACGATTATACATTTTGTTTTCGTCCGTCGATGATTATCAGTTTTAATGGAACTGTCATAACGATTGATTATAACAACACACGCTTTAATATTATTCAATATGCCGGAACACATATAAATAATTTCTATATATATTTATACATATTAGCAATCGGGAAAGTATCGAAGAGGTAGAGCTCCATTATAATATTTAACCTGATTCAGCTAGTTATAACCAAGTAGAACTGTAATTTCAGACACAAAAACAATTTTTTTTTTAATATTCAGTTGCATATATATTTAATAATATATATTTCAGATTTAAAAAAAGTTTTTAAATTAATTTGCATATATATAATGCAATATAATATTCAACCCGCTTCAGTTAACTATATACGAGTAGAACTGTAAACTCCCCCACGAAAAAAAGTTCATTTTTAAATTTGCATAGCATTTAATTTGTATTAAGTAATAGTGACTAAATACTTAGGTGATTAACACAGTTTCAAAACTAATACATAAATGGCGAATCGAGCCAATTGTGGGTTTAACACTATTTATAGGGGGTATTCGCTGTCGAGTATGCTCAATAACACAGTTGACTTAAACAATATTCAATAATTGCTTGTTTATATCTTGGCAAATTAGGGAAGCGATCGCCAAGTGATCGCCTCTGATTTGATTTCATGCTATTCGACAGCCATTCAAAAGGTGAATTTGTGAATTGTGACAAATAATTTGCCAAATTTAAGTACAGCACATGATAATATATATATAACTACATATGTTTATATAATTGTATATATATATATATATAGATGGTTATCTAAAGATCATATAACTACTACGTTTGAGCCCGTTGCGTAGACATCGAGAGTGTGTGAAAAAGTGTGTAAATTGTTTTTCTTTGTTTTCCTTTTTTACTAAATTGATGTGCTAGAAGAGAATTGAGCCTTAGCCGGGGCTATTCCTTGCCAGCATCGGCTCGGCCTTGTGCGGTGGGAGTGGTGGCCTCTGCGCTCTCTGCTGTTGCAGGTGGCGGTGGCGGTGGTGTTGGAGTACGCAATGCACGCTCAAAGTCAGCCACCAGATCATCATCCTCATGCCACTGTTGCAGTTCCTCCGGCTGCCAATTGTCCAGCGCTGCATTCACATCGTACTGCGGCGATTGCAGCGATTCCCCTGTCACATTCACCAGCCGGCTGCGCAATCTATTCGAGATTTGCTCCAGTTCTGTAAATTTGCGCTTAATGGCCTGGCCGAGCTGCAAGTGCCGCAACTCCGGCAATTGCTCAAACTGATCGATGGCATTGTCCACACTGCCTGGAACGGGAGCAGGCAACGCTTGAACATGCACCTCGAGGCCACCAGTCACACGACCATTGAAGTCGACAATGTTGTGCCAACCAGTGGGAAAACCACCGGCGCTGCTGCGATTCAGATTCAAAGCGGCAAAACCAATGATAGCATCCTCCAAAGGAGTCGGTTCACTGCTTGTGCCCGCACTCAACGCCGTCTTCTTCCACACCTTCAAAATAAACAGTTTCTGGGGCTGCCCAAATGATTGAGAAAGGTATTTATTAATAAAGGACGATAATGGAGATTCCCATTCTCTACTCACATTGCTCAGGTAATCGACAGACACCTGCACTTGGAACTTGCTGTGCCATTGCGGTGTCGTTGACAGTTCCACAATGGGCGTGGCATAGACTAAGCCCTCGTGCGACTTGTACGTCTGCTGCCCACTGCAATCCAGAGCCTGAAAGGTCACATAAGTGTTTGGGGGCTCATTGGGCGGAAAACGTTTGGCTGCCGCCTGCCGCTTGGCCTGCTGCTTCTTGCCACTCTTGCCATAGCCAGGATTTAGAGGCAACCCAGCAGCACCCACAATTTGCAAACTGAAGCTAAACGGGGAGTTGGTGACTGGTGGCGGAATCTTCTCAAGCGTTGAAGTTGTCACAGTTGCGGCTGTTGCTGGGGCAGCGAGCGCATTTTGGAGCATGTCCAGCAGATCTGTGGTGCGTCGCAGTGGTTGCTGATTGTTGTCCGGATCGAAACCGCGCAGCTGCTTCAATTGTGCGATCTGCGATTCGCTGCCAATTGCCAGCAGCACTTTGAGCTCGCCCAGCTGCTTTTGGGTCTCCGGATGCACAATGGGCGTCCAGCCATCAATGGAAATGACGGGCAACTGCAATAAATTAATTTTTAAATTGTAATTTTTATTTTATATTCTCAATTCCTACCTTGCCCTTGCACAGGTGATTGGTAATGCTGTCATCTCTGTAGGCGATGTAAAATTGATGCAGTGGCAGATGCACTTGTCCACCCAGTGGACGCACCTCCAGCATTAACTGTTGTCGCTCCACGCTATGCAGAAACTTCTCGTCGTTGAGGATGGCGAACTGTTCCTTTAGCTGAAAGGCGCCATCCGGATTCATTTGGACGCTGAGTGGCTGCGATTGCCAGAAGGGTTGGAGCACCAGTTCCTTGCTGTTGCCGGCATCGCTGGCGGAGAGATGACGTGTCTCACTGGCATAGATATAGCCACGCAACAGACGCACTTTGCTCGTCTCGGCCATGAAGTTGACTATCTCCAATGAGACTTTGTTATTCGCTGTTGGCGGCGTGGTTGCAGTTGCCCTTGAGGAGTCCCTGTTGTTGCTGTTGCCGTTGCAATTATTGTTGCCTACAGCAGAAGAGAGAAAACAGAACGAGATCAGCGAGATTATGTAGCTGCCCCTTGATCCCCAGTGCGATTGCATAACAATATTGAAAATGCGCAGATGTAACGAATACGTTGCATCGCATGATAAGTGAATCAATCACATTGAACCAGGAACCGGGAATGTGCCTGGATTTTATACTAGATTGCATAGACTACACTGGGGGCAGAGTGGGGAACCGATATTTTGGCCAGGCCAATAATTGGAATACTAATAAAGCATAGTGGAATGATATAAGCGATTAAATTCAAATATAATCTTCAATTAACTTGGGTAGATGAATAACTAAGTAAAATAATATATTAATTATTCAAAAAATATTAAGTTATAAAGTAAGAAACGCATAAAAAAATAACCTTAATTTCCATAAATTCTTGAAAATAAATATCATATAAATATGTATGACTAAATAAAAATATTAAATAATATACTTAAAAATACTTTCATGCTATGCACTTTGAAATAAAAAAAACATCTAATTAAAAAATTAAATTATTATTTTGTTTGTAACTTAAAGTAGATTTAAGGTGATTTCGAATAGTTTTCTGTTTTTTTTTTTGACTATTCCTCCTATTCTAATCCCCCAGAAATATTAAAAGTATTTCTGATTATTTTAAGTTTAAACAACTTAAAAAAAAGTAAAACATAAAAGGATAGAATTGCATACAAAATGTTTGTTTTGGTTGAAGAAATGCGTTAAGCGTTCTTAGATGACCAATAAAATCTTTCATATAGCTTAATAATTAACAGAATAAATAGACTAACGATCTTTCACCCAACAATAAAGGTCGATTTCTGTTAATAGTGCTTTTTTATGCTCTGCTTAACACAAGTGAGTAAATTTCCCACATCTACTTAACATTTGTAAAAATCCTTCTAAACTAAATTCACTTACCACGATCAGTGTTAATATTTGTATGCTATGTGCAATACTAGCAAGTAATTTCCCACTTCTACTTAACATCTGTAAACATTCTTCTAAACAAAATTCACTATCAACGATCTCTGTTAATAGTATGTTATGCTTAACATAAATGAATAAATTTCCCACTTCTACTTAACATATGCAAGCAAGTTTTTTTCAAGCCACTGCGGGGCGCAACTTAAAATGTATTTATATAAACATGCAAACAATGATATAAGAATATAACTGTAAATATTGTCATGTGTAGCTGTGTGATTAGGGATTAAAATAAAAAAAGACGAAAAAATAGTATTGTTTTGTTCGTTTGCAAATAAAATAAAATTTTTTATTGAGTTTAACAAGATGTGCATCAATTTAAAGACGCCAACCAGTAGATGATAAAGCCTGATTAGGAGCAGCAGAGGCAACAGATACGTTGTCAATAAAATGACTTCTGTGTGCAATTTGTTGTTGTTGTCGATGTAGCAGTTGTTGTTGTTGTGTTGGTGTTGTTGTTGGTTGCACCCACGCAAATTTAGTCATATATATTCACCTGCGGCAGCTGCACTGTTGTTGTTCTTATTATTGTTGCCACTGCTATTGTTGTTGTTGTTGCCACCCTCAGCTGGTGTCTGTCCATTGGTAACAGTCTTGCAGTGCATCAGTTGCTGATCGGCACGCAAACTGATCTTCAGATACAAGCTGGCCAAGTGGAGATCCCTTCGCTGGACGGCGATGCATTTGCACTGTTCCAGCAGTGAGGCTTGGTAAAGTTCTGCCAAAGGCAAGCAGCCCATGCCGAGCATCTCGTTGAGGCAGGTGCCAGGCTCGCGCCACCAGATCGTAAAATTAATGCTGCCCATTTCATTGCCGCTCTCCAGCATCTCAGATACTTGCACCTGGCGCTGCTGGGTCTGTCCGAAACGGGTGCATTGCGTCAGGCTTTGGAACTTCTCCGATTCGAATTGCATTAGGTGAAACATCGGAGCACGTGGCACAGACTTGATCAACTCCTTGGACAACTGACATTCGACGGTGAAAATGGGTCGCACTTCGGTTTGGAGTAGCTCCATGAGTTTGGTGCCCTCCGCTTGCAGGGTTAAGGCCTCCAGATGTAGTTGCAAGGCATTCACCTGTTTGAAAAGCTCCGGCGTGGCCTGATCTTGGGGTCGAGCCATGCATTCTGCTGCTGGTAGCTCCTCCTCCTCCACCTGTTCCGGCAGCTCCTGCTCCGTCCACAGTTGCTCCACTTTATTCAGATGCTGCTGCTTCTTTAGCTGATCCATTGAGGTGGGCTCAACGGCGGTGGCAAACAATGCAACCAGATCAGCATCTAATTTCTTCATAGCCTCCATTAGCTCGACTTTAGCTGGCGCAGCAACGGCTGAGGATGCGACTGACTTGGCTGCTGATGTACCTGCAAAATTTAATTTTTAATTTCTCATTAAGTGTGTCAGTCAACAACGTGGTTCGAGCAACTTTACAATTTCTCTCAAATTTAAACGGCGAACGAACGCGCGTCCGATCTCGTCAACGTGCTTATTGGAAATGACGACAGAATTGGGTAGCCGCCGCTTATTTAATGCCGACACCGAAGCCGCCGGCAACAGCAGTCAGCATATTAATCGCAGTTTATACTTTGCTTGCCCATTTCCGTACTCACGCTTGTGCTCTCTCTCTCCCTCTCTCTCTTTCGTTTTGAGGCGCTCTCTCCCGCTCACAAGACGAAAGTTCAGTTAAAAGCTCAACGATGTTGAAATACTCTCAAATTGTATAATGGTATAACATCTGGGTATTCTTCTTTTTATTTACTTACATACTAATCTAAACTCTGCGGTTATTTATCCATTTATATTTCCGTGTACAAAAAGGAAATTGAGAATTTATTACATCCGAAAGTTTTCCAAAAATTTTTAAACTATTAGATATATGTAATATAAAAGTCTTCAATTTTGAGTTGTATTTAAGTGTGCACTTCTAGTTTCGTAGACTCTATTTTATATATTTTATTTCATAATGCGCTCAAAACCGTCTATAACAGCTAATATGTACTTAATTTGAATGTGTGTAGCAAGTTTGGCAACATAACTCAACAAAGTTTAGGAATTTCGCATTTTAACTTGCCATTGGAAAAGTTCAGCGACATATGGAATATTTATGCAACATTGCCTGTCTAATCTACTCAAAATATTTACAATTTTCCAAGTTGCGTTCTTTCTTATTCTTTTCTTCTTTTTTTTTTGCGCATAGCAACAGTGAGAGATAGCAAATTGTAAGAGATAAGAGTTTTTCTGGGTTCAATCACATTACCATTAGGAGATTCCATAACAGACAGAAAACTACATCTCATTAAAACACATACATATTCACATAGAAATAAAACAGTCGCCAAAAGGCAATTGAGAAGTGAAAGGTGAAATGTTACGAAAGAAAATGAAAAATGTTCTCTCTTTTATCAAGGCCTAGGCTTATTGATTACAGCTTTGCAATTATGCATATATATACATGTATGTGTGTGTGACTTACTGTTTTTCCATCAGCGCGGGCAAACTGTTTTTCTAACACTGTAGAACGAAAAGTAACACACACACACATATATATACAAATTCACATGCGCTTCTGACAAAGCATTGTAGTGATATACAAACATACACACAATGTATCAGATATCATATAACTTTAGATCATAAAACATTTATCCATCTGTTTCTAGTTGTCGGCTTTTCTTTCACTGGCCTTCAAAATCTGAGACAGATTGTTTTATCTGGGCAAAAAAAAAAGCACAGCCGGCGAGCTGGCGATGACTGGGACAACAAAAACAAGAGTGGAACAGAGCATGAAAGAATTCACTGAGATAAACTCGTTGTGTGGTGGTGTGAGTGTATCACAGCTTTTGTGAGAACTGGAGCGGACTTTACAGTTGCAGCGCATTGGGATGTTCTTAAATCCGCAATTTGTTTGAATAATATTTCTATGATTATTAACCCTGCAGTTTTAACTGCTTATCGGTTAAGCGATATTCTCTCTTTGTCTCTCTCTCTCTCTGCTAAGTATTTCAATGTGTGTGTGAGTACGTGTGAGTAACTGCACGTGTTTTACACTATTTGTGGGTTTTTGGTGTTTCGTTTTGACTTGTTTATTCGTATTCTCTTCATTGCTTTGGCAGACGCACCGCAATGGAAAGTTTTGCGATGCAAGAAATATGTACAAGGAATTGGGGAAACTACGGCAAACAGCATTCTGTTAACTATTTTGAGCCTGCTATTTTTTTTAATAAATTAAAATGAGACAAACATTTAATTGTCAAGGCGAAAGTGATACAAACAAAATAAAAATTACATAAGAGTCAACAAACTGTTAAGAACTTGTGGCCAATTTTCATAGCCAATATATATACATATACATATACATATATATATATATATTTATTTATTTATGTGTTAACCTATGCTGAAATGTATAAATAACATGAAACTGCCGCATAAACCAAAATAAACAGAATGCTTCGGCGTTGGCAGAGACGCGAAGAAACGTCAACGAACTTAAGAGCGTCATAGTTAGTGAGTAGGTGCGAGCGAGAGAGAACACGCACGCAAGAGAACGAAAAAGCTTTGCATAAAACAAAAAAACAAGAGTGAACTCACCCGAAATGCGCTCGCCCGTCTGCGATTGAGAACAGTTTTTGATGGTCAACTGCTGATGATGATGGTGATCCTGCAGCAGCGCAGCTGGCGGCGGCACTGCAGCAGCAGCAACAACAGCAGCCGACCCCAAACGAACGGTTTTATTACCGCTGGCGGCAGCGGCAGCGGCAAATAACATTTTGTGTCGCAATTGTATTTGAGCGACTCTCAGCTGCTGTTGCTGTTGCACTTGACCCGACGTGCCACTGCTCGCCACGTGACGATATAAAGCATAAATTTTGGTTTTATATACGAAATTGCAACCGTTGATGACGATGACGTTGTATTCACGCAGCAGTGACGCCGGCAACGACAAATCTGCTGCTGCTCTGATGGGCGGCCTTTGATCGTGGGCGTGGTCCTTGGCGGCGCTGCTGCTGCGGGTTCTGCTTCTGCTTAATAGGTGGACACTTGCGCAAATAGTCTAAGAATAGCTGCGAGGCTTTCACTCGCTCACACACTCTTAATTTATTATTATTATGATTATGCTGCTATGTCTTCTTTGCTGCCTTTGGCTATGCCTCTTAACACCGCAAAGCTTTTTGATGCTGCTGTCGCTGCAAGCGTCACAGCTGATGCTGACGCCCGCCTGCCTGCAGATGATTTTTGTGTGCTGTTACAGAACACACAGCACCCAAAGCCGCCCCCTCGTTCGTACCGTTTTTTTTTTTTTTTGGTACAATGGCGAGGCTTTCGGTTTCCCAGGGCTTTTCGGTTAAGGGACGACTACGACGATGCTGACGTTTGCGCTTTGATCGATTTATCTGTTATGAAATTCGATTTCTATATATGAGAGTGTTACGATTTCCAATTCTGTCACTCTTACAATTCACACTTTTTTAACACTTCCGTGTATTGCAGCATTCAAATTCAAACTTGTCTATATGCAACATTTGCCATTTTTGTGTTAGCGCGCTGCATCACACACACACACATGCACACAATCACCAACACAAACACTTACACAAATGCCGATTTGGTATTGAAACGCGTGCACTTTTTTCACTGGTATTTTGCCTATAGGAAGTTGGCACTTGAATCGAATTTTCAGCCGCTTTCAGCCGTGCGAATTTTCCGCGTCGCGACGCTTGCACAGGCGTAAGGTTGAAGGAAAACTGCAAAAGCTTTTGCCGCTAGGAAATAAGAATTACCTCAAAAATGTTTGCAAGTGTTGCCTGCATCTGTCGAAATGTGACTTTGTTTTGATTATTTCTAGGGTTGCGCAGCGCAAACCTGATCTGGCAGCACTGTTCAAGTATTGCATAATGTTGTGCAGCACAGCAGCCAGTGTTGGTAGACGTATGTGCTGAAGTCTTAAAAATAAATATATAACATTTTACATAGCCAAATAAATATAAATAATGTATATCTTTATGTTATGTGATTTTTTCTTTTTCGTTTAAGTTGTAGACATTTTATTTAAAGTGATAAACGCACTAATTATTTCCAATTCACAATATTTTTTAAGCAAACAAACGCAGCTCTTCGCGAGCCTCAATCGTTTTTGGGGGCGAAGCTGCCTCAAATTCACCCAATTCCGCATCATAGTACAAGGCGGCGCGATAGGGACGTAGCTCCCACGGCACCTGCTCCTCCATGGTGGTCAGTTGCACGCCCAAATCCTCCAGCGTGGGCACACCAGGCAACACCTTATCGGTGATGGCCTCGCGCTCAATGCGATCCAGATGCAGTCCACCAACGGGCGCTCCGGGGCAAATCAGACTGGTCAAACGAGCCTTCAACTTGAAGGTGGGATCCCAGCGCATATCGTAACGCTGATAGCCCCAACGTTTCTGATCCTTGCGCATCAGCCGATGGAACCAGTCGACCAGCTCGCTCAACTGATAACGTTTTGGACTGTAAATTTAAAACAGTATTTTAAAAAGAATTGAATGAGAATCATAAAAAAGTAATGCCTACCTTATATATTTATATATTATATTATTTAATATATTATATTTTTAATATGTTTTTATCTTTCTGACTTTGGTCAAGATCTGATTTGGTCTAATTTTCTTTTTTTTTTTGCATCTAAATATCCGCAGAAATCTTATAAATCTTTTAAATATTCCTTATTTTTTTAATTTAAATGTAATTTTGAATTTAATTGAATCTATCTTTTACTTTATGTAATTTTTTTTGTTGACTGACTTTAGTTGATATTATTTATTTATTTACAAATATACATTTATTTACTGTATAAATTATTTATTTTTTAATGTGCATTATTTATTTTATATATATATATATATAAATATATTAAATAAATCAATAAATAAAAAGATCTTAACCAGATTTCATTTAACTGAGGCCAATTTGCTTAGACAGACAGATCTAATCAAGAAATCCGGTAATTTTACTCTACTCCTCCAAAGATATAAGAGAAACTGAGCTTACCCCACAGCCTGGTAGATGCGACCGGCGCTGTCCGGATCCTTGGCGGCATTGACAATCGCCTGTGCCACATCCGAAACGAAGACGGGTTGCTTTACGGTGAGCTCCCCATTATGCCACAGTGGCATCGAGCGGAATTGACGCCGCCAGATGTGTGCATAGTAACGCAAGAAGCGATCCTCGGAGCCGTAGATATCCGCCGGACGTATAATCGTTGCATTGGGGAAGGCATCGCGCACTTGGAGCTCACCCTCGTACTTGGACTTGAGCCACTGGCTGCCGCCTGAGATGCAATGCGCCTTTGGATTGGCCTCAGCATTCAGCGCGGACAGGTGAATAAAACGCTCCACGCCGGAATCGCGACAAATGCTACAAATCAAAATTTAAATTCAGTTCGGGTTTCTAATTCCATCATTGCTTACCTAGCCAGTCGAGCGGCGCCATTGACATTGACATCCTTGAACTTGAAGTTCTTCGTCTCGTAATCGCGTCCCACCAAGTTGATGACCACATTCGAATGCTTTACTGCATCGCGAATGGAACGCGGATCCTCCAAATTATAGAAATGGAAGAGCACCTGCCCCAGATCACCGCATACCTTGAGGCGAATCACGTCGGACTCATCGCCGCGATAGGGCAAAATCATTTGGGTGCCCGACTTCCCCAGCTTGTTGCAGACATAGCGGCCGACAAAACCAGTGGCACCGAAAACGGTGGCAACGATTCCATTGAAACTGCTGCGTCCGCCGGTGCCTCGCTTCATGGCGGCCACATTTGTCGTCTTCAGCGGACGGGGGGCATCCGCATCGGGTGGCGCAGCGGCAGCGCTGTAGCTGCGCAGGCACAGCACACCGATGACACCGGTGCCATGGTGCTCTGAGAAAAAATATTAAATCAAAATCAGATCAGCAAATTGCAACGGACATTACATAATTTTTTTGGCGAGAAGCAGTTGGATTTTGGGTGCTGAGCAGCGTCACTTACTCGCCAGCTGCATGTTCCTAGTTAGTACTATGGCAGCCATTATACAGTGGCGCACAACACACCAACTAGCTTGGTTAATTTATAGTTATATTTTATGTATTCCACGCAGATTCCACGTCCGGTGGTCGCAACAATAAAAACACAGCCCGAGATGTCAGCAGCAGGCTAGTGTGACCGAATATTCGAACATAAAATACCAATGGAACAAAAAAATACTGTGCACAATAATCGATGGTCGATGAACGAAATGCTCGGTGCTGCCAGATCCGTTAGAAAGTTTTGCCGAATTCAAATTTCGGCGGTTCTTGGTTCTTATCATGTATAAACAGAAATAAAAAAAATATATAAATATATATATATATATATATAAACATACATAGTGCTAAGTATCTGCAAACATTGCTTATAATATTTATTACCTGACGTGCCACACTTTAGCTGCTATAACTACACACGCCTTTTTATTTTTTATCTAATGTGCGTGTTTATTGCATTTTCCAGCGCAAATTGAATTCTGCATGTCTGTGAGAGAATTATAAAAACATTTGTTAAACACAAGTTGGACAGTTTGCGTTAAACTGTCGTCGACTACAAACCGCAGTACTATATACATATTAAATTAAACGTATCTAAGTACTGAAAAAAAAATAAATAAAAATAAAAGAACCAAAACACCCTTATCGAGAGTGAAGAGTCGATAAGAAATACAACAGACCACAGAGCAATGAACTTAATATTTAACTACAATAACACAATGCGCTCCTGGCAACAAATAGTTTTTGGTGTGAACAAACTAAAATAATTGATGGCTAAATATTTTCTGCCCATGAAGATTACAAAAAGATTAGCATATGTTTCAAATTAATGCGACTTCAACTGATACCAGAAAAATCCTTACACTCATTGTTATTGAATACGATAAGCGACACGTGTAAACGAAAATCACCGCAAAGACAAAGCTAGATACATCGACGTGCACGCGCCTGTTTACACAGCATACGTACTTTGTCCTCTTTGCCTCTCTCTCGCTCTGTCTTTCTCTGGGCCTATCTGTCGAAATGATTGTAATTATTCCCACCCACTGATAATGCTTGTCTACCTAAGCGCACGCACTCAACAGTCTACTCAACAGTCTACCACCCCCATAAGCGCGAGGCTCTCTGTCTACCTCTTTCTCTCTCTATCGCTCGCTCTCTCCGTCTATCAACGCTCTCACTTTCAGTGCGCGCTGCCTGCCTAATTTGTATTTATTTCGGTACGTTTTCTGCTTTCCATGGCATTATCATCATCATCACGATTATCGTCATCATCATTGTTTTTGCGCTTGATCTGCGTTCGCATTGGATGCCAGGCGTTTCATTAGAGTTTGAGCCGCACAGCCGTCAACGTCGTCGAAGCGCATATTCGGCCGATTGCAAATTATTTTAGCCGACAGGTGTCGCCGTCGTGTGTGTGTGTGAAAATTAACGCCCCAAAAAACAAATTTTGAATTAACGGTTCATAAAATTATAATTCAAACGCAAATTTGCATGCGGTTTTTGTGTGAAGTGCTAAAAATAGATATTTGTACGTATTTAATTTTGCGATTTTCATATAAATAAATATACGTGTTTTTTCGTACACGCGCTTCTATTTTTACGTTCAGCAATGTAGATTAGGCGTATCTCTATAAATTTGATTTGAACGAACTTTATATTTTGGGCCTGCCAAAAAAAATAATAAACAATAATAATCGAAAATACAATAATTTTATAGAACTTTGGCTATGTAAGTTAGTCACTGGGGGCTGGCTCAACTTTTATCATTCAAATAAAATATTCCATTTGCAAAATGCTAAGAAATCAAGCCTGTGATATACAAGTCAGTTGATTCGTTAGCAAACAATGAATGGAATCATTTAGCAAGTGATTATTTTGTAGCATGGCACCAAAAATACAGCAAGATTTACAAAATAAAGAAAATCTGAGTCATACAAAGAGATACCAAAATTAATGTTAATTTGCGCCAATGTGCGTCTAGACTTGGAATTCAGCAAAATATTGTGTGGGGCTCAAGCTTTAACAGCGATTCAATGCAAATTATGAAACGGGCCTTGAAAATAAACCAACAGTCAACTAACTGTTATTTTTTGTTTGTTGTTTTTATTGAAATTCCCTATAGGTACTTGAGGAAAATTGAAAAGTTCATGCGATTTGTATTGACCAATTTAGTTGCAGTCTGGCTCTGAGTCTCATTAAATGTAATTTGTTTAAATTTACAACAAACAGAATTGGCATATTAAAAGCGATCCCATTGTGTTTCAATTTGTTCAAGTATAATTAAATAATTATTTGTGTGAGGGAAAGTGCAGGGAGTACTGGCTTTCTGCTTGCAGCCTTTATCGATAAGGGCACAAAAATCACGAAACGTATTTAAAAGTTGTGGAGAAATGCAGTAAATGTGTTTCACGATCTGACAGGTGCAGCACTCGTATAAAATCGTTTCTCAATTATACATATTGCATTATTACTTTATATCTGAAACAACTGTTGAATTGCAAGACAGGCAAAAAGTGACAAAAACCTTTCCCCATATCGATCAGACAAAAAAACACGCGCTATTAGATATCAAGAAAATGTAAATATATATCAAATGCAGTAGATAAATATATAGAGACATAATGCCTACGATTTGTGTTTATTTAATTAATATTCTTCAAGGTTTTTAGTTGCCAAATCCGCTTTACGGCGAAAAAGTCCAGTTCATAAATCTGTCTTCCAGGATTGGCAGTTTGCTTGTCAATTAGATCAATAAAACGAGTCACTTCATCATTTCATCAACTCAAGTTCGGCTCAACGACTTTTGTAAACAATTTTTGTTTCTTTGTTTTTGTGTTTTGCTTTTGTGTATAAACATTTTTGGTATCTTTTGGTCATCAACTGCAGTTTTTTGTTGTTGTTCGTTAACTTTGAGGCGACGCCAATGCTTGCATACTAATTTCATTTTAGTATGTGCGCAAAAATTAAAAAAAAACACAACAGAAATTTGAATTTTATTTGATTTTGAAAATTTTAAAAAGGTTTCTACATTGATCCCTGGCCCGTTTACTCATAAGTACGCCTACAGCAATTTAATTGAACAGGTAGCCCCCAATTGTCTAACATTTTTAAATAGTATAGTTAAATGTTTATCTATTGTACTCGTGTTTTTTTTTTTTTTGGTATTTTGGACACGTTGAACAAGGTCGAGCGGTTCACGCAACTGGAATATTAGATTGATCAAATTAGTTTTACTATTTTTGAATTCCATCAACCACTGTCGATTTTAGCTCCGAGAATATTGCTTGATTTACAATCAAGAGAGTTTATTTTTTCATATGTCAAACAGACTTGCCACTTGTATTACGTGTAAATTTAAGTTTTTTTTTTTATCGCATCGAGCACTTCAGTGTTACAGTTTAGCACAATACTCCCTGGCTGACAGCTCGGATTGCGCTTTATTCAATGAAAGCGAAATCTAATTGAGGAAATGAACATTTAGCTGCGGACAAAGTAGCCACAGCGAAAAGTACGACTATACTATATATATATACTATATAAATCAATGGGCAGTATACAAGTCAACCTCTCACTGGACACCAATTTAATTAGGTGGCACTATATATATAACTACTTTTTTTTTTGTGTGTGAAAAGTTTGTCAATGGCAGCTGGAGGCGTAGTTGAACGCTTTGTAATCGATTTTGTGGCAACATTGGGGGTGGCTAATTTTGTAAAACAATGCATTGGCTCTGCCGAGATTGTTGATTTTTGATCTAAACAATTTTGACGCCCACGTGAAGCATTTAAAATGCAATTAGTTGCTTGGGGGTGACAGTTAGATAAGGTTGGGATTGCGTAGCACCCACCTGGCGAGCTGTTTAGAATACCTAATAGTTGAAAGATATTCGAAAGATAGATCCTATTTGGGTAGAATCGTAAACGTGTTCTGGGATCAGCAAGAAATTTCTTTAGGCACGCCATCAATTTATTACAAAATTAGATGATGATGATATCGGAACTTAAGCATGCAGTGAATTGTTAAACATCATCATAAATCTTATCTACTTATTTCCAGAAAGCCTGGCCTAATTGTAAATATGTATTGCTTACACTCCATTTTTAATTTTGCTTTAATATAAACGAATTGGATTGGCCAAATATAATCCAAGCTGAAAACAGTTTCCGATATTGTAACTATGAAATAACTGTTTTTTTTTTAGCTCCAGGTCAAGTACTTTTTATTTAAGCAAAAAAGAATTATTGTAATTACATCTATGAATAGATAAGATTTCTAAATAGTTCCAAGAAGAAACTTAATTCTAATTTAAGCATTTTAGATATGGTTTAAATACAAGGACGACTTATAGATAACTATAGACAACAGATAAGGCAAAATGTTATCTAAGCGGGCCTTGGGCCTATAGCTTATGAGGCATAAACATTTACAGGCATGTAGTTGAGCCTGGGATACATATCGAGACGATAACAAATTCAGTACGCCTATCTTATAATTATAATTACGTTAAACTGTTCGTAATGCCCCCTCAATATGTGTGGGCCTGCGATCAATTGTAGCATATCTTAACGATCACTTCACGGTTTATCCGATCAATTAAAGTCGTTTGTGACAGCTGTAAAAGGGCTAACCTTGGTTTACAACTAGCGAGCAACCGGCTGGCAATTGTCACGTAGTCTTACGTCAATGTCAGAGCCAGATATATAGGAATATAGGTATATAGGTAGGTGGTGGCATCTTTATTAGCATGCCAGGCAGGCAGGTAAACAGGCGGAGAGGCCAATCCGTATAGCAGAGGCGTTACCTGAACCCCCCAGCTGCCCAAATCTGCACATAATGCCATTGGGAACACATAGCACACTTTTTGGTGTTTATTACACTCTGAAAAAAATTGCCCAGAATTTTAGAAAATTGTTTTTGCAAATAATTTCCAAATATAAGAACACACATTTTTAAAACTTTGAAATTCTTGCCCTTAATCGAAACTCCCAAAAATATGGTGATTTTTCTTCCATTTTTAGAAACAGTTTTTATTATTAAATTAATTTCATAAAATATTAATATGAAATTTATAATAATTAAACCAACAAAAAGCAGCAAATATTAAATGAAAATTGAACGAATTTTATTCAGTATTCTACTTTTTAGAAATATTCATTCTGAATATTAAAGTGAGTCACCCGTCTAGCCAAAGCTTGGCTTATTTCTAAAATGCAGGACGATGTTTTTTTAGAGTGCATCAACTATTATTCAATAGACGCTCAAACTTGACATTGGTTCGCGTAATCGAAATGGGTTAAATATTCGCTGAGTCGACACTATAATTGGTTCATTGTTCATATATAAATATTTAACAACGTAAATCAATTTAATTATAAGCTCAAAAGTCGACACATTGCTAATTACCAATATCTTTGGCCATATTGTGAACAGTCCCGTGCAAATTGATATGATCAATAATTTGATCCATTTTCAAGTATCCCAAATAAAGATCATTATTTATTTCCGCCTAGTCGAATTGTGTGCTGAACTAATTAACATAATCTGTGTGATCTCCATTGCAGCACCCATTTGCCACCCAATCCCTTGAAACATGTCCATCAAAGAGGTCATGCAACGGTGCCAGCCCATACCGTTGTACGTGGTGTTGATGCTATCCGTGTGCTACTTTGTGCTCCAACTGATCCTCAGTCATATAACGCATGCGTTGACTCTCCTCATGGCCTCCCATCACATGTTGTGCAACATTTTGGCACTGGCCGGTTGTATTGTAACGATTAAGGTGAGTGGATCAACCAACTTTTAATATTTATTGCCCGAGTTTGTTGGGAAGCCAACAAGCTGTCCAATCGAATTGATAAGCAAATCGGAAATTGAACACAAGTACAATAAAAAAAAAAACACGAAAACAGTGGAAATAATAAAAAATAAAGCAGATGCAGTGCATTGAACTGTGCACTTTTAATGGATCAAAACGGGTTTGGCCTTTGACTTGGTTTCGATTTGTTGCTTATTGATTTTTAAGTCGCGTGTTATTGTCAATATCTACTAACAAAATATATCTTAATTTGCACAAAGTTCCGATTAGATTAGATTAAACAAAAATATAGTGCTGATATTGAAAGATAGAAAGTGAAAGAGTTATTGTATATGCCTATAACAACTTTTTATTTCGGTTTGGTCAGGGGTATTGTCTGGCCTAATCAGTACATTGTACTCAAATTATGCTCACAGATAGCAACTGTTTTTTTTTCTTCCATTTTGTGTAGTTTACCTGTGTTCAAATTACGGACAGAATAATTGAGTGTCTGACAGGCATTGTGATAAGGTTTCACCTGATAAACACAATAATAAAATAAGTTTAACGCCGCATATACAATATAATCGTAAAATCGTTGTCTAGTAGCTGACCCAGTAACATATTAATTTTCAACACTTGGCTTATTCCAAGTCTTATTATAATCAATTCAGCTACGTTAAGGTAAACAAATAGTTTCGCCTATGGGCAAATATCAAATAATTATGCAAATTGATTTGTCAAATCCAAACAAAAATGGTTCGAATGAGTGCAAAAATTTGCAAATTCGAGTGGTCGAGTGTTTATTTAATTTTTATTTTTTTACTATATATGTAGAGGATATGGGCACGCTTGCCAAGCACGTTTTGAAGAAAACGAAATACCACAAAGTAGGTAAAAATGTAGAGCCTACATAAGACTTGTGGCCGAAACAACACGCAACGGACCAGATATCAACCAAAAAACACCGCAAACGAAAGCCGCTAGAAACAGTTGAGTGGGGCGCATTGTGAAACGGCGGCCAGCTTTAAATTGTGGACTTATTATGTATGTGTAATTGACAGACAGAAAGACCTTTGACTGAGTTAAGCCAAGCGTTAAAATGCGCTGACAACCATGTTGGTGACGAGATTCCAAGCAGTTAAGCATAGTATATATATAGGTATTTAATGATTAATGCTTTAAATAAAAAAATTAAAAATCATTTCGGAAAAAACGAAAAATCATATATTTGAGCGTTGATTCTACAGCAGATACTGGTATTCATTGAATATAAAAAACGTATATTTTTCTGGGTGATTTACTACAATTGAGGGCGATTTTTTTCTGAGTGCTACAACTGATCCTTGAATACAAAACGTTTCTTCACAAACCATTAGCTATTTATTTATATAACTTTCATTTGCATATTTCATTTAGCATATTAAATTTTAACCGCATAAATGCCTTATGTCTTATCGACGACATCTTGAAAACTTTAACTTTGCAATACTCTCTTTTTGTTTCGTCTTTAAATTACAGGCTCTTTAGCTCGTCGCTTTCTAAGCTCTTTTCCTTTAAGAAAACCCTTTTCTAATTCTTTTCTTTATTTTCTTTTCGCCCATAACAGCACAGCAAAATAAATGAGAAGGAACACAAGCCATTTCCAACGCCCATTTTGGCAAATGACTCCTCGGCTGACAAGATCGCCGTAACGCTCACGCTGAGCGAGACGGAGGAACAGCAGCTGGCCAAGCGGGAGTCGCGTGAGCAAAAGCTGCGCAATACTTTCGGCTGGGCACGCATCGATATTCTCACTATGCTGATTGTGTTCATCATATTGGCCTCGTTGTCCTTCTCGCTGATTGTGGAGGCGCTGCAGACGCTGGTGCACATTGATCATCAGGATACGATGCATTTACCCATACCGGTTTTGATACTGGGTCTTGTGGGTCTGATATTGAATGGGCTGACCTATTTGCTGATCGGTGGCTATACGTTGCATCAGGGCAGCTTTCTGCACTTGACGCCAGGTGGCAACGTTGTGCTCGAACGTTCCATGTCCAGTCACTCGGATCTGGCACTGAAGCCCATGCAGCGTACTTTGAGCAAGTCACGCAACGATCGCCAGCTGCGTCAGGATCTCGAGTCAGAGATGGACAAAGCTTTTTTCACGACCAAGCGACAGGGTGCTGTGGAAATGTTGCGCGATGTGTCGAGCACCCTGTTTGTCATCGTTTGTGCTGCCATTGTCTATGTGGCTGAGGATGAACAGCATACGGCCAAGTTCATTGATCCAGTTCTATCGATATTCTCATGTGTGCTGCTGGTCACCTTAAGTTATCCATACAGTAAGTATATAACAGTTCTGTTTTCCAAATAACAGTATATAAGTTGTATAACAATTTACTTAACAGCTTAACAAAATGTATGTTAACAGAAATAATTTTACATTTTATTCATTTACAGTGAAAGAATCTTGTCTGATTCTGCTGCAAACGATTCCCGGCTCCATCGATCTGGAGATCTTTGAACAGACGCTGGTCAGCAAATTTCCAGAGATTGTTAGCTATCACGATCTGCACATATGGCAGCTGGCCGCAAACAGCTATGTGGCGACCATACACATACAATTCCAGAATCCCAAACTCTATCTGCAGATCATTCAGAAGGTGCGCACCTATTTCGAGGAACAGGGCATCACAGAGGTCACCATCCAACCGGAGTTTCAGCCGGCATCGAATAAAAGTGACTCCGCATCGTTGGAGTGCCTGATGCAGTGTCAAGCGTCTGATTGCATTGAGAAGGTTTGTTGCCGGGATTCCCGATCTGATTTACGTGAGGTGAGCAGCAGTCCAGATGGTGGCGATGCACACACAAATCCCTCCAAGACCAAGTCCTGCGCTGAGCTAAGCGCCATCATTGTCGAGACGCCCAAGGAGCTGAGTGTGGCGCAACTCATAAAAAGCCAAAAGGAGTCTCAAGTGGAGCAGGAAGCGATGCCATCGTCGCTACCTTCGTGTCCATCGAGCGTCTCGCTGCCAAATGCAGCAACCTCATCCATGGAACATCACTAGCTTTATCATCGTAGTCATGTATTATTATTATTATTGATAAGATGTTACGATTTTAACTAAAGCTTAAGCTTATTTTAGCGACTGCAGCTGCACATATGCTATCAAATAGATTAGCTTTGATCCTCAAATAGGATATATAGCATAAATTAGCAGTATTTGCCATATATATTTTTGGGAGCCAACATTTGAACATGAGACGCTTAATTAGTTTTAACGAGTGTTTATAAATAGTTTATAATTAAGTTTAACAAATAAATGTTGCATTTAGGTTCATATATACAATATACAATATACAATATACATTTACATTTATTTTATTTTTTAATGTTTTCCAACTAGTTATAAGAAAATAATATGCCAATCGATTTTTTTAAGTCATGTTCGGTGATCTCAATTAAGAGAAGGTAACAAAAACATTCAAACCAGTCTCGCTACAACAACTGAACAATTATTTGCATTAGCAAAAATACAATGATTCAGAATTGGAAACGGAATCAGATAGATGAATTTGATAAGGCCTTATATAGTTAATGGGGAATTTTACGCTCATTTCTGGCCTGGTCATCGTCACACATATACTCGAGGATGAAGAGTCGTATTATCAGCGCCAGATTGTTGGTCGTGGCATAGTCGATAACACTTTCGTTATCATCCGGTGTGTGCCAAACGCTGGGAAAGGGCATGGGAATCAAATGGAGAACGGGCACATTTCGCTGCAGGAAGGGCACATGATCATCTTCCACGCGACTTATGTACATCCCTTGGGGCTGAAAGTAGCGCCTTGGTTCACGTTTCGCGACACCGCTGCTCACATAGCGCTCCAACAGATGCCTCTGGCCTAGACGCGTCTCCAGATCCAGTAGTCGCATATACCACGACTCCGTGTTCGAGAAGAAGCTGTAGAAGTTGGGATCTGGTGCGCCCAGTAAATCGAGCAGCACCAGCATGTCGATGCGATCCAATTTGCCCTGCTCCTGCCACAGCTGAGCCAAGTGGCGAGCACCGTAAATGGAATCCTTGGGACCCCACTGATCGAACGCCTCCTCGCCGTCGAAAAAGATCAGCATAAGACTCAACTTTGAGTTGTGCAATGGGAGCAGCTGTTGCTGCAGCACCTTGGCCACATTCAGTAGAATCGCACAAGGCACAGCCGAATCTGTGGCACCCACAAACTCCACATCCGGCATATATTTGCTGTCGTAGTGGCAGGCCAAGACCAAATAGCGATCCGCTTGCGGATTCAACGTGGCAATTATATTGCTAAAGTGCAAGGTGCCCTTTATCGGTGCCTTATCGTGAAAGCTGTCCAGTTCCACATGCCAGTCGAGATCCCGCAGACTCTGCTCAATATATTGACGCACAATGCTGTGATTTGAAGTGCCAACCACTCTCGGAATGGCAATGTTTTTAATGGCCTCGAGCAGATGTTGGCCATCTGAGAGATTGCTATACTCCAGCAGCTGCGAATCGGATAGCCGACAAGGATTGTAAATGCTCTGAAAGAAATTTGCAGTAAGAATATTGAACCAGATGTTAAAACTGATGCTACCTTATTGCGACCAACAAGGTAGTCACTTGATGATGATGTGGCTGTTGTTGTTTGCCTGGCAATCAATGTGCTTAACACACATATTGGCCAGAAATATTGTGGTAGTTGTAGCTTCAACATGTTCACAATTGCTTCAAAATAGTTGGAGCAAAACTAATGCTTTTAAATATTGCAACAGGTGGTTGCAGACACGTTGATGCATGTGGCACTATGACAGTTGTGCGAAAGCGTGCAATGTAAGAGTATTTTTTTTTTGTGCCTTCAATTGAAGCGTTGTCGTTGCAAAGCATATTAAGACTAAATATTCAAGCCTTGTGTTGGAAATTAAAGTTAACAAAATTGGATAAGAAAAACGAACACAAACAAAAACTATGGCGTTGCCACATTGTTAATGCTCATTTAACATTTGCTCCACCAGTCTGTTAATGTGCTCACTTAACAGAGTTCATCAGCACTGCCTAGTTAACAGCTTGTAAATGATTTACAAGATACATTTCCAATTGGAATAAGACTGTTAAACGATTTTAAACGAACAAACAGCAATTGATAAATCTATTACTTAATGTTCTTCACCTGTTAAGTGGGTTAGCTACTTACCACATCGCTTAGCTCGAAGTAGGCGCCCAAGTTGTAAATATATTTACCCTGCCCGGGCAGACATTTCCTAAATACATCCGTCCAGCCATATTTACGTACAATATTGAATAAACCACGCATCTCTATTTCAACGTATTTTATACAATTATATATATGAAGATAATATACAATTTGTGATACTAAACACTGACCACAATCTGATTGATAGACCCCAAAAACAACATTGCAGCGCGTGTTTTGTTATCGAGAATTATGCAATTACACGATTTACGCACACACGTACACACACGTATATATATATCTTTTTAAATGGGGGTAACTTTCTCTCATACTCACAGAATAAACAATTCCCTTGTGAATTAGTTGTAATTAGTTTACTTAACGCTAATGTTTACTAAACAAAACAAGAAACGTTGCATTTGAAATTGGAAATGGTAAATAAATGGAACAGTCGCATTTTCTTGTGGCATCCCTCGAAGTGCCGTTAGTCCTGCTTTGACTGCGTCTTCGATCCGCCAAAATAGGCTCGATAAACATACAAGCCCAGTGCGATGTGAAGTGCAATAACCGCGCCAACAGCTGATCCAATATTCACCTTTATCTCGGACATGGTGAAGAATCTTTCCAGGACGTAGCCCTTCAGCGCGAAGAAAGTCACCACGGGCAGGAATACGATGAGCGAGCAGTAGAAGAGGACCACCTTTAAGGCACTGTAGTCCTTTGAGTCCTTCAAGAAATTGTGGACGCATTACATTTTGTAAAGAAAATACAGCCGGCAAAATGGGGCCAGTAATTGTTTACATTTCACTTACGTCCGATTGCTGTTTGGAGAGTTTGTTGTGGCCAGCGTCTCCTCCACCACCGTTACCCTTCTTGCTTTTGGTATTCATTTGGCTTAATACTTGTGCTATTTCAATAATGTTGGGAAACAGATTTAATTTACTGCTTTTTGTTGTTTTCTGTTTCTTTGACGTGACAATCACATGATAGGCTGGACAATATTAATCGATTGTTTAGCCCGTTGCGATCGAATATGTCGACTAGGTGGCAACGTATTTGTTTGTTTCAGCTCGTGCTCTTTAACTTGAAGCGACGTATACCACCAATTGATAAGGCCATATATATGTTAGTATCCAATGTTGTTGTAAATATCGTTATGAATTTAATATATCGCGTCTATTGTGAATGTCACATATATCGCATTCAATAAAAAGGGTACTCACCCTACGCGCTATCGATAATCATTATTGCGATATGTTGTGAATGCAAAAGCGCCTGCACATCGCCAGAAAACATATCGATATATATTGCCAATTGTATTTATTTTTAACAATTGGCGTCATTGGCTTTCGTATTGTTTCATTCGGTGATGGCGTGAGCGCGCGAGTGTGTGTGTTTTAATTAAATGGTGTTCTCCATTTTGCCAATGATGCTATTTTGAAGTAATTAAATAACTGAAATCGGCTCGCTGCAGTTGAACAAACATCGCCGGCCTCAACGCACGTACAGTCCGAAATCGAGCGTCGTTCAATACACAACTCGTTTTTGTTGTTCCGCTTCTCAATTTGTGTGTATCTCTGTGTGTGCATGTGCTTAAAGTATTCTTGGTAAATTTCCACTGCTCAGCGTATACAACAACGATAGCATCAGCGATGGTCTTGACTAATTTCGAGTGCTGGGCACATGGTGATTCCGATGCTGTCAATTTCGAAACTGGGACACCGGCGCGCAATTCATCGATTGTGGATCCATTCAATGCACGTGTCGTCTCTCACATTGCGTCCGTCTCGAACGGTTATTATGGATATGCGCTTGTAAACAATGCGTCTGACGCCGCTTCGGCTTCCGACAATAACAACAACAGCTGCAACAACAACAACCACACTGTGCAGCCAATGCAAATGCAAGTGAGCGATGCTGACGTCGGCGTCGGCGTTGGCTTCGACGCCTCTCCCTCTGCCACTGTCGCATCGCGCTGCAAGAAACGCTGCTTTGCAGTGGGACACGAACAGTTGGAAATGGAGATGGACAATTTGACGGCCGTGAAGCGATGCCGTCTCGATGATGCCGATCTGGTCGCACAGTATTGTAACGGTAATTTTATGCGCATTTATAATATTTATGTAAATGAAAAACGCTGAAGTTTAAAGTGTAATATATTTTTTTGCGGTTGGCCTTGACTTTTTTTCACACCGCACGCAGGCCGCACAACATAAAATGTGTGCGCTCTTTTTAATTTGCCGCTGGCGGTGAAACACATTTCGTAAATTGTATTACAAAATCAAATTTTGAAATTATTGTTGGCAACGTTTTTGATGTACACGTTTTTATTTTTGTCTCATATCTTTCTTTTTTCTGGGTCATCCCTTTCAGAATTCTTAGTCATTTTTTTTTGTGTTATCTGTGTAGATTCCGATTGGACAACGAACACACAACACAAACAAACAAGTAAACAACAAGTTTAGAATCACAGATACTCTATATTTTTAATTTACAAAAATTTATTGTCTTGAATAAGTTGATTTTTTAGTACAGTATATTGAATCGATTAATAATTAGTGTAAGGTTATTGCAGGATATACTCTGTATATATTTAATTATTAATAAATATTTACAAACATATATATATATATGTATATATTGACTCAAGTACGCCAAAGCTTTTTTATTTTACAAAAGCTCATTGTGTAAAAGACAAACACGCAATAACTCAACATGCGCATTGGCATGTTTTGTAAATTGTATGGCGGTGAAATGGTCATAAGAAACTAAATTATACTGGATTTATAAAATAAAGCGTGCAGCAGTTTGTCATGTTGAATAACTTAATTAAACGTATAAAACCCAAAAACACATTTTTAACCCCCCGAGCGATAAGAAGAGCAGTGCGGAGAATGGTGACATAGTCACAAGCCTGTTGCTTACACTCGCACACATGGTATATATATGTATATATATATATATATATGTATATATATATATATATATATATATATATATATGTTTATACACACATGTATATGTATTTGATGCCATTGTATTTGTGATATTTCTGGATTCTTTGCATAGATGAGATCATTCTTATCGGGAGTCTCTAAAAATCTTAATTTCTCACTTCTTGCAATTCAATAAATAAATAAATATATTTTTAAAAGTAGACAAATCTATACAATAAAAATATACTTGGGTCAATAAAAAAAGTTTCCAGTTATCGCTAGCTGACCTCATCCAAAACAAGTAAAGGTGCTTTAAGCGAAACTGCTCGAATCGGAAATACCCTGTATTCGAAGCTATTTTGGTAACTTATTATTTCTTTCTTATGTTATGGACAAATCAAAATTTGCTTAATATACAGTAATATGGATTTTATGGACAGACAACTTTTCTTGTGCTCTCCTCCCGTTATATATACCCACACCCCAATTTAATAACTACAGGGTATGTATATAAAAAAAGTTATTTTCAACGTTGATCGGTCGCCCCCGTTGACAAGTAATCAATATACGTTGGCCATCAGTTTTTCTATATGTTGTTGTTGCTGTTGTTGTCCAAGTGGGGCTTTCACTTGTATTTGGTTAATCAACGTGCTTATTAGACACTCTCTAAATGTTATCGCTGACAACAGCAACTGCAAACATAAACAGTGGTTAGTAATGCATAGAGAGAGAGAGGGGAGTAGGGGACCTGATAACCGATGACATCGCAGTCGCTGTCAACGCTGCCTACATTATTTACCGGCTATTTATAAATGAACGGTAAGTGGGGCACTATCAGCGCCGGCAGCGCAGCGACTGAGAATTTGGTTACAGTATTTAGCAATTGGAATCACGGAAATTATCAAAACGCAATTTGAAAAGTTTCAGAAGAGTGCAATATAATTATATATATTATTTATTTAATTTTGACACATTTTTAAATTAAATTGAAAAATTATTGTACTTATAATAAATATATAATTCATATTTTCAGATGTTTTTTTAAATTATTATTTTGCATTGGTCCAAGCCTAAATAAATATGAAAATAAATAATAACACTAATAAGGGCTATTTGTTTATATAGATTTCTTCTCGCTGCCTGCCACACATATGATCGGGACGCAGGCCTGTCTCATGGACTACGATTATGATATGCAGCAACAACAGCAGCAGCAGCAGCAACATCATCAGCAACAGCCGCAACAGCAACAACAACAACAGCAACAGTTGCATCCACGCATCCATCAACATTATCAAGGTCATTTGCATCGCGCTAACCGTGATGTGAGTCGTTGCATGATGTCGCACATGATCTAGAAACATGCATATCATCTATATATACATATATATGTCTAAATATGTATATAGCACAGACTCACGCACACACACTTAAACACACATACAACATGCAACAGTTCCCCCGACACGTCTCTCTTTCAGTCACCCAAAAATAATTTCCATTTGCCGTCGAATTTGCTTATATATTTAAATGTACATTCAAAAAAATTTGCATATTACTCACAAAAAAAAAAGAAAAGAAAACCAACAAAACAACACATTTACATACACCCACAAATACAGGCAGAGAAATCAGTCGGCGTGCGAACGTCGCGTATACTTAATGAGAAAATCAAATAAGCAATAGAAATGAGCCAAAGCAATTGTTAAAAATATCCACATTTAAATAGCAAAAAACGTATCAATTAATCGATCAATAATATAAGTATATATATAGTTTAAAACGTACATATATATACATATATTAAATGAATTGTTGTATATCGCCGCATTGTACAAACAACAAAAACAGATGATAAAATAATATTTGTATTAGAACTCGCAAACAGCATCGGTTTTGAATCTATTATGTACTTAAATTGAAACACAAAATCAAATTATTACTTATAACTACTTAAAACGTTGCAATCAAACAAACTAACACTTAAGCAATCTCTAATTAAGTCTAATATAGCATTAAGTTAAATATTGCCCACATTGGCAACAGCTTTGCAAGCAAAGGCCTTTCACAAAGTGTGTTTGCAACACATTTATAGATGGCTATAATATGAAGCTATAATTATGACTACTCAGCAAAAAAAGAGCTCTGTAGTTTGTAATTTCATGTACTCAACACACAGCTATTATATGTTGTTTTCTTTCCTTATTCTTTGATTTTCTTATCTTTATTTGCTGTTGATATACGTTTTCTTATCGTTGCCAACAGCGTTAAATATCTTATTCGCCGGCTATTAAAATTCGTTTTGATTGACTTATGCAAAGCCTATAAGGAGATCTGCTATTCGTTTGCTGAGACTCCAAAGTTTTGTAAAAAAAACCAGTTGTCTTTAGACTTTATCTCTTTTTTTTCTTCTCATTTTTCCAGTTTTCCTATTTCCTATTTCTATAAATATTCGTGCAAGCCGTCCGATTAAAAACTCGTTTATTAAATTCGCCTAACTTTAATTTGCTATGTTTTAAATCTGCTTCACTTTCCAGATCAAAATTGATATATTCATACTTAATGAAAAGCTTAGTTTCCAAAAAATGTCTTAAAATATTCTATTAAATATGAATAACTTGTCTAAACCGATTACAATTTCCATTATTTACCCAACTCCTTCGCGATATTCACATCCATTTCCATAGAATGTGCTTTCTTGTTATATCAGAACATTCTCGTACCTTATATACAATTAAAAAAAACTGTGAACTTATTTATTAAATATTAAGTAATCAATGGAATGCACAGCTCAATGTACAAATATTAACTGTCAATATTTTATTATTGTTATTTTCTATGAAGTTTTGTTCATATTGCATTTTTGATATTTCTATCGATCTTAGCAATTATGAAAAATTAAATTTATTATACGTAACAGTTTATCTTCAATGATAAAAGTTTATTTTCTTTACTTTAAATTGAGCATCGACTGGAATTGCTTGGATACTCACTTAAGCAATTCCAGTCTATGCTCAATTAAAGTAATCACTTCAACAAAAACCTTAAAATTGCATAGTTCCATCAATTGATGTAAATAACTAATTATATTTCAAATCTGCTTACCATTTTTCTGATACTCTTTAAGTTATTCTGCTTGCTTTATTCTATATAATGCGATCTTTCGGTCCTTCTATTCTCTTATCACTGACAACAGTGAATCCACTAGAAGATGTAAAAATTTCTTCGCTTCGTACGCTGATCCTAAGCTGATCAAATAACCAAACAAGGAATCCACACACTATCATTAAACATTGCTGAGTTTGTGGCTATGACTTTCCTTAAATATATTTTCTCCTATTTGTGCAGCTAATAAATTGTCTTACGCGCCCATTTTCAAGTGCTATAAAAATGACAGACTTTTTTAGATTTCGATAGCAACTTTAATTTTGTATGACTTTGTGTCAAGTCATGGTGCATAATTTCCTAATCCTTTCTGTATAAATAACATATGTAAACGTAATTTTTTTTGACCTCCTCTTACTTATATAAGTTTCCAAATCCGAAACCTTTTTGTAATCCTCCCATTTTCGATTAAAATCTTAACGCAAATGTTTTCAATAAAGAAAGACATTTTTTTTCGAGGGATGGAATGTTTTATATTTCCTTAGTTTCTTGCTAATTAACTACCGCTAATTTGTATTATTAAACAAAATGCTAACTTGTCCATATATATTCTAAAAATGAATGGAAGTTGTATACTTGTTACTTTTTGATTAGGCATCAATGTACTACAAAAAGTTGTGACAATGAGCTGACAATGGAATTATTTAAAGTTGTACATGTACCTATTCAAAAAGCCTGTTTGTTTTTGTATAATGCTGTATGGTATAATAAAGGTGGCAATTGTAAATAATTTCTGTATTTAGTTAAAAGTTTAGACAAACTCGTCAACACTCTGTAAATCAATTTCTTATGCAAAATACTTTGTGAAGAGCCTTGCAAATGAAAAAAAAAAACAAAAAAAAAATATTTAAATTCGAAATTAGAAATTAGAAAATTACACAGAGATGAAATACAAATCGAATATAAAACTGATAGAGAAAAACTCTCTGCTCTCTGCTCGTTTACAGACGGCCCACAACAAGAGCAGCAACAGCAGCGACAACAAAATTCAGGCAATGTCTTAGAGACCATAAATGATAAACTAGATGCTAAAAGTGAATCCAAATTCACAGATGAAACAGCTGATTTGTATATAGCCACACATGGCGGCTGTCTGCATCATGAAGCGATCGAAGAGTTCGATATATAGAACTTAATATATATCTATCAATTATATATTTATATGTAGAGTATTTTCTAACCATAATGCATTGTATAACGTAGCCTAAGTAGAAAGTAAGAGTTGAAACTTAACACAAACTGGATTTGTATTTAAATCCAACAAGGTGCTTAGATTTAATTAATGACGTGTAATAAAAGCTTTAAACCTGAAACACAAAATAAACAAATATATTCAGTTCCTTTTGCATTTTAACAATTACCACAAGGCACTTTAAAGTGTGGCATAATGTTTATATAAAATATAAATATATATTTAGAGTGAGTAAATGAAAATCGTTCAACAATTCTTAGTTTATTGTGTTTATTTTCCCAAAGACAAGAAATTTATTTCAACAAATTGTACAGTTAAATGCATTTACATGCCATCGGAATCCAATGGATTGGTGGAATACTATTTAGTTGCGATTTTCCAGTTGCAGTGCCCCGAGCATCTTAAGGCTGCCCATTTGGCGCATTGATATAATTCTCCTGCACATCCTTGACCATGAAATCGACCAGATTTTTTAAATCATATTTGTGCTGCCAGTGCCAATCATGGCGCGCCTCCGAATCATCAAAGATCTGCGGCCAAGAATCGGCAATAAGCTGTCTGCTATCCGGCTTATAAGTCACATGCAAGTCGGGCACATGCTTGCTCAGCTGATCCACCAGCTCCTCGGGCGTAAAGGACATGGCTGTCACATTGTAGACACGTCGCTTCAGCTGCTCGTTGGGTGCACGCATAAATTCCAGCAGAGCCCTGTCAAATGGTATAAAGTAGTTAAGAATACTATTTCTGGCTTTGATATTGGGGTTTACCCACCGCAGGCAATCCTCAATGTACATCATGGGTAAACGTGTGTCTGGTTTGAGGTAGCACGTGTATTTGCCATGACGCAATGCCTCATGGAACACAGCCACAGCATAATCTGCAAAAAAAAGAAAGTTTTTGGTTATGTTTTTTATTATATATATTATTGTTTAATCAGTTTAAGTTTGAATTTTAGAAATCAAAAATAATTAATTTAAAGTAAGGAATAGGAAAAGTAATTAATCACATTTGAAGTTCAAAGAATTCAAAAGCAGGGAAAAGAATTAATCACGGTTGGAGCGAAAATATAATATAATATAACTATATATAAATCTAGTTATTAATTTTGCAGCCATGAATAAATATCATGTTATTTATTTTGAATATAAAACAGTTGAGCTTGAAAATCTAGTTCTCTAGGTGATTAAATTAACTTATTCATGTCATTAGCGTGGCCTGGATTGGCAGTTTAAGTATAATTTCAGATTCTGCACATTGTCATGCTATTGGTTAGCATAAACTATATGCCAACAATTGACTTTAATATAGCTTGAAAATCATTTAACTACACGTTACAGTTTAGTTGGCGAAAGTATCTGCAATTTCTCGATGCTAATATACTTTGATGATTGACAAGTGACTTACCCGTAGTGCCGCCGCCTGGCGGATCGCTGGAAATAACGCCTGGGAAGCGTAGACATCTGAAATCCAGACCGAATTTGTGATAATAATATTCACCAATGAGCTCGGCATGCACCTTGGAAACGCCATAAATAGTGCGCGGCCTTTGTATCTGCAGCAATGAGACCGTATTTGAATATCGAACAAACTGCCGGAGGAGCGAGCAGCGGCTACACCTACCGTAACATTCGGTGTGGGATTGCGGGGACTGTCAGGCCCAAAGGCGCCAATTGTGCTAGGTACAAAGACGCGCAGCTTATACTGTTTGGCCAACTCGATAACATTGTGCACGCCCTCAATGTTGACTCTAAGAAAGTGGTTTACATAATTGAAATTTATCGAGCATCACTGGGGATCCGTTCGGGTATTTTTACCTCACAGCTAGTGGAACATTTTGCTCACCCACTGCACTGAGCAGTGCCGAGAAGTGTATTAGCCAATCGATGCGATGATCTACGACAATCTTCTGCAAACCCTTAAAGTCCAGTATATCAGCGAATATATAGGGACCATTCTCCAGCACCGCTTGACTGGGCTTGATAATATCCGAGAGTATAACGTTCTCATTGCCATAATGGGAGCGCATCAGCTTGGCGCACTCAATGCCCAGCTGCCCCAGACCACCTGCTCAATGGAGGAGTAGAGTGGAACGCATATTAAAAAGCTATCAAATGGTAGCAGCACCGGTCAATGAATTGGAGCCTTGAACAACTGACTGACCCGTGATTAGAATCTTCGGCGGTCTGGTTGCAGGCGCTTTATGATGTATCAGCCTCAGCACTGGTTGCACCTGTCGCTGACTAAATGTCAGACTGGTCAGACACCTGCGCCACATGTTTCGAAATCGATTTGAGTTGCAGCGGATTCTAAAGGCGACACGTCGCAGCGAGTTACAGTTTTCAACTGATTTCGAAATTTAGCAAATCATTTTTACAAGTCAAATATGTTCACTATATACTCGTATTCGCGTAAATATCGCCTGAGCAGTCGGATCACTATTCGTTAGTTGTCGGCAGTTGGCATACATTCAATTTAAGTTTTTTTTACTGTTGTTGTTTTTAGTTTTTTGATTCATTATGAGACATTGCTGGTGTTGGTGTTGTTGTCACCATGGCAAAAGATATATCGTTTTGCCATTTATAATATAATAAAAGCGAAAGCAACCGCTGCCAAGAGGAGGCCCGCCATTTGACAACAACAATCAAAGAAAAATAGCAGCAGCAAAATCAAATTGAGTTAATTTAGCTAGGCGGGTTTCCTTATGGGTAGGGGGGAGAGCAGGTCTTATTTCGGTACATATCTATGCGACGAGGTTATGCAAAAAAAAAAAATTAAACATGCGCATACAGGGTGTTCCATAAAGCAATTGCAACAAGACAGGCCCCCAATGGAAAGATCTGAACTTATTTCCGTAGAAGAATAAAGATTGGTGTATTGGCTGTTGCTACACTCAGAAGAAATGCATTCTGAGATGTAGAAAATCGCTTTCAATTGAGAATTATAATGATATTATTGATTCAGAATTAAATTTTAAATATAAGAAATTCCTTTTCCTCAAACGCTTGCCCTAAATCAACAATCCCAAAAATATGGTGTTTTTCTATTCTTAAGAAATATTTCTATTAAGAAATGCATTTAAAAAAAATAGAAATGCAAAAATTGTGAATTTTAGTATATTATCGAACAGAGGTCGAGAAGATGTTAAGCCATGATCGTTATACGAGGACTCAAGAACAAAAGTCAGAATTAAAGATTTCTACCCATTTAATATGACAAAGCCCCCATTCAAATTCTTCATACCACGCTACTGTAACTTCTAATGTTCATAGTTTGTAACGCATATTTTTTGTCGACTTTCTAACAAATCGGGGCGAAATTGAATTAACCTTGAAAACAACAATAGATTCTAGCATCAATTTTTCAATACCAGGAGAAATGAAATAAATTGATTGTAAGTGAGGGCAAGCGCCTGTAAATGACAAATGGAGAAACGTGTGCTGTGTTGATTACACAGCATTGAACTTGCACTAGTTTTAGAATATAAAATGTAAATTAATGTTCCCCAAAGGTTATCAGCATGCATAGAAACATTTTGCATTAGGCTCTTGAAGCAATGACGTGCAATGTTATGCCAGTTGCATAGCCTTGAATATGTTGACGTATGTATATGTTTTTCACACTTAGACAACTCAAGAATACACTTTGTATTATGCTTCGACTAAAAATACTTGGGCATACGCATTTGAAAACCCGCACCCGCAACTAACAAATCGGACAGCTGGGAATTATTTAACCACAGAAATGTATATACTTCAGCATGTTTCGTTTCAACTGTTACGCAGCGAACATTCCAAATTGCTAGACAGTTTTTTAAATTAAATTCATATATTAAGAAAGTGTTGTATGCTTTAACTGCCAGTGGCAGTCCCAGTCCCAGTCCCATGCCCAGTGCCAGTCCCAGACCTATGTTCAGCCAAGCGACCACAAAGCTGGCGACGATGCCGTTAAAGTTTATGTAACTAACAAAAGGAGACAATAATAATGATGACGTTTAAAACTTTAAAACAACCAAAACAGTAACAAACACAAATATGTGAATCAAGCGCTTGATGAGGCTTCTATTAAATTTAGCAAAACTGAGCCGAGTATAAAGCGCCCATGAGATATCGTGAGATAACCGGCAAGGAAATAAAAGTAATAGAGAATTGGGGATTCTATGACAGGAAGTGGCTTATTGCTTTTGATTTTTAATTGCTTCAATATTGGAGTTAATTTATTGGATGGGGGAGTGACAGGTGCGCTTCTCTTTTGTCACTATTTTGGCAATGTATAGAACTCATACGAAACCTCACACCTGAATGTTTTCCCACACAAAAACATATACATATATTTGTTTTTATATACTTCCAGACTTGTAAGACGGCAACTCACATCACACAAGTCACAGTTATACTGCTGCAAGACATGCCTAAATTATTCACATAATGAGAGGATGCATGCAGAGCAAGGTTGTGTCAACGCTCCCATCGGAGGAAAAAGCAAGTCTTCATTTTAAGAATTTTAATCGTAGTTTAGATGCACCTTTGGTCATATATGCAGATTTTAAGAATACAATCACGTACGCACACACAAGTGCTGCTGAGTGATCCTCCACCTGATGTCAACCCACAATAAGAAAAAGGGTCAGCCATAAATCTATATCCTTCGATCATAAATGTCGCATACGTGATCCACAACCATACATTTTTCTGAAGCAATTAAAAATCAAAAGCAATTCCCTACTACTATGATGACGTTTAAAACTTTGAAACAACCCAAACAGTAACAAACACAAATATGTGAATCAAGCGCTTTATGAGGCCTTCTATTTAATTTAGTAAAACTTAGCGGAGCATAAAGCATAAATATCCCATGAGATATCGTGAGATACCCGGCAAGGAAATAAAAATGTCTGGAAATGAAAGTGAAACCTTTTGCTAATTTGGCGACAAGGAAATTGAAATACAGTCTTTTATATTAAGAGTAATATGTTCAGTTGAATCTTTTAAACACAGAGACTTTGATAAGATTTGGAACTTAAGTTAAAAGTTACTGATTTATTTTTATTATTTTCCAAGGAATCGTATTTTGCTCTTCCTAGTTCGTTATGGAATGTGTTTTTTTTTGTTTTAATAATTCGTTAATAATTACTACAAATTTGGAATTTAGTGTTAACGTGTAAACAAAAAAATCTTAAAGTATAAGTTGCAAAAAAAAGTTACATTTTATGAACATTTTATAACATTTGCAAAACTGAGTATAATTACAAAACTATGTTTGCTTTTTTATTTTGTTATATTTAATGGCTTTGTGAAAGACTGTAACTCACGACCATAGCCATTAATTAAAATAATTAGAGGGTTTTTTTGTTTTATGTCTTGGTGTAGGCAGAGAGTTTCAAAAGCTTCAGGCAGACTTTTTAATATAGTTTAAAAACAAGATTAGAGGCAAATGATATTAGATAAGTCATTTCTAGACATATATGTATATACACAAAAAGTTATCGCATTATTATAATTATATTTAAGATTATTAACTTCTGTTTAAAGTGTGGTTTGGCCTTCGCATTTAAACAAGCAATTTCCTCACATTATTCACACTAATTTCACTTGCAATTTCAATATAATCGTGCCATAAACAACCAACCTCACACCGACAGCAACATGACCAGGCACAGTTCCCAACACCAACCGACGTCGACGACGACGACCCCTGAGCCCTGGTCACAGTTCAATTCTTTGTTTGAATCCACATGCGATCCACACAAATGCTCTGAGCCAAGTAGCTGGCCAAGTTGTCTGTTGAGTGAGAATCAGCCAAGTGTGGCGCCAAACTCTGCTCCGATATTGCACAGGCAGGAAGCATTCGCTTCTTGGCGCTACTCCCCCGCATTCCAGTGAATGTTGAATGTTGTACGCTCAAAATATTTGTAGAAATCTTGAGTAATCTGGTGGGCTCCACATAACGCTTTGAAAACAGTTTCAACGCGCATTCCAATCGAGACGGTTCGGCAAGTCGGCTCCTCACAAAGAAAAATCCACTGAAGAAGTTTAAGTGCGTTTTTAATTCAATTACACAAAATTAATAAGAAAAGCAAAAGTGCGCTTGAAAGTGAAGTGATCGGAAATTTGAAAACAACGAAAATAAATCTATACTCGTTGTGGAGCTTAAGAAACCCCTTTCGATGTGCAATTGATAGAAAAGTTTTTGAGTAAAATTTACAAGAAATAATTTAAGCTAAAGAGCAGAAACTCAGACGGATTATTTGGATACGCAGTTTTTAAAGTAAGCTTGGCTAAAAACTTTCAAAATGTAACAATAAAAGCGAGGAAAACGTTGCTTATTGATGGGTGTTCCCCCTGAAAAAAGAATTTAGTTGTATTTATTTGCCTAAACGTTAACTATATAAGAAATAATCTTAATACGCTCTTTTTTTGGCATTTGCTGGATGGACTGACTTAAAATAAAACGTTCTAATTATGACAATATTAATATTATCTCACGCAAATCGTAAACTATTTTTCTGCATTCCCTATAAATACCGTTTTAAAGTACACGCAAATTCAAGAACTAACAGTTATTTAATTAGTAGAGACTCAAAAGAAATCAGAGCAAAATAAGAAACTACATAAAAGTGGTGAAACTGTCGCAAAAGATGTCGCCTCCAGTTGAGCTGCAGAGCAGGTTTTCAAGAGTCACACTTAGTTGCGGCAGATCCATAGATCCATAGTCTATAACTTCAAGGTGTACGAAGTAAACTGGCGCTTATAGCTAGCTTTGTGCTCTGAGCGGCAGCTGGAAGCCAAAGAAATTACAGACAATGATGAAAACGACAATAATTTCAAGGTTCGTTTGATGTAAACTCGGCGCGCATGCGTATAGAGAGTGGAATAGTAGACCATATGGAGGGGCAACAGCAGCAGAAGCTCTTCAGACCGTTTCACTCCCTGCAACCAGCTACTACGTCTATTTTTGCTCATCTTTATGTTTGTTTTTTGTTTTGTTGTTAAATGATTACAAAATTTTGTTGAAAAGCCATGTTACGCTTCTCGGCGCAAAAAGTTTCTTTTTTTTTTTGGTTTTTTTTTTTTGGTTTTTGGTCGAAGTTGCGCAGCTGCATTGAGACTACAGCTGTACATTTAGATATACTTGGTGGCTATAGCCCTGGATTGTAGATATGCCAGTTTAGAGCATTGTTTTTACAAAGTCTTTGGGTTATTGCACAAGTCGAAGTACAACTTCCTGTCGTGCGACTGGCCACTACCAAAACTATGGCAATAACATGCTTTAATAGTATCCAAAATTGGCATGGATGCAGTTATCCTAGTAACAATCTTCTTTAAACAAATATGGATACTGAAATAATGCAATTATTTTTCTTTTTGCAAATCGCTCCTTACCCCTGATTATTTTTTATAGATAGATGATAATAAAAATAGCTTAAGTGTAGACAGAAAAAAAAAGAGCTGATAAGCTAATCATATTAAATGATTAATACAAAAATATTGTTATTGTTTTATAAACAAAAACAATTAATCAATAAATTCTCCATTCGGTTGCGAACTATTTATTTTGCAATGCTTGGTTGAATGCAATACAAATCGTTTTTGTCAACATAATTAGCGACTTTCATACGTGTTGATTCTCTCAACAATCAAATCGTTGACCAGCTCCTTCATGTTGTTGGCCACAATGAAGTCCAAGTGATTGAAACTCTGCAGAGGCACACGATGATCCTCGGTCAGATGGGTGAACTTGGAAACCATTGTGTCGACATCCTCTGGACCGCACAGGGCATCGTTGTGGCTGGAATACGAGTGCGTCTTGGCAGTAATTTTGCTCAGATCATAATCGGGTGGCAATTCCTGGCCATAGAGTGCAAGATTCTTCTTGGTGCCCCAATCGTATTGACGGAACTTGTTCGAAACGCTCAGTTGGATGTAATGAATGCCCTGATTGCCAGAAGAGCCACCCGGATGCGTTTCAATCAAAGTTTGCATGGATGTCTGAAGGAGAGACAAGATATTTCATTAAAGATGGAAATCAATTTAAATATGCAGTCCAATGAATTTGAGTATGTTCCTTTACTATTAAACATATGGCTCTGAGTCAAGTTTCCACTTACCAGATTGATGTTCTCATAGCCGCCATTGGCGAACATTAGGAATCCGTTCTTGCAGATGGAGTCAAAGGGACTACCGTGTCCACAGGCAGTGTCCCCAATGCGATTGATTAGATTATTATGCGGAATCAGTTCAGAGTCCACAAACACCTGATTCCAAATGCCACCGGGTGTGCCCACCAATGGACTCAACAATGTAAAGATTGGGGATGCACCATGTTCAAAGAAGGCGCACGGGGCCAACAAATGACCCGACTTGATCTTCTCATTGTACTCCGGCCGCTCGGACATCAGCACCAAATATACCGTTGTGCCCTGCGAGTGACCAGCATAGTGCAACTGACTGTGCTGCGTCTCATCCAGAATGTAATCGATCATGGCCGCGATGTCGATAGTGCCAATCTCATGCCAATCAAAGTGCCAGAACTTGGGATTGTTCACGGACATCTCAGTGTTGCTTCGCGAGTAGATGTTGCCGCGTGCATTGCCCAGCCAGACATCGTAGCCGGCATCGGCTAGCAGATAAGCTAGCGAATCGTCCGGTCCTGAACAGAGCCAGCAATCTGAGTTGCTGAACAGTCCATGCTGCAGTAGCACAGGTGGCCGATCCAGGTGCTGGTTATTCAGCTTATGCGAGTAAGGAATGCGGAAGAGGGTCAGCACGTAACCATCTTCGGTGACGACTTCATGGGTCTCAGCCGGGTATCCATGGGAGCGTATGCGTTCATCCGATTTCACCATCTCATTCAGGCAATATTTGGGATCAGCGGACGCTTGTCCCAAGGCCAGCACAAGTGGCAGAACGTAGAGAAAGACGCGCATTGTAGACTATAGAAGTAACCTCCGGGGTCTGAAACCAATCACTGTGCTGCCTTCTTATATAGCCAGAGAGAGATATTCCAGTAACTTATCAATGAAATTGATTTATTTAATGCCTGATAACTCTATTGATAAGTTTAGTCAGTCAGTTTAGTCAGTTACCATTAATTTAAGGCTCCTTCGTACGGGCCATTCCGTTGAAGTGTGGTATATGCTTTGTCCAGGGGGGGCCAAATCTAGACGATCTATTGCCCACTATTTTTTGCAAATAGCGTTTAATTTATATATGCTTTCACTTTGTCATATATTGTCAATAATCAGTTATCATTGCCACCTGTTTGTAGGAGAGCCATCAATGTTTTGATTCTATGTTTGGAATTGGAAAATATGTGAATTCATTCAGCTGTGCACTTTTATTATCAACAATTTTGGATTTGATTATTTTGAAAAATATTATCAAATTATAAGATTATTTGAATAATCGAATCGAATCGAATCGTTAAGTGCTCTAAGTAGTATATTACACATGTATGTTATATATTTGAGATTATCCGTTGTAACACAAACTCGTAATTTATAAATTATGTAAAATGCTTTTATATATATAGAAAACAACACCCTTAAAATTAGACATATCTTATCTTAATTTTAAAAAAATCGGTCCTCATATTAAGAAATGCAAACCTTATAAAAACTAAGGCAGAAATTTTCCTTCTGAATAATCAGGTGAGGAACTCTTGGCACCAATCTATCTAAAATCCAGGACGATTTTTTCGGAGTGATTTAGTTTATTAATAGTTTAAGTTTTTCTTCTCTTCTTTTTAAATACAATTTTATTTAAATGATCATAAGAAACAACCCAGGTTCAGCACTTGTTTCTCTAAGATACCCGGTTCCTAATCCTAGAATTTGTGTCTTCCTTCTTCTCAAAGCAATTACAAAGTTATTGTTAAGCTTTTTGGTGTGTCCTTTAGGTATGTGCCAGTCGGGCTACACCATTCCCATGAACTAAGTGCATCTCAGAATGATATTGCTACCCATCCTGCTGCTATATGCCACATGGACGACGCTGGTGCAAGCAGACAGCTGTCCACCCTCGGAGGCAATTCTGCCTTGTCGCTGTTCACTGCGTGGCAAGGAGATACAAATATGGTGAGTCCATTGTAAAATAAAACCTCAGACTCAACTCAGCCTTTACTTTGCAACAGGTGCTCGCACAGCAATTTGCCACAGATTATGGATGGCCTGAAATCCGTGGAGCGGAATATTAAGACCAAAATCGATGAGTTGGTGCTGGAGAACAATCAGCTGCCGGCACTGCCTGGACGCTTCTTTGGCAATCTGCAGATTGTGCGCCTGATGTTGAGATACAATAGCATCGAACGTGTGTCCAACGGGTGGCTAAATGAGCTCGAGAATAGTCTAGTGGAGATCTTCATAGTGGAGCCACAGCTGCGGAGCATCCCATCGGAGAGCTTGAACGGCATGATCAACATGCTGGCCATCACCATCCAGAGCGATGAGTTAAAGCATCTGCCCGACTTCTCCGGTCTGCTCAGTCTGACCTATATGAGTGTGCAGAGCGGATCCCTGACTGAGTTGCAACCACATAGCTTCCGGCATCTGCCCAAGTTGCAACACATACACATCACTGGGGGCACGGGTCTGACACGGCTGGAGGCGGGCCTATTCGATGGCTTGATATCGCTGAAGAATCTGGATCTTAGTCGCAATGGTCTCAACTGGATTCACTTGCGTGCCTTGGCAAGGTTGCCCAATTTGGTTAGTTTGAAGCTGTCGCATAATCAGATCAGCGATGTGGGCATGATTGGACGCATTGTCAAGGATTTGGAGCATTTGAAGAAGCTGCGCTTGGATCACAACATCATCAATGTTATTGAGGATGGATCCTTTGTCGATTTACCCAATCTTTCCGAGCTGCATCTGAATGATAATCGCATCACAGAGTTGCAATATGGCGCCTTTCTCGGCACCCCACAATTGAAGACGATTTATCTGCACAACAATCTTATCCGACGCATCCATCCGGAATCAATGCTGCAGTCCTCCGGCAGCGGGGTCGAGGCCGTGCACATCTACAACAATGAGATTGCCCATGTGGAGGCACTGCGTGCTCTGTTGGATGCTCTGCCCACACTGCGCTTCCTCGATATGAGTAGCAATCAATTGAGTGAACTGCCCTATGGAGCTCTGCGTGGCCATGGCACCCTGGAGCAACTGCATCTCAATAACAATCAGTTGCGGCGAATTGAACGTGATGCCTTGATGGCAATGCCCGCTCTGCGGGAACTGCGCATGCGCAACAATAGTCTTAGCTCCGATTTGTCATTGCCCTTTTGGAATCTACCCGGTCTGAAGGGCCTGGATTTGGCGCAGAATCAATTCGTTCGTGTGGATGCACAGCTGCTGGCGGGTTTGCCGTCACTGCGTCGTCTGGATCTCAGCGAGAATGGGCTTAAGGATCTGGCTGCCAACAGTTTTCGGCACAACGGTCTGCTGGAAACGCTCAACATATCCTCCAATGAGCTGAGCCGCATTCAACCGGGCACTTTTATGCATTTGGAACGTCTCTTCGAGGTGGATGCCAGTTTCAATCAGCTGACGGTTGTTATTCCAGGCCTGCCCCAAATTGTGGAACGTATTTCGTTGCGTGGCAATCGGATTACCGCTTTGCCCGCCGCTGGCAGCAAATCGCTGCAGCTGCCTAATCTGCGCATGCTGGATCTCAGCCAGAACCGCATCGAGCAGCTGGCGCGTCATGGATTCCAGGCGGCGCCGGAGCTGCGTGTCCTGAGTCTGGCGCAGAATCAGCTCCGCCTACTGGAGGACACGTCATTCTTGGGCATCCAGCGTCTGGAGCTGCTCCACCTGCAGGACAATCAGCTGGGCCAGGCGGATGAGCGTGCACTACTACCGCTTGCGGAGCTGCGCAATCTCAATTTGCAGTCCAACAAACTGGAGTCCGTCACGGACAATTTTTTCTCGAATAACAGCCGGCTGGAGCAGCTGGATTTGTCCCGCAATCTCATACGCACCATTTCACCCACCGCCTTCGATAACCAGCGGTCGCTGGAGTACCTGGATCTGTCCGGCAATGCACTACTGGACATCTCCGTGGGTCTGGGCAATCTGCACAGTCTGCGGGATGTGGATCTGAGCTACAATCAGATCACACGTGTGCACTCCGATGTGGTCAATAACTGGCGCAATGTGGTCGAGATACGTATGTCCAATAATCTGATTGTGGAACTGCAGCAGGGCACATTCAGAAACTTACCCAAGTTGCAGTATCTGGATCTCAGCAGTAATGAGATTGCCAGCGTGCAACCAGGAGCCCTCAAGGGTCTGGATGAGCTGCAGGAGTTTGTGCTGGCCGACAATAAGCTGGTCGAGCTGAAGGATCATGTTTTCGAGGAGCTGCCCTCGCTACTGGCCTCACATTTTCAATACAATAAACTGCGCTTCATCTCACCGGAGAGTTTTCATCATGCCAGTTCGCTGGTCTTCCTTAATCTGTCCAACAACCATTTTCGTAATATGGAGAACATTGGATTGCGCAGCATGCGCAACCTGGAGGTATTGGATCTATCCACCAATGGTGTAAAACTGGTCTCAACCATGCCACTCAAGGCACTTAATTGGCTGGTCGAGCTGAAGATGGACAACAATCAGATATGCAGAATACAGGTGGGTCTAAAAATCAATGAAAGATTGTGTTTATTTAACTTTCTCCTTGCCTACGAATTTGTCAGGGCTCCCCCTTTGAAACCATGCCCAGATTGCGAGTTCTATCCATGCGCAATAACCAACTGAGAACCATCAAGGAGCGAACGTTTAGGAATCTGAGAGGCAACATTGCTATACTTGATGTGGATGGTGAGAATAAATTCAATTAAATATTATAAGAGGTATAATAAAGTTAAGTACATTTATTCCCATTAGGTAATCCCATTGATTGCAATTGTGAGATGCAGTGGCTCTCTGTCTGGCTGCAGGAGACGAATTTCCCCTATCCCGGACCGAAATGCAAGGATGGTCGACTTCTGCGTGCTGCTCGCATGGAGCGCAGTCTGTGTGCCGGCCTGGAGCTGTTCAAGGGTGGCGAGAACAATGATCGCAACGATGGCGATCATTTGCCACTGCTTAACGAGCATGGCGATGTCTTCCAGCGTGATCTGCCCGACGAGTTCAATGATGAGTGCGAGGCAAATGGCGAACGACCGATGGTGGGCGACAGTGAATACTTCTACGATCAGTATGTGGACTCCACGGATGTGCCGGATGCCAGCAATGCAGTGGGCAGCAGCTCACAGCGACCCCGTCCGACGTCGGTGGCAAGTGGCAACATTGATCTGAACAATACGCTGCTGCACACCAAATACTTTAATAGACGACCACAGCCTGGTGACGGCGTTGGATCACCGTTCACCTTCTTTGGCTATCCCATACCCAGTCTGAGTTTGGGTCGCTTCTTTGGCTTTGGCGACCGTGGACGCAAACAGCGCACAGATCAGGACGATGCAATGCCAGCCACACATCGCATGGCGCACATCAACTTGCCACCGACTGGACGAGGAAAGACGAGGATGTATCAGCCGAACAGCGCCGAATTCGAGAAGTATTTGCGGGAGCAGCAGCAACAACAGCAACAACAGAATGCTCGGAATCGTTATGGTGCGGCCGAGGTGGTCACCAACTCAGCGGAAGAGGCGCAGAGCAATGAGAGTGGCGCGGCGACAACTGTTGGCGTTTTTCGCACCACATTTCGTGAGCCGACGAGCATCGAACGCGGTGGCTTTCGTCCAATTGTGCCCGCCCATGTGGGCGGTTTTATGCCAGTGCCTGATCCACAAAAGCGTCGAGGCCTGGTGGAGCCCGTAAATGTCACCAGCAAGCCACACTTGGAGCATCACTTTGTGCCCATAGCGGTGCGGCAGGAGAAGTCGGAGACACAGGCTCATCCCAGCCCCACCACCAGCAGTTCAGAGAGCAGCGAGACGGTCACCTACTACGTGACCGAAACGACGACCGACTTCACCACACCGATGCCAGTGGTGCTAAGCACAAGGCCAATCTCAACTACACGCACCACAGCCAGAACTACAACCCGAAGCTTAACAAGTAGTTCGACCACAACCACAACAGAAGTACCCCAAAGCAGCGCCTCCAGCGAGCAACAAGATGTGAACTCCCAGTACGACGATGATGAGGATTTGGAGGCGCAATCGGTAACGCTGCTCCGGCCACCGAAACTGTATCAAACAACAACAGCAGAAACCATATTATTAATACCGCCAGCGGAAGAGCACGTGGCACAAATCAAAAGTCATTCGTGGGTAACGACAACGACAACGGAAGCACCAACTGATTACAAGGCAACGCCCAGCAGCAGTGCTCAGGTGACCGCTGCGCCTGCGCGGGGAGCGGGTGCGGCGGCGGGAGGTGTACGCAGTCCCGGCGGCCGTTCGACCATCACCAAGGTGTATACACAACACCAACAACAGTTGGCACAGCCCACGGCCGAGGAGTATCAACGCACCACGCCCAGCATAGACAATGAGAGCTTGGCCAGCGAGCAGCAGCTTATTGCCAGGCAGGCACAGAAGCGCACCGATACCCAGCCGGAGCCGGTGCTGGCGGAGCGCAAGGATGGCATGGATTGGTACTACGAGAGCTTTAAAAAGAAGCGCGATTTCACAGAACGCGGCTCAGCGTCCAACAAGGAGATGGCCTATGGCAATGTAGTGCCGCCAGAGTTGAGTGGGAGTTTCAGTTGGAGTCGTGTGAACCGAAGGAAAATCATATTTATGCTGTTGTTGTTGCTGTGGATTCGTTAATAGATAGCTGTGTTTGGGAGTGTTGTTTATAAGTTTATTTTTATATACCATTGAAATAGATATTAAAATATTGAAATATTATGTCTGAATCAATTGCCGCTGGAGTGGCCTGAAAAGAAAAGGAATTTAATACAAATTAGTTTCATATTTTTCACAACAAGCATTCTTTTTGTTTTGGAAATTAGTCAGATGGTGATGCATGTTAAATAGATTTCAACATAATTGCTCTGAGTAGGGTATGAAATTGTCATCATTGAAAGGTTTTTACTTTGGATAATATCCACTAAAAGACTTACTTCCTGGGATTGATTATGAAGCAGTTCCAAATCTGCTTTTCCAATTCAAAGTGCACACGACGTCTAAAAGTAGAATTAGCAAAAGTTAGTGTTATGTTTTTTCATCAAAGAATAAGATTATTAAGTAACTAATCAGATGGTGATGCATGTTAAAAAGATTTCAACATAATTGATCTGAGTAGTGTATGAAGTTTTCATCATTTAAAATTATTTTCTAGTTGACAATGGATATAAAACTTACTTCAGATCATGGTCTAATTCTCCCATTTGAATTTACGCTGATTCAAAGTCCACGAAACGCCTGGAAGAGAATTAATGCACATTAGTTTCATGTTTTTTAAATGAAGAACTAGTTTTCTATATGAGTAATCAGATGGTGATGCATGTTAAATAGATTTCAACATAATTTGTCTGAGGAAGATATGAATTTATCATCATTGAAAGGTATTTTCTAGAGTTGTTGATGTATATAAGACTTACTTCAGATCATGGATTAATTCCGTATTCCAATTATCAAAGTGGATAAAGCATCTGCAAGAAAATTAAAGCAAATTAGTTTCTTGTTTTTTTTAATTCAAAACTAGTTTTGTATGTGGTTGATCAGATGTTGATGCATGTTAAATAGAAATAAATAGAATAGTCCACATAATTGCTCCGAGTTTAGTATAAGAGAAACTAAATGTGACAATGTGTGTATTTTGAACTTATAGTACAGTATGTCAATAAAGTGTTCGGACACAGGAAAAATTCGTATTTTCTAACTTCTTTTGCAAACAAATATTTTAATATCGACATTTTGCAAAAATTACCTTTCATGGCCAGATTTCAACAGAATATGTTCACCAAGGTCACAGACAACGTGCAAGTCAAAAAAATAGCATATTTTTAACGAGACCGACCGAAAAGCGAATTGACAAAATCGTAAACAGCCAAAGAATGTATAACTTGGGTTTATTAAATTGTACAATTCTCTCAGTAAATGAATCTTGTTAATTTTTTTGTTAAATGGTTTGAAGAAGTCCACTTAATGGTAGAAAAATAAGAACAAGATAATAAAAGTCAATACGATACTTTTTTTTAGCAAAATTATGAGAAAATATACATTTTTTTCCTGTGTCCAAACACTTTCTTGTCATACTGTACTTTACAATTTAGGTTATGTGAAGCCCTCAACCACATTTCCGATTGAGAGCTTCCCACTAATCAAAAAGAAGAGTAATTAATTGCTTATGAGGATCAATCTATTAAATCTTGTTGTTAGATGGCGATGCATGTTTGAATATATTTCAACATAATTGCTGAAAATTTTGCTGATTTCGTTATGAAAATATCATCATTCGATTTGCTTATGTGCAGGTCTTGCAAAGGAATAATAACTTACCTCGTATTGAAATGTGTAGCTTTAACTCATTTTAAATTAAAAAATTAAGAACTTCCAAGCCACGTGGTTTAGGTGGCTGTAGCTGTTCAATCGAGAAAGCCAAATATGCTTCCAGGATTATTGTACATACTACGAACCGCAGCTTGCTTCTTCATACACATTATTATATGATTAATTGACCAATTAATTGGTATAATTCAATAAATGAAATAATTAAAAACCTCTCCAAACACGCTGTCGATGTTAATGAAGACGCCAAAAGAACAGAACGACGTTGCCAGACAGCTAATTGTATGCTCTTGCGAATGCTTACCAGATCGTTAATTTTAGCGTGCAGCGACAACACTGTTGTGTTTGGTAGCCCTGCGTTTGCTTGCCATATGAATTGGCGCAATTTTGGCAAAGAAAACGAAACAAAATAAAAATAGTCTAGCAACCAGCGAGGTAAACGGTCGAGTCAAGCACATTCCAATGAAAACCTAATAAAATTCCTTCAAGTACAATTGGGGCGCACACTAAATGTCAGGGGCGATGACAGCTAATTTTCCTGTTTGGTATTTTACAGCTACTAAGGCGAAAACAATATGACGACAACGACACCGACAATGCAGACGCGCATGGCTCTGGCTGAGATACCCGATCGTTTGGAGGCTCTTCGAGTTGCGAATACACCCACAAATGCCAATCGTCGTACACCCGATGAGCCCACACCGGCCGCTACAGCGAACACACCCAATGGAGGTGGTGCTGGAGGAGGCGGTGCTGCTGGTGGCCTGGGACTGCGTGTTGACTTTAGCTTTTCGCCGCTGCCCTCACCAGATGAACTGATTATACGACAACGTGGCCGGCGTCGTTTCACAACGACCTTTTCCCCGGACAAAGTCAATGGCGGCGGTAACGGCAGCAGCAGCAATCCAATACGCAGTCCTTTTCAGCGTACTCCAACAAAGAATCTGCAATTGACCAGTGGTATGATACTGCGCAGTTCGCCACGCAAACGGCTGACAATGGGTAGCACACCACCCGATCCGACGCCAATGGATACATATTCACCCATCAAATTGAGCAGCACCAAGCAAGAGCTGTGGCCGGGCACGCCAATAGTGAAGAAACTTAAAATGGATGATCGCCCGGTGGCGCAAACGAATAACGAGGTGCCTCTGACAGCGCTTCTGCAAGGTCTCTCACAGCAACAACTCATCGATTTGATTATGTGCAATACTAAACAGGAGACGCCGACAGCAACACAAAGCGCCGAGGAGAATATACGCGCTCAGCTGCCCACGCCAGACATAAGGTGAGTCACCTCATAGCAAAGCATTTGTATATTATTCATTCAAAAATATTTGCAGTTCGCTGGAGCAGGAGCTGCATCATGCCAAACGGCTAATATTCAAATCTCTGCCCACGTCGCGTCTGTGCAAGAAAACAGATGCCGCTGCTTACTCAAAAGCATCCATACATTTAAACGAATTTAAGCGTGTGCTGCAGACGCAAGCGAAGTGTCTACACGACTCCACACACTGGGATGGATTGGTGGACTATGTGAGCATGGCCTGGCAGTGTGTGGCAAGCACCCCCAACTGGGAGAGCAATTCCCATAATGCGGTGCGGCGACAATGCTTCAAGCTGCTGGCCTGCTCCTGTTATGCGGCCATCAAGCATGGCGGCATGCGGCTGGGACAGACACGGCTGGAGACACTGGAGCGCAATTTGCGTGAGTGGTCCAAGGATTACGAGGATGTTCTGTCCTGCGTGAATGCATTGCAGCGCACGCTCAACAACCGCATCAGCTTATAAAGCAGCCAAGAGAGGTTGTAGACTTCACCTAGACTTAAGGCCGACTTGCTGAACTAGAGGTTCAGTGGACCGTTTAGATCTAAGTGCGCGACTCCAAATAATATTTAAGCAACGGTCTTTGCCATTTTCGTCTAGGCATCCTAAGAAACTTGTATCCATTATGCATTGTTTTTAATTTTGTTCAAACATTGTGTGGTTTCGTTCCTGTTCGTATTATGTACACACCAAATTCACATTAAGATTTTGTTATTAATTCAAAAACACAGCATGCCGCATTCGGAGTTATTGATTAAGTGATTTAATTATAAATGCAATATGTGACTATATATTATGTACACATAATGCATATGGGATAACTAAAAACCCAACACACAGATTTAGATATACAAATTTATATTTATTAACGCTTAAATATATTAATATATAATGCTTACCAAGTAAGTTTGATCTGTGTTGGACATTTTGAACTAAGTACACTTATTAATGGCTAAATAGGCGCCGCGCTGCACCGCTCGATGACTACACGACTATGACTATGTTTTACTAGATTGTATGCCAATCCACGGACCCGCCCAATTCTCAACTTTAACAAATGCAACGCCTCCTGCTCCGCCAGTGCAGTAAACTCAATAATGCCAGCGACGTGCTCAATATGGTTGTTGGTATTGTAAATGAAGCGCCTGATATATGTCGCCCTGCAATTAACAGAAGACATTATATTATTATATTATTATTATTATAAATGTGACACGTAGAAAAAACTTTTTTTATCATGGCATTATTTTACTTCAAGCTTGAGCAACAAAAGTTGAATACATAAAACTTAATATAATAATTAACACTACATACAGATTGAATTTCACTAATAACAGAAGAACAGGTTAATGGCCTACATTTTAGAAATATTCTGTTCTGAAGGGATGAGTTACGAAAACAGGTTTAATTTAGTTACAGATGGCTAAAAGCTGTGCCATGTTAAAGGGCAGCATGTGATTTTCAAAGCTAAATACCAAAAAAGTTTATTTATTTTGCAGCTTTAGCCATAATTATTTATGAGCCTGCACTTAATTTAGCCAAAGTTATTTGTTTATTTGCCTCGGAATAGCAAGTTCTGTTCAGGCAAACTAATTGTAAACTTTGGGAAAGAACAATAAGCATATATTGCTCTTCAGCATATGCATAAATATAAATAAGTAGCTAGTTTTTAATCACCACGGAGTGATGCTAATGTTTTATGATTTAAAGCTATTCGAATCACGTCTATTGTGGGCTGAAAAATGGTGAGTTATTTCAATTAGCGTTATAAACTAAATCTAATTATCATGATTTGATTTCTGCTGCGTTTGGAAGCGATGATCTGCTGCCTTTCTTAGGTTTGTTTATCGAATCAGAAGCGATCGTGTCTATTTACATTATGAAATTAGCATCGCTTTGTTAATCCCTAGATGGGTGTGTGTGAGTGTTGAATGTTGCGGAACCCCAGCATTTAGCATTGATTTCTGTATGCACAAGTATTAGTATATTACGGACATATATATCCAGTGCTCTTCAAATAAAATATCTTGTTGAAAGTGATTCATACAGATTCTAATCACACTTACACTCGCGGACCAAAGCGGATGCGCAACAGCATTCCTTGACTTCCTCAAAGAAGAAACAGGAACCCACCGATGGTTTGTACACCTTCTCGCCCACATAACATATATGCGGCACATAGGGCAGACCCTCTGTAACAGATATAAAAAGATTTTTAGTTCAGGTCGCAACATATATAGTATGTATGGTAGACTATAAGGTAATAAAATAAATTATCTGTTTAGTATATAAAGATTTCTTTAACATATGGCTCTCTATAAATCAATCAATGAGTAGTACATTAAGAAATAAATTTAAGTATTTGTTGGATGCCTTCTGCACTCAGTGCGAGAATTCCATACAAAGTTTACCATGTTTTGTATATGGAAATTTTTTCTTGAACAAATTGTTCCTTGAGATGTGTTAAGAAGTTTAATAATAGTAGAATTATACCCAATTTTCATTTTGGCAAAAACTTTTTAAAATAACTTAAATTTGAATGAATTACATTAATTTCTCCACAAATATCTAAATGATTTTGCAGTTACAAAATATTAACAGAAATTGTGTGCCACCAATAATCTTCTGACTTAAAAATTAGTCAATACATTTTGTATGTCTCTAGTTTTAATATTTCAACTAAATCTTGGGATTTCAGACTGACATTTGGACATAGATTTGATTTTATATGATCAGCTGTCGCTGTCAATCATAAAAATATTTGATGCCAACTGTGCCAAAAAAGGCATTTTCTCTGGGCAACACAACATCGTGTTTTGAATTTATTTAATATATATATATATACGCATTTTGAAATAAAAAATAAAGTAAGAGCACTTAAAATTATTTTAGATAGTTTTAGTTTTATATAGTTTTATGGTGCTTTTTGTTTAAGTAGAAGCGGAAAGCAATAAAATAGAATATGTTTATTAGGAGCAGCGCCAAAATCAACAAATAATTTTCCAAACAATACAAAACCGACTGAATGACTAAATATTGTTCTTCTGGGGCCATGTCGAACTCAACAATTTGTTTACACATTTGTTTAGAAAAACAAAACTTGTGGATTTTTATAAAGTTTCATTTTAAAAATGGGAATAATGGCCGAACTCATTGTTTCGCTGCTGCGTGTCACAAATATTTATCCAATTATGTAATTATATTAAATTTGATGCAAATCGACATGAGCGCCAGTACACACAATAATATTGGATCAATTTAGTGATCACAATTGTATTATTAATCTTTACAGACAGCTGACACGAAGCGAGAACATGACAAAAATCAAACAAGCATATATATTTGAAAATAAACTGGAATTGATTATGATTGATGGCACATTTTAAATCTTCAAATTTTATTTTAATCTATATTGAAGTAATTGAGTCTATTTTTATGCGATGACCTCCAGGTGATTGCAAAGCTAGCTTTGACTAAAACATATAAAAAATATTTAACCTATTCTTATGTTAATGGATTAATTTTCTTAGACGCTAAATCCTTGTTTTAATTTAATAAAAATGCTTCTCTATTTTTTTTGCAAATAACCCAATTTTTTTAAATAAATTTAATAAGTTAAAAAAAAATCAATTGAAGTGTTGGCGTGGTATCTATTCAAGTACATTAGCTTCCTCAATTTAATTAGACAGTTTGTGATTCATCAAGCGGTGTCAACACTCATCGCAGGCAATCAAATAATATATGATAAACAAATAATAAACAAATTTTTAGCTTTGGGTGTTAAAAAACGCGCAAAACTCTCAAATTTGATTACCCAAAATTTAGAATGTAATAATCAATTGCTTTACAGTCAGTCCACAATAATGGTAAAAAGTCGTTACAAAATACACTAGAAATCTAAAACCACCCACAGAGAGTTTTCATTCATCGAGCTACAATTGACGAGACAGGTGTTTCAGCATTGCCATTTCAAGCACGTATTTAATTGAATGCTTTGGCTGTTATTGTTATTGTCAAAGCTAAAGGCGTTGCATATTAAATGAAAACAAAGTCAGTGGCAAAATATTTCAGTTCCATAAATAAACATATTATAGAAATTTAGCTAAGATCGTCTTAGTTTGAAACAGTTGATTTTGTTGTTGGGTAAATGCAAGTGAGATTTACTGATTTTGTTTCTCGACAAGCGCAAAAATACTTGCGATGCCTGATAAGGAGACACTTAAGATGGAATCGATTCTTATTTCGGGTTAGAGTTCAGTCAATACTGCACTTGAAGTAGCACGACGAATATAATCAATATTTACTTATACTATCAGCCTTGCACAACTTAATGATACCTCTTCAAAAATGATCATTTATAAGTATTCTATATAAGTATTATTATAAATGAGTCCAATACCTGGAATTTAAAAAGTTATTAAGCAAATATTATATTGAATGATAAGCCAATACAAGCACATGCTTTGTTCGAGTAAATGTAGGGCTTTCTCAATGATAGCCTTCAGTATGTGGACTGCAAAACTCTTGGGCCATAAACACAAACCCAATTATAACCTCTATATGAGTCTATAAAAAAACACACTACTACAGAAAATTAAATTTAATGAGCATATTTACTAGAACACAATGCAACTGCGAGTGCATTTGGAAAAAATGCGATTCGGAATGTTGTGCACGCCTTGAAGAAAACCATTCAAGTGTAGAAAATACGAACGGAGTGCCGAACCCACAAAACGACGACCAGACCAGACGCCAATGCACATCAACACAAACATTTAAAATTAAAAAAATATATAAAAAACTAAAGAAAATTATAAACTGACGCTTGGACACTTGGAATGTAAGTTTACATACAGTGAGGCCACGCTAAAATAGGCAAAGGACGCTGAGTACAAAAGACAATTTTAAGCCTTCTATGATAAAAAAAATTGTTAGATATTTCTAAAAAACTTTGCTGGCAACATTTTCAATGAAACTAGAAAGGTCAAATCAATTTTCAAAAGAATTTGTTTTAGTCAAGCAAGTTATGTAGTATCCCTCATAAAATGCTTAAACATTTTCCGTGTACATGGATAAGATGGATAATTTATAATTTATGAACATTCTTCTTAGAATCGTTACAAAAATAGAAGCAAGTTATATATATTGTATTTGCCGAAATATGGGCTATTTTATGTAGCCTTTATAATGAGCAACTACTGTAGCAACATGCAAATCAATGCAATGAAGCGTGGCTGCGGTTAATACATTTGGACCACAACTTTTACGACTAACTACTTCCGCGATGGCCACGTGCTAATGAAAGGGAGACAGAGAGCGAGAGAGAGAGAGAGAGAGAAGGGCCCACCCAATTATGGGACAGTTTATCAGTTCGCTTAGCTTGCATCATCTTTGAGCTGCACTCATTGCGTGCCTGTCGCTCATTAAAGAATTAAGTTGTTGCTGCTGTAATGAACTAATGAAGCTAAACTTAAGCAGCTCTTAAGTGGGTTAGTGGCACTCGCCACCGTTTTCATTTCCAAGATTTTCCAGCTCTTTTGTTTACTTGTGAGAATCTGCAAAGCTCACAGTTTTGTTTGTTGTTGTTAAGCGCCATGTGTGCATGCCATAAACTGGCAGCTCATATATACTATCATAATATAATATGGTATTTCACTGTGCAACTCACCTTCTCTGTGCTGCAGCTCGCACCAGCAATGATCATTTAGGAACTGTAAACCCAAGCAATATTTCATCACAGTCGCCGTGCACTGCATTGAGTTGCAAGAGTTTTGTGCGCCACCAAGCGCTATAAATGTGAAAGAGAGGAGAGTTAGATTTTGCCAATTCCAAGATAAACCTCTGACTTAGATTAGCTCTATAAAAGAGCATTGAGCCTTACTTTCGTTGTACTTGCGCAGCGCTTGAATGGCATCTTGTCGTGTCACCTGATGATCAAATGTAAACTCCTCATAGCTGTCGCTGATTGTTGGCTGCTCCCTGGACCTCAAATCCTCCTTATCACAGAGTATGCAGGAGCTTTGTGGTGCGGCCAGTGTGGAGCTCAGGCAGAGCAACAGCAGGACGCATAGATGCAGGAATGTTATACTTTCAGCAAGAATATTGGATCGTATATTGTGCGTAGTTTTTCGATTCGTTTCGTGTAATCTTTGGCAGGAACAATAGTTTTCACTCGTGTTGCAAGAACTTGTGCTGCGCACAAAACAATTTTCTGTTGTGTTCCTCATTGTGTTTTGAAATTTTTAGTATGCAATATTTTAGTCACATTAAGTGGTTTTTTATTTGTATTTCTGTATCGAGTTATACTTGTTGTTTGTTTTTGTAATTCGATACGATGCATAAGTCGTGCCAAGTGATTGAGAGCATAGAGGCTGGAAGATGGGAGAGAAACCGTTTTAGTATATTCGAAACGCGGTCATGTAGAATATGTGGTGCATAATGCGTATAAAGTATGCATTCTATACTAGTTCTTTTTATTATCCGTCGTTTTCCGACTGAGCGATTGCCATTATTTCTATTCACTTTACACCTGATTGCATTCTAAATATTTGTATGTATCATTTAATCATATGTCGGCTTGAGTCAAAATTTTTTGCTTGGCATTACTTAACGCTTATTACGTTAAGCATTTAAAGAAGAGAGTAGAGTATCGAATTTAAATGAAATCCATACATAGTTTAGCATTTCAGTGACACTTTTAACTATTCTTTACACAATATTTAATATATTAATTTTTCCCAATCTTGTTTTGGATATCCAATTTCCTTATTAGCTTCGCAATGTTTCATTTTCAATTATAATAATAATTTAAAATATTTCAATAGGCATTTCTGGACCAGTGCACTTATTTCATTTTTAATAAGCTCACATTTAAATTTATTTTAATTTTGCCCGCTGATAATTGATCTGCTTAATTGTGTAGATATTTATAATTATTATTTTTTATTATATTTCCACATTTCACATCAATCCATGTTACAAATTTGTATCTCTCATCCTTTTAGAAACGGATAAATTATGTTGGAATTTTCATTTCAAATAGAAATATCTTTGGTATTCGGCACATAATTTATTATGCAGCAATTCGGCAACTCACTCAGCGCGTCCTCCATTCATAAATTAAAGTTACAAGAAAATCATTTTCACCAACCAAAAAGAACTAAGAAAATCATTTTTCAGAAAACGACAAAGACAACGACGACGACTACAACAACGGGAAAATAATGCGTGCAGCGCGCCGTTTTTCGCATAGAGAAATTCTACTTGCAGAGTCGCAGACACCCGACAAAGTCGTCCGTTTCGCTGCCAATGCAAATTCACTCTGAACGATGCGCAGCAACGTTCGAAAGCAAACAATCGACTCGCACTCGCACTCGCAGCAGTCGCATCACATTCACACTCGCAATTCAAAGCGTCGCGACGCTGGCGTTAACGCTGGCGTCGACGCAGCTGTTGTGCTGCTTGAGACTGTTAAAATAACGTAACGTTTTGCGTCGCAAATGAACGCAAGCGACGCCAAATTGGCTGACTTCAAAGGGTAGCTCTTTAGTCTTACTCACACAACTGCAGGAACCCACCTTCAACAGCGATATCATTAAATAAATATTGAATTTACTCAAAGATAAGAATTTCGAATTGCACAATTATAACCCTTTATAAAAATGCATTTAACCTGGCAAATGTAGGCTTGCGAATATTTGCAATCTACTATTTACAAAAAGTTTCTTATTTATAAGCCTTATTAACTTTACTAGATTGTAGGCTTTAATCAGCTTTCTTATCTAAAGGTCAAAAGCAGTCTCTTTTCGCAGAACTCATCAGTAATAAATGTAACTCTTATGGTTTGCATTGATTAATCGTGTTCATAAGAATTAACATCCAAGTAAATTTGCTTATTACTCAACTTTGTAAAACCAGAAGTTGAATGCAATCATTTACTGATTAGCACCGCCTATCAACAGTCGCTTAAGGAACTCAACCAAGAAGTGCTCAATGAAGAACTATATCATGCTCCATTAATAGGATGACACTTAATAATCTGTAGTAATTTGTTGAAAATGATGCGGAACACACAGTACAACAACATTCCTGGGCTGCTTGGGCAAAACAGTATTTGACACAGACTGAAATATATTTATAATTTATGCTCACCTAGCAGCACAGCAGCGGAGTCCCTTTAAATAGAGAAGACTAGGTATACAGTGCCTCATAATTTGTGTGTGTGTGTATTTAAAAATAACATCAAATTCACAACAACGATGTGTTGAGGAAGTTCTTGATCTGTTTGAGGCTCCCCCTTTTTTTTTTGTTTATTTGTGATGCTGATGCTGCTGCTGGTGCAACCTGTTATTACTCCCCGCAGCCGCCTCTATGCCGCATCGTAAATCTTGGCAGAGTCTGCAGTTTTTCTTCTTTGTTTTGAAACCGAAATTTTATGGACTTTACTTTCTAGTATTACACATAGACTATTAAATGCTGGTGGTTCTGGCCTACAAACTGTGGGAGGCTGTTGTTTTCTTTTGTGGTTGCGCTCAAAAGTCTATGGCTTACCATTTAAAATGTGTCTACCATCCATATAAATGTAAAAATATCTACAATATGACGACATCGAGATTAAATAACATAATTAGAGTGCATGCAGCTCAATGAAGAGGATATTGTTGCCAGCACTCACAGGAAATTCGTATCAAGGCAATGGGAGAGTCATCAAATGGACCTTGGTGTGCCAAATAATGTTCCACGGGGAGGTACTACCGAAATAGGGATGCAAATAATGTTGGGCGAGGTAATGAAAAAAGCAATCTATTTGCCTTGAATGGTTGTGGGGCACGCAAGCTTCAATTATTTTGCCAATTTGCATAAGTGTACTAATTTTGGCTATGAATGAAATATTTTAAAAGTATTTTCAAACTTGTTTCTAGACTAGATTTTGCTTTGATATTTAATATGATTTTTTATGTATATACATTTTATTATGCATATATATATATATATAGTATATAAAAAAATCGTTTGTAATTTGTAGGCAAAATATAAATCAGTATATTTTCTTAAAACGCGCACGTTTATTAGTTGGTTTCCTAATACTCGTAAAACGCTCGCGATTTTACAGCTAAAGAACAGTTTGACAAGCACAGGGTGGGAACACCCAGACACAACACAACAAACGCGATTTCTCTGAAAACGCGCGCGATTTTAACATTGTAGACAACCGTTTAGGAAGCACTGGTACGTCGCCTGCAGCAGCTGGTGTCCGAAATATATATTTGGAATAGTTGTGGTAACTGTGAAAAGCAGACAATCAGGAAAATTTATGATCATTTTCACGCCGAACAATCAATCAGCAAATCGGACTGAATATACAAAAAAAAAAAAAACGTATATCATAATGAAAACTATATTTAACAATCAGCAGAGTAGCGACTACATTAAAACGCGCTCCATGCGTGAATTTTGTACATTTTTGCCTCTGGGCATATAGATTGTTTCTAGGTTGCACACAGAGATTTTAATCAGACGCCGGTCAAAGCATTCAGCACAAATTTGTCAATATTTAAAAAAGCGAAAAAAAAGCACAGCATAATAGCAAAATAGATGGCGACAAATGATTTTCAGTTTTTTCAGGCGGTTTTTCTCTGCTATTTTGTTACAAAACTAGCGACAGTTCAAGTTCGTTTGGCTTTTTATAATAATAGAGAATGAACAAAAACAAAAAAAAAACATACATAAGTAGTCTTTGTTGTTGTTACCCCGCTTGTTAAATAAAATAAACAATTTTGGATTTTTTAGATATTGCAGTTGTTTTCTTCTTGGAAGCGTAGTAAACGAGACTCAGACGACGACTGAAAGCGTGACGCAAACGGCGACGTTGCGGCGCCGACAGCTTGCGGCTATGGCAACGCACAACTCCACACATCCTTTGTCCTTTGTTCTGTGGCAAACGACTACGGCGCTTTGCACCCTCCAAGCCCAAAAAGCAACCCCTGCAACACGATTTCCTCGCAGCTGGCAATGCCCTAACCAAAACAGAGAGAGAGAGAGAGAGAGAGAGAGAGAGAGTGAGAGAAAGCCAGACATTCTAATGGGAGCATGAGTAATATAATATCCCAATCGTAAGCAACAGGCTACCCACATCAAACCCAAACAAACCTGCGCAACGGCGCAAAAAACCTTCGCCAAGGACAACAGAGTCAAAGATATTTAAAGCAAAATATTTGCATAGGTTAAGGCTGAGGAATGGGAAACGTTTGACTGAAATGTAAAGAATATTTCCATGGGATTGGGCAGAAGCGATTTGATTAACGACGGATTTGCTATGGTATTTGGTGTATTTCAAAAAGAGTGTCGGCAAGCGCTAAGGAAATTGATTAATGAAGAATATTAAATTTAGGCGTCTACTACAAGATGAATTGAGATGAACAGAGAATAACACTTAAATATTGGATTAGGGGTAAAATCATCAATCTCGTAGGAATATTTTTCTAGGCCATTTAATTTGTAAGAAATCGATTTCGCAAACAAAAGTGGCTGATTAGTATAAAATATGTGAATTCTAATATTCTTGGCAGATAAAATGTATTTTTATCTTATTTAATGCTATATATAAATTATTTATAATGTCACATAGGAGTTTACTCTTTTTAAGTTAAAGTTCAATTCAGTAGGTATCTATTTCTTGCTGATTTCCCTTTCGGTACGACACCTTCCTAAATTCAAAATGGGCTACACTTGGGATAGGGCAGTTTCCCCTTCTTTTCCTACTGCTTCCCAGACACAAATGTCGCACTCTCATTTTAATAGGTGTTTGGAAATCTCAAGACGCATCTTGGCTCCGCACATAAATTATGCGTTCGTTTCGCTCCATTCAAATCGATTTATGTGTGCGCTAAAAATACTTGCTAAAGAAGATGAGAAAAATACCGAACGCATACAGGGCGTATGGGCAACGCATGAACTCAAGCGGTTAAGCGTTAATGATTAGCCTCAGACTACAGCAGCAACTGCTGGCGACCAGCTAATGATGAACTGACTGGCTACGGATTTGATCAAAGGGTGCGGCGGAGGGCGCTCGATGGGAGCTATTCTGATGGGGGCGCACAAGTGGCCATTGGCATGAAGCCAATTCGATGCTTGACATTTATTATGATTGGCTTATTAGGGCCGCATCCAAAGCCACAACCTGCCCACAGTTGAGTGGCTTCTGGAGGGTGCTGAGGGGCAACTATGTAAGGGCAGCCATTGTCGCATTGATGGCACATGCCAAAAGAGCCATTAAAAATCTGTTTGATTATATATTTAAAAAAAAAATGAAAGAACTATGCCAGCGATATAAGCAATAAATGTTCTTAATCTTTTCCCAGAAACAGAAAATTACAAGTATATAATCCCAAGCGAAAATTACATATCTAATAGCCTTGAGCTGCTACTCTCTATCACAATTTGGTGCCAATGAAAGTCTTAGCATATATATTGACATATGAATATGCTAAACATAATTTATTTACTTAGGTCAAAGTCGGTAAAAATGCAGCAATGCAAAGTGAACTTGTAACAGCAATTAAATGACAATAACAAAAACATTGCCAGCTGTTGAAAACCAGTTTAAAGTATTGTTTTTCAATTGAAAGCCGATTAATATTATGCATAACAACTATTATGATTATCATAAGTAACAACAATTATACTCTATATAGACCACTATGCATTTTAAATGAGCATTTTTGGGGGCTCGCAACAGAATCCAGTTGAAAACGACTTAGCAACGAGCGCGTGGCACTCTTTTTTTTTTTATTTGTAGCTTAACAAACCTGTAGAATTCATGAATATTTAAGCGCCAACCGGCAAAATGTTATAAAAAAAACGAATTCTTCATATCATAAACATTTTGGTTACCATGCACAATGAGCACTAGTGCTATATATAATGTAAGGAAATCGCACTTAATAGAGCAAAAACGTTATGCATATTTATGTGAGACACACATAGTTGGGGACCGGCCAAAAATAACAGAACTTACATTCGAAATAAACGGAATTTGCTTACATTTAATGATAACAGGTAGCAACACCTGTTCCAGTAAACAAATTCTGCAATTTCTATTTAAATATGCGAATATCGAAAACAATAACAACAACAACCTGACTCTTAATATAGCTTGTGAAATACACGTAAACAAAATACTAGTTTGACAAATATTTAAATGAGACATTAGTAGTACAGGATTTTCACCTGATCAACAGTTCTATCGGCTGGGGCCTATATAAGGCGCCATCTCGGCATGGCTCAGCTATAGTCAATCTGTGAAGATCAACGGATCGCAGCTGAGTTTTATTAAAATAACGCGTGTGAGAAGGAGTTTTGCATCAATTGAGTCTGAGTGATAATGGTAATGAATCTGTGATGTTATATAACGCATAATAAATATGTGAATTAAAATGCATAAGAAGTGAAGTGATGAACTAAACCTGCTTTCCAACAGAAAACGTTGCTCCATTCTAAAGATTTTTTAGTGAATTATTAATTGTACTTCTAGAATTCTGTTAAGTGATATTTGTTCATTCAGCTTTTATTCAAAATCGAAAACTACTATTTTATATAATATTAAATTTTACAAATTCTTTTTATTTATTTATTTTTTTAATTCCGCAATAGACAAGCTATACTGACAAAGGAACCAAAGTAAGTTCACATCGTAAAAACGTTTTTAAATCGAAGTAATTTACTAAGGTGATTTCCTGCAGCCTGAAGCCGGAAAATTCTTAAGCTTTGATCATCTAACGTTTTACGTTGGAAACGCCAAACAGGCGGCTAGTTATTATACGACCCGTTTGGGCTTTGAACCACTTGGCTATCAGGGATTGGAGACGGGAGAGAGACGCTACGCGAAACATGCGGTGCGCCAAAATAAGATCGTCTTTGTGTTTGTCTCGGCGTACACGCCCGATGACAAGGAGCATGGCTTGCACTTGATGCAGCACGGCGATGGTGTCAAGGATGTGGCCTTCGAAGTGGAGGATTTAAATTCAATCTTTAACCTGGCGGTTACCCGAGGCGCGGAAGTTATTCGCGACATCTGGGAGGAGAGCGATTCTCATGGTTTCGTGAGATTTGCCACCATCAAGACGGTAAGCAAACTGTTTCAGGCTTCAAGCTATAAGCTCTAAGAAGTTATCTAAAACTAGTGGTTTCAATTAAATTGAAATTGACATTTATCTCAATGTTTTAGTACGGTGACACAACGCACACTTTTGTGGAGCGCAATGGATATGCGGGTGACTTTTTGCCTGGCTTCCAGCGCGGTGTGGAGGATGTGCTCCTCAAGCATCTGCCGGTCACGAAGTTAAACTTCATTGACCACGTGGTGGGCAATCAGCCCGATTTGGAAATGGAGGGCGTGGCCGCTTGGTATGAACGCATTTTGCAATTCCATCGCTTTTGGTCTGTCGATGATTCGCAGATACACACGGAATATTCAGCGCTGCGTTCGATTGTGATGGCCAACTATGAGGAGACGGTTAAGATGCCCATCAACGAGCCGGCCAATGGCAAAAAGAAGTCGCAGATTCAGGAATATGTTGACTACTATGGCGGATCGGGTGTGCAGCATATTGCCCTCAACACGAGTGATATTATTGCGGCTGTGACCAACTTACGGGCACGTGGCACAGAATTCTTGACCATACCCTCATCGTACTACGATATACTGCAGGAGCAGCTGTCGCATAGTCGCACTAAAATTAAGGAGGATATGGAAATATTAAAGAAATTGAATATTCTCGTTGATTTCGATGAAAACGGATATCTGCTGCAGATATTTACGAAGAACTGCCAGGACAGGCCAACGCTCTTCCTGGAGGTCATCCAGCGTTTCAATCACAACGTTAGTTTCAATATTCTAGTCTAATCATCTGTTTATATTTTAATTTAGAAATGTTCACTTTATTTTTAGGGTTTCGGCGCTGGCAACTTCAAGTCGCTCTTTACAGCCATTGAGATCGAGCAGGCCAAGCGCGGAAATTTGTAATTAACTATTGAATTATAATTTTGAGTCGTTTTCAATATATAAAGCATTTGCATAAATTGTAGGTGGTTGAAATAAAATAACCACAAGTCTTTGTTTATTTCTTTTGCTGGTCAACAAAACGACGATCAACGTGCACTTTGTTGCGCGGATCATCGTCCGCAAATGAAACCATGTGCGGATTCCAAAAGCCATCGGGTGTATTGTTCTCCAGCTCTCGCTCATCGTGATGCCTGCAATTACTCAGATACTTTCGTATCTTTTCGTCATCGAAATTGTTGCCCATGAAATTGATAAACTGTCAAAATAAATTGAAAATTGAAATCAATTGGATTGAAAGCAGATAAAATTAAAAAAACACACCTTTTCACACTGCACACAGTCAATATTAAAGCGGTCCCTAGCGCTCATTTGTTTTTCCTGCTTAATCACAATGGGTAGCGGGAAGATTTCTTCTTCCTCCTGCTCGTCATCGTCCATATCAAAATCTTCTGGCAGCTTGGTTGATTCATTGCCAAAATCACTTGGGAGCTCAGTCAGTGGCTCCTGCTTTACGCTGGCAGCTGGCTTCGCAGCTGAAATTGCAATAGGTTTCACATTGGCAGCCTCAAATTGACACTTTCTGATTAGATCCGCTTCGAATTCTTGCAACTTCGCAAGAGACACTTTGTCATCTTGCTTGATTGCCTCCTCCATAAAGGCCATGGTATTTAAATTGTTCGCTTCAGTAATGCTATCATCAATAAACACTATATCCTGTGTGGCAGGAGTGAGCAGCACCACGCTGGAAGTATCTGAGGTGCCGCTCAATGAGGGCAAGACAACATCCGAAGACGGCCGAGGTGCTGACGGATCCGGGCATAGATCGAAGAACGACTCGTCATCGTCCAAATCAAATATATGCTGATTATTACTGCTTGCGCTGCTTTTGATGTTTAAAGAGTTGGTTTTGACGCTTAAGGCGCTGGTGTTGTCGGCTCTGCAAACTTGACAATTGTTATTATTGTTATAATTAAGATTATTTTATTCAGGCAGCCTGCTGCTTACCTCTGTAGAAGCGAACGCGATTGCTTGGCATGCTTCAGCGAGGAATACAAATTGGGACTGGATTCAATGATATCCTTATCGTAGTCTGCCGCATTGTTCATTTGGCTAGCATCGAATTTTAGTCGCGTTTGCTTTAATCTGGGTGAGTTGCTGCGCAGTGTCAGCGACATTTTTGTTTTGCCCACTGGCAATTTGTCCATAGGCGCTTTACTCAGCCAGGCATTGCTGGTGTCTGTTTTGAGTGTTCTTATTGTGGTGCTTGTTGGCAGCTCATTTTCGCAATTTGTGGCGTTCAGCTTGCGACGTGCGCTCCAAGATTTATGTGGACTGATTGCTGGCTCCGTTTCCGTTATGATTTCTTCCTCCTCGTCATCGGATTGCAGCGCAATATTCATGTTTAGCGAGTTCTGACTCTCCGGCACAAATGGTGAGGCATTATTCGCCAGTTGAATGGTGCTCCGGCGCTGTTGCATCTTTTTGGGCGAGAGTCTGCGGCGCTTTGGGCTTGGTTTGGTGCGCTGGTTCAACAAGTTGATTGCCCTGTGCAGTTTCTCATTATGCTGGTTTAACCGACTAATGGTTTTGACATTTTCCTCACATACACTTTGCATCACTATAAAAAGAGGCACCTTTATTAACTGCTGATTTAGAACAACAAAGTTGCTACTCACTCATAAAGTGTTGTTTAATGGTGTCCAGTGCTTTTAATAAGCATTTTGATGATTTGTCAACGCTGCCTTGACACGTGACACAATTCATGATGCCAACAGGAATCAATTGTTTATTAGATTACACGCAGAATGTTAGATATAAAAAAAATTAATCAAACAATTCTATAAGTACGACTAGGGCTGGAAGACAGAATTGAGCTTGGTAGGTTTTTTGCAACATGTGGCAGTACTGATGTTTAGTTTGTTTGAAAGTGTGGTCACACTTTCTGGTATTTGTGACTTGAATACAAACCGTTTTGTGAAAGGTTTGAAAATAAAATTTGGAAAGGATTACAAGCCTTGTAAAGCTGTATGTAAAAAGGGGCTCCTTTATTCAGAGCCCCAAATGGGGCCGGCTAACTTAACAGCCAAGCAATGAAACATACTAGGGCTGGAATCTATAAAACTGACTAATTAAGTTTTCTAGCATTTTTGGAAAGTGTGGCAACGATGGTGTTTGCCAGTGCTTGCTAAATGCAGACTGTAGGTGTTGATAAGCGACTGTAGGTAGTTTATTCTTGCTCGTGTTGGTTTTTATTTTGGAAAATTCGGATTTTATTAATTAAAACAACAGATGGCACACTTGCGTGAAAGCTCTGAAAAGGCTTTGAAGCTTTTGCGCACATTGCCGCGTGTACAAATTGGCAACCTGCGACCAAATCCCAACTCCAAACAGAACGTGAGTAGCCAGCGGCTGGTTAAATAACATTTCACACGATGGCAGAATTCACATCATTGATTCTTGGTCATTTTTTAGGACAAACGCGGACGCGCTCAACATGGTGGCGATAAGCATGGTGCCGGCAACAAGGGCTCGGGTCAGCGACAAAATTTCATGCGTCTCGGTTACGAAACGGGCAACCAGCCCTTCTACCTGCGCTTCCCATACGAGCCCTACTACAAAGGACATCATATGCGTCGCCAATATCCGCCCATTTCCATGCTGCAGCTGCAGGTGCTCATCGACACTGATCGTATTGATGCCAGCCAACCGATTGACATCGCCACGTTGTGCAATTCGGGTCTGTTGTCGCTGAAACCGGCGGAAATGCAATATGGATTCCAGCTGACTGATGATGGCTTGGACAATTTCAAGGCGAAGATCAACATTGAAGTGCAGCACGCCAGTGAAGCAGTCATAGCAGCTGTGGAGCGCAATGGTGGTGTCATACGCACCGCCTACTACGATCCGCGCAGCCTTCACATTCTGGCCAATCCAAAGAAATGGTTCGCAAAGGGTATCCCGATACCACAGCGCATGCTGCCGCCCCAGGATGCCGCGGAATACTACACGGATGCCAAGAATCGCGGTTATTTGGCCAATCCCGAGGAGATAAGCAAGGATCGACTAGTGCTGGCGCAAAAATACGGTTATGTGTTGCCGCGCATTGAGGATGATGCCGATTATGAGATGCTCACAGCTGCCAAGAATGCACGGCAATTGTTCCACGGCCTGGAGCCAGGCTGGCTCATAAACTTAGTGGACAAAACAATAGTCAAGCTGAAGACAACATAAACAAAGTCCTTTCATTTTTGTTTGTTACTATGCTTTGTTAATTAAAGAAATTTATTGTAAAAGGGGGCATTTTTGGACTACGATTACACAGAATACTTGAACATAGGTTAATCCATTAATTTACATGTCTGTTTTAGATAAACACCTGCTTAGCCGATAGATTCTCCATAAAGGGCTTGACCACGGCGCTAGTGGCAAAGCAAAATATTAGGCCGAATGTAATGGAAATGGGCAATGCTGGCAGTGCCTTGCGCCAAATGGCCAAGAGCAGCAGCGTCAGGCAAAGGCCAATCAATATGGCCACAAAGCAGGCAATTGTTGTCGTCCAGTCGCCATAGCTGGAGGCTTTGCCCACCAGCACGGAGTAGAAGATGAAATCGCCGAGACCCAACTTTATGCCACCTACAAAGTTATCATATTAGATATTAATATAGAATGAGGATTTTAACTAAATTCACTTACGCTCCTCCTGCGCCTCTGGCTGCTGCGTTGAATCTGGCGCTGTAACCGTGCGATATTCATTGGAGCGTCCATTAGCGCTCTGTGTGCTCTGAACCTCGATTTGGCGACGAGCCACACGGTCGCTGAGATTGGCGGACCATTCCTGTGTGAAGCCAGCCGCTTCCTCTGTCAAAAAGAAATCAGAAAGATTGCTTCAATTGTTGGTTCCTTTTTTGGAAATGATTGGAACAGTTAGGTAGCAGCGTCCTACACCATTTAAAAAGACCAACTGGACAAGAAGGTCAAACGAATTGGTACTAAAAATTACGCCTTAAGCAGCAAGCAATATTAGCTAAGTTTAAAAATTAAGTGACTTAATTTTCAGATAGCTTTCAGCTAAATTTAAAGTAACCAACACAAAGTAGTACGAGATCACAAATACAGAGGAGGCTCAACGAAAGCGCTTAAGGGATTAGATTAGATATAAGAAATCATAAAAAATAAATGCATATGTACCGTTTCCGTGCAAATTTCTTTTAAATGTCACAAGTGGCATACCTTCAGCAGCCGAGGGATTGTCCTGCTGACGTTGTTGATTGGTGCGCGTATTACCTGGTCGTGTGGAGCTGCTGCTCGGACCGGCAGCCGGTTCCGGCGATGCCAGCGAGTTTTGTGTCGCTCGCGTTGTCGTTGTCGAATTGCTGAATGACGGCGATGATGTGGCAGTGGCTGTGGCCGTTGGCAGTGTCTCTTCCGGCGTATAATGTGTGCCCATATAGGTGTAAATGACCGTAGCTGCAAGGCAAACGTAGACTCAGAAAAGGAAATGCATAAATAAACCTTAGCTGCAGCCTTACAGGAGTAGATTAATGCTGGAAAGATTTGCTCATTGCGCTCCTGCGCGGTTTCAACCAAAATGCGCAACGGTCCCCGTGGCGATAATACAGCTATGAGATCTGTAAATGAGGCAACAAATAAGAATAGCTTCTGTGAATTATTTCCAACGAGAAATCTTACCCCAAATTGAGATGGCTGCCAACACCGCCCAGGCTGTCCACTCCGGCAGGTACTTAATGAAAACCAGCGCCATCAGAGCGGCCACAAAGATCAGATAGCCCTGCTGCAGCCGTAATGGACCCTGCCAATGGATGGCCATCATGCCGGCCACGCCAAAGTTCCACATAATCAGTACGGCCGTTGGGTAATCCATGGGAATGTTGTAAGCACGCAGCAGCTCCTCCAGGTACAAGTACGTGAAGATGAACAGTAGCATGAACGAGGAGAGTATAAGCCAGCCATGTATGACACGATAACAGCGTTTCTTGTACAGCACAATCAGCAGAATGGTCATCACTACAACAACGCTCATTAGGATCAGAGAGTTTGCTAAGGCATTCCAGAACTTGACACTCGGTTCCGGCGATTGCTCGTGAAAGGGCGTGTAGAGTCTGGCAAAGAATTGGATCAGTTATCAGTTTGATTATCATTTCAGATCAACACTTACAGATAAACATCCGTGCTGTTGTAGAAGCTGATCGAGTTTATGGTGGCCACAACGACCAACATGCAGAGAGAGACGGGCACAAATAATTTTATGACATGCTGGGCACCATATTTCAAGCCCTGCTCCTCCTCGATGTCATGCTGGGATGGACCAGGACCAGAGCCAGAACTGTGACCACCATCATTGCCGCCAGCATTCAGTCTTGAGGGACGAGAGCCAGATTCACGTATGACGACACTGGGCACGGTAAGCACAGCCTACAGAACACACAGACACACACACACACACATACATACACACAATTTAAGGTTTATTGATGCACATAAAGTGGGTTGATCGAGTAGATGAACTTACCCCATCCGTTGCATCTGCATTGTTGGTGCCATAATTGGTACGTTGCTGCTGCTGCTGTTGTTGTTGTTGCCGCTTTGGAGGGCGCTCCAAACGCTCTGTTGCGCCGCTCAGGCTGCCATCGGCGTCCGGTGGCGTCGCCGACGTTGCGTCCATGAGCGGTGTGCGTTCGTTAGCCGCCGCCTCCTCAGCGTTTGAAGATGACCACTTCGATGCCGTAGTTGGGGGACGTGACTTTAAAAGTGCGCAATGTGTAGACCGTAAGTAGGATGATTGACTGAGTGATGGAATGACAACAGCATGTATGATTTAAATATGCACTACATACAATTACGAGAAGTTAAATAATAATTGTTCGCCAGCAAATAAGAAAACTTTCTTTTGTTTTCGGCTTACGAACGACTCATAGGCAGTTAGAGATGTGCAGGCAACCCACAGAAGAAATTATCGAATATTTAAGCATTCATATTTAATTGTATCGAACTGCTATCTCGCCCACGAACTGAACCATTCCTGCACAAGCAATTTTCTTTTTTTGTGTAGTAATCGTAAAACATTTATTTTTCTATCTGAACGTAATATATAAGAAAATTACACATTTTGTATTTAATTGAGTTTCCTAAGATACTATTACTAATTTAACTTATCCAAGTTGAATTATAAATAAGCATAAACCAATTAGTTCATGAATTTTTAGCATAAATTGAATTTTAAAATGATATTTGCGTAGTTCCTTTATTTTTCGACCTTTTTGTTCTTCTGTTTGGCAATCGATGGTTGACAGCATTAGTGCCAATCGATGTCTATCGTTCGGCGGTCGCAAGATCGATAGTCGATCAAACAGGAACAGCTATGCAAGTGCCGTTATTTAGCTTCTCGTGTATGCTTTGTTTTTTAACTACAGGTTCTATTAATTAATTCAATATGCCGGGATAGCAAATATCCTGTGGGGTAAGGACACGATCACTTAATACCCAGACGGCACCCTCTGCTCCAAAGAATATTTGTTGAATATTCTTGGAAGTAAGATAAATAATCTCATTGCCCTCGGCAGTTAAATTTGCCAGTTGAGCGCAACGAACAACGGCTCCAAATTTGGGTACCACATAAAAGAGGGCTCCAAAGAAATCCATTAACATGCTGCGACTGGGGCCCAGCAGGCTGCCCAAGCGTGTTAGTTGTATGTGCAGCGAGTTCGATGAGGAGATGGTTGAGGAGGAGGAGGATGGAGTGGAACTTATTAATTGGAGTCTACGCATGGAACTGTAGAGGACGCCATCCAGATCGGAGACAATGAGTTCTCCCTGCAGTCCAAAGGTAAAATCCATTGGCTTAATGGGAAATGTCTGAGTCATGTTCTCGTATTTGTTGCTTAGTAGTTGGCGACGATGCCAGGTTTGCTCCAGGATATCATAGGCCAAAATATGCGGCTGACTGTCCGAAATGAAGAAAATGTGCCGCTCCAGCTCACAGCTGCTCGACCTGGGACCAAGCTGCACGACCAGGCTCTCTGTGGCATTGGCGCCAATGTGCTGGGCACAATCGATGCGCAACAGCTCCGCATTGTTGCGCATTAGATCGAAGACAAGCAGCTTGGGCGGACAGTCGTTATGTGGCCAGCCCACATCCATGACCCACAACCGGCTCAGGCTGTCCACTTGTGACCAGTGGGCCTGCTGCAACAGCGTGCAATCCAACTCGACGTCAGCACGGCTTGCATGCAGCTCACTGCTGGGAAATATCGCTGTGCGCATGGGCAAATAAGAAACGGGCCACTGGGCCTCGATCAGCGTGGGGAAATCATTGCGCGCCACACTAATGCTGAGGAACACTCGCGAGAAGTGGGTGGACAGGTGACGCACATTGTAACTGGACTCGTTGAGACCCGGCTGCGACTGCAGCCAAGCGTTGTTGATTGACGCTTCAATTAACATGCCGTAAACAAAGTAGAGACCGAGACGCGTTTGTCTTTCCATCGTTTAGTGAGCGGACTGCAATTGGCATTTGGCACTTGGCACAGAGCCAGAGAAACAACAACTGCTTACGTTGTAAATCGAATTAGCCAAGTCAAGGCAGTTCATGAAATTCGGTAAATCGTCAATTTGTCTATCTCAGCACTTGGGATATCGTGTGTCAGTCGACAAACTAAATAAACCGACAACCTGCATTTCGAAAAGTGCTTAAAACATCAACTTTTTGCATTCGGTTAGATATATAAAACCGATGCAAATGGAGGTCATATCCATCTCTAATACAAATGTTATTAATATTTGTTAACTATTCTTATTTTAAGTACATTACACAAATGAGCAACACGTTGCCAAAGTCCAGAAGGGTATCTGGTCATCGGCTTGTGGAATATAGATCAATCAATAACTTTATAGCAGCCATTGTGTATTTGACAGACAGCTGCAATGAATCATTCGTATAAAAGACACCATATCTATTTAATTGTAAATAAAGTATTGAACTGATAAAGCATCCCTGTATGATTTTATTGTGATTACATAAGCTGCTCAAATAGATAATATTACATTTTATAATTTCTTATATATGTTTGGGAGTTTTTTTTTAAATCGAAAAACTAAAATTTCTCACCAAATAGCTAATCGCTAGTCAGAAATTTCCTTTCATTTCTTGACCTAATATTCATATTATTTATATTATTCGAGGTAAGTACTTTAGTTGATTTAAACGCTCCAATCGGTTGCCTTTATCTAATCTTCAATAATCTGAAAAACTTCTAAAACTTTCAAGCAAACAAGGTGTGTTCTTTTTTTATTCATTTGTTGATAATAACTTCCTGTGCTCTTGTAAATCCCCAAGCAATACGAATACATAGCATATACTCAATACATATGATTATATGAAAACGTATTCATCATCATAGTGTTATCTGAGATGGTAAATGCCATTTTGTCAAAGGCGCTGACTGATTGGTTTTATTTGTACAACTTTAGTCATATCCTCCAACAAAATATGTTTTATTATCAACGCCTATGCACTTCTAATCAAATTGCTTTTGTCTATACAGAATAAATTTTGGTGTGTATGTATTAATATATATGTATATTAATATATATTTATTAATATTTTTGTGGAAGTCAATGTGCCTGGGACTTATAGTTGAGTTTACCTGACTTTTATTACGGGGACTTGGATGTCTGTTCGCTGTTCTTTGAGTAAGATGAAGCAATTGCCCTTTGGCAACAAGTTGAAGATTAATCTATTTTTAACTTTAGATTCTTGGAGGTGGTAGCGATACTATCAGCAAGTTTGGTTCGGCTTGGCTTATCTGACGGTTTAATCATTTATAACGGAATCTCGGTTTATCACAAATCATTGCCAGCAACTGCAAATGATGAATTTAAACCAATTGAAAGGCCAGTCAGCCTACGGAAATATATTTTCAGGTCGTCCATAGGCTTATTATCGCCCAGTTGTTGTGCTAATTACTGGTGTCTTGTTATCAGCCGATTGTTTATAACTGCGCCTCGATATGATAAAAGCTTTTCAGGGCTCACAGCTATAACTTGATTTCTGAGTAACGAACATTTCAGTTCATATTTTGTTTTGAGCAACGGCGGATCATACGGAATATTTCCGACGACACTATATAGTATATATATATAAACAATATATATATATATATATATATATTTCACATATAGACAGGATCGAGAAAAAAGATCAAAATGTGCAACGCTCTGTGTGAATGCCTCAAATGCCCAGGCAAAGTTATTTGCTGGTATGTTTTTTAATTTGTAAATGTTTTTGTGAGTCAGCCACAAAGTAATATAATTGTGAAAACATTAAAGTTTATCAAATAGTGTGGTTTTTGTTTGAATGCATTGATAGCTTTAATGATTCCCTATATTCATTTAAGTGTGGCAGTTATAAAACATTAAGCATTAACCTGAATTGTGACTTATTAAAGTGTTTCCATTATCATTGCTTAACAGAGAAAAATTACAATAATATATTTATGCAATATAGTGTATTTTTGTAACAGTGACTTATTTGGCGGAAGAACATTTTGTTTTTTATAAGTCAGACTACAATTGTAAATCAAATATAATACTTTAAAGCGTTCTTTGCTTAGTTCAAGATCTTTTCAGAACTTGAGTTACAATTAATATATAATAATTTAATTAAATATATTATTTACTTATGTTATTTTTGTGTTGACTGACTTTAGTTGATATTAAATGAAATCTTTTCAAACTCCTAATTTTTCACTGTTTTTTATCCTTTTTAGTTGTTGCGAATGCGCATGCAAAATGGTCTTGAGCATTATATGCTCCTTCATAGTGGTGTTGGTCATTATTGGATTAATTGTTTACTTCACCGTCTTCTACAACAAAGACAGCAACAACGATTCGCAGAAAGCAATAGAGAAAATGATGCCGATTGTTAAGAGAAGCATTCGCGATTACTTTAACAAGGAATATTGAATATTGCATAACGCTCAAAGAATTTATAAAATAAGTTAAATAGCTAATAAAAAAAATATATATTTATATATTAACAAAAACAATGCCAAATAATCTAATCGCTCATCGCTAAAGCGAGTACCCTTATAATTGGGTTTTTTATCAGTCGATTGTGGAAATTTCTGAACAGCGCAGAATAGTTGGTGTGGCCAATTTAGAGGGTTTTTACCCGCTTTTCGGTTTATATTGGCTGATGAGCAACTCTATATACATACATATATGATTCATATGAAAGTGAAGACGAGGAGCGCCAGTGAGAGAGAGAGAAGGAGAGACGGATCATGCTGTTAAACCCTCATCTGCGAGCAGCTGTTAGGTAAACAATTTCCAGTATCCTTTGTATGTTATTTTTTAGTCTGGTCAGGTAGCTGAAACATCGAGGGATGAAAATAACGTCTCGGACCCGTCTGGCGTCAATCACAGTTTAGTTTGCGCCAGCCAAGCGTCAGGTTGTTCAGACAATGTCCTCCTCGAATGCAACCCTATATTACACGGCCATCGATGAAATGTTCCAAGAACTGTTGGTTGACACCAACGACGAGGAGCAGTTGTCAACTGTGGAAAATGAGGAGGAGTCGCCTCTGATAGTCACACCGAAGCGCACAGTGCGATTACGCAAATTAAATCTGTTTGCCAAGGATGCGGAGGAGTTTGTCATCTGTCGACGCCTCCCGATGCCTGACGCCCAGGTTGAGTTATCGCCCCGCCGACGGCAGTTACGTAAGGAGCGACAGGCAAATGATTTGTGGCAACTGCGCCGCCAGCGTTGTGAGATGGAGCAAAGGAAGACAGTGCGACGCCTAACGATGAGAATTTGAAGAATACATTCACACATATTTTACTTGGTGTGATCGATAATAATCCAATAACTTTGAGCTTCCGTGTTTTATGCTTTAGTTTTTAAGTATGTTTATAAATTGTTCTAAGTATGCTAAGGTAATTTAAATAGCTAATACACAAACTTAAAAGTACTAAATGTTTTCAAAGAAGCTTTGCTAAAAGGTTGGGAAATTAACTGCTAAGCTAAAAAGCTTTGTTGATCAAAGCTTTGATAGCTTAGCATTGGGTGAAATTAGCCGGCATAAGGGGAATATTTATTAAAAGTATATACACAGAAAAAAATCGCATCAAAAGTGTGAGTTTTTGTTGTTAGCAGTCATTTTGCTTATAACATAATACTTTTCAAAATGCGAATTATTTTGTGTAAGGTTTCATTAAAAATAAGGGTGAGTTTGGGGTTTTTAATTAGGGATCTTACATTGTCGAAAATGGAAACCTGTTTTGCCCTGTTTTTCTATCTACAACCGATTTATATAACCTGTATCTCACTTTTTAATTGCGTTGATAAGAATTGGCAAAAACATTGCCTCCTGACCTTGGCATTTTTTGAGTGTTTTCACTTAATCTTGACGTGCCAATTTGTAAATGTGAGATTTGGAATAGTTCACTGCACTTAAATTTTGATTATTGATTTATCAGCTAAATGGCTTTCAAAAAGAAAATAAAAATATATTTTGAGGTTTCTAATAAGCACATTCAATTAATTTATGAATGTGTGCCATTCTGTTAATGTTGTGTACAATGGGGATTTTTCTGCCACGCAATTAATGGAATTTTACGCAAATCATTTGATTTGCAAAAAAACGAGCAACTTTGACCTTTTCGCCCAGGAATGACTTGCAAAATTGTCTTAGGGATGCTCGAAGCCAAACAATTCTCGGCAACAATCTACAAAACTAGTGTGAAATATATCACTATGGAATTTATCTCTCGCTTCAATCGAGCAACTTGCCGCGTTTATTCGAAATCTTATTCGCAATGGAAACTCATAACGCACGAATTTTGTAAAAATCGCTGTGCGAAAACCACTGGCCCGATTGATCTGATTTTTAGCCTGAAGCTCGTGCATAGTATCATCTGAAACTCCACAAAAATTGATGGAAATTGCTCCTTTGCAAGCCGCTTAAATCGCAAAAGTTTACAGCAGCGCACTAATAGCTCCGATTTTGTTGATTCTTGAAAAATCAGATACTTTGCGTTCATGGATAACGTTTTGCCAAATTTCAGGTGAATCAGTTGCTGCCAACATATGCAAATCATTTAACGAAATTCATTTTAAATTGCTCATTTATTGTATACAGTTTCGCTTTGTCGTCGCTATCAAGCAACATCAGTGAGCTGAGCAAGGCACGCGGCCGACAGACGAAAGGCGACGCTGCTACCTTATCTAAGGCAAAGAATAAGAGACAGAGAGAAGTGACAAGGGAAAGCCGCGGCGTTTAGTGAGAGAGACGTTGTCATCGAATCAAACAAATGTAAGTGTTGTAAGAGGCACTGTTTGGTCGGGTGAAGTGAAGGGGCGGTGGTGTCTGAGAATAACGGCGTGTGCTGTCTGCATGTGTGTGTGTGTGCGTGTGCGCACATGTGTACATGTGTGATCGTGTCTAAATTTGTTTGATGAACAGTTTTATTCGAGTTATTGGTGATATTAACCGATAAATCCTCATTTGTATCTCTGTTTTAAGTACACTGTTTGTTATCGAGTCATATGATTAAATTACAGTCAATATTGCCGAGTGCCCTAATCAGTTTTATTATGATTAACTAGGCTATATAGCTTGTAATATCTTAGTAAATATTGATCCCAAATTGCTAATCATTCGAGTCGACCGTGAATAGCGGATTTGCAAGTGGAAAGTCATCTAACATACATTTGTACATAAGTCCATGAATATGCATTTTTCCCAGTTTCGATTAGATCTAGACTCCTGATTGTATTCATTCAAAATTCAGCTAGTCATATACGTGTATGTTTTCGCACATATTTGTACATACATACATACATATATAATAATAGTGGTTTTGAGTAAAATGCCATAATTTAATTTATTTAAAATTTATAAAATAACAGGAGAGAACGTTGCAGTCGGGCGTATCCGATTGCGAAATACTTTGATATCATACCGGTCCAAGCTTCAAGTCTCTATTTCTAAGGTCGAAAAAGTTGACAGACAAATCCAATATACTATGATACCTTCGATATCAAAGTATAAAATCATAGTATAATAATCATAGTAGCCTTGAAGTAACTACGCGAAGTCAAAAATTCTTAAGCGTATTCTCGTTGCACAGTTTTGGAACGGTAATAATATCTAACACAGGAATGGGTTTCATAAATATAGAGTAGCTTAAATAATTTATTGATCATTACATAATTTATTGATTATTAAAGCTACTCTATATTCACGAAACTCATTTCTAGCAGAAAGCTTCACTTTATATAGATTAGTTGTATTAAATTAAGCGCTATAAAATGCAGATAGTAAACATAATTAAAAAGGCAGATAGTATTTCGAAATCTTTATTATACTATATATGTTTTTTTTTGTTGCTAAAAACCGGCTCTACGCATTTGCCATTTGTTTACTTTAGTATCGGCTAATTTTTAGCACTTTACCGGGAATGATGTCAGACCTTTAACAACAATTATATATACTGTAGGCAACTTAACAGATTATAATAGATTAAACCATAAAAACAAATTTTAAAAATAATCATATTTATTTATTATCATAGTATTAGTCTAAACCTAAGTAATACACATTTTATTGCACATGAAATGTAAGAACAAATATCGGGACAGTATTAAAATTAGTTGTAGTAAATATATACACCCCTTATGTGTATGATTTACGCTTAATGTCTATAAAGAATGGTCAGCAGTAGAGACCCTGACCTTCATTATTCTCAATGTGATAGTTGCAGTACTCGCGCTGAGTGGGCGTCAATCCGAGGGTATCCACTTCCGTTTTAAACTGCTCGATGCCCCCAACTCCAGCTAGATAACCATTCAATTTTGTGGCCACATAACTTGACTGCAGCAGCTGCGGATTGAGATTGAGAGAGGCAGCTAGATCTTTGTGACCCTGCAGTCTGTACTTTTGATGGTAGCTGTGTAAGTAAATAATTAATATTCAGTACATAGCTAGATTTATTTAATTTAATTATATATATATGTACAAAATTATATAAATATATATACAAAATATATCCAATACTTACTCTTCCGCTGCATAGAAGTTTAGCTTTGGCGCAATGTCCGTGGTAATCACCTCGGGACTACGACGCTTTTGCTCTTCCAGCATGGAGGCTGCAGCAATTCTCTTCTGCTCCTCATCGTGATAGAGTATGAGGGAGGCATATTGACGTTTGATGGGCTTGGTCAGGCCATATTCGTGATTGTTCCAGAACAATTCCAGCAGCTCCTTGAAGTTGATCACCGTGGGATCATAGTCAATTTCCAGAACCTCAGTGTGATCACCCCTGCATGGAGTGGGAGTGGTTAGTAGGCCATAAAAGTTAGGAAAAGCGACAAAGAAAGAGAGAGAAAGGGGAACAGGGAGAGAGAGCAGACATTTTTTTGTTCGTTAGGAAAATAAATGTCCCACTGTGCAAAGCTTACATTTTACGGTACGTTGGCAATTCGGCGCTGCCGCCCGCATAACCGACAGTGGTGCGCAGAACGCCACGTGTGGCGCCATACAACGATTCAGCGCCCCAAAAGCAGCCCATGCCGAAAGTGGCCGTCGCATGGCTCACATTTAAGTGATGAACGGGGGACAAGTTGAGCTCCTTTTGCTCGTTGCGAACGGTGCTCTAAAGAATGAGAGTAAAAAAGAAAACAAACGGATAATACGTGTGGATGTTAGAGAGAATAAGAGCTATATGCACAAGCGAAAACTTCGCACACCACAAAGAGAAAGGCGAGTCCAAAGTAGTCTAAACCGGGCAGGCAGCGCATATTGAAAAAACGCCGCCTTTTAAAGTTATTCTGCTTTGCCTGTGTTTCGCCGACAACTGACTCTCTGCGCTTTCATTCATGTTCTTTTGACATGCGACTCTCAGCGTTGCTACTGCTCAGCTGTTTGCGATGCCAGCGACGAACAGCTGTTTCATCGACATAGACGATAGCGACGACGTCGACGTCACTGAAGTATATTCAAGGTCAGTTTGTGCATAGAAAAAATTGCAATTATTGCAAAAGCAAACAAGAGCAAAAGCAGCGCAAAGCACAAGAATTTCATAGATTTTTTTTTGCAGCACTGCTACCAATATTTATTTTTATTATTATTGTTATTTATTATTTAATCACTTTGAACTTGCCCTAAAGTTACGAAAGAGACGCGCAAACATTTTTGACTGTTGTTTCAGCTTGACAAGTTGGGCGGTAACTAAAAACTGGCCAAAACAAAAAAATACGAAGTGCCATCAAAAAGCATATCATCGCAATAGAAGCTTAAATTTTGCTCAAGTGACCTTGAATACGTTCAAAGCACTGGGAAGCTTGATTCAAGTACACTATAATAATTTTATAGATCGCCTTTGTATTTTTTTGTATGATTTTTATTACACTTATAATTCGATGCACTCATTTTGTTCACATTTTGCTTACCAGATCCTTGAGTTCAGGAATAGAAACGTCTTTTTCAATGGTGAGCGACATATTTTGTATATAAAGTTTTCTGTGCTTGTTGTCTTAAGAAAGTCGAGCAACTGTTGATCTAAAGTGAGTTCCCACGGAATTTATAGCTGCGCCAACTCAACGATAATATTCTGCCCCTTCCAGAGAGATAGAGTGAGAGCAGCTCTCGCTTTTCTACTGTTGGCAATATACCCACTGAGAAATGAAAATAGAGCACTCTTTGGTCAACATACAAATGTTGCCAAGCTACTTAAGCGTGCGCTCTTCAAGCGAGCTTTCAACAAAAGCTTTTACCGTGCTTTAAAATACTTTATTTATTTATTTTATTGCATGTAAATGTTTAATTCTTAGACAATACTGTACAATTCGTAATTTTTTTCAATACTATTTCTATTAAAAATATCAATTCCACTTTATGGAAAAGGCAGCATTTTGGATATTTATTTCTATTTACTCGGCTCGTATTTAAGTCTACTCAGCCGTAAAATGAAATCGAGCAAAAACATTTGTATTTTGATTTCCTTGGGATTCTGAGTGCTGTAAAATCCAGGTACGCCAGCCTTTTGCAACATTGATTGCTGGTCATAAACCTAAACAAGAAATAAACAAATTGTTTACGGTTTGATTTGGTTTTGGGTTTCGTTAGAAAAATACCTTCTGATCGAGCACTTCAACGATTTTCTTGTCAGTTTCTACTAGTTTTTTTGTATGTTTGATTTTCATAAGGCCCAGTATATGCTGCAGTTCCTCCGGATCCTTGATCTTCTCACGCCAATCGGCTACCTCGATTTCATACTCATTCTCCACTTGAGCTCGCATCTGGATCAAATGCTTCTCGGTCACATGCTGCAATTCCATCAGCGCCTTGACTATGTCAAAGATGCTTTCATTCAACACACAATTTGCGAGTTCTGTGAGCAAATCATAGGAAATGCGGGTCTGCAGGATTCTAGATTTGTTTGGATTCGGAAATCAATAGAGACGAGTTGCTTTCCCAGTAATTACTCACTCTGGTAGCTCGGCATGCATTTCCTTCAATTGATCCACTTAAAAACAGAAAATTTGCAATTAATTCACGATTTGTGATATCTCTGAAAAAAAATATACTTAAAAAGTAAATTTTGCGCTGCAAGAATTCAGGCGTAGGCAACTGCAGCGGCTTATTGGCCCCATCTGCCGTTTCGTTGCTGTTTGAGTTCGTCTCCTTCGTCATTGAAATGTCCTCCATTGTGTAAATATTATTATTCTATGGATTCTTTAGTAAATAATATTGTATTTAAGCTGAGCAGACAATTTAATATACGCGTACAAACAGCTGATTTGAAGCGACCAGGGCTGACATCACCAGCAGCTGGAGTGTGACCACGTCAAATTACTAACCGTATATCGAATATAATGAGATAACTGAAATTTAAATTTAAATATATAACTTTTCTAAAGTTTGTGTATAATTTTGTTTTTATTCCCATTTTTATTAACATATGTTAATAAAGTGGCTTCTCGCGTCACATGTTCCTTTTGTCGTATCCTAATTTCTACCTAAGGAAATCGGAGCGAGTAGTTGTTAAATTAGTTTTGTGAAACTGTCACGGCTGCCAAATCAGTGTGACCACATAGCAAAATAAACGCGTAATTTCTGTTTTTAATGAGCGATTTGTACATTTTATTTGTATTCAAAAAAAGTGTTGTTTGATTTAAAATCGAATGTGATTATTGCTAAAAGAAGTGATTACATTGGTATTAGTTAAAATTCTAACGATTTGCGTGCTTTAATGAATTGCTTGTCCATCTCATAGTTAAAGACACGATAAGTTTTGCTTTTCCGTCGCTTCTTGAGTTCCGTCAAGAATGTGGTTGCACCAGAACAGGGTGTAGCGGGTACAACCGCCATGCAAGCGTTCTCCGAGTGACATTCACGTTTTCCACTTTCACGGTGTTGCTGTTGCCGCGGTGTCTCAACAATTTGCAGGCCACTCAAGCGCAGCATAATTTGATTTGTTTCAGTATTTGACATTTTGCGCTGATTCAAATTATCTGCAGTACTTTGAGCACGTGATGTTGACTTGCAACTAATTTCTCAAATATCTATTTCCTGACTTTTATATACAAAAATAAACGTGACGTTTTTATGACGCCGTCGTAAAATTCTACTTTGCAGCTGTCAATTTGTGCAGGTAAAGCTGTAATATGCGAATTAGCGTATAATCTAATGATTTTCTGTGGAAAATACCCTAATCCCCATTTAATGAATTTAAAATTGAGTGAGCAGGTAAATTTTAAAAATCCGCACAAGGCGTGTACACACTGCCAGCGCACCATATGTTTTCGGTGCACGTGTGTGAGTGAGCTGAGTGTGTGTGCATCCATTGCAGTAGCGCGGAATACGTTACAAATTGTGTGTTACGCGAACGGCGAGGAAGGCGAATCATTCGCTTACCCTTTCAGCAACTATTCACAAATAATTGGCAGTAAATTGAAACGATTGATTTTGACATTTGATTTTGCACCGATAACATCAATAACTCAATCGACACAACACAAAATCAAAGCTAACTGTGAATATATTGTGTAATTGCTCGACTGAGAAAATGAAATTGAAATGAGACCGCAGAATTGCCTGTCAACAGTTGGATTTACATAAATTCATCAAAATATAAAAAAATCTGTCAAAGCGAATCTAAAACCGAAAGCGAACATACAAATCAAATCAAATAAAATTGTCATGTACACGGTAAACAAAGGACCCAGCAAAATTGTTGCTAAGACGCGACGCGGTAAGCAATACACACCCTTATTATTTAAGTGCACGAGCAAAAACAAATAAACACATGTAATATGTAAAAAGTATAATAAACCCCAAAGGGGTTGAGGATGGCAAAGGGAGTAAAGGGAACAGCGCTGCCGCCTGCGAAAAGTGTTGCTGTTATGTCACAACACGCCGCTGCTGCCGACAGAGGCAGCAGAAGCAGCGCTGCTTAGCCGCGCTCAAACAGCGCTCGCTCGCTCTCTTTTGCTCTCTCTTTTGTTTTGTGTTTATTGCCGGCTAACCGAATTTACATTCAAACAATAACAAACCACCCACCCACCCATCCGCCCACAGGTCTGCCTCAAAACTTTGAAAAGTTCGAGAGCATCAAGGAGAGCGGCAAGAAATATGGCAGCGTCAGCAGCAGCTTCGATCTGAACAGTCCCGAAAAAAACAAAAAGTAAGTGAACCAAGAAGAGCAAAGAAGAAGAAGCACAGCTGACTTGGGGGGGCTGCTTATGCAAACGGTTGGATGAACGCTGCATGCGGCTTATCTGAGCATATAATTTTTTTTATCAGACACGACCTTTGTATTTAGCGTTGTTATGTTAATTAAGTAACCGGGGCAGACAACACGTGGGTCACTCTCGGTTATCAACAGCCATCAACCATCGGCTACTCGCTCATTCCCTGCCCATTACGTCACAAGAAATTGCTCCTCAAAAGATTTTCCATTACGTTTACGTTTTGCGTATTCGGCATGTGCGTGTCTCGCATGGTTTGCATAAGTGCTCCTCACATGCTCACGCACATATAAGTGTATGTGTGTGCATCTTGTATTGTCAAGTTAATGATTAACATGCATGCATTGTCAAGTTGATGATTCTGTAAGCATGTATGTATGTATGTATGTGTGCATCTGCTATTGTTAAGTTAATAATTCGATTCTGTTAACTTGCGTACATGTATGTATGTACGTATGTATGTGTGTGCATCTTGATTTGTCGGGTTAATAATTCGATTTGATTATGTTATTCTCGCATCTCTTAGCATACCTCGCCCGGTATTTCAACAGAGCTTCGCCTCGAAACGCATTGCGCCCACAAAACTGATTGAGGATGAGGTGATAACGCCGCAACATGAGGAGATAATACGCTACATAAATGACTGTAAGCATTGAATTTAATCTCTTGAATAGAGACTTGAATATTAACATTTTGTAATATTTGGCAGCCTGGAACATTTTGGTCGCACAAAATCCGTATGATTCGAGCACAGCAATGCCGGATGGCAAGGCCGATGCAAACAACAACAACAGCAGCAGTCTGGCTACGCCAAATCCTGTTGACAGCATCATGGCCGCCAACACACCTGTGTCCGCATCGGCAGCGCCAGCTGTTTGGGTCGAGCCACCGAGTCCGGCTCTGAATGACTTCAAGCCATTCGATTTGGAGTCGTGGTGGGGACGTCGTCTGTTCCACAACATTACCAAGAGCCTGTAGACTGACTGACTGACTGATGTTGGCACTGATTGATTTATTGTTGTGTTTACGTTACGTTAGTTTAGTAGCCGGTGCTTCCGTTTCTATATAAATATTATGTTAACATATATCATTTCGACTGGAGAACAAATTCACATTAGATATATACATATATATAGGATATATATATTACATCTAAGTGATCATTGCAAAGGAGAATATCCATTTGATATGGCAATTCGAAGAGTCCTACGTAGTCTAAATATAATTAAAGTTTTTTTCTGATTGTTTTTAAGTATATATTGATAGTCACTCTCTTCTCGACCGTGTAAATAATATGATAAAAATGAAACAAAGTTATTGCAGGATTCTTTCATATTATACTACGAGTAACATTGAATATTTAAGTTTCTGTTATTCACGCACATAGATATATAGATATATAAGATGTTAATATATGATAGTCATCTCTGGTCAATTTCAAATTGTAAAATCTACAGCAAAAATTCAACAATTCTTTTATCTTTCGATTTAATTGACTAACTGTTGTTATTCGCTCAGATCTTAAGTTTTCTAGAAATGCACGTTAAGTTGAGCTCACATTAGAGATATGTGTCAGACAAAATGTGCAATTAGCTTATAAAAATATGAAATATATAAGATGTTATTTTAAAAAGGATACATTTTGCACGCGTCAACTTTTGTAATATCTCCTCAATTGTATCTTTTATATATGATATGTGGGTAATAAGCACAATACTAAAGATAATCATAGATTGTCAATATTAGAGTAATTTGTATCAATATTAAAGTTGCATAAGTAAATGCAATTTGAAAACAATTTCAAATCTTTTATTTTCAAATTTTAAACAGATAAACAGTTGTCAGTTAATTAACAGAGCGCGGAACCGCCATCTGCTAACTACGATTTGCCGGCGATATGTGTGTATGTTATGTTGGCGTTACGTTATGTTAACTTGTAGCATCTTGCGTTTACGTTGAGCACCTTTCGTTGTTGTTTAACATTAGCACAACAGCTGAGTGCCAACAAAATCAACTTCAATTAATCTCTTAGGATCTGCCAAAAAAACCTAAATAAAAACAAAAATGTCGTGCGTTGAGGCAATTAGTGAACTAGAGACACGATTGGGCGGGTCCACACTGGAGGATGTGGCCAGCCGCCATCGCCGCGAGCGCAAAGAACTCCAAGCCAAATTGCAGGCGATGAAGAAAAATGCGCCGAAAAACAACAAAAACAAGAGGAAGGAGTTTCTCGAGGAGATGGCGCGCTTAGAGGGCGAACTGGAGAAGCGTCACCAGGCGGAGTTGCAAGAGGCAGTTGCACCAGCTGCGACAACACTACAAGCTGCCATTGAGCCACCAGCTGCTGACAGCCACAACAACAACAATAACGATAACAATGACAACGACGAAGAGGTGGATGCAGTGCATCCGACGCAGCAGCGAGTCTCCAAGGCGCAGAAGCGTCGCGACAAAAAGGAGCGTGAGGCACGCGAACGGGAACAGGAAATACGCGTTGAGCTGCAGAATGCAGCCAATGAGCCGTCGCCCAAGCTGATCGAGTTGCAGCAGATCACGGCTAAGTTGAGCAGTCGCCAGCTTGCGTTGCACTCGATTGCTTCCGACGGTGATTGCTTATATCATGCGGTGCGTCATCAGCTGCAACTGCATGGGCTGCCCGATCGCAGTGTTGCCGAACTGCGCCACGAGACTGCCCAATATGTGCGTGCTCATAAGGATGAGCTCATCTGCTACATGACGCATCCGGAGACGGGCGAGGTGCTTAACGATGAGCAATTCGAGGCCTACTGCGAGGACATTGCCAAGACGCACTCGTGGGGCGGACACATTGAGCTGAAGGCGCTCTCCTCGCTGCTGCGCGTCCCCATCGAAGTGATCCAAGCTGTGGGCGCCTCCACGCTGCTTTCCCTGGAGGAATTGGGCGGGGCGCCATTAATCATTTGCTATCATCGCCATATCTATCAGTTGGGCGCCCATTACAACTCCACGGTGTCGGTGGAGTAATGGAGCCAAAAATAGAATTCTGATTTTGTAACACGTTTATTGATTTAATAATAATATTTATATTAATTACACTTTTTTTATATACAATATATATAAATATGCATTTGGAAGATTTGAATTATTGTCAAAATTTGCAAATAGTTTGTTACGCTTTGTACAAATGTTATTTAATTGAATTGAATATTGGACAATATTGGATTAGTTTTGGGCATACTTTACAAAACTTGAACTATTTCAAATAATCATCTAATTTGATATTATATCTCGGCTTATCCTAATGTATAGTATTTGAAATATTTGCTAGTTTTGTAAAGTAAAAGCTTAGCTAATTACATTCTGATAATGCTCGATCGCTTGGCGAGAATTGTACTAGAAGCGCGATTTGTTCTAAGAAAATATAGATGTATATATAAATTGCTTATATAGGTAGAAAAGAGTAATCATTTTCAATTGGTTGACTTTTGTTGCACAGTTTTTTTTTTATATACTAACTACATAAATGGCGCCATTAAATGTCCCTCATTTTGATGATAAAAAATTTGAATATTTTTGATTTTTTGAACCTATCTATCGAATTAGTTATTTTTCTTGCTGCTCTTCTTGCCACTTGGTGGCTGCTTCTTGACCGGTGTGTTCGGATAGAGGGCAAACATCGAGAGCTGGATGCCACCCAAAACAAAGATGAGCAAATTCTGCCACTAAAATACGAATTGCGAATAAGTAAAGATTTATAATTTATGATTTCATTTTAGGTTCTTTAATACTTACCACCATGACATGATTACGAATGGAGAACGCATAAAACATCCATGCAGTAACCACAAGCTGTCCAGCAAATATAATGGGGAAGGGCATGCCTTCGGTGCTCTTGTTCTTGATGACGTTGGGAATGTTCAGCAGGGGGGAGCCAACGAGCCACACCAGGATGCCGGTGATGATCATGCCAAGACGGAATTCAACTTGTTTCGGATCCTCAAAGTTGGCATACGCTATGCAGGACATGAGGAACAGCGAAACGTAGCCAATTTTTGCCCAAATTTGCGTCTTTCTCTCGCCGGACGCATAATAATAGAAGCCAACCATGAACACCGTATTGATGGCAAATCCAATTATGTTGACCTTCATCATTGGCTGGTCACCCATCACTTGACCCAGTTTTACGCTCAGCACAGTGCTGTGCGAGAAGAGAGAAGCGAAAGGGGTTTTGTAAAGATTATTATTATCAAAGTGTCTACACAGTTCCATAGAAAATTATTTTATTTATTTATTTCACGTACAAAATATTAAAAAGCTGTACAAAAGTTTATAACAGATAAGGGGAAGCATGTTCATGGAGCCCATAAAGTGACTATAAAAGCCGGAGACTTCAAATTTATACTACGAATTCGCGTATAACAGAACTTAATTGAATCAAACGTTAAAATTACCATCAGTAGTCTACTATATATATAGACATGCGTAAGCTAGATTGTTCAGTTTATAATTGTAATTTTCCTACATTTAATAATAAAAAAATATAATACAAAAAAATAGTTTGCTCAATTTAATTTTTCTGATTATCCTTCAGAAAGCAATATAAAATTAATAACACTAGCTTGACTCCCTAATAATTAAATAGAAGCTGTTCTTACAAGAATATATTGTATATAATTATATATCAATTTATACATTATGTATTCTTTGCTAAGTGGTTTAGGGTATCTCCTAGTCGCTGTCGCGTCTGAAGCATTCTAATATAACATAGTGAGCTCGCGCAACAGCAATTCTCATGGGGAAATTTTGAATAGATATGTCCATAGAATCTATTTACAATTTCACCATTAAAACTTCTGTTGCGCTAATTTATTTGTAGATAACAATACCACAAAACGTTATACATAGCTTTTTCTACATACATCGTTCTATAGTTGTTATCGATTATCATCAATAAGCTAGCTTATCAAAAAGTATTCAAGTATGTTTAAAAAAACCTATGGCATAATTTTGTTAACCTATCATGAAATAATTTTGATTATGTTTAAACTAAAAGTCAACTCACTATTTGCCATGCTTACAGAATTTATTTTAAAGTGCAAATAATTCCGGTTTCTTGAATTACAAAAAAAAAAAAAAACTGGTTTCTTGATTTTATATTTCAGCTTGCTTATTTCAAAAGTTATGCAGAGCAATTGTGTAGAATTTTTCAAAAATTAAATTATTACGCAAATTTTGTCAAGAAAATTATACACATTGTATTTGTATATACATAGTTATAAAGCTGTTATCGTTTATCTTCAGTAAGCTGGCTTATCACAAACTATTTTGATTATTTTTATTATGATTAAGTTAAAGGTGTATTTTGTGGGATTTAAAAAATAAAAACAAAATGATGCAATTTTTGTCGGGAATATGAATTTGATATTGAAAATGAGTAAGTCAAGTTCTATTGGAGACTATTTTGCCATAATACCAACCCACATTCTTTTTCTCTTCAGTACTCCAATAATCCAAGTAATAATCAATAGAAAATGTCTGAGTTAAGCTATTAATTCCCAAGCACAAACTAAAATTAAATTATTCATTGAACAGGTTTCGCAGCTGTAACAATAATATTTGCTACGTATAAGCATAGGTGACCGTTGCATATGTGAGCCAAATAGTTGAAGGACCCTTGCAACTCCTTCTTGCCGCAAACTAAGCCACCCCACAAGCTAAACAATATTTGAACACGCAACTGTTGCGCATTACGCGGATTCTCGCGTGTTTTACAGCACTTAAGCATTATAGGGTGTGTGAAAGGTGTGGGGGATGGGAGTGGTGCAAATTTACAAATTTCAATTTTCATTAAGGAAACTGGGCACGTGGAAATGGGGCTTGGGATATGGGTTTGGCCCGCCAAATGATCAGCGAATGTGAAGCTAGGAGACTAACCCAAGTGCCGGCAGTGTGGCATATTAAGAGATTAAGTTACAAGGCATATATATATTTATATATAATATATTATGTGTGTATATATGTTGATAAGATGTACGTGTTGTCTGCTATACTTGGAACGATAAGAAATGTCTGCTTAAATAAATTTGAACTAATTTTTGTTGACTAATAGGATCTGAGAGGTTTAGTTTTATGTAACCGTCAATTGTCAATTGTTGAAATGAAAATTGCGCCGTGCATTGATTGAGATCTGCTTGAAACTTGACTATCAAATGCCGTTTGATTTGGCCTTGAACTATGCAAAAATACTTTCACTCTTTACTCCCCTTAACTTCGTTCAACTTTCTGCATCATTTTGCAGTGTCATGGCGACAACTCAAAAAACAATTCAACAAATGTAATCAATTTCACACAGTTGCAATTATTTTTTATTTGTTTGTTGAGCACTGTTCTGTGTGTGTGTTCGTCTCTCTATGTGTGTGTGTGTGTGCGGCATTGCATTTAATTACATTTTCGTTCGAATATGCTTGGGAACATATAGGTAAACACTCACAGCACAATTCCGCCCAAAAACGGTTCGACGGGATAAACATCGCTAGACTGCTTTTTACGTATGTCATTCAAAAGTGCGATGCCAGACAGAAATTGTAGTGTTGTTATTGTGCCGGCTATTTTGCCAATTGTTTCACTATATGGCTCCAAAAGATCGCTAATTCCATCCATGTTGTTCGAAGTCTTGTCTGTTTATGTTTGAAAGAAACACGTTATGCGTCTGCAACACTGGCAATCGAGTCGTTTGGTTGGTAAATAAATAATGTAAAACGAAACAAAAACCTAACAACGACCAAACGAAACGGACTGCCGCTGCCGTAACAACTGAGGACGACTACTGGGCTCCACAACGCTGGCGCTGTCCACTTTATACAAAACCAAATGCACCAGATAAGCACGCAAAAGCGCTGCTATCGTTATCGTTATCGCTATCGCTGAGCAGTATGCCCAAAATATCGATTACACGCAACTTAAATTTGAATTTTATATTTTGCATTTGATTAAGACACTAGTAGAAAGACACTTATTTCTAGACATCCTGTCGCAGGACATGTTTCTGCTTCTCACTGACATAGGGCACCTTGCCCTTCTTCGAGTGCCGGCGCACATTGGCCTCCTTCAGCAGCTCCTTGTCCTTGACAGCACGCATCTTGCGCTGCGCATTGAGCACATGTCGCGGCACTTGGCGATGACGCGCAATCCTCTTGATTTGCGGATGCGCTGCATACTTCTCCTTGAGCGCCTCCTGATAGTTGAAATTGGCACGTTCACGAGGTCGTATAATGCCCAACTTCTCCGAGGCATTCGCCTTCCACATGCGCACATTCATCTCATCCGAGCCCGAGAAGATATACCGATTGTCCAGCGACCAGGCAACGCAGACAACATGCTGCATGCGCTTCGTGTGATATATGTCGCGGGAGTGACTCTGATGGGCATGATAGATGCGCACCGTCTTATCGTAGCTGGAGGAGACAAACTCCTGCCCTGTGGGAGCATAATCCACATCTGTCACTGCCGAAACGTGATCAAAGTGAATCTTTAGAGGCGTTTGCAGCTGGCGTGTGTCAAATGTGTAGAGACTGTAAATAAGGATGATTTCAGTTAGTATACTCCTACTCCTCCTCCTCCTCCCTCTTGACCCATCTCACTTGCAATCCTCGTTGGCAACGGTAAAGTTGAACGCCTCCATGGGATTCCAGGCGAGCTTGTTGCTCTTCATGGTCAGCACAACTTTGCGCAACGGTTGCGCCTCTCGCTGATCATACAGAATAATGCTGCGATCACTGGCACAGCAGGCGAGTACAGTTGTCTCCACGGGATTGTAGGAGATCGTGTGCAGCGTGTCCACGCCCCATTTGAGCGTCTTGATGGGATCATTATGCTGATCATCCCAAATGGCACAAACTTCGCCACACGTGGCAAAGCTATTCTCCCTGCGATTGTGCGAAATGCCGTGCAAGATGTGACGACTCAATATCGTGTTAATTGGCTCCTCTTCCTCGCCCGGCTCAGGCGCCTGAGAACTCCACATTTTGATCGTTTTATCATCGCCGACGGTCAACAAACGATCGCCATTCCCAGCGTATGCAATGCCACGCACGAAGCCATCGTGAGCCACAAAATTGCGTATGCTCGTGCGATTAGCCAAATCCCAGATGCGCACCTCGCCATCGTAGGCGCCAGTGGCCAGCGTCGACAACAATTTGGGATGCTTGCCAAAGCAGGAGACGCCATCGCGATGCCCACTCAAATTGCACACAAATGGCTTGGCGAACACACGATCCAGTTTGGTGGCGTTCAGGGCACGCACATATTCCCTGGGACCCTCCAGCGGATGCAGCGCCGGATCGTAGTTCCGTGGCACTGCAAATTTGTAAAATATTCAGTGGCTATTTTTTTTTTACTCGTTAGCGGCTTACGTTTGTGCTGCTGCAGCTTGGTTTCCCGGACATAGTTGTCCGGGTTGCGACTTATCATTTTCACCTTCATTTCGCAAATAGCATCAAGTTGTTCAATTGATAATTGATTTGTTTAAAATTGAGCTATTTCAATAAACCGTCTACGCAAAATAAAAACAAAAACATGTGCGCATTATTTTAATAGAGATGGTCGTGTTACAATAGTAACTTATCGATAGTTTCGATAAGTTTTGCCTGCATCTGTCAGCTGTTCTGCGCTGATTTTGACCCGCGCACATGCTTACATTTGAATTTGGGATGCAATGAGTTTTCTTTTTATATTTATTTATATTTATTGCGCTAAAATCGTATTCAATTTAATATTGATAACAGCCAAAGACGGTGACAATGCACACCAAAGTGCCGGCATCAAAGGTGACGCGTACATGATCATCGGCAAGTACATCCCAAACGGCACGGAAGCCATAATGGAAACCAGCACCTGTCTGCTGATAGATGACAACATTAACCACATGCTTGAAGCGATGCTGCCGACAATAGCCCTGCATTTTCAGGTTGACATTGTCAGCCACATCGCGCACCCACTTGGTGGCATCTCCCGGCTGGTAGGTCTTGCCTGTGGTCACATAAAAAAACTACATTGAAACGGTTATTAGAATCAAGAAGTACTTACCTTTTAGCTGGGTACTTAAGACGCGATTGACCATAAAATGTATAAATTGTAATGGAAACTTGCAACCGAAAGCGGGTCCCATGCTATACTCATTATAGATGGTCACATCAGTGGCCGGCTGTGCCTCCGAGTGTGCCTCCTCCGAATCAGTATCCGAATCTTCATCAGTCTTTACACTTGCCACCGGTTTGATTTGTTGCACATTCTCCTCACTTGCTTTGTTCTTATCGCCAGTTATCGTGACATGCTGGGTGCTGCGTGCCTTACGTTCCGCTGCGGGATGCGCTTTGGAACGGCTTACATTTATCGATTTGGATCCCGGCATTTTGTAGAGTATTTAGTTGGAAATTTGTGTGCTTTCTATTCAGCCTTGTTTCCTTACTGACAGACTAGGAAACGAAAGTTATGCTTTAAAATCGTAGCATGAATTTCGAAACTGATCTGATATTTAAAGTAAACCTTTTTTCACATTTTTCATTTTTCATTTCACATTAAATATATTTGTATAATATATTATAACTCTTTATTTACTTACTTAGTCGTAATCAAATCGCCTATATTTATTTCAGGCTTGAAATAAAATAAACTAAATGTGTAAAAACTGATCTGATTTTTTAAAGCAATACTTTTTTGTTGTGGTTCTTAGTCACCTTAAAATAATATTTTATAATTCTATATTTATTAACTTTGTCTTAATCGTCCATCAAATCGTATTTATTGATTTCAGGCTACAAATAAAATAAAGTAAATTAAGCAAATCATGAAAATATGCTTACAATGAATTTATTTATTTTCCTTGCTAACTTATTTTTGACATTTTCTTGCTCTTTGTTGGTAAACTAAACTCATTTTTTTGTTGCTAGTGAGAAACATTTAAGTGGAAACTAGAAAGAAAATGCAATTTTAAAAGATTTTCAGTGCTTTGAACGTTTGCGCAATCGTCGCTTTTTCTGCGCCGTCACTTGCGGGTCACGACAGTTCGAGCTGTCACCCACAGATGGCGCCGGCAACTTATCCACCTCGTCTGCATCCTGCTGCAATTTTCGCAGCTTACGCAGACAGCAACAATTGCGCAGGGCGCGCATAAAAAGCTCCATATTCTGATTGAACGTTGTCAAATGATGCTCATCGATGTCGGCGCCACGGGCACAATTCTCGATGGTCACCTGGGCATGGAAGAGGCATTCGCTGGCATAGCCCAGCGTCTCTTTGAGAATGAAGATCTGTTGCTTCTTCTTCTGCTGCATATGCAGATAGCGGCCACAGAGCGTCTCCAGCCGGCGCTGCTCGCTGCGATAATCATCGTACATGGAATCATATTTGCCACGCAACACTTCCAAGTCGCACTTCAGCAGCTTCAGTGCCTTATCCTTCTTGGCCAGTTGTCGATGGGTTTGACGATTTGAGGCACTAAGTTCTTCGTACCTTAAATAAAAATTTAACGAAGGTTAATTTCATGTCAGTAAGTTGATATTAAATAAACAAGAAGGAAAGTTCTGGACTCGGGAGGATTCTTGTTCTAAATATTAATTATTTAATTTTAACATTTATTATTAGTTTTCTTAGTGCACACTGGAATTTGATTTACTAATATAATATAATAATAAGTTAGATATATTCGATATTTATAATAGAATTATAAAAACAGGACAAACGAAAGCAGACAGGAATAAGAACAGATAAAGAGGAAAAGATTCAGGTTATTTCACGGCGATAATCTGAAGAAAAAGACTTCCGATGTTAATCTGGAGTGCTCAAAATTTGCGAAAACCGAAAATTTGTCCGTTTTGAAAATGTGATTTGAATATGAAATATATATTTTAATTACAAATTAACAAATGTAGGATTTGCTTAGGAAATAATTGGCTAGTTCCCACAAAGTGAAGCTAATACCAACCAAAATACAGAAAAGTATTTATGCTGGCGATAATTAAAATAATAATCAACTGGTGCAAAGACATGGAAGATTTTTGAGTGTAAATGGATTAATGGTATATCCGGCTCAAACAATTCCTTGACTAATTCTATTTTGGGATACTTACCGCTGCTGCATAAGCAATGGACTAATCGATCCATGCAATTCGTCCCTGGAATGCAGTCGCATCCCGTTCAAGAGTTGGGTTTCCGGTTCACTGTCGCTGCTGGATTCGGTGTCGACGCCACGGAGAAGTTGGACGAGTCGATTATTACGCTGCTTCTCCGTGTCCAACGAGAAGTTGAGCTCGTGAATCCGCTCCGTTTGCCGCTCGACTGCCATGCGCAACTGGAACTCGTGCTGTTGATCCTCGTAGAGCGTGTGCTCCAGTTCGCTCACCTTGTCCAAGATGAGCTCCACCGTCTGCTTGTAGGGCTGACGCCGTTGATTGATCTGTGCAACAGCTTGGGCGAGACGATCCTCCTGGGCGGGATCTCTGCTGCAGATGCTGCTCGATGGCGCCAAGCGAACCGATGGCGTCGATGAACTTTCACTGGGCGTCTGTAGTTGTTTCTTGGAGCCCAATGTTAATCTCAGACTATTGCTCAAGCTTCTGGCCAAGGCGCCCAGGTTCATCCTGACCTCTCAACTGGTGTTCTTTGGTGTCCTTTGTCGTGTGTCGAAAGTTCGTTTCCTTTCATTCGCTTCGTTTGTTGTTGTATTTGTATTTGTATTTGTTGTGTGTGCTGTCAGCGTCGCCTGCTTTTTAATCTTTCTCTCTCTCTGTTGGTGTCTGTATGCATGTAATTTGTAAAAGGGTATGCTGATTTTGTGCAAGTGTATGTAACAGGCAGAAAGAAATGCATCTCGGACCCCATAAAGTCAATATATTCTTGATCAGGAGCAACAGCCGAGTCAATATAGCTTTGTCTGTCTGTGCAACCGTCCGTCCGTATGTCCATCCGTAAGTTCGGCCGTATGAATGACATGCCTCTCAATGACAATGCTAGATACTTTGAATGTGGAATATATGTTCTCGTATAACTTTTTGCATCATTATATCGATAACTGCTTCCGTTACTCGAACTTCGATCAAGTTATGGTCAAAAACGAATTCTAATATTGATATCGATTTGCTGGGTTCCAGGGTATGTCGTAGTCGAGCTTAACTTTTTGCTTGCTTGCATTCGTCGCCAGGAAAACAGGCAGCCAGGCAGGCAGTCAGGTAGTCAGGCAGTCAGTCAGAGAGGCAGGCACTCTCCATATGGTTGGGCAAACTTTTTAAATTGGTTTCAGTTTTTCACACCTTACACCCAAAACAGTTAGTTTCCTTGGCACTCAATCAAAGTTTCACCCAAGTGCGTTTCCTCTCCCACCCTCCCTCGCTCTATCTGTCTCTCTCTCGCTCTGTCTCTGTGTGTGCTGCGCTTGTTAGTCGTGCGTGAATTGCTGTTCGTAAAAGGGGCTCACTGCCTATGAGGTTAGTACACTTATTGCATTTTTATGGTTAAAAGTTTTTGTGCCTCTCAAAGTGAGTCACTGATTGGAATCGAAACGGAAGGAGTTGAACAAGTTGATTGCGTCAATTTCAGTGCATAAAGAAATGAGCGTACATAATAAACGACTAGCAAGTATTACTTGAATTAAACTTTAACCCATAAACAGGAAGGTTAAAAATAAGATTTATCATATCAATATTTTTTCTGCTTATCTACGCAACACAACTCAAATTCATTAGTTTATCTAGCCTTCTTGTTTTATCTATTTGCTTATCTAAATTAGCTAGTTCCTGTGGCGCTTTGTTGCCAATGGGTGCAACAATATAATCCACTTGATATATTAATTGCACTTATATTAAACAAATCTAATCTCAAACAGCTCATAAATCAACGACAGATAGTGTATTGATTGATTTTTTTGTGACTCAAGTGCGTACGCTAATTTATGGCCAATAAAAAATGGAATCAATTAATTTTGTTTAAAATAGAGTCACAGCATTATTTATTTACAATTATTTTATAAATAAATAAAATCGGTGTAGCGCACTGAAAAAGTTCATCGAACATAGTCAGAAATGTAAGGTGCTTTCTCTCTCTCTCTCTCTCTTTGTCTCGCTTTCTTTGTCTCTCGCAAAACCAAGTTGATAAGCTGTGGCAGCTTTTGCAACAGCTGAGCGCGACGTGAGCTTCATTCAGTTGTGAAGCTTTGTCGGTGCTGGCAGCTGTCTCTCTCTCCCCGGAAGGGCAAGCTCAATTGTAACAGTTGAGAAATCAACTCAAATAAATCAAAATTAATCACATTTTGTTGTTGTCGTTGTTGTCGCAGTTGTGGTTTGCTGTTGTTGTTGCTCGTGGACAATGTCACGCATAATTGCGGGTGCTCGTGGCCTGTTCAGGCGCCATCCTTTTGTAACCAACAGCGCCATCTATGGCAGTCTCTATGTGGGAGCAGAATTTACTCAGCAATATGTCTCCAAGCGTTGGCTGCCGGTGAGCGAAAAACAAATTGCATAAAATTTACACACACATAAGGGTTAATTAAATTTATGTGTCTTGCAGCCGCCCAAGGAGCGTGAGGACATCGATTATGCAACTGTGGGCCGTTATGCGGTGATGGGTACTGCATTTTATGCCCCGTCACTCTACGTTTGGTTCGTCTGTTCTCTGCTTATAAATTTTAACACAAGCTGTAAAACTTACACGCACCTAATTAATCCAAGCCAAACCATAAATATTTATATAAATTACACCCAATTGACACACATACATACACACACTTTTACTACCATGTGCCATTGTAAATGTGGAATGTTTTTGTTTTGTCGCCTCTTTCGTTTTGTTTCGTCTCGTTTCGATTCAATCAATTTGTTTACTATTTGCAAAAGCTGTCATAGCACGTGTATGCCATTTAAGAGAATGAAATCACAGCACTCACTCACCCACACACAGACACACACACACATACGCGCACACACACAGCTTCACTCGCTCGCTCTCTTTCCTTTTTCTCTTTAGCAGCACCGGCAAAAGAGCATGGAGCTTTTGGTTATTAAAGCTCCACTCCAATTAAGCACGCTACGCACCATAACATGTGGCATATATGTATGTGCACGCAATTATGTCAGATATATGTAAGTGTCGGTCGGATGATAAACACCACACGATACACAAATCTACATAGACAAAGATACACACAAGAGCCGAATAATGTTCACGTTTCAAATGCAAAATTACACTAACCCACACAGCACCCTTCACTTTGCCATAACTGGTTGCCATCTCATTCCATGTCTCTGTCGCTCTCTCTCTATCTCTCTTTTTTTTGTGCACTTCTCTTTTGATTGACTTGTGAGACATCCATCCTAGGTATAAATGGCTAGATGGCGTTTTTCCTGGAACCATGAAGACAACAATTCTAAAAAAATTGCTACTTGATCAGTTTATATTGACACCATATTGTCTGACACTATTTTATACTGGTAAGAACTGTCTAAACGTCTAAAATGATTCAAAACGTTAAATTGGGATTTAAGCAAAAGCCTTATCAATTAGTTATTTTTTATTATTTTATTTTACTTATTTTTGAATAGTTTAAGTTCTCAAGTTCTCTTTAATTATTTTTTATATGAAAAGTTCGATTTATTACGCTTTTTAACAATTTGATATTAAATAATATTTATTATGCTTTTTAACATTTTGACATTAAATTATTAAGATACAATTTTTTATTATATATTTTTATTATACTTTTAATATTCATACAGACAATTGGTCAACAATTTATATATTTATTTGTTCTTTTTTTATCTATTATTAAATCCTGAACCAACATATTAAATATTCTTCCACCAGCATTTAAATAATAAAAGTTAACAATTTTATTAATAAACATATTTTAAAGTTAGTGGCTCTTTTTATTTTTTAATTTCTAGCTTACCTCGATTTGAATTATTAATTAATGTTGTATGTTTATTCGTTGTATTAGGTATGTCAATTATGGAGGGCTCTGAGGATATTTTTCTGGAATTGCGCGAAAAATTCGTACCCACCTTTTTGCGTTCGTGTATTTTCTGGCTGCCCGCACAGGCCTTGAACTTTATGTTCATAGCGCCACGTTTTCGTATCATCTATATGGGTCTTTGTGGCATGATTTGGGTAAATATTTTGTGCTGGATAAAACGTCAGAGTTTGACCGCAGACAGCACAACAGCAACAACCACAACAGGAGCAGCGGCAGCAGCAGCATCAACAATGACACAACAAGGACAACAGCAACAACAACATCAACAGTAGCAACACCAATGTCAAGGCGTGATTAGATTAGATAGTAGCTTAACACATTCACATACACAAGTGTGTGTGCTGTATATATATATATATTTTTGATATGGTGCAAAGAAGCTCTGGCAAATAAATACATACCAAATGCTGGAAATGTATGTGCATATGTATTATTTAACCTGGGCAACGAACACAGTGCGTATGATTGATGTTGTTATAAAAGGAAACCCATCAATTATTACTTATATATGCTGTCTGTGCGTGTGTGTTAGTCTCTCTCTATGTGTGTATGTGTGTGTGTGAGTATGGGTGTGCTTATGTGTGGGTTTATGTGTCTGTGTGTGCGAGTCACTTTGTGTGCTGCGTGAGTAAACGTGTTTAATTGTGTGCGTATGTGCGTAAATGTTTCATCAATATTTGGTACACAAACAACAACATCAACGCAGAGAGATGGCAACTATTGTGTACTATACCAAATATAATATAATACATCTAAGTAAATTAGTCAGTAAAATAATGTCCTAATGCATTTACAACTTAGAGATGAGACAACATATCAGCAGCCAGCTGATTCTACGACACTATCGTTTCAAACTGTGGGAGGTTGTTTACTACATTCTGGAGTTTAATACATTATGGAGTTTAAGAATATATATGCAACACCGAATCGAAGATGTTATTGTGAACTTTAACTTATAATGATAAACCATTATTTTTATACAATTATTTTTTATATAATTGTTTAGCTTCCTAAACCAATTTGAATGAAGGAAAGTACATTTCAAAATACCGTATAAATGCCACCGATGATGTCTTAAGAATGCGTGCAATATGCCAAGATTGGTTTGCCGAAAAAAAAAAAAAATCAAATGTTTCGAATGAACGAAAGTACATTTTCAAATATATTTTGTAAATATATTTTCTAAATATATAATTTGTAATATAGTTGTTTAAATTTAAACATCGCTTACTTAAATATACTCTAATATATCGCCCATCACCAGGGAACAGATGAGTTCCCATTTCCCGCCGGACAGCTAAACTAATTAGATGTTGCGTGCTTTATGCCTGTCTCCTGTATTCCCTAACTTCTTCTTGATGTTTCACTCTGTGTCCATGTGCGTCTGTTTAACTTATTGCTGTCTATTTAAATTGCAATTTGTCAATATGCGTGTGTGCGTCCACTAACCTCCACTCCCCTTCGCGCCCCACTCCACTCCTTCCCCATACCATAACTCAACCATACTCCTTGCTCACACCTTTGCCCCGTAACCCTGTCTCTGTTTCTATCTCTGTCTCTATTTCTATTTCTATCTCTATTTCTGTTTTTGTGTGCTTCTCTATCTGTGTTCATGGCCGGCTTAAGGCTGGGCATACAATTAAACTTCTTGTACAGTCATTAACAGCACATAACTTGGGCCAGCCTCTTCTTGGAACTAAACTTGGCAGACGTAGCGCCCTAACCAAATCCCCTCCCCTTCCCTTCCCCCCTTAATAAAGAACAAAACAAAAACAACACAAAGAGGGGGAAGGGGGCTAAGCCATTGCGGCTGCCCTTCTCCTTTGGGCCAACCTCGACAGCCCCGCCAGCCCCGCCAGCCACGCCAACCCCGCCCGTCGAGTGACTTTGACGTAGAAAACGTTCGCTGGTACTTTTTATTTACATCCGCTTGTTTGTTCAAAGCGGAAAATTAATTCCATCTTGGCTTGTTTCCGTTTATCTTGGAAAACGTATTCCTCGTCGTCTATGACTCGCTTTCTCTGTCTCTCTCTCTCTCTCACTCTTTTGTCCTCTTCCTTCGCTTTGTGCTTTGTTGCTCCTTTACTTTTATTTTCGGCAGCCTCCAAACTGCGAACCTGCGAATTCTGCTGACCAACTGAAATTGCCCTCCCGCCATTGCTCCCATTCCAATTTTGTTATTTTTATATCTGCGTCTATTTATGTACTTCAAATACTTGCGGACTCGTTCTGGGCACTTTGTCGTCCAGTGTCGCCTAGCATTGTGGTATTATAATACTGCCATTAGGTTTATTAGCCAAAGTAATAGGTATATGAATTTCATTCAACATTTATTTTATGAGTATTTGCAAGCAAAATATTTTTAAACTTTATAATGTTTTAAGCTATTTACGATAATTTTAAAAAATTATTAGAGTGCTTAGTTTAAGGCTTATAAGCCAGAATAAGGGGTATATAAAATTCTCCATTTATTTTATTTTATGTGTTTACCGATTCTGTTACCAAACATAAACGATAATTGTAAAAAATGCACAAAGTGCATGGTAAACTTATTTCGGAAACAAACGAATCTTACCTAAAAGAGAATTTTCTTCATATTTCATTATTATAGTTATACCAAACATTTAGCTAAAATTAAATATATAAATGTTAATGCCATATTAACAGATATATTAAGAAAAATTAAGATTACTTATATTTACTTATATTTTTTATATATTTTAGAAATTGTTTCTATATTTGTCTTAGTTTTTTAACACTTTGCTTAAAGTCGTTATTCGTTTATATTTCTGTATATCTTAAGTCTTATTTTTAAATTTTATTTGATGCTTTAAATTTTACTTATGTTATGATTAAACAATTTAAATTTTAATTAAGTAAAAATTCTTAATAAAAAGTTTGTTTGACTTGTTGTTCATTAAATAATTATAATAATGAAGTTTTTTTTTTATTTTCTTTGGCAAGGTCAACTTAACAAAATTTTATCTTTACATTTCTTTTATTAATTTTATACGCTGTATGTTCAAATATATTTAGGGTACATCTGTGTTGAGCAACTAGATGTTACAGGGTTCCAAATTTTGAAGCCCAATTTTAAGAAATTTCTTGATGAGCGATTCGAACCATTTAAGACTTTTAACTTATAGGAATTAATTAACCTCAGATATTAATTTGGTTTGAAAAACCAATTAAAGTCTCATAACTCACAGTTTCAAAAAAGAGAAAACGTTAAATTTAGTTACATTTTAAAAATATTATAGATTATAAACTCATAAGTTAAACAGCATTTTCTTTTGGTATTAAATATCAGTTTACGGAGTATCGTCAAGTCGCCGAGTCTAGTTGCATTTTTCCTATTTTCTTAGCTCTCTTTTTTGTGTCTGGGGGGTTGTGGGCGTGAAACTAGGAACCCTCGGACCATATCGTCCTATCTTCCCTATCATACGTATATTAAATTAAAAATTAATTTACAAAAACAAACAGAATTATGTCGACGAGGGAGAAGGGCGGAGAAGCTAAAGGAAGTTGAAAGAACTGACGAGCATAAGAAGCTAATACTTACTAATGCTGCTTCATTTGATTCAATTACCGGAAGCATTCAGCCAGCTGAGAATCACTTCTGACCGGCAATCTCTTCTTGCTGTGTGTTTATCTTGTGCCACGCGGCACGAAGCTCACAACTTGTTGTAATTACCGAGACCAAGACAAATAGAAAATGGCGCAAAAACGAGAAATTAATCAGCGAGGCGACTCGACTCGACGCGACGCGACGCAACGTAACGCGGAGCGTAGCCGGGCCTTGGCGGAGCGGGGCGTGTGTCGGAGGTATGGACAGGGGTGAGATGTAGGGGCGCGCTGATGGCGTGGGCGTGTCTCCACGGATTTGATGGAACTGGACGTAATGTGAAGCGTTCGGCAAATATGTACACCCGGAGTGCCATAGACGGTGACTGGTGTCCAGTGTTGTTTGCTCAGTATTTGATGGTCATGACGGTACTTTCACACGCGCTCTGCCCGCCGCATTATAATTTTAAACTACCCAGTGAGAAAACGTACAGCTCCTGCCCCAAAAAAATACCCCCTACCCGTATGCCAGTTATATCCGTAGCGCGAACGGACCCCCGGTGCGGCACATTTGTTCGCCGGCATGTGAAAATTGATTGCTGTTGTTCATAGCTGCGGGATATGGCCAAAGTTTTTAAGTTCCTCATGCCGCGTCGCGCTCCCAGGCGCCCAGTTCCGTTCTTCATTTATCCACTTGGTGTTTGTATTGCTGTTGTTGTTGTTGTTATTGTTGTTTCGGCGCTGAAAAGCTGAAAACAATGCGCATTCCGCTTGCGGCTCTCCTGCGCCTTGAATGGATGTTTTTTTTGTGCTGTTTTTTTTTTTTTTTTTTTGTATTATTAAGAAAGTTTTATATAAGTATTTTTTGTCGGTTTGACTGGGGTTGGAGAATATATTTACATTTGGCAGTTGGCTGCGTTAAGCGGCTTGCGTTGCCATGGTGGCTGGGTGGCGACTGGTTTTGGGGCATGGCATTCATGGTAGCTGGTCAAATACTGTCTGCTGGTATTGAAATTCTTAATACTCTGTTACCTTGCCATGTAGACAATTTGATGTGCAGCGTTTCATATCTAAAGAAAAATGCAGCAGAAACAAAGCAAAATAAAAACCAAAATACAAAAAAATAAGTGGATTACAGTTGCCTGGAACCGTCTGCATTAATGCCGTCAGCAGTGAATTTTTTATGTAATACTGACTGGTATTCAAGTATAAATGATTGCAAGTACTGTTTACTTTAATTTGATTAAATAAAGAGATATGGTCTCTCTGTTTTAGTGAGAACATAATTTATAATTGAAATAAATTATGGAGAAATACATTTATCAATATGAAGATAAAGTCCAAGTTGGTGAAAGTCAAGCGAGTGGCGATTAATATCATTAAAATTAAAAATAAATTACTAATTAAAGAACATTGAAAGCTTTTATTTCATGTAATTTGATTCATTTGCAAACAAAATAAAATTATTCGAATAAATATAATATAAATATTCTTATATTTTATTATATGTTATTATAAAATATTCTTTTACTTTATTATGAGTTATTATAAAATATTCTTTTATTTTATTATGAGTTATTATAAAGTATTCTTCTACTTTATTATGAGTTACTTATGATAAATATTTAATTATATAATTATATCTAATTATATAATAATTATTTTATTTTGATTATAATTACTTCTTTTTAATCATTCAGAAAAATGTGCACTTTATTTAGTCTACATTAAAAATTAATAAAAATAAATAAGAAAATAACTCTGGAGCGCCAGCGCATTGTTTTCGCAAATGTCTCGAAAGTTGCTGGGAAAACCGTTGTGCATAGCAATTTGGAAAAAGAAAGAATTGC